CGTACCAAGCTCTGGGAGCCTGTCACCCCCATTCCTCAGCTTTATAGTCCCAAAGGATCAAGTTCAAGACCCTCGTCCTCACTTTTAAAGCCTCTACAGCCTTGCTCCTCCCTACCTCTGACCTATTGACATCATACCAACCTGCCTGCTCCATGTTCTCACCGTCTTCTCCACCGTCGGCAGCTGGGACTTCAACCTTCCCAGCCCGGAAATCCGTCCCGGAGTCCCTCCACCTCACCCTCTCCCTTGCCTCTTTCATGGCCCATCTCAAGACCTTCCTCTTTGATCCATTTTGCCCACAAAATATACAATCAATTCACTTTACAACATATTCCGCGAAGCGCTTTGAGATGTCTCAAAGATGTGATAACGTTCTTTATCGAATGCAAAGATTATTATTATCATGCCTTCGGCCCCTCCTGACCTCCGAGTCCTCCATCCCGCTTGATTCCAACCCCCAACTTGGGTGCAAACCCCTCACAGTCCAAGGCCTTGGGACGTCCATGATGTGAAAGGCGCTCAGTAAATGTAATGTGTTGTTGTTGTTGGATGGGATCGGCCTGCCCTGGGCTGCGGTGCTGGGTGGGCAGTAAATCACAGTGGTTGTGACAGGTTGTGAGCAGTGCTGAGCTGTGCCAACCTGGCTTAGAGCTTGTCTAATGCACTGAATGACTCAACCATCAAGCCTCCTGATTTATATGCAACGGCCCCGTGTGTTATTGTTGGCAAAATCTAACCTGCTTCATCGAACAGGAATCTGCTCGTGGCTCTGAACATGCAAGTTCCGAGCTCCATTAATTGGAGGCTGCTCTGCTTATTTATTGTTCTACAAAATAAGCCCTCCGTTGTATGAGGCCTCGGAATTACAGGCATCACGCCGTGGCCCATCACGTCTGTGCCGATGCTCGCCCTCTCCCCCCCCACCTCCCCACTCGAGCGCCACAACACCTCGTTCTTACACAGCACCTGTGACACAGGATAGACGTCTCACAGCGCTTCACAATGACTCACACTGATACAGTGTTTGTTACACCGCAAAGACATCTCACAGTCCCTCTCAGACACCCCCTCTCACACACACACGTCAGAACCATTCACACTCACATCACAACCTTCTCTTCACTCCATCCCAAGATTCAAAACAAATGCTGATGGGATTCGCCACTGGCCCAGCCCCGAGTAAGTGTGCTGAGGGAGAGAGGGCAAGACTGAGAGTGAGAGTGGGAGTAGCTATCTCTAATCCGTGCTATCACTGACCTGGGAGTGTGGACGGACAATGCAGAGGGAGCTTTACTCTGTCTCTAACCCTGACTTGGGAGTGTGGAAGGACAGTGTAGAGGGAGCCTCGTGCGAGATGCCCACTTGGTCCAACACTCAAGGAGCTCTGACACATGTGCAGACAGGCTGTGGAGTGGCTCAGTGCCGAGGGAGAGAGAAAGGAAGTGGGCTGAGCACATGCTTTGCTGATTGAAGTCTCATTTCTGAGACAAAGGGTTTAAGGGAACCATCCCTGGTCTCAATTACTTTGGACTAATTGACATCTTTGCAAGAACCGCAACATCACTAAAGATAGAGATGAGAAAGAGCATCCATTCATCCCAGATTGTTACAGAAAGTGAAGGGAAAGGGATCGTCCAATCAAACCAGCGGGTTGGTGTGTGCGTGGGAGGGAGGCCGCCATTCGCAACAGAGCTGCTGCTGTTCGGGTGGGACATGCATCTGATGGTTGGATATTATTTGGATGGAAAGCTCGTCAAACCAACCTGGTAATTGACTCTTGTTTATACCACCCCCACCTTCCCCAAGGGGCTTCACTGTGTGTGTTACAGGCCGGGAGCTCTGCCTGGTTTCACAAGCAACAGAGCACGGAACCCACCTCCCCCTCGGCATGCCCATTGCCTGGCACACACACAGCCTGGCACCCCATGCACACAGAACCCGGCACACAAATCCCAGCAGACACACCGCCTGGCACGCACACCGCCCAGCGCACATTACCTGGCGAGGTTTGAGGAAGCAGGGGATTGTGTCCACGGACTGGTTGTTACTCAACAAGTTGCCCCACACGCAGGGTAGAGTCCCAGAGCGCTACTCCGCCTCTGGCCCCACCTGTTACTCCGCCCCCGCCCCCTGGTCAGTCAGTGTTGGTCTGGGTCTCTTACCTTTGTTGTGTTGGTTGCCATGGAAACCCACTTTGGGAATCTTCAGCGGAAAAATGCTGTGGTGAGCGGCAAACCCATCCTTCGGACTGAGACACGGTAACCGGCTGAGACCGGGGGGTGCCGAGCCAATGCCGCACTTCCTGTCCGGGGGAGGGGGTCGCGAAGCTGGAGCCAGGCTTTTACTGGCGGTGGTACCTGGTGAGTAGTTGGCAGGAGCCGATGAGGGGTGTGGACCGATGAGCCTGCAGGTGTGAGCAGCCACACTCAGCCCCCCAGCGAGATAGTCCAGGCCCCCCGCACTCTCCATCCTCCTGGCGTCAGCCCGTCAGAGCCAGTACCTGGGCAACATCACAGCTTCAGTATAGTGTGAGTAATCTTTATATCACTCTCCCTCACTCCCACGTCCTCACTTGTTCACTCACTCACTCACATTCTCACTCTCACACTCATATCCTCGGTCATTTGCTCTCACACATTTTCTCACCCTCACATCCACACCCGCGCTCTCCCATTCTTACTCACTCAACTATATCCTCACTCACTCTTTCTCTCATATTCTCACTCGCACTCTCACTCACATTCTTGCTCGCTCGCTCACTCACTCACTCACTCACCTCCCCCCTCACCTCAGTGAGCAGAAAGTAACTCAGCCCAGAGCAGCCAAAATCAGACACGACCTTTCATTTAAAAACTGACAGGACTCGTCCAGTGTGATCGTCACTCTCCTGTTTGTGGGGGGGGGGGGGGGGTGGTGGGGAAGCGGTGGGGTGGAAAGTGGTGGGGGATTTGGGGCGGTGTTGGCTCAAGCCTGTCAATGTTATCGCAGAATCACATCCATCCTCTGAGATGTGGTCCGTGCTGGACAAACAGCTCTCCAGACAGCGCTCTCAATGGCAAACAGTGCACTTTTAGTTGGCTAAACTCCAGCAGTTTCCCCCCCCCCTGCAAATAACATTGGGGACACCTCAAAGCTTGGCTCTCGCCAACCTGCGCCTAATGCTCTCCAGGATTCGGTGAGCAAGGGGCATCCCTCCAGGGCGGGAGACAGAGAGAGAGAGAATGCAATCTATTTCAGACAAATGTGAACCGTGCATACAGTACGAGGAACTCTCAGCCTGGTTTGGAGACTGTAAGCACGGTGATGGGTTTCCGCGTGTGTCAGTCAGCCACCAAAAACAAAAGGCAATCAAAATAAATACATGTCACGCGAACCCCGGTTACGATGCACATATGTATGTCGCATGCACACATTGTTCACACATGTTACATACATGCATATTGCGCACACATGTTGCCCGCTCACAGATATGTCACTCACGAAATGTTGCGGGCGCACACACACACACATACCTGGGCTGAAGAGAGCAGCAGACAGTCAGTGAAAGGCACTCCATCAACTTCTGTCTCTATCTGTCTGTGTGTGTGTGTGTGTGTATCTTTCCCTCTGTGTCTGTTTCTTTGTCTCTGTTCGTGTCTCTGTGTCTGTCTCTCTGTCTGTGCCTCTCTGTCTGTCTCTCTGTGTCTGTACAGCGAGGTTGGACCAGTCGCCGCCGCCGCCGCCACCGTCGGGACACAACGCTTCTGATGCAAAACACTGTAGTAAGTTTTTGATTCACAAAAGTTTTTTAGGGGCGGCGCCACCCAGGCTGTGAGGGGCGGGGCTCCGGGCGGCGCTGAGCGACAGGCGGCTCCACCAACCGGGGCCCCAGGGGGCGGGGTCTCTGACCAGCTGGACCACGGTGATGGGCGTGTCCCTGGTGATGGGCGTGTCCCCGATGATGGGCATGTTCCCAGGGATGGGCAGGTCTCTGGGGATGGACCAGAAGGTGGTGGGCTGAAGCCCCATATTGGGGACTTGGGAGGTCACAGTCCAGGTTGCATCCAGATGTCTCCTGAGTCCAGCAAGATACAAATCCAACCCTCTCCATTCCTCTTTTCCCCTCAGCCACACATCCCCTGATTTTAATCTACCTGGGAACACTAGGGATAGCCTCAGCGGCCTTCGGTCACCTAAAGTCTCCCTTAAACGATTGAAGAATCGCGCTTTCAGTCACCTCCCCCTGCCCCACCCTCCCCACACCTTCCTCAGCTCCCCTCCCAGCCACACCAGCCAGTTGTGTGAAGATCTCTGTGACACCCTCCCATAGCGAAAGGTGTTATATTAACAAGACTTCCTCACCCTACCCTCTGGCTGGTGGACATTGTCAATCTGTGCCTCTCCTCTTCAGACCAGTCCTCAATAAATGTACTGTGCATCTTTCCAAACTTCCCGACTACAGACCGTCTCCAACCTACCATTCCTATCCAAAGTCCTTGGAATACGTTGTTGCCACACAACCTTCACTCCCACACTCTCTGTCTCTTTGAACTCTCTGCTGCTTCTAACACTATTGACCATTCCATCCTCCTCGATGTCCTCTTCCAGCACTATCCCACCTCCTCTGCACCACCATTTGATTCCCCAAACCTCTGGAACTCCCTCCATCTCGCCCCCTCCCTATCTGTCTTCAATAAATCCTATAATCAAATTGACCTCCTCGAACACGTCTTCCCTCCTCAGGGTCCGACCCCGTCCCTGGAATGCGTTCCCAACACGGGGTGGGGGTGCCGTATAAGTGAAAATTGTTGTTAAATATGAATATATACAGTCAATTCACTTGACAGTGTGTTATGTGAAGCGCTTTGGGACGTCCTCCCGACGTGAAAAGCGGTATATCAAATGCGAGGATTATTATTATTATTATGGCGGAAGCTGCCAGGATCAAACATGGCGGCGCCCACAGGGCACACTGCCAGGATCCAAGGCGGCGACAACCATGTGGTCGGAAGTGTCGGGTCGGAAGTGAGGGTGAGCGGGAAGCCCGAACATGGAGTCGGCACCGGGAGGACGGCTGGTCAGCAAGGTCCGGGCCTGGGGGAGCGGGGGGGAGACCGAGCCCGGGGGAGGGGAGGGGAGGGGGGGGGGGAGAGAGAGACCGAGGCCCCCGGGCCTAGGGTTAGGCCCCGCGGTGAGGCCTCGGGTGCGGGTGACCAGGTGCTGCTGAGCGGCTGAAGCTCTCCCACTGACGCCCTCTCGTCCCTGTCCGCAGGTGCTGAGCTGGAGGGCAGCGGCTGCCATCGCCTGGTCTGTGCTGCTGCTGCCTCTCTCCACCTTCTCCTTCATCTTCCTGAGCCGCATCAGCCTCCTGCACCCCGTCCAGTGGGCAACAGGTAATCATAGTGATCATCATACAATAATAATAATAATAATAATCCTTTGAGACGTCTCAAAGCGCTTCGCAGAATAGACCGCAAAGCGTAGTGACTGTATGGTTTGCGGGCGAAATGCGGCAGCCGATTACATACAGCGGTGTCCCACAAACAGCCGTAGATTGAAGGACCGACCACATTTTTAGAGGGATTATTGATTACCCCCCCGGAGAAGTGATCCGCCAATCAACTGACGACTGGGTCCTGTTTACTGCCGGGGTAAACAGCGCCATGTGGAGTAAGGGAACTTGCCTAAGGTTTCGCGCTGCCCGGGAATCGAACCCGTGTCTTCTCGCTTGCGGAGCGAGTGCTCCAACCGCTAAGATACAGGACTTCACGAAGGGGTAATCATACTTGTATTTGATATGGCGCCGTATAATGTCGAGGTGTCTCAAAACGCTTCACAAAGTAACAGGTGATTGACTTACTTAATACAGACGTGCATGTTTAATATAACACAGCGCCGAAAACCGAAACGTCTCTGAGCGCCTCCCGGCGAATTGCTGGCGGGTTAGTGATCGTATCTGTAGACAAATGCAGCTGTCAGTTTGTGCACACAAAATATGGCACGAGCGAGGGGTTTAATCTGTGGGATTGTCGGTCAGCACACAACAAGAGAAAAACTTGCTTGTTCTTTTGTGGAATCTTTTTAACATCTGTCTGAAAAGGCACAGAGGGGACCATGCGAGAGAGCGAGAGACTGAGCCAGGCTGACGTCTGATGGTGATGCGATGCTAGGATTAATGTGCTCCTGGCTGTGGTTTCCCCCTTACAGACTCGCTGCAAGAAATGTACAATTCGTACACTGCCTTCTCCCTGCTGGTGCTGGCTGGCATCGTGGTGACCATCGGCACTTTCAACACCGAGTTTTACACTGGTAACGTTACCGTCAGCGCTCAGGGTTCATCCTGGTCCGGTCAGACCTTCATGGTGATTGTGTGTGTGTCTGTGTGAAGGGTGGGGAAGTTGTGAGAGGGATTGTGTGTATGTATGTATGCAATGGGATTCCCCCCCCCCCCCCCACCCCGGGTCATGCTGTAATGCTGTCTCTCTCTGTCTCTGCAGTTGAGCCTTCCATCCCGTGCAGTCGGATTGCGCTGCTGGGGAGCGTGTTCCACCCACAGCGGTTACTACATTCGGTGGTGCACGCGGCGCTGGGTGTGCTGACTGCGTGGTGCACCACTGTGCTCGTCGGTGGCCGCTACCACCTCATGAGTGCCCCTTCCTCACAGGACAGGTGAGGCTAGCACCGTCCCGGCCATGGGGGGAGCCTGACACCCTGGCTGGAGTACAAGCGGTGTGTGTGTGTAATGTGCGCACATGTGTGTGTATACATGGTGCTTCTATGTGTGTGTATACACGGTGTGTGTATGTCTGTGATTGTGTGTGTGGATGCGATGTGCTTGTGTATGTGGTTTGCCTCGAGATGTGGGGGGTGTATGCAGTGTGCCTGTGTGTGTATACACGTGTATATGTGTGTGGTGTGTGTACATAGTGTGTGTGTGGTGTGAGTAAGCGGTGTGCTGATACGTGCACTGTGGTGGTCGTTCTGTTCCAGTGTTGGAGTGGAGGGCCTGTACTTGAACGAGTTTCACGTTTTCCTGCTGGTGGGGGGTGCGTTCTTCGGCTACAGTTACAGTCTCCGATACTTCATCAACAACATGAATTACTTGTCATTCCCAGCAATCCAGGTAAGGGTTTGGGGGGAAGCAGTCAGGATTTGTTACCTCCTCATAGAGACCCAGTGATCCTACCCATGTGGCTGTATACTCGCTGTCTTGTCACAGTTGGCGTGTCCTGAAGTGAAGGATGTTATACAAATATAATCTATTGTTGTTGTTGAGTCCTATAGCTCAGTGGTTAGAGCACTTGTCTCACAAGTGAGAGGACCTGGGTTCGATTCCCTGGCAGGGCGAAACATTGTGCAAGTTTCCTCACTCCACACGCCTCTGTTTACCTAGCAGTAAGTAGAAACCCGGTTATTAGTCGATTGGCAGATCGCTTTTCTGGAGGTAATCCTTCAAAAAAAAAAAAATTTGGTCACTCAACCCACAACAACAACAAGATTCCATTTATAGAGCGCCTTTCACGTCGGGAGGATGTCCCAAGGCGCTGTACAGTTGGGTCAGGACCCGAGCAGTGGGGAAATGGTTAGGGTGAGGGGAAGGAAGGGAGGGAGCGAGGAGGGGGTAGAGAGTCGAGAGGGGAGCTGAAGGCACGGTCGAAGAGAAAGGTCTTGAGACCGGCCTTGAAGGAGGAAAGGGAGGAGGCGGCGAAGGCACTGGGGGATAGAGTTCCAGAGCCTCGGGGCTGAGAGGCTGAAGGCCCGGCCACCGATGGTAGGGCGGTTGGGGCGGGGGATGTGGAGCAGACCGGAGCCAGAGGAACGGAGGGTAGGGGGATAGTAGGTCAGAGAGGTAGGAGGGAGCGAGGATGTGAATGGCCTTGTAGGTGAGGATGAGGATCTTGATTTCGAATCGGTTGTTTGTGGGACACTGTTGTGCGCAATTGGCTGCTGCGTTTCGCCCACAAAATAAACAGTCAATTCTCTTTACAGTATCTCCTGTGGAGCGCTTTGAGACGTCTCAAAGACATGATAAGGCGCTATATCAGACGCAAGGATTATTATTATTAATCAGCAGCCACCTGCTTGAGCTCTGGGCTACAGGCTGGTGTCTTCAGAGGTGATTATTATCAAAACCCGTCTCATTCAGCCCATGTTCTGTTTTTCCAGCAATTCAAGTACCTGCGTTTCAAGGCCAGCCTGTGGCTCGTGGTGAAGTACAGCGCTGTGCAGTCCTTCTACTTCCTTCGCAACTACTGCCTCCTTTACTACTTTCTAGGTAACTTGTCACAATCCCAAACCTCTCCTTACCTCAAGGGCGTGACTGCCGTTCAGGCCACTGCAGACTAACACTGACCGAGGCCCCTTCACAGCGGCTTAACCTCGCCCGTCTGGGGAAGCTTGTCGGTTTAGAGTTGAGAGAGAGAGAGAGCGCACTGGACACTGTGCAGAGAGATACATACAGTGCAGGGAGACTGACAGGTGTGTGTGTGTGTGATTCTCACTGTAGAGATTGTAGAAATGGGATTAGAGGACTTCGGAAGGAATATCGTGCGGATTGTGTGTGGTGGGGAGATGAGGGAGGGTATGTGTGGATTATTGAACATACTGATTCAGACTGCCTGTTTCCCTCAGTCTAACATGGCGGTGGTGGGGGGGGTGTGGTGGGGCTGGTTCAGTGCTAAACACTGACTGCCTGTGTTCTATTCTGCAGGTTACGTTCCTCGAGCCTGGATAAGCGCCTCAATGTCTCTCCAGAAAGACAGGTGAGTCAGAGCCGCTGCCCTGGTGTCTGACACCGTGTCTGCGGGACTCGGCCTATGGGTGTGGAGGCCCACTGTGACCTATTCCCTCACGTCTGCACAAACATCCCAATTCCCCCCACCTCCCCCCCCATGCCTCGGTCCCCAAATCCCCTGCCCCAATCCCCCTCGCCCCCCCCCCCCCCAAATCCCCTCTACTCTCCAAATCCCCCCACACCTCAAATTCTCCTGAACCACTGCTTGGCGGGACTCAGACCAGGAAGTGTTGGGATTGGGGTACGGTGGGGATCTAGCTGGTTCTGGGATCGACATGTGGTGGTTTGGGGGGGCTGGAGGTGGGGAGAGGGGTATGTTGTGGCGGGGATTGATGGGGGGACCTTGAGCTGAATGCCGCTGCCATGGGCAGGTGGCCTGTGTCACTGTTTCAGTGTCTCCCCGCAGTTCGGTACCAGCGCTTGACACACTGAGTGGCCTCTTGGACCCTCCTCTCCTGTACGTGGCCTGGCTGAGCGGCACCTTCCTCCTCCTCACCTGGTACCTCACCTGGCTGCTCTTCAAGATCTTCATCACTGAGGTCAGACCCCAGGGGTGTGGGTGGGAGCAGGAGGCTGGGGGAGAGCTGCTGGAGAGGGGGATGCAATGAGAAAGTTAAACCTAGATCTATTCTCCCAGAAAAGCTGAGGCAAGCGGAGCAGAAAGTGAAGGGTGAGGGTGGCTGGGTTCAGGCCGGACACCAGGAAGTATTTCTGAGGGAACTGATGCCTTTGACGGGGTTCCCAGGGTCGGTGGTTGTGGCTGGACTCTGGAGTGTGTTGAAGCTGGTGGAGTGGATATTGTGGAGGGGGTGAGCGGCTGTGGCTGAGCCCCTCTGACCTCACTGCTCCCTGCAGGTTTACCAGTTCCCGGTACAGTTGCCTTTCGGTGAGGACGCCGATCGATGTCTTCCTCGAGTCCTGACGTCCAAAGTGTCACCACTTGTGAAGGTGAGTGACCAAGGGTCAGCTTTCATCCCAGGCACGTGTGTATGTGTGTGGGCAGCGTGGAGTGTATATGTGGGCGCCGCATGTGAGGCATGTGTGTGTGTGGGCATCGTGGGGGTATGTAACGCTTTCTCTTCTCTCCAGTGTCTGGCTCTGCAGGACCTGGCATTACTGTCCCAGTATTCCCCGTGCCGGAGGCAGGAGGTCTTCAGCCTGAGCCAGCCAGGTACACACAGGGGGCAGGGGGGATGGACTTGGGAGGAGCTTGGCAAGGGAGGGGATTATAGGGTTGTGTGTGCGTGTGTGGGGTGGAGGTTGGTACAGAGTGTGTGTTTGTGCTGAAGGCTTTGCCAGGCAATGGGGAGCTGCTATGACTGATCCCTGCCTCTCTGGTGCCCGCAGGAGGACACCCTCACCACTGGACGGCCATCTCTAGCGAGTGCCTGGCGCTGCTCCGGGACCTGACACACACACTAACGGCCTATCAGGAGGTGGCGGCCGGCAATGGCAGAGTGAAGGCTGTACCACTCACCGCAGAGAAACGGGCCCTGGGCAGCAGCGCAGGTCAGATTCTGCCCCCCCCCCCCTCCTTCCCCCCACGCGGTAACCTATTCCCAGTACAGGCAGCACTGCCCACACCTGGCCATGTTACACCCAGATATTGTTTACAGTCATTACATACTGTGAGAAGCGACAGGCAGATTGAGGTACCGTTTGTCTCAGCGGTCAGACAGGCCTAACCCTGACCTGGGAGTGTGGACGGACAGTGTAGAAGGAGCTTTACTGTGTCTCCCACCCTGACCTGGGAGTGTGGACGGACAGTCACTCTGTGCTGCCACTGATCTGGGAGTGTGCAGCTCATGTCCTCTCCCGCACCAGGCTCCTGAGCCTATCACCCCCATCTTGCCTGGTTTCACTTGCTCCCCATCCCCCAGAGGATTGAGTTCAACATCTTCTTCCTCCATTTTAATTCCCTCCACAACCTTGCCCTTCCTGTCTGTGATGTTTTGCAACCCTGCCGAAATACATTTTACAGTATATTCTGTGAAGCGCTTTAAGACGTCTCAATGATGTACTAAATCCCTTTTTCAAATTCAAGGATTATTATTTAGTATAACCCACACTCCCTCCACTCAGCAGTCATCGGCCTGCTTCACGTCCCCCACCATTAACAGTCAGGCCCTCAGCCTTCTTGTCCTCATACTCATACTGTCCCTATGTCTTGCCCCTTTCCTCACCTTGTTCAAGTTCCATCTCAAGACCTCTTTGTCTTTCCCCCACAACCCCCCACCACTCTTGGAACTCACCCCTCCTGCATCTAACCTCCAGCTTGGGAGGGAAGTCCAGACTGCCTTGAGATGTCCTCCCGACATGAGCACTATGTGAGTGGAGTTTGTTGTTGGACAGTGAGATCACGTATTGTTTGTGTCACAGAGGCCTTGGGCTACAATGAGGCAGCCAGTTACCAGCCTGCGCTCCGCACCTCCCACCTTTCTCACACGCCCCGCAGCTCGCCGCTGTTCAAGTCCTCCAACTCCTCAGTGCGGAGCCTGCTCAGCTTCCCCTTCACCCCCGACTTGAGCAGCCCCTTCGTCTCGCCTATGGCCCCCCAGCAGGGCGAGGCCCTGGACATGGCCTCCCCATGCTACGGGTCGTTGCAGAGCCCCCACGTCATGAGGAGGGGGCCCAAACTCTGGACATCAGCTTCTCGAGCCTCTGGTAAGTGGTCTGTATGTGTGTGTGTGGGTGGGGGGAGGGCTCAGAACACCAAACTAACGTTAGTGACTGTGTAGACAACAGTAAGATCCCACATACTCCTCTGAAGTGAGCAAATTTCTCTGGGATTGTCAGTCAGTTTCCCCCGGTGACACACACTCCCTGCTCTAGCTCCCCCACTGTAACATGGCCTGAAGGACATTGTTGCGCTAGGGTTACAAAGGGCAATATCATCAGAGGGTGATCAGCGACTGGTGTAGGCTGCCAGGGAGGAGATGGCTGGAAGCTGTGATGGTGGGGGTTGTGGAGGCTGACGAAGGGATGAGATCAAATGGGCCAATGGGTTCTAACATAGAAACAGGAGTAGGCCATTGAGCCCCTCGAGCCTGTTCCGCCATGCTATAAGATCATGGCTGATCTGCACCTCAACTCCAATTACCCGCTTTTGCCCCCTGATACACTTGATACTTGATATCCGGACCTAACAAGTATCTATCCACCTTAGGCTTGACAATGTGAATGGATTCAGCATCCACAGTGTTTTGGAGGAGAGAGTTCCAGATTCCCACTCCCCTTTGGGTGAAAAACTGCCCCTGGATTTCACTCCTAAATGGCCTGGCTCTAATTTTAAGATGATGCCCCCCCTTGTTCTGGTTGCCTGGCACTGGTCTGTGAACAAGTTGTTGTTGGGTGTCTGGGGGAGTGTGTCCTGTGTCCCGTTTCCCCCTCTTCCCCCCCACACCGACATAGGCTTGATGTTGTGCTGTCTCTGGCAGGGTGCATTCCCACCGCTGAGGACTATCTGGTTCCAGTCAGCTGCCCGACCCCCGAGACAGTGCGCCCCAGCGGCCTCTCCCACTGGCTACTTCACCGTCAGGAACAGGTACTGAGGCGCACGAAGCGCGCAACACGTGAAGTGGATTAGCCAGGGCTGTGGATTGCGTGGGCAAGAGTGTGCGCGGCGAATTGTAAAGAGGGCAGAGGGTAGCGGGACTAGTTGAGAACGGTGAACAGATCACGCTTTCCACTTTTCCCTGCGTTCCCCATCCTCGGGTTTTTCCCATGAAAGTGACTGGATTAAGAGTTGCCTGAAGGGGACTATTGACGGCAGGGAGTGGGACTGATGGACAGCAGCTCGCCCTGAGAGCTCGAGTGGTCTCCCGCCAGTGCACCCCCAGTCTGCACAATCAACCCTCCCTCCCCGTCCCCCCATCCTCTATTCACTATCCGTCAGACTCCCGCGATTCCTCACAGTCTCTGTTTGAAAATTTAAACGAAACTGGGATTCCGGATAATTATAATCTGCTCTGTGTACATCTCTTTCCCCGTTTGCGGAGTCTTGCTTGTCTGTGGCAGTCAGGCTGTAGGCAGGCGGAATCGAGGGGTTTGGGTGGGGGGAGCGACGAGGGCGGAAGATGTGTCTGAGACGAGTGTGGGGTGGGGGGGTATTGGGGGAGGGATTGGAACAAGCCCCTCTGTCTGAGGCTGTGAGGCTTGGCTGTGATCGTGAAGCCAGTACTGAGTGTGATTAACCTGGGCCGGATGGTGTTTGCTCATCAGGTGAAAGTTTTCTTGTCGCGCCGAGTGCCGGTGGTGTATTTGTTTCATAAGGTAAGAGCCAGGCCTCGTGCCAGCCCAGCCCGGCACGCTGCAGCTTCCCCTGCATGCCTGCACGTCTGCAGCTCGCTCTCTGCTCTCTTGTCTGGCCCGTCTGTCTACCATCTGCAACTCCAGTCAGGGCTCGCAAGTGGCTAATTCTGCTTCTATTAGTGGCTTGGAATAGAATCTAGAGAAAACTCATGGAGTATATCTTCATAAACTGCTCTCCATTGTGTCTGTGCTAGTGCTCGCTCCCCGACAGGAGCTCTCTACTTCCCTGCTCTTTCCCTATAATGTTTAATATTCTACCTGGAGTATTTATCCAATTCCTGTTTAAACACTTTGTGTTGAGGTGAAACATTTCATGTTGTGTTCTTCGTGCTGTCAATCTCTCCGCTGCCCTGATTGTCCGTGCGTAAAGTAAAAACCCACTCGTTTTATTTCTCTGCAGCTTCCAGAGGCTTCAAGTCAGGCTGTGTTTGCCAACAGCCAGATACACATCTGGGCGCTGGAAGGTAACGTCTGCTTAATATCTGGGGCTATAAACTGGGGGCGGAGGTTCACACAGAGGGCAACCGCTGCTCCGCACTATTATTGATCTCAGCCAGGGGACAGCCTGTCTCAGTGCTGGCAGATTAGGGCACGCTCTTGCTCAGTAACCATGGACTCAGCTCTGGAGTATGTGTGTGTGGGTGGGTGGGCGCGGGGAGCTTGGAGGGGACAGGCTGGGGGCTGATGGCTTCAGTGCAGGGCAGACAGTGCGCACAGAGACAGATACAGACCGGACGGAGCTCACGTTTAGCTTTTCGAATCTTTATTGGATCCAACAAAACAAGATTAAAATCATTTCTTACAACTTCACATTAAGGGGAGGTGTTTACATTTTATCCTGGCTGATTTTATCGGGGTATTTATACCCGCCCGCCCGGGTGTTTTGTGCGGTGTGTGGCTAATACTGGGTATTTATGCCCACCCACCGGCTATTTTTGCTGTGTGTCGCCATCGCTGTGTGTTTTTGTGCTGTGTGTTTGTAACACTGGGTGTTTATAGCTCCCCGTCTGGGTGTTTTGGGCTGTGTGTGGCTAATGCGGTTGCTTTCCCTGCCCACAGGCCTGTCCCACCTGACAGCAGCATCCTTCACAGAGGACAGGTATGGAGTGGTGCAGACCACACTGGCCTCCATTCTCAGTGTCCTGCTCTCCCTTCAGGAGGTGAGTCACAGATGCTGAATTGGACGGCGGCGTGTGCATGGGGCGCAAGGTGTGCTGTGTGTGTGTGCACGGGGGGGGCGGTGTCAGTGAGGTAAGCACATGTGGGGGGAGGGGCGTGTATAGTGTGTGTGTGCAGTGGGGGTACACAGTGACGCGTGAGGCAGGGGCCCCTGGTTTTGGGCACCGGTGGTGAGCGAGGCACTCGCGGCTGTGATAAGCCCAGTGTTGGGGTGTGGTGCCTCTCACGGGAGCATCTGTGTGCGATTGACAGGCTGTGGACAAACACTTCAAGCTGCCGCACGCGTGCAGTCGGCCTGCGAGGGCCAGCGGGAGCCTGGCCGACTCCTCCTACAGGACGCTGCGCTTCGCCCTGCGCTCCGCCCTCAAGACTTCCATCTACAGGATCACCAGCACCTTCGGGGAGCACCTCGGGTAAGTGACAGCACACAGACCCACCCATTGGGGTCTCTGTCCCGCTCCCAACCCGGGCTCTGCCTGCCCCGTCCCCAACCTGGGCTCTCCCTGCTGTTAAATTCCCAGGAGCTGCGTACATTGCCGATGTCCACCCTTCCCACCCCGGTGCTGTGTTGACTCTGTGCTGTGTCTCCCGCAGGGCGGTCCAGGTCTCAGGGGAGCACAGGAAGCGTCTCCAGCAGTTCCTGACCTACAAGGTGTGAGCCTTCCGTGAAGTGTTCCTGTGGTTTGCTCATTCCTGATTCAGCCCCCGAGTTCCGTGGGGTTCGTGCCTTCACTACAGCCCGGTGCTGGGTCGGCAGGCAGTCAAGACAGACGGACACGTGTTCCCGTGCCGCGCTGCGCTGCTCTGTGTCACCTCTGTCCGGACGGAGCCGGTGGGAGTCAGATGTTTTATCGACTGTTTATAAATAAAGGTGCTGCTGTGTGTTTTAACAGCTCCCTCGCTGCCACATCATCATCGTTATTATTAATTTCAGCCTCGGATTTGAGTGCTTCCCCCCCCCCCCTCGGTTATCCCGTCCCATAAACGTGGGGAGACGCACGGTGGAAGCAGATTCTTTCCAAGAGCAAACAAGATAAATTTCTGCTGGAAAATAATATCTGGGGATACAGTGGGGATACACGACATGTCAAGTGACTGTCAGGACAGTGGTTTTCTTTCACCAGCAAATTCCTCTGCTGTCACCGTCTCGTTGTTTCTCCCTGGCGAGACTCTGGCGGTGCAGCAGTCGCCCCCAGGAGGAGCCTGCGGTGCAGTGGGCGGTTGGTGGGGGCGAGGGGATGGGTCTGCGTGCTCTTGTGTGCCGTGTGGTTGCGCTGGTGGAAGGCGGCCTGCCGGAGCAGCTGGTTCAGGGTGAGCAGGTGGTCCCGCTGGCTCCGCACCTCCTACCACAGCCTCAGGCAGCGCTCCTGCTCCTCGCTCACGCTCTACAGCTCGTCCCTCGCCGCCTGCAGCTGCTCCTGTAATGCCTGCCTGGCGCTGGCCACCTCTGCCAGATCCCGGCTCAGAGCCCTCATCCGCTCGCTGCACCGGCCGTTCTCCTCCTGCAGGATCCAACACTGCACGGCTCGCTCCTGTAGCTCCTTCAAAGCCTCCCTCGCCGCTCTGTTCCCCAGCCCAGGCTCTCTGCCCGCCCTCGCCCTCAGGCCGGCCTCAGGCTCCAGCCCAGGTCGCAGTTTGCTCAGCACCAGGTTCAGCTCCTTGTTCTCAGCGTTCACGTACTTCAGTTTGTCCCTCAGTTCTCGGAGCTGGGTCCTGCTGACCGTCTCCACCACCTTCAGTCTCTCCCTCAGTGCCTCCTCCCTGACGCATGCCTCGTCACGCTCCTTCCTCACCTTCTGCACCACTTTCTTGGCCTCTGACTTTGTGCCGGTGTTTTTCTGGGCTTGTCTCTTGGGGGTGGACATGCTGGGACCTGGCTCCGGGGGAGAACAGCCAACAATGAGGGCAGATCTCACACCAACTCCTCAATGTCAAACTGTAATCAGAACATTTACAGTGAAGGAGCTCTGTACTGCTCTCTACCCCATTCTCTGCTCTCTCCCCATCGTGTATGTGCTGGTGCTCACTCCCCACTGGAGCTCTCTAATCTAACCCCATTCCCTGCTCTCCCCATCATGTCTACGTTTCCCAATGGCTGAGTCTCCTGCTGTTATTTATTGGGTGGCTCACACAGGGTCATTTGTGGAACCGCTCCTAGTGACAGCTGGTGTGTGTGTGCGTATTAGGACCTCCGAATGGCGGTCGCTGCTGGGGGTGGGATTTGGCTGATGCTCAGCTCCGTGCATTTACACACATTTTGCAGCCAGAATTCAATCCGGATCCTCTGAATCTTTCAGTAGCTCCCCCACTGGAGCTCTGTGCTCTAATCCCATTCCCTGCTCTCTCCCAGTTCCCTTAACTATATATACAATCCCCTCCTAGTCAAACAGTTACAGACTCCAACAACAACAACAACTTGTATTTATTGGGCCCTTCACACAGGGCAGTGACTCAAGAGCGCTGCCTGATGGAATCCTGTGATAAAACATTACAGGTTCTGACAGCTGGTTGGTGCAAGGCGAGTGCTGTGTTAGTTTGCGTGGGCGAGTCTCAGGTCTGGGGTTCGCTTGGGATAAAACTTGGGGTGTATATTATTAGAGAATTGGATACTGGATATTGTGGAGTCCTGCAGCTCAGTGGTTAGAGCACTCGCTTTGCAAGCGAGAGACCTGAGTTCAATTCCCGGCAGAGGGTGAAACCTTGGGCAAGTTTCCTTATTCCGTACGCCTGATAATAATCCCTCAAAAAAAATAATACATTGGTCATTTCAATCCACGACTCTTTGTGGGACGCTGCTGTGTGCAATTGGCTGCCGCATTTCGCCCACAAATATACAGTCAAATCACTTGACAGTCTATTCTGTGAAGTGCTTTGAGACGTCGAGAAGACGTGAAAAGCGCTATATCAAATGCAAGGATTATTATATATATTTAAAGGAACTTGGGATGAAATGTGAGAAGAACCCTTAGTGACAAACAGCAACCTTTTTACACTATTTAACTGAATAATTGAAAAGAGGGTTAATTTTGGCTGCTTAATATCAGTTTCAGCCTGGCACTCTTGCCTCTGTCAGAAGGTTGTGGATTCAAGTCTCATTTCCAGTGTGTTCACAGTCTCGGCTGTACTCCAACACAAAGCTGTATTGTCAGATTCACTGCTGGGCAAATTGGCTGCTGCTTTTGCCTCCAAAACAGTCACTAAAACTCTGTGAAGCACTTTGAGACGCCTTGACCCGATGAGGCATTGCAGTGAAGGATTACTTAGTAAATAAAGGGACAGACAGGCACTGGAGGAGGTAATATGGGTATAAATCTTACAGATAATTGTAAAATATTAACGTCAGTGTTGGTTAGAGAGCAGCCGTACTCAGCTCATGCTGTTAACCCCTCCCACCATTTAGAAGTCATTGTTTTCCACAAGAAAATATTTGGATATATTTTTCTGATTCTCAAGATCCAAATTTAACCCTCGCTTTTGATGCATTCCCAACAACGTCAAAACATCTCGGAGCTTTTGAGTTTCCTGCCGAGCAGAAGAAACAAAGCGGCACAAAGTGAGTTTGCCCCCGGCTCCGTCACTCAACATTTGCCCAGGCTCTCGTTACTGAGGTACGCTGAGAAAAACAATAATAATCCTTGCGTTTGATATAGCGCATTATTGTGTCATTCAGACGTCTCAAATCGCCTCACAGAGTTTTAGTGACTGTTTTGGAGGTAAAAGCAGCAGCCAACTTGCCCAGCAAAGGGAGTTGACTATGTATTTTGTGGGCAAACGTGACAGCCAACAGCGATGGTCGCAGCAAGTGAGCTTCAATGGACAACAAAAAAACACTGAAGTGCATCAGACACCAGCACGTGAGACACCAGTGTCTGCACAGCAACTCCAACCCACTACCTCAACCCCCCCCCCCCACCGCCACCACACACACACACACACACACACAATGTAATTAACATTTCTGTAGTGCTTTCAAGTCGGAGGCGCGGTGCTCTCCCTTACCCCCACCCTCCTCCAGTATGTCACTCCCACATTCGGACCGTGATCTATCGCTGATCCAGTCCAGCAAACCACCACCGCCTGGGATCACCAGGCAAATCGAAGGAAACTGGAAACAGGAAAACTGAGAGTATTGGAAGCTACAGATGGCAGCTGTATTAAAGAACCCGGGATTTTCCCAGGATTGCGGGACAGGACCACCCTGCCCTATACCCCCTCCTCCTTGGAATAGACTCCCCCACAGTCACACTTAAGGATTGGCAGATTGATGGCTATATGCTATGTGTCTTGTTCCTGGAGTAATATTCCCAGATTGGGGAGTCTGGGAGTTTGACTGGGTTTGGGGTCTGGGGGGAACGCGGCGATGAGTACCTGGTCAGAGCGGCCGGTGCAGGTGCGACGCGAGAGCCAGCGAAGCTGTGAGTCAATGGAAACATCGGCACAGATCGGTGTCGCAAAATCAACCAGGAAACTACTGAAAGATTCAGAGGATCCAGATTGAATTCCGGCTGCAAAATGTGTGTAAATGCACGGAGCTGAGCATCAGCCAAATACCACCCTCAGCAGCGACCGCCATTCAGAGGTCCTAATACGCGCACACACACCAGCTGTCACTGGGGACGGTTCCACAAATGACCCCGTGTGAGCCACACAATAAACGGCAACAGGAGATTCAGCCATTGGGAAACGCAGACCACAACCTCACAAGCAGCCTCCAAAAGCACCCCCCCACCCCACTCTGTCTGTCCGTCTCCCCTCCCCCAGCCACTGAGCCAAACTCTGGGGGGAGCAGACGCACCTCATCGACTTATAATAATCCATACACAGCGCATTTCACGTTGGGAGAACATCTTAAAGCTCTTTGCAGGATACACTCTAAAGTATAGTGACTGTATGTTGTAGTTTGAACCAAACAACAAAAAAATTACATTTGTTAAGTGACTTTCACATTGGGAGGACGTCCCAAGCCACTGGATAGTCATGGATTTGGACCCGAGCTAGGGGTTGGGATCAGGACGGGTTAAGGGTAGGGAGGGTGTTGGTCAGATGGTGACCGAAGGCACAGTCGAAGAGGAGGGTCTTGAGATTTGCCTTGGAGGAGGCAAGGGAACGTAGCAGGCGATTTGCACACAGCTCCATCCCACCAACGGCCTTGAAGTGAAGGAATGATTTTATCCGGGAGATTGTTAATCAGGACACCAGGAGAGATTCTTTTTGAATAATGTCATGGGATCTTTAACATGCACCTGAACAGGAGCTTATGGACACACACACACATACACAGGAGTAAATGTGATCAGTCCTGCAGTAACATTCCACACAAACAACTCACACGTCATAACCCAACTTAATTTAATTTATAATGCTCTAACACAAGGCGAGAAAAAGCTGTGAAAAATCACTATACAAAGAAAGTTTTGAAATTTTGCTAATGTACAGATTTGAGGAAATCTTTCAAGTAACGTTGGCGATTGGGTTGTCAGGAGGATCAAGGCTGAAATCAAACAGTGAAGGTAAAAAGTGAAAATATCATCCAGAAGCCGCCCGGGAACTACAGCCCAATCACACCCGATCACTCCCGCTCACACCCGATCACTCCCGCTCACACCCGACCATTGCCAGTCACTGCCAGCCCATAGGCCTGAGCTCCATCATCAAACTCTTCCGTCCACACTTCCGTTCCCCCTCACGGCCTTCACCAGGAACCGAGCCAGCAACGATGGAGCCTGCGGAAACCCACACACAGGTCACAGCCTCGTCAGACAGACAGACGGAATGCTTCACACCGAAACTGAGAGTCAAGGCCGCACTCAGGGATACAGAGCTTTCACATCGGGACGACCGGGACATCTTGAAGCGCTTCAAACTGTAAACCAGAGTGACTGTTTTGTGAGTAAAGGCGGCAGACTATTTGCCTCCAGCAAAGTGCTGAGGGGGAGGGGACGGTGCCAGAGTTTTCATGGGGATCAGGATCTGGTTGGGAATTGCTCGCTCACCTGTAGCTTAGCTTGATTTCTCCCGCATGGATAGTGTCTCGTTCACAGCCGGGGCCAGCGAGGGCAGCTCGGGGAGCTTGGCTTTTTCCGGAGGGTCAAAGAAATAGACCTGGAAACAAAACAATTGACACTGACTGTCAACACATGTTTAGATCAGCTGTTTACCCTTCCCTTACACATCTCCTCCTGTCCCTATCTACACAGCAATACAGAGCTAACCCCACACCCCCAATCCCTGTGTACAGACAGCCCGGCTTCCCCTGTGTACACACACAGTCCCCCCCGTGGGGGTGTGGGTCTCAATTTAAACAAAAACTGCGTTATTGGAACTGTTTTTCTTTTGCAAAATAACAAATTAAATGAGAGTAAGTGTCACGGCAGTTCAACGATTCAGGCATGATTTAGGCACGTGTTTCGTGCGTAGTGAAGTGGAGCATCTCAGTACCTTGCAGCCAACAGCTAGGAGGGCGTGTAGGGCCAGAACGACTGTGACCGTTGCTATGGCGATCCTCCGATTGTCATCACGCACAGCCGGCCAGAAGGTGACGAGAAGCACAGAGCCGGACAGACACATGGCCAGGACCACAGTGATCCAGCGAACAATCTCATTGGGAATAATCCACAGCACCTAGCACACAACGAGAGAGTGAGAGAGACAGAGAGAAAGTGACAGCGAAAGAGACAGACAATGAGAGAGAGAGAGATTGACAGTGAGGGAGAATGAGAAGCAGTCTAACAAATTCGAGAGAGGGGCAGGGGATGCAAGAAACAGAGAGCATCAGAGAGACGCACAGACCAAGAAAGAAGGAGTATCAGCCCGGGAGGCAGGTGAATTCAACTCCTCCCCCCCCACCCCCACCCACTACCCCGGGGAGCTGATTGCTTGCAGCAGCTAGACAGAGAAGATGGAAGCTCTGGGGTGAAAAGTGACAGGGAGAGGGGCTGGAGGAGTCTGAGAGGTGCCGTGTGTAGGAAGAAACACTCACTGCTGTAGGAATGTAGATGAAGAGGGAGTAGCCGTACACACACACGATCTCCAGGAAGGAATAGGAGACGATGTTCATCACTTTGTTGTTCCTCCACATCAAGAAGCCCCAGAGGCCAAGGGGAATGAGCCAGGCGTAGATATAGATGGCTGTGGCCGCTATAGAGACTAACAGCAAACACAGTGGCTGATTACATAGAATCACCTACAATATACAGTACAGAAACAGGCCATTTGGCCCAAATGGTCTATGCCGGTGTTTATGCTCCACATGAGCTGCCTCCTGCCCTTCCTCAACTAAGCCTGTGTTAGAATTTACACTTTTTGTATAATGTTAGAATCATAATAGATGTTGCGAACGGGTTAACTTTTAAGTTAAGTGTGGGGGGCAACTGGACTGACACTCATGATTAACACTCAAGAGCAACAAAAGGCAACCCTCAAGAATAGCAGCTAACGAGCAAGTTGCTTAAACTAGAGGACCTTGGTACCATCCCGGGATACTGATAAGAAATAACCAATCACTTAAAAGGAAATGTACTCATGATCCCACCTAACAAAATAACAAGCATCAGATGACAGGGGTCTTAAGGACAATGTGTATGTACGCTGAGGCACGTACACCCCATGAGGTGTTCACGTGAACCCAGCATGATTTCGACCAGGTGATCTAATGTCCGCACCATGATTGGAGTATGAGATTGGTATAAGAGTTCCGATAACTTTGTGTACGGGGCCGTCCCGGGTCGCGGAGACAAGGGTACGGGAGATGGGGCCGTCCCGGGTCGCGGAGACAAGGGTACGGGAGATGGGGCCGTCCCGGGTCGCGGAGACAAGGATACGGGAGATGGAGCCGTCCCGGGTCGCGGAGACAAGGGTACGGGAGATGGAAGACCGAGAGCTAGAAACACTAAGACTGAGGATATCAGGATGTAAGATTGAACGCTGTAAGCAAGAAGACTGAAAGCATGAAGAATCAAACTTGTGTGCTGTAAAGACAGTGTTGAACTCGAGATATCTACGGTGGTATTGTTCTGTTATAAGATCTGTTGATTGTACCGGCCTTTGGTCTGACCCATCGGGATATTGAGGAATAACGAACAAATAATAATAAAACAGCCTGATATCTGGTTGCAAACGGATTATGGCTGATTTTATTTTCTAACACCTATCAGCATAACCTTCTATTCCTTTCTCCCTCATGTATATCTAGCTTCCCCTTAAATGCATCTATGCTACTCACCTCAACTACTACTTGTGGTAGCAAGTTCCACATTCCCACCACTCTCTGGGTAAAGAAGTTTCTTCTGACTTCCCTATTTGATTTATTTGTGACTATTTTATATTGATGGACCCTGGTTTTGGTCTCCACCACAAGTGAAAACGTCTTCTCTATGTCTACCCTGTGAAAACCTTTCATAATTTTAAAGACCTCTATTAGTCCACCCCTCACCCGTCTCTTTTCAAGAGAAGAGTCCAACTTTGTTCAGCCTTTCCTGATGAATATAACCTTGCAGTTCCGGTGATTAGCGCGGGGAAGCTTATCACTGGCAATGTAGCGCACTCCGGTACTGCAAGCTCAACAACCACAAATGATATTTACACAGCACCTTTCCCTTCGGGAGGGAGGGCATCCCAAGGCGCTGGACAGTTAGGGATTTGAACCTGAACTGGGGTCGGGATCAGAAGGGGTGGAGAGTGGGAGAAGGAGGGTGATCGAAGGCGTGGTTGAAGAGGATGGTCTTGAGACTTGTCTCAGCTCCCATCGCCGGGTTCATTGTTGTTGTTTAACCCCAAACTTTCTGACACCGAGGCGAGAACCTGACCCACCTGCTGCGGAAGCACCAAACCACCGAGCACTCGAGGCTGCGGTGACCCAGCTGGCAGCTGCGCTTACCCTTGTGGAATTCGGGGACGTAACGGTAGCCGGGCTGGCCGTGATGGGTCAGGAAGTTAGCCAGGTTCCCGCTGATAGCAATGGCGAAGACCAGAGTGGCACAGATCCAGAACGGGCCTGTTATAAACATAGTGCATTCTCATCTCATCCCTTTATAAACAGTAATAATCCTGCCACGTCATACAGCAACAACAACGTGCATTTATTTAGCGCCCTTCATGCGTGATTGTGTCCCGGAGGACCTACAGTACCAAATAATACAATAATAATAATCCTCGCATTTGATATACCGCCTTATCACATCATTGAGTCTCAAAGCGCTTCACAGAATATATTGTAAAATGAATTGACTGTATATTTTGTGGACGAAACGCCGCAGTTAATTGCGCACAACAGCGTCCCACAAATAGTCGTGGATTGAGCGACCAAATTAATAAGAATTTAAGAATTTGCTGGGAGAAAGAAGACCAAAGTCCATCTAGTTCGCCTTCCACCATCCTGGCAGTCGCTTGACAATGTCATGTCCAAACAATATACTGTATTCCGAGATGTTATTTTCTAGCAGAAATCTATTTAATTTGTTCTCGAAACAAATGATATTTTCTGCTTCTATTATTATTATTTTATTTTCTGGGAGTGGAAAAAGCCGAGAGAGACCCAGTCGGTTAGTTTAAAGCGATGCTTCCTTTCCCGCGCACGGCAGACATACCGTACAGATCAGGATTGCTCCGGATGTATAAACGCACAAAGTTTTTGCCGGGCAGTGGGAGCAGGGAACCTTTTATTCTGTCCAGCACCTGTCACACAATAAAACAATTATTCACTGGCTCACCCCCACCCGTCGCTCAAACTCTCATTGCGATGTTTGTTACACAGACAGCAATTCGCTCACTCGCCTCCTACCTGGTGAGTGTCCACATCGAAAAATGTCTGGTAATATTCAAACGTCCAGAAGGGGCGCTCTTCTTCTGCCCTGCCAGCAGCTGCAAGGAAAAGTGGCTGTGTTTAATACAGCGTCACACCAGCAGATCCCCATCCACCTCACACCTGCACCGAACCCCATACCCCCCTCACACCAGATCGCCACCATTGTGGAGTCCTGCAGCTCAGTGGTTGGAGCACTCGCTTTGCCAGCGAGAGACCTGGGTTCAATTCCAGGCAGAGGGCGGAAACCTTGGGCAAGTTTCCTTACTCCACACAGAGCCCTAATAATATTCCCTCCAAAACCAAAAACAATAATAAATTGGTCATTTTCAATCCACGACTGTTTGTGGGACATTGTTGTGCGCAATTGGCGGCCGCGTTCGCCCACAAATATACAGTCAATTCACTTTACGGTGTGTTCTGTGAAGCGCTTTGGGACGTCCTCCCGAAGTGAAAAGCGCTATATCAAATGCAAGGATTATTATTATTATTATTATTATCTAGCCAGGCTCCACTGGCTCCCTATCCCCAAACTGACTGATTTCAGTCCGCACACTCATTTTCAAATCCCTTCATGCCCTGGGCACCTCCCTACCTCTCCGACATGCTTACTCCCCAACCCACTACCCACTGCCTGCGCTTGGCTGGCTCAGGTCTCCTGCACGTCCCTCGTGGCCCTCCATTCCACCATCAGTGGGCGCTTTCAGCCACTACGCCCCCGAAAACTCTGAAACACTCTTCCTCTATCCCTCCACCTTGCCCCTTCCTTCCCCATCTTCAGGTCACATCTGGAGACGTTTCTCTTCGACCGTGCCTGCGGTCACCTCCTCCCTTCCCCTGGCGCTGCGTCGTGCTCCGCCTCTGGGACGCTGCCCTGCTTGATGGGTGCTGTGTAAATGCGAATTGTTGTCGTCGTGGTTGTTGGAACTTCACAGGAAACGACGTAAGTTTGACCCTGGACCTGGTTTAGTAACCAACCCGCTGGTGCCTTCGGCCAACAGACGGTTACCTCGGCTTTGTCGGAATCCTCGTTGCCGAGCAGATCGTCGTCCTCCGGGGACCCGGCCCCCCCGGGGCCACGCTGGTTTTTGGGCTTGTCCTGAGGATCCGCAATGCTGATCGTCATGGCGTCAGGGGTCGCGGCCAGCAGGTTCGTGGCGTCGTCAAACTCTGTAAAACCAACCGGACGTGAAGTTGGGGATGGCCCCAGCCACCCCCACCCACCGCTGTCTGGCCCCCAACCAAAAACCCCCCACCCAGCCCCTCGCCACCGCGCCCCCCCCACCCCCCAGCCCAGCCCCTACCACAGCCCGGCCCCCATTCCGCAACGACCCACAATCCACAGCCCATTCCCTATCCCCACCCCGACCCCCAGCTCAGCCCAACCCCCACCCCAACCTGAAAATTATTTTCCAGACACGATGGGGAGAGAGCAGCAGCGAATGGGGTTAGAGGAGAGAACTCCAGTGGGGGAGTGAGCACCAGCACAAACACGGGGTTAGGGTAGAGAGATCTGTACCTTGGAACTGCAAGTCATCTGCAGCCGCCATATTGGTCTGGTTGGAGACTCGAACTCGCCACAGGAAAGATCTGAGGAACAACAAATGGCGTGAATAAATAATAATCCTTGTGTATAAATATAGCGCCTTATCACGTCTTCGATGACGTCTCAAAGCGCTTCACAGGATATACTGTAAAGTGAATTGAGTTGTGGAGTCCTGTAGCTCAGTGGTTAGAGCACTCGCTTTGCCAGTGAGAGACCTGAGTTCAATTCCAGGCAGGGCGAAACCTTGGGCAAGTTTCCTTACTCCACACAGAGCCTAATAATAATCCCTCCAAAGCCAAAAACAATAATAAATTGGTCATTTTCAATCTACGACTGTTTGTGGGACATTGCTGTGCGCAATTGGCTGCCGCGTTCGCCCACAAACATACAGTCAATTCATTTTACAGTGTGTTGTGTGAAGCGCTTCGGGACGTCCTCCCGACGTGAAAAGCGCTATATCGAATGCGAGGATTGTTATCATTATTGCTGTATATTTTGTGGGCGAAGCGCGGCAGCCAATCGTCCCCGTTTACAAACCGTCGTGGATTGAGTGACCGGAAATGTTTGGTTGATGAGGAGATTATTACCCTCGGAAAAGAGGTTCCCCCAATCGACTAACAACCGGGTTTCACCGCTTACTGCTGTGCAACCAGAGGCGCGGAGTAAGGGAACTTGGGCTAAGAGTTTGTCCGGGAAAAAATAAAGCCCCCTCCGGGTGAGGAGGAGCCCGCGGCTCTCCGCGCGGTATGTCCTTCACGATTCGTTTCACATCATCGAAACAATGTCCCCTCAGGCGGATGGGCGGCCGCGTTTCGCCCACAAAATACACAGTCACTACACTTTACGGTATATCCCGTGAGGCGCTTTGAGGCGTCTCGCAGACGCGACATCAAACGCGCGGTTTATTATTAATATGAGACGTCCCCAAAGCACTTCACAGGGATTGCTGCGAAGTGGAGTGACTGTGAGCCTGACGCAGGCGGTTTGGCAGCGCTTCACCCCGGAAACCTCGGGGCCGGTACCGGGGGAGGGGGGGAGGTCGGTACCGGGGGGGGGGGGGTCGGTACCGGGGGGGTGGGGGAGGTCGGTACCGGGGGGGGGGGGGGAGGTCGGTACCGGGGGGGGGGGGAGGTCGGTACCGGGGGGGGGGGAGGTCGGTACCGGGGGGGGGGCGGTACCGGGGGGGGGGGGGGGTCGGTACGGGGGGTGGGGGGGGGGGGCCGGTACCGGGGGTGGGGGCCGGTACCGGGGGTGGGGGCCGGTACCGGGGGGTGGGGGCCGGTACCGGGGGGGGGGGGTGTGGGGGCCGGTACCGGGGGGGGGGGGTGTGGGGGCCGGTACGGGGGGGGGGGGTGTGGGGGCCGGTACCGGGGGGTGGGGCCGGTACCGGGGGGTGGGGGATGTGGGGGCCGGTACCGGGGGGGCCGGTACCGGGGTGGGGGGCCGGTACCGGGGGTGGGGGTCGGTACCGGGGAGGAGGATGAACTGCTCACCCGTCGCCTCCGCCGCCACTCGGAAGCCTGGGCCTAGTCAGGTGACATTAAAGGGGCGGGTGCCGATGCTGCGCTTTTATATCCGCCGACAGAAACTCCCGAGCGCCGGGACCTGACTGGGTACCGGCCCCGCCCCCCGCCCCCCGAGCCCCGCCCCCTGAACCCCGCGCCCCTCCCCCTGAACCCCGCGCCCCGCCCCCGAGCCCCGCCCCCGAGCCCCGCCCCCCCTAGCCCCGCCCCCGAGCCCCGCCGCCGCTGTGTTTCTGATCACTGCTGAAGTCGCTCCCGTTTGAGTGATTTGCTCCCACTGCGCGGAACCGGTCTCATGTGGTCTAAAGGCTTCACTGTACAGTGCGGCACTGACTGTATTTTGTGGGCGAAATGTGGCAGTCAATTGCGCCCCACAAACAGTGATGGCCCGAAGTGACCGAACTTATCATTGATTGGAAGGATTATTAACCACAGAAAACAACAACAAATGACATTTCTGTAACGCCTTTCGGGCGATCGGTCAATCGACTAACGACCGGGTTCCGACTCGCTGCCCGGTGACCGGGCGCGTGGAGTCAGGGAACGTGGTTAACGTTTGGCCCGGCCCGGGCATCGAACCCAGGTCCTCTCTCGCTTGGGACGTCCTCCTGACGTGAAAGGCGCTCTATAAATGGAATCTTGTTGTTGTTGTTGTTGTTGTGAGGCGAGTGCTCTAACCACTCGACGACAGGACTCCCACTGTTCCGCGTGTGTGCTTCAGGGGTCAAACGCTTTGAGACGCCCTCCCGCCCTGAAAGGGGTTGTATACCTGTATCTTACCTGTGTGTGTGTGTGTGTGTGTGTGTGTTTATCAGTGTGTATGTATGTATCGTAGTGTGAGTGCGTTTATCAGTGTGTGTGTATCATAGTATGTGTGTGTTTATCACAGTATTTGTTTATCAGTGTGTGTTTATGAATGTGTTTTTATCATAGTGTGTGTGTATCATAGTTTGTGTTTTATCACTGTGTGTGTGTGTGTGTGTGTACCAGTGCGTGCGTGCGAGTCTCTGACTGTTCAGTTGCAGGCTTCATCCGGTTAAACTTTGAGCTGTGGAAATGATGTTAATGTGTTTAGTTAGTGATAAGCACTAAGAGATAAACAGTTGCTGGTGGCTGAAGGCAGACAGAGGGGAGAGATGTGGCGACGAGTGGTAGTTTACATGCAGACGGTGCTGCTGTTGGTGTGTATTTGTGTGAGGGTGGCTGTGGGCCGGGTAATGCTCACCCTGTTCCCGGCTACCACGAGGAGGCTGGAGCTGAGAAACGGCCTGAAGACCACCATGACCCTGAACCCGCGGTTCCGCTTTGAGGACTGGGGCCCCAGTATGTTCAGTCTGAGCTCCCTGCGGGCAGTAACCACCAGCATCATCGCCAACAGCGGGGATCGAGCCTTCCCCGGCCAGCCAGCCCCCGACACTACCCTCATTGACCTGGACAACACAGCTCACACTATCCGCAGCTTCATCAGGGGTGAGTGCGGGGCAGCCCTCGGGCCTCAGGGTGATGATGGTGGTCAGCCCGCCAGTCTGTCTGTTTTCTGTGTGTCTGTCTATCTCTCTCTCTCTCTTGCGCCCACACAGCCTCTGTCTGTGTGTCTGTGTCTGTCTGTCTCTCTCTCACACACACACAGCCTCTACCTGTCTGTCTCCCATACACATACACAACCTGGAGGCGGTGGGTCCCAGGAGCAAGGCCCCATCTGTGCTCAACTTTGCTGGAGCTTCAGCCTGGACTGGAGACCTGAGAATACTCAACAAGTTTCGCCCACGATATCTAGAGTCGGTTCACTTTATAGTATATTCTGTAAAGCTCTTTGAGACGTCTCGAAGACGTGATAAGGCGTTATATTAAATGCAAGGATTATTATTATTAAGGGGCTGACGAGGTTACCGCTGTTGGTTTGCAGGGAGCCGGCCGCTGGTACTGAGTTTTGGCAGCTGTACCTGACCCCCGTTCCTCTTCAAGCTGGGCGACTTCAAGAAGCTGGCCGAGGACTTTGCCCAGGTCGCTGACTTCCTCATCATCTACATTGAGGAGGCGCATGCCACAGGTCAGCTATTACCTTCACCATGTTAACGGGGTGGCATTGGGCACGTAGCCAAGATCATCAGGCTCCAGGCCGGCTGGTGTCAGGAAGTACATTAGCCAGGAATCCTCCCCCACCCACCAGTCACTGTCCAGAGACCATTTACTGGCCATTGGGGTGGAGACAGGATCAGACAGAATATGATGGCCCAGTCACACAGCCTGAGACATGGCTGCTGGGTTCACACATATGGTAAGCGGGCAGTCACTCGAGCCTGGGGGGAATGTCCCGAATGGGGTGGTGGGGGGGTGGGATGCTGATCAGTAAACTGGCAGGGGTTTAAATTAGCAAAGGCTCAGTGCTGGAATCCTGTCTCTCACCCCGTGACTTTCCTGCAGATGGCTGGGCTTTCAAGAACAACGTGGAGATCAGACACCACCAGAGCCTGAGTGACCGCCTGAGCGCAGCCCGGCAGCTGCTGAGTGAGGGGCTGCCCTGCCCCTTGCTGGTGGACAACATGGACAATCAGGCCAGCGCTCTGTATGCAGCTCAGCCCGAGAGACTGTACATCATCCATAACGGTACCATCATCTACAAGGTACTGCCTGCACCCCCCCCCACCCCCAAATACCCTGCTATTCACCCCGCATCTGTGCACAACCCATATATCCCACACACCCTGCTATACTCCCTGCATCCGTGCACGCCCCATATATCCTGTATACCTCCCCGCATGCGCACGCTGTACTCCCCCCGCACACCCGTGCGCCCCATATCCCCCCCACCTCCCTGCACTCTGAATGCCCTCTGCGCCCACAAGTTAGCCAGTTGTCTGAGTGAGACCGGGTGACCTGCTGTTATACATGGTTAACATTACAACAACAAGATTACATTTGTATAGCACCTTTCACGTCGGGAGGACGTCCCAAGGCGCTGGACAGTGTACAGCGTTTCAGATCTAGCTTGGAGGATTGCCATTGCCAGCCACACTATGTAACTGTGTATATATCCCGCTATACGCGGAACACAATGTGCTGTGATCCCTGATGTGTGGTCATGTTTTGCAGAGTGGATTGGGTCCCTGGGGGTACAAGCCAGAGGAAGTACGTGGGGTTCTACACACACTAGAGTAAATCACTGAACTGTTGCCAGCGAGAGACAGAGACACAGACCAGCCTCGTTAACAGCAGCAAACCTGAAAACCTTTACCAAAGGAACTCTCTCCCTTATTCAGAATGATTTTCTCAGCCTTAAACGCTGTGGCTGGGAGCTGATGTGTTGAATACGGAGAAACAGCTCTTTTGTTCTTGGTTAGTTTCTGGATCAGGAGTGATCGAACACTCAACATCCTTTATCTGATTTCTTACTTCACATTATGTATTCTCTGCCATTGTATCTGCTGTTCTGTTTATGGTGACCCTTTCCTGGGAAATGCTGTGTAACGTGTGGAGGGATGGCCTGGGAATCACACATGCATTATCTTAGTCACTCCCTGGGGTGTCAGTGTCTGTGTAAGATTATGTTTGTGATGCATTTTTTTTTAAAAAAGGCTTTTAATTAATTTCTGTATACTTTTAGAATGTAACCTGCCCATAATCCTTTAATAAAGTGGATTTGATGTGGTGTGGCAGGGTGTGTGGATTTGATTTAATGACTAGTTTAGCAGGGCTTAAAAATAGCTTTGCTGGACCAGTCGAGGTTAGCTTCTGATTATATTTCATATTTTCCTGGGAAGATGTTCACTCCTCTGAGATAATTAGCAATCAGATCCTTAAGCGCAGAACAATGGACCTCAGAAAGAAAAGGCTACAACCTCAGAAACCTGCCTAACCCAAGGCTGAAAAACACACAGGCTGGAGAAGGCTGCCAACACAACATTACTCAGCTCTCTTTCTCCCTATCAGTTTTTTTCCCATAGGAAAAGAGCCCTCACAAGGTTGCTAGAAGCTTGTAAAAGGGTGGGGGCTTCATTCACTGTGACAAAGGGAGGCAGGGTTAGAAACTCATAAAAGAAAGATGTAACTATGGAATAGGTGAAGTCAAACTAGAGGGTCAGCACTTCTTCCCAGTGGGACCGGAAAATATCGATTTTAGTGTATCTATTGCTTTAGTTTGAGTTTGTGTGATTTACTTAATAAACTTTGGATTATTACACAACCATATTTGTCATCTCCAACTGAATCTCTTACATCTGTTCTTGCACTGGATGGGGTGTAATAAACATTTTTATATATATATACAATATACATTTATACAGTGCTTCTTTCCTCTGCATGCCTATGGAGTCCTGTAGCTCAGTGGTTAGAGCACTCGCTTTGCAAGTGAGAGACCTGAGTTCAATTCCAGGCAGAGGGCGAAACCTTGGGCAAGTTTCCTTACTCCACACAGAGCCTAATAATAATCCCTCCAAAACCCCAAACAATAATAAATTGGTCATTTTCAATCTACGACTGTTTGTGGGACATTGCTGTGCGCAATTGGCTGCCGCGTTCGCCCACAAATATACAGTCAATTCACTTTACAGTGTGTTCTGTGAAGCGCTTTGGGACGTCCTTCTGACGTGAAAAGCGCTATATCAAATGCAAGGATTATTATTATTATTATTTACCTAGCAGTAAGTAGAAACCCGGTTGTTAAGTCGATTCACGGATCGCTTTCTGGGGTAATAATCCATCCCCCCAATAAATAATAACAACTTGGGTCACTCAATCCACAACTGTGTGTGGGACACTGCTGTGTGCAATTGGCTGTCGTGTTTTGCCCACAAAATACACGGTCGATCCACTTTACAGTATATCCTGTGAAGTGCTTTGAAACATCTCGAAGACGAGGGTTTGGGGTTGAGCGTATGGGTCCGCACTGCAACGATTATATCAAATATCAAATGCAATGATTATTACAATCACAAAGGGCAACTCCTGCTTCACGTCAACCACATGTACTGCACTCCAGGAGCATGCCACGTTGGTGTTCCCGTGTGGTTAACGTGACACACCACCAGCAACAGCTATATGTGGCTCTGGTGTGAACGTTTAGACCCCAGGGCAGCTAACTTGGTTATGACGGTTCCATGTGAAACCTACAGAGGATGTGATATAGTCAGGAAAGGATTAAGCATTGGCTTTGATCGGCTGATAATGTAAACCATGCATTCCATTTGCTATGTATACAAAGACTGCATCACCCACCCAATCCCTGAATGGTATAGTTTATTTTAAAGTGGCTGTTTGAAGCCCTTTGTGCCTTCAAAACACTATAGTGGCTGTTTGCAATGGAGGTATTTGCACACTGCTAAATTTCTTGCTCTTATGAATGAAGAACATCATGTGTTAGCGAAAGCTGATTTATTCACACACTGAACAATATTTGTACACATTGCTGTAAACTATTTACACTCACAGCCTCGCCCAGCCCATGTGGTATGGTTTAATCATTGGCTGCCTCGCCCTCCACAGACACCTTGTGCACAGATACAAAGTGGTCGAATCCCGAGTGGATGACGAAGCGCAGGTGCCTGGCGCTGGCCTCCCTCTGCTGTGGAACCAAACGCCAAAGTTTAAAAACTGACCTGCAGCAAAACCCACAGACACAGTGCAGACCCCCATGCTCAACCCCAACCCCCAGCATCAGGATTTGTGGGTTTGAGTCCCGCACCAGGACTAGACCTCCCAGCCTGTCCCACGCCCCAGGGCAGGCCAGCACTGGGCCTTGTCCTGATGTTTGGTTCAGTGGCTTTGCCCTGAGGGCAGCGACAAACCATTCAAGCCCATCACAGCTTAACGTAGTAACAATAAATCACTTACTTCAAACTCCTGGACTTGAAGTTGATCTTCACTCCGCAAAAGCTCTGCAAAGGGAGGAGAGCAGAACCTGGTCACCCAATCCACAACTGTTTGTGGGACACTGCTATGTGCAATTGGCTGCCACGTTTTGTCCACAAAATACAGTCATTTTACAGTATATTCTGTGAAGTGCTTTGAGACTTCTCAGCAATAATATTATGTGATAAGGCACTATATCAAATGCAAGGATTATTGTTATAATGTGAGCCAGGACAAAGCGAGTCTCCCCACAGTAACCCTCACCTTCTCAACACACTCACCCTTCTCACACAGCAGCTCAAAGTCAACGGGGTCCTTGGCCAGGCTTGTCTCTATGCTGAGTCCGCACACTGTAAAAGAGGAGGCATGAAGGCTCTGGTGTCAGTGCAGGCCATAGCAACTTACACCAATATCACATCGTACCCGCGAGCATGAAAGCTGATCTGCCAAAAATTCTAATGACATCTCCCTAGAATATTGTCTTTGAGTCAGGACTATCCTGTAATAATCCTCACTCTCTGATATATCTGAAGGAAATTTCTTGGGTGAGGGAGTAACACAGAAAAACAGTGTGGGTTCCAATTGTCCTGATCACACAATGCATTTCCTGCCTGGTTTTCACCTTCCTTCAACAACAACTTGCATCTATATAGCGCCCCTCGCGCAGGGTATCGTTCCAGAATGCTTGACAGTGCTGGAGCCCCCAATGTGTGAGGCCAGACAGACAGCGTATCTAACCGCTGGACCAATGGATACTGATCCCACCCCATGTTACGTACCTTCCAGCAGGAGTTTTCTGACCTGAGAGCACGAGTTGGATCCTGACTGATATTATCTGTCCCTATTCCCAGGCACCAAGGCCAATCAATATAGCACTGACTCCTCCTCCCGACTGAGATGAACTCAGGACAAAGAGGGAATGAAATCTACCACTTTCTTATGCTACTTGGCTCAACTGGTCACTGAATAATCTCTTCTCTCTTGCGCCTTGTTTAATTACCTTAGAACACGTTTAATAGAGTTTTCGAGTTAGATGTTTCAAAGCGCTTCACAGGATTCTGTAAACTGTAGTGACTGTGTGTTTTGAAGGCACAAATGGATTCAAATGGCCCCAGTGTCTGATTTGCAATGGAGGGATTTGCACTCTGCTAAATCTCTCAGCTCGATTGCCAAGCCAACATTATTCAGCACTTTGAGACATCCACGACACATGAAAGATGCTGAATGAATATAAATCATATTGTAACTGTAAGTATAACTCCAAGCATAACTATAATTACTCAGATGGTACCCACTGAGTGAGATCAACAAGAAGTAAATTACATTTGTATAGGGCCTTTCACGTTCGGGAGGACATCCCAAGGTGCTGGATAATTAGTGTTTCTGACCCGAGCCGGGGTTTGAGATCGGGGAGTTTGGAGGGGAAGGAGGGTGATCGGAGGCATGGCCGAAGAGGAGGGTCTTGAGATAGCTCTTGAAGGAGGCAAGGGAGGGGGCAAGGCGGGGGGATCTGTGGGATGGAGTTCCAGAGGGTGGGGGCAGAGTGTCTGAAGACCCAGTGTTAAACACAGGAAAGGCCCAGCAATTACCGTTGAAACAGTGGATTTTCACGTTGTTAATCTGTACGAGATCGGGAAAACTGATGACAAACTCCTGGGGGAACATTCCTGTCGTCATCCAGAAGGTTTCGGTGTTTCTGCAAACAGGAAACGTGGAACATGAGAAACTCCAGAGTCTCTCCTCTCCGTCCTCCACATAATCCCAGCATTTGATGCAGCGGCTAAAAAAATAAACCCAACATTCCAAAGCGAATTTGCACACTCAATCCACGACTGTTTGTGGGACACCGCTGTGCGCAATTGCTTGTTGCGTTTCGCCCCCAAAATACACAGTCAAATTCACTTTAAAGCGCTTTGCGACGCCTCAAAGACATGATCAGGCGCGATATCAAATGCAAGGATTATTATTATTATCATTATAAGCACTTCCCAGGATGCACTGTAAAGTGTGGTGACTGTGTGTTTTGTGGACGAACCCGTCAGGCGATTTGGGGCCTCAGCCCCGACTGTGAACTCGCAGCTCTCCCCCCCCTCCCCCCCCCCCGGCCCGGGGGAGTGGTGGGGGTATGAGGCCGAGTTCGAGGCTGAGGCCCGGGAGGAGGGAATGATAAGCTGTGTCGCTGCTCCTGTGGTCGGCGTTCGGGGTTCGGCGATCCCGGGGCTGCGAGGAGGTGAGGCCGGGGCTCGGGGCCTACCCGTCCAGGATGCCCTCGGGCGGAAATCGCTCGTCCCCGGAGGCCGCGAGCAGCAGCTGAGCCCCAGCGCCGACATCCCGCCGCCCCATGGCCGCCCGTCCGCCCGCCCGTCGCCCGGGCAACCAGCGGGGCGCCGGAACCGGAAACGGCGCGTCACCCTGGCAACCGACGCCGGAAACTGGGCCTGAGCTCCGCCTTGAAGCCTCCACGGCCTCTTCTGGCGCCGCCGCGGGGCCCGTGAGGTACTGACGCGGTGAGTGTGTGCGGCAGCGGCGAGTTTAACGACGGCCCTCTCACACGTTGGCGAAAGAGCCCGAGGCGCTTCCCAGCATTCCCCTGCACGGTGTAGTGACTGTACGTTTTGCGGGCGAAACGCGGCAGCCAATTGCGCTCGGCAGCGTCCCCGCAAACAGCCGTGGATTGAGTGACCCCCCCCCCCCATTAGTATTTTTGGAGGGATTATTATTAATAACGCTCAGCCTTCCAATTCGTGAGGGCGCCTTTCGCCCTGCGAGGGCGTTCCAAAGCATTTCCCAGGATTTTCTGTTAAAAGTGTAGTGACTGTGTTTTGTAGTCGCAAAGCGAGCGAGGGATTGTATGTGGGGATTGTCGGCCAGGACCCGGGAAAGAGAGAGAGAGAGAGAGAGAGAAACTGGCTTCTCTTTTCCCCGCTGTTGGTGCCGCTCGCAGGAGCTTTACCGTCCGCCTGAACAGGGCACGGACTCCCCGGGGAGTGAAGTTTAACGGCTCATCTGAAGGACGGCGTCTCTGGCACTTCCGTGACTCAAATAATAATAATAATAATAATCCTTGCATTTGATATAGCGCTTTTCCCGTCGGGAGGACGTCCCAAAGCGCTTCGCAGAACACACTGTAAAGTGAATCGACTGTATATTTGTGGGTGAACGCGGCAGCCAATTGCGCACAGCAATGTCCCACAAATTTGAATGTTTATTCAAAGCGCTTGAATAAACATCTGATCCCTGACGCTCTGCACATATCTCAGCTCACTTCATTTTCCTTTCCTGCAGGTAGATTCGGAGGCTGTTTTCCTATGGCTGCCGCAGGCCATGTGGACCCTGCCCTCGAGTTGGGACCTGTGTACGTGAGGGAATCGGGCCGGTTGTACTTGGCTAACGGTGCCGGGGACCGGAGACCGAGCTCAGGGCGGCCCCGGTCAATGCGGCTGGTTCCCCGGGGAAGTGGCTCAGTGAGGCTGTGCCTCGAGGACGGAGAGAAGCCAGAGGGTTCTTGCCGGACGGACCACTTGGTGTTTACCTACACAGAGGCTGGGAGCCTTCGCTATTCCCCTCGGCCACTCTTTCAGCTGCTGCTGCGGTTCATTGCCGCTCACGTGCAACATGTGGAGTCCCTGGTGGGGTTCCCGGAGCAGATCGCAGAGAGGCTCTTCATTCAGTTAGAGGCCTCAAAGACCTTCTTGGCTCCTGGGGTCAGTGTCCAAGCTCTGAGGATATTCAGCGAGGCCTACGGCAGCCTGGTGCTGCGCTCTTTGTGCCTGAGAGACAGGTGAGGGCTCTGCTCCCTGCAGCTCCCCCAGGCTGGGGTCATCTCCTGCAAGATACAGCCCTGTATCATACTAATCACATACCTACCTACCTCTGTGGCCTGTTAACTCCATACTGACTTGTCCACACTCTCCACTCAACAGGCTCTGGCCCCGCTCTTTGGAACTCCATCCCACAGTCCGTTCACCTCTCTCCCTCCCTTGCCTCCTTCAAGACCCTGCTCTTCGACTGCACTTTCGGCCACTCTCCCCGATCCCGACCCCAAGATTAGGTGCAAATCCGTAACTGTCCAGCGTTTTGGGACATCTTCCCGACAAGAAAGCCACTGGGTAAAATGTAATTTGTTGTTGTGTGAGTGACTGAGCCTCTGTATGTGTGTATGGATGACTGGGCCTGCGTCTGTTGATCTCCACAGGCCTCAGGTTGTGTGCGGAAGGCTGGAGGAGTTGAAGGTTCTCCGGGGTCTGACCCACCTGGACGTGTCGGGGTGTGGGCTGGGGGACGGACATGAGCTGCTCAAGCTCCTGACCAGCGAAGCGCTGTCCAGGTGAAACTCCTAATCAGCTTCACCCAAACAACTTGTTCACTTCTGCACCTCTCCCTGTCCATTCCTCCCCACTTTCCCTGCCCAATCTCCCCCCTCCCTCCCTGTCCATTTCCCCCACCTCCCTTCCTGTGCATTCCCCTCTCTCTCTCCCAATCCATTCTGATTCCCGTCTGTGTCCTGGGATCTCCTGGGTGTTGGGTTCGGAGATGAAGTGGTTACAGGTGTGATCTCACACAGTGCCTCCTCTTCCCCCCCACACAGCCTGACCTGCCTTCACCTGCGAGGTAACGGGCTGTCTGACCGGGGGCTGCGGGCGATGACGGCACCAGCCAGAGTGCTGCGGAGAGGCCTAAGGCAGCTGGCAGTGCTGGGCCTGGCCGGTGGGTTTGATCTCGGCAGCGCCTGTAGTGACACTAATACTGCATATTGTCACACCAAACACCGCCTGTCGTCACACCAGACGCCACCTGTAGCCACACCGACACTGCCTGTAGCCACACCGACTAGTCACATCTACACCACCTGTAGTCACACCAACTGTAGCCACACCGACTGTAGTCACACTGATATCGCCTGTAGTTGCACCGCCTGTAGTCACACCGACACCGTCTGTGGTCACACCACCTGTGGTCGCACCGAGCACTGGCCAGCGTTGTGTCCTTATCTTTCACTCTGGTTTCCTATATGTTGTTTGCTGCCACCAGGAAACCCCGATATCAGTGAACGAGGGGTCTGCTTCCTGCGCTGCCTCCCCAGCCTCCGCGCCCTGGACATGTCGGGTTGCGGTGTGACGGTGAGGACGGACTCGGGGGAACAGGTCACAGTGCTGCACACTAACAGGGTCCAATGTCAAGCTGGGGCAAGGAGAGGGGCAAGAGGGGCTGATGGAGCAAGAGAGCTGTTCGGGGGTGGAAGTAGGGGCGGGGTGCTGCTGTCACATTGATGGTGTAATCTCTGCCCTGTTGAGGGGTACTGAGCTGGTATGTTGACGTGTTTTGCTGCTCTGCTCCAGGATGTGAGGTCGCTGACCAGGACGGTTTGGAAGAAGCTATGGCTGCAACCGGTGGTGGAGGCTCTGGGGGAGTTTGAGCACGAGCTGTGTAGCACGCAGGGCTGGGCAGAGCAGGTAACCCTACAGGGAATCTCTCCTCCACTAGACTCTCCTATGCGCTGTGAGCCCAGCAGGAATTCACCTGCCCCAATCCCACCCTCCCCAACCCCCACACACAAACCTGGGGGAAAACGTGTCACTGAACAGTGATCAGCCATGGGAACTCTGGCTAATGACAGAGGTCACACTGACCGCTTTGTGGCTGAGATCAGTTATTCAGAACACAGCCTGTCAGACTGACTCATTGCTGCATTTACACTCTCAGCTACTGAGAAGGCAGCCGATCCTTAATATTCTCCATATCATATGCAATGGAAACTCTCTCTCGCTCACACTTGCTCTCACTCTCTCGTTCTCAGTCATTCTTTCTCTCTCTCACTCACTCTCCATCACACTCGCGCTCTCACATTTTCTCACTGTTACAGGTGGTGCTGCAGTGGGAACATAACGCCTCCATGTCTCAGCCTCACACTGAGCCCAGCGCAGCAGCTCGCAGGTTCTGTAAGTAGCTGTGTGAGAGTGCTTTACTGCGTGTCTGTGTGAGGGCTTTATTGTGTTTCCTGCGTGATCGATTGTGAGATCTCGACATCTACGACCTCCAGCCACAGTCACACAGGCTGCCCACGGAACTGATCTGCTCTCGGCTCCCTCGCTGCGGCCCCACATTAACCGTCACTTCACACACAGCTCTCAGTAGCTGCTGCTCTGGGTCCGACATTATGGGCATGACCTGACCTGTGGTACTGTTGTCCACAGACGGAGCTCGGGCAGTGACCGAGGCTGAGAGGCCGGAGACGGGCCAGGTGCCGGCTAGACTGCAGTTTCAGCGGCCGACACGGGGCAGCAAGCACACGGGACTGAGCACAGCACGGCTGGGTTAACGCCAGGGGTCCAGTCGGTACCGGGGACTGTGCGCGCCCCTCCTCCCAAACGCAGAGTAACGGAGCTCAGTGAGCTCTCCCCCCAGGACAGGGAGCTGCTCAATAGTTACTGAGTGAATGTGACACCCTTCCTCTCCCACAGATACTACTACGGGACATGACTACACACTCCTACCCCACAATGGGGGAGGAGATAGTTTGTGTAAAGGTCCACACTCTGGTTAATATGGAACCCAGTTGTTAGTCGATTGGCAGATCGCTTTTCCGGAGGTAATAAACCCTCCAAAAAAAATGAATAATAATAATTTGGTCACTCGCTCCAGGACTGTTTGGGGGACACTGTGGGCGCAATTGGCTGCTGGTTTTCGCCCACAAATGTAAAGTCAATTCACTTTACAGTATATTCTGTGAAGCACTTTAAGACATTTTGAAGTTGTGATAAGGTGCTGTATCAAATGTAAGGATTATTCTTCTTAATATCTTCAAACCATCTTCACCCTTCGAGTGGGATGAAGTCGGGCCGGCCTGAGGCCTGGCAGTAGTTTGAGGGATTTTATTCCTCTTTCCTGAAGGAATGTTGTGGCTAGCTTCTGTCTGTATCGACTTACAGATTTTACAGTTTTTATTTCTGAATAAATTGATTGACAATGAACAAAAAAAAAAGCTGTGGACGGTTCTTGGGCTAAGAGTAAGGGCATCCCCGATCCTAGCACAGTTTCCAATATTTTTCTGATGTAATTGTGACACTCACCAAATACACACTCAGCAACACACACACACTCAGCAACGTATGCGCATTCCTAAACCGCCCAACTTCACCATGAACTGACACCGTGGGATCCGGTTTAACCTTGAACACAGACGGGTTCCAAGCAGCATTTCCAAACCTTCAGTGTTTGAAGTCGACTAATTTTATCCAGGGGATTGTCGGCCATGAGACGGAGAGAGAGAGAGAGAGAGAAACTCCCTTCTCTTTTCCAATTGCACCGCAGGATCTTTAATGTTCGATGTGGGATTGAGCACAGAGGTTCCAAGCTTCAAACTCCACACAATACACAGTCTGTGAAGCCATTTTACTGTAAGGTTTCAGGTCTGTGATGTGTCACGATGTCTCTTGACTGTCTTCCTGCAGTGGACAGTTCCTGGCGTGGCCTATGCCTGGCAGATGTACTCATCTGACCAGTCGGTACAGTGTTGTATGCCATCCTGGCACAGCGCCCTGGGCACACAGCCACAGAATTGATAGAACACAGACTGACAGCTCCACTGCTGGGGCCCACAGCCACCACACTCTGACACTGAGAATATTAAACAAATACTAATCAAAATGAACCATTGTTCTGCGCAATCGGTGGCCATGTTTCGCCAATAAAATACAGGTTATTACACTTTACAGTATATTCTGTGAAGTGCTTTGAGAAGTCCCGAAGACGTGATAAGGTGCCATGTACTATCAAATGTAAGGATTATTATTACAATTCAACCGTGAATATTTATCTTTTTTAATCCGGTTATGGACCAGAGCAATTTGATACTCACAGGGGAAACTTTCGTCCGAGCAGTCTCCGCAGTTGTTGAAGCCGTCGCACACTTTGTCGGCGTAAATCCAGGAGACGGCATCTCCGCACAAGAACAGCAGGTGGACTGGGAGCGAGTGCGGCAAGTTACCTGGGGGCACAGAGCGTGGGGTGGCGGGGGGATGGAGGGGGAAGAGAGCGGTGGGGGGAGGAGAGGGAGGGCCAGAAAGAGAGGGGTCAGGAGTCACGTGGGAAAGACAATGAGACACTAAAGTAAGATTGTTAATCTTTGGAAGGTTTTCCTACCGCACAGTGCAGGGTCCTCATCCTCTCCGGTTACACAGCCTCTCGCTCGGTCACACACCTGGGACGGCTGCAGGCAAGTCACTCTGTCATCACACAGGAAGCCGGACGTGTTGCTGACAGTTGCACAGAATCTTTGTGCTGGAAAAATACATGGCAAGTGTGTGGTTTTCCCCCAACAAAATGTAGTTTTAATAATAAATAAATAATACTTGCATTTGATATAGCGTCTTATCACATCATCGAGATGTCTCAAAGCGCTTCACAGGATATAATGTAAAGTGTAGTGACTATGTTTTCGTTGGCGAAAACTCTCTCGGTCCTACACAAACAGCCCTTTTGTTCTTCATCACCAAATGATCTGGAGTCTGCCTGTAGCAGGCGTTGACCTGGAGTCTGCTTGTTATTTTTATGAGGTCAGGATAGCAAGGGATATGGGGCAAAGATGGGTAATTGGCATCAAGATACAGATCAGCCATGATCTTATAGAATGGCGGAACAGGCTGAAGGAGCTGAATGGTCTACACCTGTTCCTATGATCTGGAGTCTGCCTGTCATGGGCTGACCTACAGTCAGTCTATCGGGCTGAGCTGCCTGTAGCGGGCTGACCTGCGGTGGGCAGTGGGATGCCGAAGAGAATTCCACAAACAACAGCAGCCCCGAGTAATCCCAGCAACAACAGCACCAGCCCAGTGATACTCCAACACAGCCGCGAACAGCCTCCACCCCAGCCCCGACCTCCTGTGGGAAACACACATACACGTTAAATCCACACATGCACACGGGCGCGGATACACACACGAGCGCAGATCCACATACTCGCGCCCCCACGGATCCACATGCACACAGCCAATGTGAGTGACAGGAAACGAAAGACAAAATACTACAGATGCTGGAAATCTGAAATAAAAACAGAAGTCACTGGGAACATTCAGCAGGTCAGACAGCATCTATGGAGAGAGGAAAGTGGGTTAATGTTTCAGGTCGTTGACCACAGGTGGGTGTGTCAAGTCGATGACCTGAAACACTAATCCACATTCCTCTCTCCATGGATGCTGCCTAACCTGCTAAGTATTCCCAGCCGCTTCTGTTTTTATTAGCAAAGCAGCCCAGGTCCCCAGCGTTAGGGTGTGCGCATCATTCAGCCCCTGTACCTTTCTCCCGGAAAGCCATGGACCCCGATGACCCCAAAGACATGCCATCAAAGCTCCTTTGCTGGTTAAAGAGAGGACAAGGAGTTCAGTAAAGCCCGTTTAGATCCGAAATTCTGGCTGATACTAACATCAGGCCCTGTACTGACCGCAGTGCTGAGCTCCGGGACGGTCTGGTTCCATTTCATCTTCCTCCTGCAGGCTGCGATCCTGAGATTCTGTCTCCTGGTTACCAACGACAAACAAACCATCCCACCTTTCTCCCTAACCTGGGTTCAACGTTTTATTAGTAACTAAGAGACTGAGGTTACAGACTATATATAGCCCCACAGCTCCCACCCCACCCACGCACCACACAGCAACGCCCCCCCCCCCCCCTTACACACAGACAAACATACACACAGACACACATAGGCTAAGCTATTGAAATGGTTTATTATAAACTCCCAAGAGGATTAACTTTTCACTGCAAATCAGATGCCCAGAACTGCAGGCTTCTCCTTACTGCGATTTACAACTAATGTTTATGTCTCTCCCCCCTCCCTTTCCTCATGGCGTCAAAACCACAGCTCCATTCCCTGCCTTGCACCTCAGCACCTGAGGCCTCGGGGACTGGAAGGAATCAGAAGCTGTTTTACACAACAAACCGTCAATTCAGTGTTTCAGAGTGCGTGTGTGTGTGTGTGTGCATGTAGGCAAAGTTCCACTGTCACTTTGTGTTGTCCAGCAAGTGTCTTGCACACAGAAGACACAGGCCTGTGAACCAGCGATATATCTACAGCATTGACATGGTGTGAGCAGAATCTCCCTTCTCTTTCCAATCTGTGCTATTGTGTTATTTCTAGAATTACTTTGTTGGACCAACTTTTCTCCCTCTCTCCCTCACTCACCCATCGGGTTTTCCCAAAGCAACATCGGTGCTGCTTTACTGTACTCTCCCACTGTACCGAGGGAGAGCAGGCGCTTGGTGCTAAACCAAAGCCAGCAGTGGCCACCTTCACTTACTGTGGGCAGCTTGGCAGGGCTGACACCAGCCCGACAGTGAGCATCGATGAGATTAAATAGGCTGAAGGGACTTCATCTGAAAAAAACTATCTTGTGATCAATCTTCGCTCAGCCCCGGAGTGCTGGCTTTGCTATATAACTGAAAGTTGTTGTTGAGAGCAAATTAATTTTGCTGTGTGCTTGTAGTGACAGAGAGCAAACTGGATCACCACAAATACAGCTTTGGTGAAGAATTTATATGAGGTAAATAGGTTAGTTAATAATTATTATTATTGTAGATGTGCAAGATGGCAGGAGCCAGGCGGCGGGGAGAGAGTTTTACAGGAGTGTATCAGGTAGGGGGTGAAGAGGAGGCTAACATGTCTGAGAGACGAGTGAACAGCCATAATAATAATTCTTACATTTGACGCAGCGCCTTATCATGTCGTCGAGATGTCTCAAAGCGCTTCAAAGTTCTGGGTCCTCTTGCTTGCGAGGCGAGCACACTAACCACAATGCTACAGGACTCCACTTTAACCCTGAAAACTGACTTAATGAAAGCCATCCAGAAACCAAAACTAGGTCAAGGCCAGTGGGTTCATCAGCAATGGACAAATTGAGATTAACAGCAAATTCCACTCCCCATCAACTGAGATACACAAGAACAACTTGTTCGTACTTGGCCAAGGACCAGGTGACCCATTAATGAAACAGGCTTCTGTTCCTGTTCTATGTTCCTAATATAGAATAAACACATTTCACAACATTTGATAAAAGGTGATCAAACCCACATTTATTTTATTCCTTCAGCGAGAAAAAAAAAACACCCTCTTGGTCCACAAACCAAACCCACATCAGAAATCTTATACTAAGATCGAGAACAACACCGGACACAAGCAGCAGGCGGGAGAGGGCGACTGTACTGAGGGTGACAGTACTGTACATTGTCGTAGCACTGAAATAAACTCTTTAATGAGAGGAGAGACCTGCCGAAAAACAGGAGCTAGAGAGAGAGAGGCATTAATAAAAGGATCAGGACATTGTTTAAACCAACAGCCACATTGGGCTCTGCTTTTAGTGATGAGCTGCAGTTAACGTGGTTACACAGAGGATTGGTGCGCACGCACACATACCTACGTGTCCCCCAGTGAGACAGCACACAGGACATGTCAGAAACACCCACCACAGCGCTGACGGACACTGGTCAATAAAAGCCAGGAAATAAACTGGGGGAAAAAAAAAGTACTTCTTCTCAAATCTACTGTGGCGGTGGGAGATAAATGTGTCTCACGTCACGGGGTTCACAAAAAGGAAGAGCGAGAGCAACTGGTATAGCCAACTGTCTCCAGTTAATGATGATGTGGAGAATGTGCTGCTCAGGGAGAGGGAGAGCCAGACAGCCAGCTTCCTTTCCAGCCCAGACGAGCGACAAACAAGACACATCTAGAAGTTCAACTTAAAAATTATTTCCATTCCCCTATTTATACCCTGCACACAACAAAAATAAACCACAGGATTCTTGCAGGTTTGAAACTTTACCTCACCCGGATATTTGGCAAAACTATTAGTTAAGTTCAAAAATGCATCAAGTTCCGAGGTGAGGAGCCTTTACACAGGCGAGTGGCTCAGGCTGACTTTGGGGGGTAATGGCCCGGCCTCGTCTGAGGATTTGATGACAATTAGAGACGATGCTGGGTAGGGAGCAAGTTTCAGGTCGTTCATAAACTCCAGATCCCCGTAGATACTCAGCTTCTGCAACACAACAGTGTCAATGATCAAACTATTAAACAATTTAATATAACAAGTCTGATACCAATACAGCTGATGACTGAATAAGTGCTGGAAACAGGATATGAAACAACAGCTAGTGGTTAGCAATAATGTGTGGATGCCCAGTTACAGCAAGGAGAGGAGCTCAGAGCTGCGAGGGGGTTCAGCACAGGGCAGACAGGCAATGCCGGGGCCGAATGTACAGTTGTGAGGATGTCGTTTGTGCAACTTCCCCTCTGCCTGGCTCAGAGTCAGGCTCCAAGAAGCCGCATAGCCTGACGGCCACTGCGCAAGTGCAAGTTGTTGTTTGCACTGATAGGAGGTGGGGGGCAGGGTCTGCGGCGACGGGGTCTGCGGCGACGGGAGGCGGGGTCTGTGGCGACGGGAGGCGGGGCGGTTGAGGTTTGTGGTGATGGTCATGGCAGTTAGCTCACCTCAGCCGGGACATGCTGCTCCACAGCGGTGGCAGCGGTAGCACAGCAGATCCAGAGCAGCACCAGCACCGAGAGCACCAGCATGGTGGTCAGGATCCAGCGTGGAATCCCGGCGTTCCTGAAACAGCCATCGCAGCTCCTTACACCAGCTACCGTAACTAGCCATAACTCCTTACACCAGCCACCGTAACTAACCATAACTCTTTACACCAGCCACTATAACCATATAGCTGTTTGTCAGATCAGGGTATCAAGGAATATGGAGCAAAGGCCGGTAATTGGAGTTAAGGTACAGATCAGCCATGATCTTATAGCATGGCAGAACAGGCTCAAGGGGCTGAATGGCCTCTTTCTGTTTCTAAGCTCCCTCTCCTCGTCAATCCTCGCTCCCCCACCCCTCCACCCCCGATACCACACACTCAAACATGTTGTCACTCAGCGGCACCGAGGGTAAACAGTGGAGACAGATACAATCCCTGCTCACAACTACTTCTGGCTGCAATGGGTCAGGGAGAACAGGACATTTACCTGGACAAACACTCCAAGATGCTCTGACTTTCCTGTTCCAGTGCCAAGTCACTGTAAGAGCCGTCTTCATGCTCATGCCTGAAAGCTTTCTGTGTGTCGTCATAAATAGCCTTGGCTATGTGGTCTGCAACTGGAGAGAGAGAGAGAGAGTTAGAGGGAGTGTTGGGTGTAGCTGTCACACTACCGAGCTCAGGGACATTGCCATTAGCCTCGCACGGCTGGTGGTGTATCTCACTGCTCCTTTACGAGGCTATGTTTAATGAGAGGTGGGGAGGGCACAGAGAAGCAGGTGTACAGAGCAGCGAGCAACGAGGACGCTCGCCACGTTCAGCTGCTGCAGGAACTACTGTGTTATCTACAACACAGTCACTACATTTTACAGTATATCACATGACGCACTTCAAGACGTCCTGCTGACGTGAAAGGGCAGATATCAAATATCAAATGTAAGGGTTGGCTTTGTAACTGAGGCTCCATCAGGTGACCAGATAAAATGGATTGCGAACAAGGCGAGGTGTTTGGGGAGGGTAGAGCAATTACCTTTGTCAATGTTCATAAAGAGACAAATGGTTGAAGGGTCTTCAACCTAATCTCCCTTGTGACTGGCAAGTCTCCACACACTGAGACAAATCAGGGTACAGCATTCCTCATCGAGTCTTGTAATTTAATTAGACCACTCGCAAGCAATTATTCTATGAAGTGTTTTGAGATGTCTCGAAGACGTGATAAGGTGCTATATCAAATGCAAGTATTATTATTACTCACCTGATAATGCCTGGGAGATTTCCTTCCCACTGTCTGCTTGCAGCTCAAACTGAGGAACCATGAACTGGATGTCGGGCTCTGACTGGGTGGGAAAGGACAGGGTCTGTTAGTTGCACAGAAACACACAAGGTGAGAAGTGATGAGGGAAACCTCCCACAGAGAACTCTGTGCCCCAGCCCAGCGGAAGCAGAGCCAGGTCCCACCCTGTCCTCCCCAGACAGCCACTCTAAATAAATACACACACATACTAGAGAAGGGTGTGGCAGCGAGTGTGGTTAGGAGAACCGAGGCTCCTGAGTGAGACTCAACCCACAAACCCGGCCCCTGAACACAGTGCGCCACTAATAGCCCCAGGGACACAACGCCCGCATCCCGCAAGCACCTCACCTGGAACACCAGGACTTTGCCATCGTCTGTCTGGAGATAGAAGGTCCACGAGGTGAAGAAGCTCTGAGCGGAGTTCATTAAGTCGCTGCAGAAAGCCGACATCAGACTGACAGGGTACAGAAAGTGGATTTTTGGGACCATGGACAAGAGCTGTGGGGGAGAGGGGAGAGAGGTAGGGGTAGGGAAGAGAGGGGAACATGACAAGAGGAAAATATTCAATGGTTAAATAAACTATGCATGGTTCAATATTAGTTGAAAGCCATGAAGGGTTAGATTCCGAAACCAGGTCACACCCAACTTTATTTCCCTGTTCTTATCTTTGCTTTGTCTCCAATCTCATTCCTTCTCTTCGCTGCCTGCCCCCCACCTCCTAAGTCAGGCTGTCTTAAATCCACATGAGCGTGTGGGTTCAGAGACATGGCAGTGCTGCTCGCTCGCACACACACTGCCAGGCTGCTAACCGAAGCGTGTCTCAGGCAATGGAAAGGAGGCCAAAACCTCTGCCTTAGCACCAGATTGGGATCTTTGGACACACTTCAGCAGCAGCCTTTGACTGTTAAGGTGTAAAACTGAACGCCTCCTGTGCTGTAACCATCACCCCATTCGATCCTGAAACTCCAGGACTATTCACACATAAAGCCCTTCAACAACAACAACAAATCGTGGAGTCCTGTCGCTCTGTGGTTAGAGCACTCGCCTTGCAAGTGAGACACCCGGGCTCAATTCCAGGTAGGGAATTGGGTAAGTTTCCTTACTCCACACGCCTAATGACAATCCCTCCAAAAAATAATAATAATTGGTCATTTTCAATCCACGACTGTTTGTGGGACACTGCTGTGTGCAATTGGCTGCTGCGTTTCGCCCACAAATGTACGGTCAATTCACTTTGCAGCATATTCTGTGAAGTGCTTTGAGATGTCTAGAAGACGTGAAAAGCGCTGTATCAAATGCAAGATTAATATTATTAAATGACATTTACACAGCGCCTTTCACGTCTTGAGGAGGGGGTTGGGATCAGGAGGGGTGGAGGGCAGGGAGGGTGTGGGTAGGATGCTGAAGGCCCGATTGCTGATGGTAGGGCCGGCCGGGTGGGGAACATGGAACAGGTCGGATCCTGCTGAGCGGAGGGAGCGGACAGGTTGGTATGGAGTTAGCAGGTCACTGAGCTAGGAACCACAACAAAATTACATTTGAATAGCAAGGAGCAAGGCTGTGGAATGCTTTGAAGGCTTCAACCCGAAGGCTGTTTAGAGACATCTAAATCTTCACTTACAAGCTTCTGTTGCTGCTCAGCAAAGGGCAGTTGGTTGTCACAGCCGAAGTTACAGGCAAACTGCTCATCCTGCTGGGAGTACGCTTCAGCACATGCTGCAAGGAAAGAGATTGAAAACAGCGAGCAAACCGGCACACAGTAAACAATTCACACTGAAGAGAAAAGATAATCAGTGTCAAAGCAGTTTATAATCCCCCACTGGCTTCAATTACTGTGCAGCTACACATGGGGAGAGAGTTTTGTCACACAGTGGTTTTGTAATGTGCTTTATTAATCAGGGGAGATAAGTAGGCATGTGCACCTCTGATACCGCATCACCTGAGTGTGTGAGAGAGAGAGAGAGAGAGAGAGAGAGAGGAAAAACTGCATTCTGTTCCTCACTCAATGCTGCTAAAACAAGTTCTGGCTCTCACATCACCTGAGTGACTGTTGTGGATGGACAGACACCACTGCGGTCTGCACAGTGACCTACCAGGCTGTCGATTACTCAAATGTCCTCCTCACTGATCTCCGCTGCTCCACGATTCATGAAATTCAATTAATTCAAAACTCTGCTGCCCGCATTCTCACCCGCACTAAACTGCGTATCTCCATCACCAAATGTCATTTTGTTGTTATTGTTGTCCTTGTCAAACTCCATTGGCTCGACTTCAAGATCCTCACTCTTGTATTTATTTAAATCCCTTTTAGCCCTGGTACCCCCCATCACTCCAACCTGCTCTCTCCCTTCATTACTACCCGCTGCCTCAGCTCAACTGGCTCCGGCTTCCTCCGCCATTATATATATATATAATATATTATACATATTATATAACTATATAGATTTCTTATAATATATATTATGTATAAGCATTGGTGTTGTCCCTCGGACCCTCCACCCCACTATCCATAGCCTTGCTTTCAGCCACTACGCCCCGAAGCTGTGGAACTCTACCTCAATCCCTTCACCTTACCTCCTCCGCATTTTCAAGTCGCCTCCCCCATCCTCTGGCTTGGCATCTTGCTCCGTCACTATTAAGCGCTCCGAGATGCCATCCGGTATGAAGGGCACTATATAAATGCAAATTGTTGCTGTTGCACAGCGACCTGCCAGCCTGTACACTGAGCTGCCAGTCTGCACAGTGAGCTCCATAGTGGGAGGTGTAGCTCAGAGAGAGTCAGCCAGCAGAGGAGAGGCAAACATGGAAAGCAAAGAATAACTAACTCACAACCAAACACATCATCTGCGAGCCTTCAAACAAGCCATCAAACAACTGCCCCTTCCTGATGTGCGGCCACAGGTATCTACCATCAACAACTAGTCACACCCAATGCTACAGGGGGATTGCACTGCTTACATTCAGAACTTCGATTGGGCCAGTCAAATACACAATGCTGCTTTGTACCATAGTCAGTGCCACACAGTCCTACTCACTCACTCCACATCCACTGCTCCAACCCCGCCTGCAAGAGCCGTACCATCCATCTGTAAAGTCTCACTGGAAACTTGCCAGTAAACAATTCTGACACAGATTAAATACCTTAGGATTCTGGTTGATCTAGATTCTTGTCTAATATTCTGTCAGCACTCTTCAGTGTTGCTACCAATTATGTGTATGTGCGTTTGTGTCTGTGGTGGGAGCGGGATGTAGCCACAACACCCAAAAGAACACAGGAGACAGACACAGATCTTACCAGATTCACATTCCTTCCTGGTCCTGTTCAGATCACCGCCGTCGTCCACAAACTGACAGATGGAGAAAAGCCGGCAGCCTCTCTGGCAAGCGTACAGCTCCTCTTCCTGCAACCACATAGCACAGCTTACAACTTCCATCCCAAAGCCAACACTGGATTGTTCTTCAGTAAAAGCAACTTGTGAACGCACATTATCTCACTACAAGTAGTGCAGAAACCGCAACCCTCCAGGTGTCAAATCTAGGGATCATCTGTTCCCGAGTTTATGAGCCTGGAAGTTACATCAAGGATACATTCTGCAGACACATCTGATAGTGTTACATCTCTAAAGGGTTTGAAGTGCTCACTAAATGCTCCTTTCTGTTTTGCTATCAGTTGGCTAGTTCCTTGTAGATAGACATGCATGTTGCTTTATTGGATCTAATCTAAGCTACCCTCCTGTCATCTCTTCAGTGGCTCTGTGTGAATAAGAGCTCCTTGTCCCAGTGTCTGCGGTTTCTAAGCAGGAATGGCTGACAGTTTGCAATAATTTTGTGTTTATTTCACTTTTTAAAAAAAAACAGATTTGATTAGTCCCAGCACCTGCTTTTATGATGTTTTGGGATAAATTGTTTTCTATGAATGAAGCACAATTCGAAAAGAGGACATTTTTCCTGGTTTCCTGGACTTTACACTAAGCTCATACCTTGGAATAAATATCCACCCCATACTGCGCATCTTGTTGGTGGTAGCAAGCCTCAGGAATCAAATGGAGGTGACAGTTTAGGACTCGGTAGGTTTTGCAATTCTCAATGATGTGAAGAAAGATATATCATTCTCAGTGTACACTGAGTTAGTAAAGTCTGATTGAGGTATGGAGTTTCTGTATGGACAGAAATTGTCATTCTGGCGCAAACAAAATACCACTCAAACTCCTGGCCTGAAGAAACTTTAGTTGAATGGAGAAGTAAAGTCCGACAATGACAACTTGCATTTATATAGCGCCCTTGATGCTGGATGGTGTCTCAGAACGCTTAAAATACCCAGATGGTTACACACTGTACCTGACTCCGAGCACCAGGTCGACAACACAGTGTGACCGCATCAGAGGCTGGGAACCTAGACTGTCAGCAGGAATCCCATCCTCTCTCCTGGGGTTATACTGAACTAAACTGACAGCATTTCTGGCTACCACACTGTTACCTAAATTTAAGAGTAGCAATTAGTGGCTCAGCTCATTGTCAGCTGTGGACAAGCTGACATCACACTGACAGTGATGTCACCAAACAGTATAAAGTTTATTTAAACAAGCTTTTCAGTCACTAAATAGTGAACACTGAACCCGACCTAACACTTCAAATCTTATTGCCACCATCGCACAGACTTTCATCACATGAAATTTCGTACGTTTGTGATTGAACTTAAATATAGGGTAGATATGGCACGTGTGTCAGTTCAAAGATACGCAACATCTAACCCTGGAAACAACTGACTTCCACAGCAGAGAAAATGACATCACAAAACTCCTCATTCAGTCAAAAATACACAACTGTTGTTGCCTGGTGTGGTTGTGGGGGTTGGGGGGTAGGAGGGAATATTAAAGCTAAGTCATAAAAAGCAGAGCATTTAAACCAAACTACAATTTCACACATTATTCAAATCACAGTGACTTTTGAGTCACTCTCAAGGCGAGAAACTGTCATTATACTGTGGGTCTGGATGTCATGAAGCCACACAAACATTATACTAACATTTCTTCAAACCACACAGCTCCTGCTCTCTAAAAAAAATGTGGGCACTCAATGCACAACTGTTTGTGGAACATCATTGTGCACAATTGGCTGCCGCGTCTCACGCACAACATACGCTGCGAAGCGCTTTGAAACGTCTCGAAGATGTGATAAGGCGCTGTTTCAAATGATTGCCTTATTATTGTAAGCAGCTGTAAGCTTCACAGGACGGCAGCCGGATCCCGCTTTACTGCTGGTTCAAAGGCCAACAACCGCAACAGTTTGTCCCAACCGCATGAGAGCGCCTGACAGCGCCTGACAGCACAGGGGCGGAGGGAGGCGCAGCGCAGGCAACAGAACTTCAGCGATTTACACGAGAAGCCCGAGTCGCGGTGACGGACCGGGGTGTGTGTGTGTGTGTGTGTGTGGGGGCGGGGGGTGTGGGGGGGTGTGTGTGTGGGGGAGGACATTCGGTGGGTGTACGGCCGCGTCCGTCACCCCGACTGTTTGTATTCAAACCGTAAGCCTTGTTCCAGGGAGCTCCGGGAGCAAGGCCGCCAGACCCCGGGCCGCCGCCACCTCTTGCTAAGCCCCTGCCGGCGCTCAGCGAGCGAGCGAGCGACAGACAGACAGACAGACAGCTCGGTCTTCCCTCCGCCACCGCCCCGGCCTCCCCGGGCCGGATGGCGGCCCGCACCCACCTTGGGGTAGGTGTGCAGGCTGTAAGTCAGGCCGCAGGCTTTCTGACAGGAAGACGTGTCGCCCAGAACCGCGTCGAAAGCATCGGAAGCTGCCCCCGCGGCGGCCAAAACCGAGCAGAGAATCAAAGCCGCGGGCCCGAGCCCGACTCTGCCGCTGCTGCCTCCCGCCCTCGCCGCCATCTTCAGCTTGTTTGTTGTCATCTATCACCTTCGTGCGCATGCGTCCCCTCAAAACCCGCCGTCACGTGAGCCTCCCACCCAGAAACCGTTGCTGAGAATGCCGGGAGTTGTAGTTCACGCTTTCAGGGGGCGGGCGCCGCCACTGCCCATAATGCAGAGCGGCCGCGCCGCCCGTTCGTCAGTCGGTGCCGCCTGGGCCGGTGGGCGCTATGCGGCGGTTCCTGGTGAAGAGGCCGCAGCCTCCGGCTCAGCCCCCGGCCCAGGCCCAGGCCCCGCAGCGAGCCAAGGCCTACCGCCAGGCAACGCTCGAGTCGCTGAAGGTGAGGCCGCTGTGGTCGGGGACACCAGGAGGAGCCGCTCGTGAGAGAGAGAGCGTTACCGGGAGATACCGGTCCACCTGCACTGGCAGCAGCCCGACTGCACTCGGGGGCTTTGCCACTGCCCGTCCCCTGGCAGTGACTTAATGATGACAATGATAATATAATTATTATCATTCTTCATAATAATCCTTGCGTTTGATACACCGCCTTCCCTTCTCTTCGAGACGTCTCGAAACGCTTCACAGGATACACTGCAAAGTGGATTGACTGTATATTCTGTGGGTGAAGCGTAGCGGCCAATTGCGCACCACAGCGTCCCGCACACAGTCGTTGATTGAACGACCAAATTATTATTTTTTTTTACCCGGGTAACGCTGGCTCACCAACCCACGCTCACACAATGACGGACTGCGTACCACTGACATAGCCCACACCAGCCCCACCTCCTCCCCCCGAACCCTCATCATCTCCATTTCTCTTTCTTTACTGTTTATACACAATACAATTAATATTTAGGACTCAAATTGCTTTATCCCGAGTTTTCTCCTCAATGTCATCTCACCAGCAGCGAGTTCCACATTCTCACTACCCTCCAAAGAAGTTAGTTCCCCCTAAATATCCATATAGATCTGCTATCACATTGATGCCACATTCTGGCCCAGTAGAGAAAATTCCTGCTGTTTTGCTGCTATCTAATATTGGGTGTTCTGTGTACAGTCAGCAGCCTTCCTGTTGATGTCACGTCCTAAAGTACAGCATTTAGTGCTCAATACTAATGGTCTGATTTTCCCTGATAGAGAGTTGTGGTGATTGAAGACATTAAGAGATTCAAATCTATGTTGGAACTGCCTGGACAAACAAAGGAAGTGTTGCTGGAAGCGTTGTTGGAATTAAAGAAAAAAATTCCCTCCCGTGAAGTGCTGATCTCAACCAAGATAGGTAATGGTCTGAATGGTGCTTGATGACATGAAAGCAACTCGTGAACTGCTCCTATTTTGGTAGCAGTCAGCAACAAATACAGCAGCAGAGTTGATTTGGGTTGTGTTTACTATGGTCTGTGTCTGTGTGTTCATCCTCAGGGCACACTGTGAATAAGATGCGTAAAAATTCAGACCCAGAAGTAGCCAGTCTGGCATTGGATGTTTACACCATGTGGAAAACTTTCCTCGAAGAGAATGCAAACAAAGAATCCATAGAGGTACGAAGTGACACTACAAGTGAACTTCTTCGCAGGAATGCTCGGAAACTCTTAACTGAAGCCATGGAATTAGAGGTAAAAATAAGTGTAATTCAGCATTTTACAACATGATATTATCCTTTCCTGAAGCACCATCTTACAGAAGAGTATAAGACCATGTTATAAAACTCCTTCAGCTATCGGCTGGGTCAGTCTGCCACAGCTTGTATCACTTGCCTCCGAGTCAGAAGGTTGTAGGTTCAAGCCCTACGAAAGGGACTTGAGCTCACTGTCTAGGGTGACCAGCACAGTATTGGTGGGAGCACTGCTTTGTTGGATGTCTTTTGGATGAGACACTAAGCTAAGCTTCTGTCTGCCTGTTCAGGTGGATGCTAAGATCCTGCATTACTTATTACAAAAGGGTGAGGAGTTTCTCCCAATGTCCTGGCCTCCAGATATATCCATGGCAGTGCTTGAGGTCTTACTCTATGCAGATGGTCGTCATGTTTTCCTGCAGAAACAAACTCATAAAAGTGCTATAAATTGGAAGTTTTTTTTTCCTGAAGCTACAGTTCTATTTGAAGGAGAGACAGTTGGATTAAGTGCAAATGTAATATTTTTTACTGCATTCAAAGCAATTAAATAATAAGTTTCTGTTATATTTTTAACGTTAAATCCCTGCGATATGTTGTATTTGGCATTCAAAGAGCTGAAGCCCACTGGTGTAATTGTCAATCTATTTTCTTTTAAAAAAGAATGACCACCCTCTGGTTGACAGCATTGAGCGAGAGGTTTTCCATCAGGCTTCCCGTCTAATCAGCCTCTCGTACCGCCGTACAGTGCGAGCTCTTGTTTTCACTCTGAAGCACAAGCCTGAAATACGAGAGCAAGTTATCAGCGGCAGACACCCAGTAAGAGAACTCGTCAAAAGCCACAAGAAGTGAGGTGTTATTCACAGAATGTGAAGGTTTACAGGGACAACAGCTCAGCTCCTTTTTTTTAATTCCTGAAAGGATTGTAATGAAGCTAGATGTTTATAAATTTTTATAAATGTGCTGATGGTTACAACAGTACGTCAGTACTGATTGCAATTGGGTACAAAAGTTACAACGATTTCAGTGCAACAGAAACTTCTGGAAGAAAGGGGACCCGTCACTGATGCATTCACAACAGAGAAGTGAGAAAGCGTCATGACCAAGAATTCTAATATTCTGTGAACAGGAATCTATTTATGTTTGTAATCATTCTTCACATCACGCTGCCTGGAGCCTGAGCTGTGACATCTGGGGACTTGTGCGGTCTCAGGTGGATGCTGATTGAAGTTCATTGAATATCCATCAGATGGTGCTGCAGGTTGATGTGTTAAGCTGACGGCTGTTTTATATAACTTGACGGTTGACTTTTTTTAAAACTAAGTTTTGATCATTGCTCATTCTACAACAACTAGTGACTCTGCTTTGAACTTGAACACATTTCCCACTTCTGTTGTATAAAGCACAGAGGTTGGGACCTCCTCCTGACGTGAAAGACAGCATAAGACAAACATAATTTTGTATTGTATTTTGTATTGTAAACACTCACTGGTTTTCTTTCTCTCAGATGCTCTGTTTTGTTTAGAGATTGAGATAACACTTTGCAAGATGGACCAGTTGCAAATTAAGTTTACAATTTAAAACAACTTGTCCGGTTATTATGTACAAATTGATTCTGGATTTTCAAAAGTAATAATACTTGCATTTGATATAACGCCTTATCACGACTTTGAAGCGCTTCACAGAATACACTGTAAAGTGAATTGACTGTATTTTATATATAAAAGTAAAAATATTAAAGTGAGAACAGACATTTTCTGCATTGTGTGAGTGACACTGCGACAGGTAGAACCCTAGCAATGTACAACACATGAGAAGACCTCCTGTCCTGTCATCTGCCATGTAGTTACTGTTCCTCCAAGCAGCCCTGTATCCTAACTGACCCCAATACATGTAGTTGTGTTAATGCTGAGTTATGTCAAACATAGCAAAATCATTACTTTCAATTTGTAACACTGATCATGTTTCATGATAGAAATCCAGGAATGATTTCATAACTCAGGCTAAATGATAGACCATTAATCACACAGCCTAATTTGATATTCAAATAAGTTAAGGCTTCAGTCTACAAATATACCTACCTCACTGGGCTTTAGAGGATTTCAAAGACAAGATTAGTCAAGAACTACTGGTTGGTTTAAAAGCCTGTATTTGTGGAGAGAGGAGTTCCCACAATTTTGTAGCCTGGAAAGAGTGAGTTTGAGAGGAAATTGAGGTTTGAATACAATGCAATGTGGGGGGGGAGAAAGCATGTGGAAATTGTGAGGGTTAAGGAACATTTGGAGGAGCAATGAGAAGTTCCAAATAAGAGAGAAGAGGCCTGAGGTGAGGGAAGATCACCTATTGAACGAGCAGCTGTGTATTGTCTTGTATCTGTATGACAGGAAGGTGCCTTAAGAGCTTACGAGAACAGTATTCAAGACATGGATAAAATTGATGAAATATTTCTCAGTAAGAAGTCATGAGCTAAGTAGAGAGAAAACAGCACACAGACCAGTCATTCAGAGAAACTGGTGAGAAATAGTCACCGTCTGCTTTTCAGAATGACCTTACAGCTGTTTCACTTGATTGGTTGACACTCAAACATCAATGGAAGCTCGCGCTGTGGCCTGAGGGTCGGTTAGAGAAGGACAAGGCCTACGATGGCGATCAGCATCAGGATTCCAGCCAAGGCACAAATACTAATGAAGACCACATCGCTGGTATCCGGCACCCTGGAGACCTCGGGCCTGGCTGGTACCTGAGAGGTGCCGGGGTTTGGATCCAATGCGCTGACAGCCAGCTGCTGCAGCCGGTACAGCTCCGAATCTGGGATGATGTTATAAGAAGCTTCCTTCCTTTTCAGCTCACATTGAACCTCGTACTCCTGGGTGACTTTCTGCTCCCCGGCAGGAAAGTTTATATACAGAATGTTCACAAGGACCGTGGTGTTTCTCCTCCTCTGCAAAGACAACAACAGGGAGCCAGTTATATACACAAATACTCTCACACTGTGGACATTTTCGTAAGAAACTCCATTAGGCTCATCAATACACAGAAAAAGTGCTATATCAATACACAGAAAAAGTTCTGTATGAATACAGTACTCCCAGATCTCACAAAGAGACTTAAGTGTAATTGCAGAATATTCATCTACCTACTGACCATCTGACCAGCCAAAGGCCACGTGATCCATATTCCAACAGTATAGATTTGCAGTGAAACCACCACATAAGTGTATAAGCACAGGTTAGATGCTGAGCAAAGCTGCTACACTTCCCTATTGAACATTCCTCAGTAAGATGGATAGTTGCCTTCTTTGTGCCCCAATAATGTGGCAGTTGAAACCTCAGAAGTGGAGCTCACTCACACATCAGTGAGATGTGCTCACTTAACCATGGCAGATATCCTGTGGCCTTTCTGAACAACAATGCCATTTTGGTAACAATTTGTACCGAAAAGGAACTCATTCATGTCCTGTAGCCTCAAACTCAATGGGAAACTGGGTTACAAATGGCCCTAATCATATTTTATGTGGGACCCGTAGCCACTGCACAGTGAAGTTCATTCTGTCAGTGTTAAAAGGAAACTGAAACACATATAATTACATGGAATGATATGGCATAAAAACTAACCATCCCAACCAATCCATGCCCTATTTATATTCCACCCTCCTACATCCCTCTATTTAGTGTCAAGTGAGTTGAGATATCCTTGATGTGAAAGGCAGTATAGAAATGTAAATTGTATTGTGCAGCTGTATTCCCCTTACCTCATGTAAGTATCACTAGGCTAACTTAACTCTTCCCCCACATGGGTTTTTATAAAACTGCCTATTCCCTGATATTTGCAGATTGTTACCCTTCGTGTCTATTCCCTTAGGCACTTTACCATCTATAATGAAGTACATGTCACACTCTTTGTATAGTCTTAACACAGCAGAGTGACGACAGTGTACACAGTTTTATGGGGCTTGTTGTCTGCCTGAATTTAGTAATGTGTGCAGGTCTGGTTACCTGGGACTCTGTACCACAGGCGTCAAACCTGGAGCCAATCCTGTAGAGTGAGCCCAGCAGCTGCGCCATGCAGCTCGGCCTTCCCAAATACACGTCACTGCGAGTAAGCGTGGGCAGAGCGTGGACAGGAACCTGGATCTGGAAGTGGGTTCTTGTGCAGCTGATGTTCACAGGAATAACTGAAAATAAATGACCTCAATTATCACTTTTGTCTTTCATATTTTGCTATAGAACATCACTAAATTCGATGTGTCCACATTGATCGCTCGTGATTGTCGTGGGACATTGCTATACACTAACTGGCTACTGAGTTCGCACACAAATACAATCATTACTCTTTACAAGAATGTGTGAAGCACTTTGAAATGTTTGGACATAATCAGGCACTCTTATCAGGAATATAACCATGATTTGTCATTTTAAATTAAGATGCTGGCAGTAGCAACAGCATGTGGTGTAAAAGCAAATTACTCCAGGCTTCAGAGCTACCTCGCAGAGGTAATCAGCATTGTAAACAGGATATCAAAGCAAAACTTTCAGATAAACCAAGGCAAAACAGTGGACACAGGTTCAGGGTTTACATGAAGTTCAGGGCAGATACCATAGAGGAAATCAGGTTACCAGGAAGGTAACTTTACCAAAACCCATTATTTTGAACCCCATAATAATAATAATAATATAAACATCAGGTTTATTCTCAATTTTCTCTATTCTGCCCCAGTTTCTCTAGTCTCACTTCATAACTAGAGTTTGTCCTAATCCCTGGTATCATCCATGCGACATGTTTACAAACGGCTTAAAGCTGTAAAAGATAGGACATTAAGTGTTCTGCTTACCCCCGGCGTACGAGACGTGGAAGCCACGAGAAGCCGACTTCCTGTCAGCAGATAATACAAACAAGAGTCTGTTTCCACTGGACAGCAGTGAAGGTGGCTGGTCCTGCCCACACCACTTCCCCAGCAGCGTGTCTCCGTCGAAGATTGCCACAAAGTCATAGTCACAGGCGTCACTCAGGCTGTCCCGAGCCTCCAGCTCGAAGTGCAGGAATTGAACCTTAACCCTGTAGCCAGGGGGCTGCTGCACTGTCCAGTGGCAGTTGATGTTATTGGGGTAAATGTTTGGGTAGCGAGGACTCGAGAAGTTCCCAGTAATGGCCGTGAAGACTTGCTGACATTCACCTAGACAAACCATACAGACCAGCAACATTATAATAATAATAATCCTTGCATTTGATATGGCTCCTTATCACATCTTCGAGACATCTCAAAACGCGTTACAGAATATACTGTAAAGTAAATTTACTGTACAGTTTGTGGGTGAAACGCAGCGTCAATAGCTCACAATTGTGTCTCACAAACAGTCATGGATTCAGTGACCAAATTATTATTATTTCTTAAAGGATTATTACCCTAGAAAAGCGATCCGCCAATCAACTAACAACTGGGTACCTACTTATTGCTAAGTAAACAGATGCGTGTGAAGTAAGGAAACCTGCCCAATGTTTTGCCCTGCCCGGGAATCGAACCCAGGTCCTCTCGCTTGTGAGGTGAGTGCTCTAACCACAAAGTTACAGGACTCAACAAATATAGCAACTTTCATGTCAGGAGGGTGTCCAATTCTGTAATATCGCCTCCAAACTGCACACAGCTGGTACTGTCCTCAGTGAATTCACGATCAATGTGGAACAGGCTTTTATGACACTATTTCAAAAAACTATTTGTTTTATTTGCCTCACCTGAAAAATAAGATGCTTTGAAGCCCCGGCCACCGATGTTAAAGTCTGACTTAAAGACGAGCAGCAGCTGGTTGGTGCTGGAAACGATATCGGGGGGTTTGGTACCACCACAGAAATGGCCCAAGTGTCTGTGACTCACGCTGGGGCCGTCAAACAGAGACACGTAGTCGAAGCTACAGTCCTCACTTTTCTCCAGCTGGAAGTCGTAGAAGACGAGGCTGACCACGGTGCTGTTCGAGACTTGCATGACCCAGCGACACTCAGCATTGTTGGGGTAATTATCAGGGTATTGAGGACTGGAGAGAAGCCCGGAGAGACCTGTCAGCACTCCCCCACACACATCTGCAAAACACAACCACCTCATGATTCTCACAGACACGCGCACCCTGGAGTTTGTGTTCATTTGTGAGGAGTAAAGGACTGTACAGGACCATGTGTGACTATCGGGAAGGACAGGTCGGTGGGAAAACATAGAATTCAATCCCCCTCACGCAGGGTAGCGTCCCAGAGCGTTTGACATTGGCGGGGCACGATGCCAAGCAAGTAGCCTGTTGGTGACTCACATGCACCATACACCGGGGCATCTGTTACAAAGATACAGAGCACACAGATAGGATGGCAGTACTTCCCAAGACTCGAAACTGTTTCAGGGAGACTCCCAGGAATCCTGGAATCAGGAGCTCAGCAGATTTAATCTGGGTCTCTTCACTCCCCAGCCCCACATCAGCTGGCCATAATCCTGAATGTAATATAACGCAGTCCATAAGCCTAAACTCAGCAAGTCATAGAGAAGGTACAAAGATGAGACTAAACTTATACTGGGGATGAGAGGCTCAATTGTGAGAGAAACTGGGTCCGTTTTCACTAAATGAAAGTCATGAGACCTGACAGCTATCCATAGTTGATAAGTTGGGGTTTGATAATGTAAATGAGAGGAACTATTTCCACTGGTCAGTGAGCAGCTGGAGGACAGCAGTTTAACCTGATCACCAAAGACAAAGGATAGGTAAGGAGAAACTATTTACAGATGGTTATTAGGGCACGGAATGCCTGATCAAACACAACTGGATGAAGTAGAATCCTTAATAGGTTTTAAAAGGCAATTAGATTTAAAAATAAGAATCGATACATTTGATATAGTGCCTGATCATGTCTTCGATACGTCTCAAAGCACTTCAAAGGATACACTGTAAAGTGAATTGACTATATTTTGTGGGTGAAATGCGGCAGCCAATTGTGCACAGCAGTGTCCCACAAACAGTCATGGATTAACTTATTATTGATTATTAATTCTTGACTATTGTGTGAAAAAGAAAAAAAAGGGAATGGGAGGACAAGCAGTGGAGACTACACAGAGCTTTCTGAAAGCCGACACAGACATGATGGGCTAAATGGCTGCTTCCTGAACTATAAACCTCTATGATTCTAAACTAATAATCTGAAGGAAGAGAGCGCGTGGAGCAAAACCTTTGGAATATCTGGCCAAGAAGCCTCGACTTGCCACGTGTGAATCCGAGTGGAAGATGATGGACATGACGTGCCAGGACGAGGTGAAGTAAGGTGGGGAAACATCCCCACAGAACGTGCCCAAGAGGTTCCCTCGGTCCTCGGCCTCTCCGTTATAGATCTGGATATAATCATATTCACATCGATCGTGAAACTCCAGGTCAAAGTGCTGGAAGGTGAGGAGGATGGAGGAGCCTTCTGTCACCACAATCAGCCAGGTACATTCGATGTCGTAGGGGTAATATCCCGGAAAGTTAGGGCTGGAGAAATTACCATCTGCCGCAGACAGGATGCCACCACATTTAACCCCTAGTGTAAACAATTCAAAACCTCAATTCAGACATTTTATAATAAATCTGGCATTTGATACAGTACCTGTAATCCTAAAATAATTCAAAGCACTTTCTGAGGTAATCGCTATCGAGTGTGGTACCTCCAACAATTATAAATCCTTACATTTCATGTGGCGCCTTTAATAATAATAATCCTTGCATTTGATGCAGCGCCTTGTCACATCTTCGAGACATCTTAAAGCGTTTCACAGAATATATTGTAAAGTGAATTGACTGTATATTTTGCGGACGAAACCTGGCAGCGAATTGCGTACAGCAGTGTCCCGCAAACAATTGTGGATTGAGTGACCAAATTATTATTTTTATTAAAACGATTATTACGCCCAGAAAAGCAATCTGTCAATCAACTAACAAGTGGGTTCCTATTTACTGCTAGGAAACTTGCCTAACATTTCAACCTGCCCGGGAATCGAACCCAGGTGTTCGCGCTTGCGTTTCATGTGGGGATAATGTCTCAAAGTGCTTGACAGTATATCGTGTCAAGTAAGGATGACCATGTATTTTGTGGCAGCCAATTCATTTCTACATGGCTGAGTCAGCCTGTAGCTATTTCTCTAATGGAACAATGTGCAAACACAGCAATAATGTCAGGCAGAAATAGCTACCAGCTACCCATTTGATTTCTCTCCAGCTTCCTCTGACATAACGTATCTCTAAATCTAATAACCCTGAATCTCTTTGTTTGCTGATAAATTGAGCATTTGCTAATAATACTCTCTACATCTAGCCACCTTCATACAGAGAGCAGGCATTTCCTCAGCACAATGAGCTGCTCACTCACCACGCGGGGAGACTGCCACAGAGAACACTTGGTATTTCTGCTAATCCTGTGCTGAATGAAGGTTGTGTTAACAACATCAACGCAGGATTTTTAATTCAGCATTAAAAGGCGAAACATTCAGCAAACACGAGGAAGGAAAAGTTCTATTCATTGCAGTGGACGCAGCATTAGATAAAAGCCTCTTACCTGGTCTGGCCAATGCTTTACAGACAGTCCACAGCAAAAGCGCTCTCAAAGCAGCGCACCCTGCACAAGTTTGCATCGCTCTGTTATGTGTTAATGACTGGGAAAACCCAGGCAGGAAAAGAAGATTTGACGTTATTTTAGCAGGAAGATAGGAAGCAGAGCACACTGCGCTCACTGTCGAATTAATCGTGACATCAATTATTCAGCGCAGGTTTGAATTAGGAACTTGATCTGGCGCTTGCTTCCTTCAATAAATTTTAATGGGTGGATCCAGTGTCTTTCTTGTAATCTACGGCTGCAACATGGACTTAAATATTTCCTTTGCTCAAATCCCAAACATTACCGTGTGAATGTAGCGCTGGCGAGGTTAATTCATTACTTCACGAAGAATTCAGTATTGTTGATTCCCCCAGTCTCATGGTTGTTTGTCAAGTTAAACCAACGGGTAGAGAAGCTGAAAGGCTTTGAGATGCTTGCAGAGGGAAGCCTTTATCACAATAGTAACCCTGACTTCTGATACAGCAACTTATCACATTGAAACGTCCGGAAGCGCTCCAGAGATACCTGCTGTCAGGTGCGTTCAAAGCCAAACACTTTGTGTATGGCAAGGTTCCACAAACAGCTGTGAAGTGAATGATAGATTAATCCTGAAGGATTGTTCATCAGGACGATCCTTCTCTTTTCCAACAGTGTTGTGAGATCCTGAACACACCTGAATACATGTACACACCAGCCACTCTGTCCACGCTTAGACTCAGAAGTAACTTTTCAACTCAATGCTTTATTTATTTTTGTTTAATTTATGATGAGATTTACAAAAGCTGCCAAAAATAGCTATGAGAACCTCCAGAGACACAATTCGAGGTCGATTTCAGGAACATCAGAGCAAAAAAGCCTTTTAGTGGTTTGAAATTTATCCCAGATCTGGCTCAGAGCTCGCTATTATACACATCAACAATTCCATCAGCAAAATACACAGTCGATTCACTTTACAATTTATTCTGTGAAGCGCATGGAGACGTCTCAACAATGTGATAAGGTGCTGTCTCAAATGCAAGGATTATTATTATGATGGCATGATGTCTGAACAATTAATACACTCAGAAAAACTGAAAGTGTCAATAATGGCGTGATGGGAGAGATGTGAGCTGGGGCACAGCTGAAGAGGATGGTGCAGTGAAGAGTTTACACAATTGCATGTGAGGAGCAACATAGATGTCTTCAGCCCCTTGTCGGCACACACCCCACGTAAATCCTTTACTCCCCTCAGGTGTTTATTTTGCTGACTAAACCTAAGAGCGACGAGAGACTGAGCAAAGACCGGCCTCGGAGAAACAGCTAATAATATCCCCCGTTTACACTAATGATTTATTGTACTCAGGAAATGTTTCTGTGGAAATGCTGAGACATTATCCTGAGGGGAGACAGAGAGAAAAGCACCCACGTGCGGTGCAGTCTCTCCACTGATCCAGTAATTGATCGATCCTGTAACTGAATCTAATGACCACACCCTGGCAACCAGCACTTGTGTGTGTCCTATATTCAGAAATGACTGAGATCGGTCGTGAATATCAGCCTCACGAGATCAGCCATGCCTTCCAGGTTGCAACAACTACTTACATTCATGTAGCGCCGTTCACGCGGAGTAGCGTCCTGAGCGCTAAAGGTTACTGTGTACACGGTCCGAGGATATTCTTTTTTCTGCCCAGATGAGGGAAATCAGTAAAGTCTCCAAAGCCACTGACTATCCCAGAGACAGCAGGCAGTAACCCAAGGCCACACTTTTGGCCATCTTCCTGCCCCACCCTATCTTCAGCTCCCAACCTGGATGCCTGGCCATTAACCTGAAGAGCTTTGAGATGTCCTCCCAACATGAAAGGTGCCGTATAAACATAGACTGTGTATTGCATAGCATTGTAATCTGCTAACGTTGCATTTGCAGGTATTGCAATGAAATAACTCCATCTGTGGACAGCCCCGCCACACACATAGCCCCCCACACACACACAGCCCCCACCACACATACACACACATACAATTTATGCTGCCCCTGAACCCCTTGGCTGTGTTGGGGTCTTGGCAAAAAGATACGAGGCTTCAACTTGCACCTTGGCCCGTCTGCCACAAGGCATTTCCTTCATCCCCGGTCAGCACAGCAGCCAGACTGGGGATGGTGGGCGCCCGTCAACCACAGAGCCTTTGTGTTGGGGCAGCGCTGTTACAGATGAGTTTGCACTCACTCTGTAGCTGTGAGGCTGGAATTACCTAAAACATGAAGTAACGGTCCTCCGAAAAGCCGAGGCGTTGAAGGTAGTTGATGACATCTTTGCAGAACATTACAGAACCGCAGATGACCATGAAGGGTTCCCGTCGGCAGCCAGTTACACACCTGCTGATGGTTTCTATGTCCAGCCGGCCACACTGAACCTTCTCCCGGTAACTCCAGGGCACAGTCTCAGGCGCCATCTCCTAAGCACAAGTTTAAAATATATCAGTGTAAACATCAGAGATGCTTTTAAGCTGAACAAGAAGCATTGAGCTCCACCAGATTAGTCTCTTTGCTTATAAGTAACTGTTGCAAGTCAGGAGAACTTTTCGACTGACTCCAGAGGCAGGAGCGGACTGGGGTCTGGTGAGGATGGTTCTAGTGTGTGGAGCCTGGTGAGGATGGTTATGGTATGAAGTGGATCTTGTAAAGTGGTTCATCTTGTGTGCAAGGTGCTGGACACTTACAAGCTGCTCAGATACAAGGTTGTCTTTAGGGCCTTTTCTGAGCCTCACACTGATAGCTCACCTCGCTCAAGACAAACTGTGTCCTTATGTTCCAGTAGGCCGCCAGCTCCTGCAGGCGCGGCTTCAGGTAAACCTCGGGGAATGTGCGGCAGCAGCACACCACATCCACAAAGGTCTCATCCTCCTCATTGTCCACGATGGACTGAAGCAGGGGCAACATTGGTGTCACCCCAGTGCCTGAGGCCAGGAGCAGCAGCTGCTCGTACTTCAGGGAACAAAACACAGAGCATCTATCAGCCCCCAAGGCAACAAGCAAACAATAATCCTGTCCTTCTTATAGCACAACTTCAAAAAGTCCCAAACCACTTCATAGGCAATTGTTACCATCTTCTTAAAGTAATACTAATAATCCTTGCATTTGATATGGCGCCTTATCATGTCTTTTAGACGTCTCAAAGTGCTTCACAGAAAATACTGTAAAGTGAATTGAATGTATGTTTGGTGGGCGAAACGCGGCAGCTAAATTATTATTCTTTTCTGGAAGGGATTATTATCCTCAGAAAAGTGATCCACCAATCAATTAACAACCAGGTTCCTATTTACTGCTAGGTAAACTGAGGTGTGTGGAGTATTGAAACACGCCCAACATTTCGCCCTGCCCGGGAATCGTACCCAGGTCTTCTCACTTGCTAAAAGACTCCACGGGACTCTAAGTGGGGAGAAAAGCGGGGCTTGCTTGGAGTTGAGCTGTTAGTAACGTCACATTTGAGTCTACCCTCTGTGACAGTCTCTCGTCCAGTTCCTGAGCTAAGCGGCTCTGCAGTATTCCAGCGCAGTGCTGATGACAGTCCAGTCCTTTGGCAGAACCTGGAAGGGCAGACCAGTCACTGGGATCAAGGAATCCTTCCACTCAGCTCCTTCCTGACCTGCACCTAAAACGCTTCAGAAGTAAGTAAACAAGGTGGATTCCTCCTTTTTTCTAAAAGATCTTTAATGACCACAACAATAAACAGATGGGACTTAGGTTTAACATCACATTCAAAGCATGGTCCGTAACCCTACGCTCTGACAATGCAGCGCTCCCCACTACTGCACTGCATTGTCAGTCACTGGGACTTTAAAGTTCCCCAATAGAGCTTGAGCCCACAACCTTCTGCCCCAGTGGTGAGGTTTGTATGACTGAGCCAGGCTGGCAGCTGCCTATTTGACCCTGACAGTCAGGCACAGCAGGAAGCAAGTAATTGCTCCTCATTATGATCTGAACACAAGCAGGAGAACGGACCTGATTTGGTTTGTAGGGAAATCCACCGAATGGGCCGCGCCATTGCACAGTCGTCCCTTCCTTCCAGGTCCTCACATACTGCGACATCAGCCCCTCCTCGTACAGCTGAAGGACAAAAGGTGATTATGATTTAACAGAATCTGCCGCAGCGAGCACTCAGTCAACAACAACATCATCATCTTGCATTTGCACAGCGCATTTCATACAGGGCAGCATCTTGGCACTCTTAACACTGGCGGAGCCTGACTCCGAGCCGGGGGGAGGGAGGAGGTGACCGTAAGCACTGTCTCGAAGAGGAAGGTCTTCAGTCGTGATCTAAATGAGGCGAAGGAGAGGGCATGGCGGAGGGATTGGGGGAGAGAGTCACAGCTTCCTACCTTTATGAGAACTTCAAAGTAACCTTCAGCATGGAGTGGGCTGACTGGGGTGTAGGCTCTCTGAATCTCCAGATCGTTCACCGTTCCCCTGCCAGAAAATCAGAGACAGGTCTGACAGGTATGGGTTAAATATTCACTGTCTTAGCACCTCAAGTGCTAGCTCTGCATTGACCACAGTACAATGTGCTTCCCCACATTCAGCTCCAAAAACTGACCTCAGTACAATGTGCTGCCCCACACTCAGCCCCAGGCGGCGGCCTATGGGTAGCTGTAACCTGTACAGTGAAGTATCCACTGTTTGCTGTTCCACCCTCACCACCTGGAAGCTGCTCCATCGCTCGGCTCCGATCACCTGCACTGGGTCAGACTCTGCCTGGCGTCAAACACAAAACAACATGTTCTTGACTCAACAATAGTTATTTAAATAGCATCCTCTCGGCAGGGTAGCGTCTCAGTGGCTTCCCTCATCCGCTCACTCCAATACGCACGCTCACCTCACTCTCGCCAGTGAGTTGCTCACGATCATCACATGCCTTTGCATGCTCCCATCGCTCCAGCTGCCGGGCGTAAATATCAAAGACACACGGTTTGCAGCCGCTGCCACAGCATTGGCCAGGTAACGGCTCCTGGGGGCGAAGGGACTCCCAGTCATCAGCCATCACCATCCTGCTGAACAGCACACAAACACATCAGCCATCACCAACCTGTTGAAAACCACACAAACACACACTGTTGGATATCCTCTGCAAATTTCCCGCAGTTACAGTGTACCCCAAACCAAAGCTTCGACTACAAGTTTTGGGAGAAAGCCTTTCACTTTGTTTTCCTGTCTTCAAAACCCTTCCATCAAATATAAGGATAATTATATATTGCACGCTTAAATGCTATCATAATCCTTAACTTTGATATAGCACCTCTCACTTTGCAGGATATACTGCAAAGTGGAGTGACTATATTTTGTAGGGAATTGGGGAAGTCTTCATATTCCCCATCCTATCTAATATAATATCATTATTATCCTATCATTATTATCCTATCTGGGACGCTACTCTGCGTGAGGGGCACTAGGGGCAAGTTGTTGTTGTCCCACCATCAGCAAGAGTGCTTTCAGCCTCTGCCCCTGCTCTCTGGAATTCTATCCTGGAGTCCCTCCCTCTGACTTACCCCCATCCTCACCTTATTAAATGTCCATCTCAAGACTTGCCTCCTTGAACGTCCCTTGATCGTCTTTCCCCCCCACCCTCCCGCCCATCACTTCTTAGCTACCACCCCCAGCTCGGGTGCCAAGACCTCCTGGCGTGAGCAGTATTGCACCAATGTAATTTTGCAGGCAAAACCCTTCGTCCTCTCTTCACTGATTCCCATTATCTCTGCGTAGAGTTTGGTGAAATTCATCCGACGTGAAAGCTACAGTTGTTCCGATCAGTTTTGGTCCTTCCCACCCCTTCTCCCTTGGGTGTGTTGACACCTGCTCGAGGGGATGGTCTCACCGACAGACTCTGCCCTGCTCAGGGTCGCAGAGGTCTGCCGTGGGAGCGCACGGCAGGTCCTGCCCGCTCACCCGTCAAAAGCGACTAAAAAAAAAAGCACGGAGCCGGCTGGCGATTTTATTTCAACTTTGCTTTTTCGGGGCGGTTTGCGGGACACCGCGGTGCGCAATTGGCTGTCACGTTTCGCTGCAGAAAACAGGCAGTCACTCCACTTTGCGGTATAGCCTGTGAAGCGTATTGACCGTCTGACCGCCCTGACCAGGCGCTGCATCCAATGTCAGGATTATTACAATTAAAGATGAAATCCAACCCTGTAATATCCTGTGGCAACAGGACCGACAGCCTCACCTGCCAGGGTTTGCCCTCCTGGCGCTGAGCTCAGCTTCACATGCACGTCAACGAGGTGACGAGCGTCCGGCCTGGGCTTGGCCCGGTCCCTGGCTATCCCGCGGTCTGGGCCTGTCCCCGCGGTGTCGGTGCTGTTGTCCCGGTGTTTCCCTGTCCTGAGTGGGTGGCTCAAGGAGCTGCAGCTTCTGTCAATCTCACTTCTGTCCCGCCCTCCCCGGATGCCCATTGGCTTATCCGTATGTCACCGGGAGTTGATTGGTCAGATTGGCCGTCACTCGCGGGCGGGGATCACTCCCATGGTGCCGCGCGCGGGTCAGTTGCCACAGCAACGGCCGGGCCTAGTACGGCTCTTGAAGCCTGCGATTCGCCGTCATGTGGAGCTCGACGGCGGCGACAGTAGCGGCCGGCGCAATGCCCCTGGCCTCAAGCCGGCGGCTTCTGAGTGTCTCGGCGGCTGTGCGCGCCCGCACGCCGCATCCCCGGAGGGAGGTCCCGGAGGTGCAGATCCCCGGGCTGGAGCCCGTCACCTACTGGGACAGGATGCACTTTGTGCCGGGCTTGGCGCACCCCACGGGGCCGGCCTGGGACCGCGGCTGGAAGGACCCGCGCCGCTACCGGGGCCCCAAGATCGAGGAGATGGCACTGTACAAGGAGAGGCCCTGTCACATCTTCAACCAGCGGACGAAAATGCTGGAAGGTGAAGCAGCGAGAGCCTGAGGCCGGGATTGGGAGTGAGGTGGTGTGTCAGGGTGGATTGACCAGCTGGACAGTGGGTACATAGGAACAGGAGGAGGCCATTCAGCCCCTCCAGCCAGTTGCGCCATTCTATTTAGATCACAGCTGATCTGCACCTCAACACCAATAATCCCCGTTGCCCGATATCCCTGAATACCCAGAACTAACAAAACATCTGCCCACCTCAGTCTTGACAAAGCGAATGGATCCAGGCACAGTCCACCGCCTTTTGGTCGAGAGGGTTCAAGATTTCCACTCCCCTTTGAGCGAAAAAGGGGCACCTTGGAACAGGAGTAGGTCTGTTCCGTCATTCTATAAGATGATGGCTGATCTGTACCTCCAATCCAATTACCCGCCCTTTTCCCTGCGGGTATTTGCAGGAACTCCATCCCGCAAAAGGGTTAGAGTACAAGAGGAGGGAAGTCTTGCTGCAGTTGTATAATTCCTTGGTGAGACCGCAACTAGAATATTGTGTTCAGTTTTGTTCTCCTTATTTAAGAAAGGACATACTTCTCTGAGAGGGGGTCCAGCATAGATTCACTAGGTTGGTTCCTGGGATGAGGGGATTGACCTATTAGGATAGGTTGAGTAAATTAGGCCTATATTCTACAGAATATAGAAGAATTAGAGGTGATTTTATAGAAACCTATAAGATTCTTAAGGGTCTTGACAGGGTAGATGTCGTGCGACTGTTTCCCCTGGTTGGAGAATCTAAATCTAGGGGTCATAGTCTCAAAATTAATCGTCAGCCTTTTTGAACTGAGTTGAGAAGGGAATTCTCTACCTCAGCAGGCTGTGGATGCTCAGTCCTTGAACCTATTCAAGACTGAGCTTGATACATTTCTAAAGGATAGAGGGCTTAAGGGATATGGGAATAGGGCAGATAAATGGAATTAGGTTAGAAGATCAGCCATGATCTTATGAAATGGCGGGGCAGGCTCGAGGGGCCTAATGGCCTACTCCTGCTCCTTATGTCTTATGGTCTCTTCGACCGTGCTTTCGTTCACCCTGCTTCCCCAACCTGCCCTCCACCTTCACCAATCCTGACCCCCAGTTCGGGTCCGAAACGCAGACTGTCCAGCGCCTTGGGACGACCTCCTGACGTGAAAAGCGGTATACAAATAAAATGTTGTTGTTGTTTTATGTTTCACTACAGGTGTCAAACAAGCTCTTTGGTTGACAAAGTCCAAGCTGGTCGAGGGGCTTCCTGCACAGATCCTGAGAATAGCTGAAGATCCCGCCAATCGCATTGAGGAGCAGGACGAGCGCGTTCAGGAGGCGATCAACCGCGCTCGCTTTTGGATCACCACCGAAATCCGTCCCAAGAGAGATCGCTTCAGGTGAGCTGCCCTTCAGGCAGGCTCAGTGTTGGTCATTGGTGCTGGGCAGTTGCTAAGAGTGTCCAGTGCGTCCCTTTATCCTATAATAATAAAGTGTTTCGCCCACAAATAAACGGTCAATTCACTTTACAGTCTATTCTGTGAAGCGCTTTGAGATGTCGAGGAGACGTGAAAAGCGCTATATCAAATGCAAGGATTATTATTATATTTATATGTAATAATAATCTTTACATTCTTTTCGTGTCAATGGGGAATCCCAAACGATTCACGGGATTCACTGTAAAGTTTAGTGACTGTTAGTCTGCCAACGCAGCAGCCAATCTGCACACAGCGACATCTAAAATAATCTAATGATCCCTCTAAAACAAAAAACAGTAATAAATTGGTCACTTTCAATCCACGACTGTTTGTGGGACACTGCTGTGCGCAATTGGTGCCGCATTTCACCCACAAATATACGGTCAGTTCACCTTATAACATATTCTGTGAAGCGCTTTTAGACGTCGAGAAGACATGAAAAGCGCTATATCAAATGCAAGGATTAGTATTATTATTATTAATATCTCACAAGCACCCTGGAGATTGTTGGCCAGGACACTGGGAATCCCAATGTGAACCCACAGCCTCCTGTCTCAGAGGCCAGAGTACTGCTGACTAAGTCGGACTGGCACCAAAATAATATTTCTACAAGTTCTTTGTGATTCTCACACAGTAGTAAAAAACTGAAATGAATTCCACACTGCCGTACCTCTCACTCTCCTCAATTTCTTCACCAAATAGCAACTTCCTTCTTGATCTCACAGTCTGCCTCCCTGGTTTGTCTATTCTACACACTCACCGACTATGTAGAGTAATTAAATCTGAACAGCCTGTTCATCTTCCCTCTTCTGAATTTGAGTCAATGTTCCCTTGTGGTAGACTTTGTGACCATATTAAGACTCAATTTCCTATGTGAATAAAACAACATTTACATTTACACAGCGTTTTTCATTTCGGGAGGACGACCCAAGGAGCTGGACAGTCAGGGATTTGGACCCAAGTTGGGATCAGGAGGGATGGAGGGCAGGAAGGCAAGGGGTAGGAGGGTGGCTGTAGTCGCGGTCAAAGAGGAGGGTCTTGAGACATATCTTAAAGGAGGCAAGGAAAAGAGCAAGGCAAAGGGACTGTGGAATGGAGTTCCAAAGGTTGGAGGCAGAGAGGCTGAAAGCAGTGTTACTCATTGATTGCAGGGTGCCCAGACTGCTTAGCTGTGGGTATTAATCCACACCCTGATACAGTCGTGCTGCAGTTTCCTCAATTAAACTTCTCAATGCTTTTCTCTCCCAGCCCTGCGTTGCTGCAGGATCTCTTACATTTGTGCAGGACTCAGCAGCAACGATTCCCTGGACTCGGAGACAGGTCACTGGCTGAAAATTACCGAGTGGCAGTAACGTGGGAGAGAGGTGAGATAGCGGCACCTGATGAGAGATGTCACTGTGGGACAGGGACAATCTCGATTGATATCCCACCTCCCCCATCACACACACACACACACACCAATCTCTCAATCTATCATATCAACAACAACAATAAATTACAGCGCCTTTCACGTCGGGAGAATGTGAAAGGCGCTGGACAGGGTAAGGATTTAGACTAGACTCAAGCAAGGAGTTGGGATAAGAGAGCAGGAGGGTGGGAGGCAAGGGAAGGGAGCAAGACGAAGGGTCTGTGGGTTAGAGCTCCAAAGGTCAGAAAGTGAGCAATTGCATTTGTTCGTTGAAATACTGTATGATCCTCTTGCAGGATATATTTGCAACAGTCTGACTGTCAGCACTGTACTGTGCCCAGCATGCTCCGTGTCAGCACATGTACATGGGAATGTGCAGGACAGGCTCTGCCGTGGGTTTGTGCTGAACATGTTGTTTTACAGAGACGGACCTGTTCCAGGTACGGGGTGTGAATGGAATCCTCTTGAACAGCACACGCCCATTGCCAGCGATGGCGGCCAAAGAGGAGGTGATGGACACTGAGGGCCATTTGCTCCCATCCTTCTACCCCATCGCCCCCACTATTGATCTGCAGCAAATACACGTCTACCAGGAGCCCAACGACACAGGTCAGGTCTTTGTCTCACTGTAATCACTGGCTCGGGTTATTCTGAGGGGTGGGGGGATGTCATAATAAATCATGTGAAGCACTATGAGATGTCCTCCAAAAAGAGGTGGTGGGAGAGGGTTTGCTCAGGGTGATTTGGATGGAGTGGCAGTGGCATCAGTAGCACACGAAGGGAGCGTGTGTGCAGTGATATTCAGTTTGGGGAGGTGAAGGCTGCGGTTTTGTTCCGTTGAGCTATTTCAGGATGGGCCTGTATATTTTTGTTTTGGGGGTGGGGAGGGTGGAGAAATTGAAGCAAGGGTGTGTTCAGTGTATCTAATCCCTCCCTGTACATGTGCAGGTTTCCGAGCTGGGTACCCGTACCCTCACGCACACACGCTCTATATTGACAACTCCTCTATCACCATCATGCGCTTCAAGCCAGAGGCTCTGAGAGCCAAGATGATCATGTTCGCGTTTGCCAATGCGCTGGCCAGGGCCAAGCTTGTGTACGGGGTAAGTGTGTATGTGTAGGTATGTGGGGGGGGCAGGTGTGTACGGGGTGGAGGAGGTGGGGGTAAGGTGGGAGCAAGGTGTGTGTAATAAGTGGAATTCAATTTCCCTGAATTTTTTAACCTCAAAATTGCTAGAATTTACTAAATATTCCAGTTTAATGGGTTTCTCCAGGCTTTACCCTCTCTCTCACTCTCTCTTTCTCTCAGGAGGAGCCCAGGGTTTTGGATGAACCCATTACAGTGCAGAGTGTGGCCAGCAATGGAAGAGTTTTCCAGTTCCTAGTTTTCCAGCTGAACACAACAGATCTACAGCCCGACCAGGGTGTAAAGAATCTGGTTTGGCTGGACAGTGATCAGCTGCTGTATGACTATGCCAAGTGCCGGCCGGAAATCCGCAAAAAAGTGGTGCAGGTGAGTGAGGACACTAGTTAAACTAACCTAGTGGTACAAATTAATCAGTTAAGGGCAAAGAACTGGTTTTAAGAAGAATTTCAGCAAAGGCATGAGGCAATGTGAATGACTTAGTAATCTTGAGATATCAGGTGTTCTCCCCGTGTATGTGTGTGTAAGTGTCTGCACCAGTGCTGAGGGAGGTTGGGGGTGTTGGGGGCTGGAGTATTCACTACTGAGGCATTAGATGATGTGAACGTCTGTGTGTGTGTGTGTGTATATATATATATAAAGACAGCGACTGCACCAGTGCTGGGGGTGCTGGAGCATTCACTACTGAGGTATTCACTGCTGAGAAGTGCTGTGGTGCTCACTTCCAGCTTGTTCTGTGCAGGTCCCCGTAGGGCTGTCTGGTTACCGCCCGGAGACGTTTAACAAGTTCCTGGCACTGTACCTCCACGGAGCAGTGTAAATCAACGACCTGCCTCACGGACCGGATCCAGGGACAGCGAGTGGGACATGGGCTTGTGACAGACTGCTCGGGACTGCTGATAATTATTCATTGTAAGATGGAGATTTGTAGCCTATTTATCTGTACATAAGGTGCCCTCTAATTAAATGTTTATTACACATTCTGGAGTTTATTTGTTGGTTCAGGGAAAAAAGCCTCTACTTGAAATTATTGTAGAGTGTAAGAAGTTTATAGCACAGAAGCCCCATTGTGTCCGGCTAATAAGATGCTAGAATACATTGTCTCTATGAGTTTCAGCGAGTCAGTGGCTGCACTCATCAGTCTGTGTTTTATCCCTGGATACTTCACCCTCAGATACACTCTCTCTCTCGTCAGTGATCTCACACAAGTGTGTCTGTACCACACTTCTCTGACTTTATAGCTTTATAAAATCTCTTGGATTTTACAAAATAATGTATGTTTATACAGCACCTTTCTCATCGGGAGGACACCTCAAAAGCACTTCACAATACTGGCTGGGCTGGGAGCGAGAGGGGAGAGATGGCTGAAAACAGCACATTTTGAAACAACAACTTCCATTCATATAGTGCCCCTCTTCACAGAGCGTCTCACTCGCTCAAACACAAATACACAACATTCACACATATAGCCCAGCTACTGTTGAGGACTAAGCTCGAGGCACACAGACAGACATAGAAAATACTAATCCCTCAATTCACTGTAATAACTACAGATTTAAACGGCTAAAATTACTTGAACAAAGTGCTTCAGACATCTGCTCCTCAGTGTTGGTCGATTTATGTCAAGAATTCACTGTCAAACCTCATTTACCTTCAAAAGGCAGATCACGGTGAGTAGCAGAGAGGCGAGGAGAGCTAAAGAGCATTACTTACAGGATGGGAGTGAGAGACGTCTAAAATGTCAGACATCACGTTCAACCACTTGCTCTCTACGCTGACACTTAAAAGGAAATGTGGCATAAGAGTTAAGAGATAACAGCCCTACGTTCCTGAGCCACAGCAGTCATGCTGTATTCAAGCAGCTTTGTTCCTGCTTAAAGCAATATTCAAAGAGCAAATTTAATCATTTAATGCACTTAAATTTATCCAACTAAAGTAGGTTACCAGAGGCCACATGAAAAGGTCTGTACTGGAAAATAACCCCTTTACTCAGAGCCAGGAGACTGAAGGGATGGGTTCGGGGAAAAGTTATCACGTGGATTCCTCATAATCCAGAGCTTTCCAGGTCTGAGTGACTAGAGGCTAGCACCATCAACATTTAAAAGGGAATTGGACATTTATCTGAAGAGGACAAATATTTAAAGGTTAAAGGGAAAGAGCAGGGAATGACTGGAAGCAGGGACCGTAAATCCTTTAAGGAGGGAATTGGAAGCTTGAAAAAACAGGAAGATTGAAATGTGTGAGGTTGCTGGGATTGGTGGGGGGGGGGGGGGGGGGGTTAAACTCAGCAGGTCATGTGGAAACAGCAACACAAGATTAAATGGGGAAAATGTCCCATTTCTGGATAGTAGGATTCGTATGATTCTATGCATTTGGATTGGAAATAGTTACTCTGGGGGCCTGGGAAGAGGAAGCTAGCACCAGGACGGGATCAATTGGCCTCTTCTTGTGCTCTCTCTGATTCAATCATATAATAGAATCTTAGAATTATACAGCACAGGAGGAGGCCATTTGGCCCATCATGTCTGTGCCGGCTTTTTGAAAAGAGCTACCCAAATCAATCCCATTCCCCCACTCTCGCCCCATAGCCCTGCAAACCTGTCCTCCCCAAATAATTATCTTTTATATATGTGGTTAAATCACCTCCTGAGAAAACTAACGTCCCTTCATACACTTACACGCACTTGTGTCCACCCCGGAAACAGCACCAAGGACACACACAGACACCCATCTCCTCCCACCCCACCATGTTGGGGCTTAAACCTTGAACTCAATAGTCTAAGATGAAGATCCGAAGCAGTGCTGGGGTCCTTTCCGCCTGTTCAGGTGGACATTAAAGTTCCCATGGCACGATTGGAAAAGAGAAGGGAGTTTCTCTCCTGGTGTCCAGGCTGACAATCCGCCAAATAAAATTGGTCACTCGGTGCACGACTGTTTGTGGGACATTTCTGTGCGCAATTGGCTGCCGCGTTTGCTCACAAAATGCACAGTCAAACCGCCTTATGAAGAGTTTGAGACATCTCAACGATGTGATCAGGCGCTGTATGAAATGCATGAATTATTGATATTATTTTGCACAACAGCCTCTTAAATATGAACAAAACATTTACTTACCAGAGTTAATATTGTGTCAAACTCGTCTGAAGACAGCAAGTTGGAAGCTGCAGGTTACAGGAGTTACTGGCAGTGAAAGGAGTTGGAGCTATTTAAACCGACGGACAAAAGTATCACATAATGAGCAGACTGGCACAACATTAAAGCACACCAATTTAAGTATAATATCCTACATTACTTTAGAATCACTAACCAGAGGTCAGGGACAGGAAGAGGCCACATGCCCCAGCTACTACCCCCAAACTACTAAACCTCATCCCGGAATCCTGGTGACAGCACATTCCTTTAAATTGTAATCATCCTTACATTTGATATGGCAATTTATCATTGGTGAGATGTCTCAAAGCGCTTCACAGTACATATTGTAAAGTGGATTGACGATGTATTTCATGGGAGAAACATGGCAGCCAATCGTCCACAGCAGTATTCTACACACAGTCGTGGGGATTTAGTGACCAATTTTTTTTGAATGGATTATTATTCCCGGAAAGCGATCTGCCAAGTGACTAAGAACCGGGTTCTTACTCACTGCTAGGTAAACAGACAACAACAAAATGACATTTGTAAAGTGCCTTTCACGTCAGTAGGACGTCCCAAGGTGCTGAACAGTCGGGGATCAGGACCCGAGCGTGGTGGGGGGGGCAGGGTGCGGAGTAAGAAAACTAGTCCAGGAACCGAAACCCAGGTCTTCTCACTATATGAGGCAAATGCCCTGACCACTACACTACTGGGACTTCACTAACTTCTTTCACCTTGCTCTTTTCGCCTTTCCTTTACTAAAGGTGAATATCAGCTCAGGTGAGGGCAGTATTAGAGCTTAAGAGATGGATGAAACTCGCTGTCTGGGGTCCCACATGAAGACGACTCAGTGTAAGCAAGGTGTAAGTTAGGTGCCCGTTGAACCCTCAGGAAGAAGACAATTTATAGGGAGCAAATGATCGAGTTATACCTCAGTAACAAGTTTCGGTGCATTTCCCGATATACCGATACTCTCAGTCACACCGTCCTGTCATAAGGTCCCAAGCCATGCTCCAGCTCTCCCTTTCCTCACCCACATCCGTCTCTCTCCCAGTCTGTCCACACGTTCCCTGTATTCACCCGGCATTCCAGCTGTCTCTCTCGTTGCTGTGGCCGGAGATTGACCAACCACCTAACAATCACTTTCTCCCAATTTCTGCACTGTTTCTTTTATCGCTGGCCGAATCTACAACTTTCTTTCCCTTTAGATCATGCACCCTCCCCAGGCGGAATGCTCAATCTCCTGACTAAAACAGATTTCTCGCTCTCTCTCACCACATAGACTCCTGCACAGTGTGGAGCATCTCAGCTCTGTTCCCAACAAGTGACCGTGTGTTATCTCAGCCCTCTACACAGTGAGTGACTGTGTGCGATAGCTCAGCCGTGTACACAGTGAGTGACTGCACACAGACACTAGCCCAGGAATCCAGGGTGACATTGAGTCATCTTAAAAGAAACTTCTAAAGTGACAAAGTCCAACCGGCCGGCAATGGCTGTGTTTTGTGTTTACATTTATTACAGCGTTGGGAGAAAAGAACCGTTTCATTCAAAACTATCCCCGATGAAGACAATAATTCAGCGAATTTTAAAATCACATCCGCCAGATTCTCTTTTTTTTTAAAATCCATGTTTCCTGGAGACCAAATTCAGCAGCAAAATGACACCGGCTGCTTTCACCGCAACTGCAGATGGGCGATTCCTGTAACCCTTTCAGCCACTTCACAGCTGAACAGTTAAAAATTATTTTAAACACATCTAAAACACAATCTGTTTAGAATGGTCCTTCTATTGACCCCAACCTGTTCCCCACCCCCACCCTCCCCCCAACCCAAAAGTATAATATCCCAGAATCTGCAGTCAGTACAAGAAAAACACAGTTGACGTTCCGGATACGGTCCAGGGTCAGAAAAACATCCCTGAACAAAACAAACAAATATTGAAGACAAAAGTACAGTGTAGGAGTTTCTCATTTGTAACCAGACTACAGGTAAGAAACACAGAACGGCTGCAATGTGTTTGAGAATCAGCACAAGGCAATATTTTACAATAACTGGACACATTGTACAGAGGTGCGCTCAAACAAAGACAGTCTTTGCAGGTAGTGTATGTACTGTACAGAGACCCAGACCTGCCACTAGGCAGTGCCACTGCACCGCTGCTGCTCTGCAGATCGGAAGCTGCCTGTTTTTTGTAACGAGGGCCGAGGCCGGCCGGCTGTTGGGAGCGAGCCGCGATGGACGTTAGATACAGAGGAAATGCAGCCACTCTAGGTCCAAGGTGCGTGTGTGGGGGGGNAAGAAGGGAGAGGGTAGGTATGGAGTCTTCAGGCCGGAGATTGGCCCATCAGTGCCGAGCCCTCAGGGAATGATAGATGGGGAAAAAGTCTCAAAGAAGCAACAGGGGAAGGGGGAGAAATTGGTACTAACACAAAAAAAAGGCTTGAAAAGTAACACCGAGGTGTAAATATCCCAGATTAAATGGCGATAATAGCACAAGGTTGGATCTTCCAGCAAGTAGCATCTTCAGCTCAGTTCCAAGGGTTCAGAGGATGAAGCGAGGTCAGTATCCATCATCTCCTCAAAGAGACAATGTGTCCACACACACACGCACACATACGCACGCACACTCCCTCCGGGAAAGGGCTCCACGTACGTCTCAAATCATTTTGTCCTTCATGTTTATGGAATAAAAGTTCGGCCTTTTTGCTTTGTGCATGAAATTAAAATTGGGGATTTGCCCCCAGTTCCTCGTCAACGCGCTTGGCCGCTTCCTGTATTCGCTCCTTAATCTTCCAAATGGCAGCCGGCTCGCTCTGGTCCTGGGGAGGGGAAAAATCACACGCTCATCGTCATGCTGGGAGAGTACTGCAAGAGAGCAACACAGGGTTACAGGCTGGAACCTCCGCTCTACATACACACATCTACATTCAACCCCACACCTTAGTCATCACGAAGAGCTTTACACGAGAAGCCCGACCACCATTCTTACATTTGACGCATGTTAATTTAATAATAATTCTTGTCTTTGATATAGTGCCTTATCACGTTAATGAGACGTCTCAAAGCGCTTCACAGAATATAGTGTAAAGTATAGTGTATATTTTGTGGGTGAAACGCGTACTATGTAGACTGTTAGCCTGTGTATGTCAATACTGAATGTACATGTTGCTGAATGCGTCTGTACTCTGGATGTACATAATTGAATGTATTCTATACGGGTGTATGTACTCTACATGGATGTACATGTTTGCGCACTGGGTCAATGTATTCTACACTGGATGTATGTATTCTACACTGAATGTGCACACTTTATCATGTGTCTGGGTTTAACACTCACATTGTCGTTCTGGAAAGAATGCAGGAAGCTGCCCCCCAGCTCCCCGTCCCCCCGCGGGGTCCCGGGTGCGTTACTAATGTTGCTCATGTTGTTTGGAGAGTTCTAGAAATGTAAGAAATTCAACTTTAATAATAAATCGTATTAACGTTTCCTCAAACACTATAAACATTCTCAGGATAGAAAGCAGAACAGGCAAGAGATCTAACCCCCATCTCTCTCTCACTCTCTCACACACACACTCTAGCCACAGATTAATCTCTTCCCCGCCCCCAGGCTTTCAGGGGAGGGTTACTGTTGGCTGCTCACAGAGACAAGTTTGCCTTGCACCCTGGCTCCCAGCTGTAGCAGATAGATCAGCAATTACCCACACAGCGAGTTAGACAGTAATACCAGCTTCCTACCTTCGGGATCCCGTCCATATCTCCCGACCCTGAGGCAACAAAAAATATATTTACACCAGGTGATGAGCCTCACACACACTCACCTCTATAGTCACTCACTGTGTCTGACGCACTCACCTCTAGCGTGTCACTGTCTCTCACACACACTCAACAACAACATTACATTTGTAGAGCGCCTTTCACGTCGGGAGGACACCCCATGGAGTTCCAGAGTGTGGGGGCAGAGAGGCTAAAAGCCTGGCTACCAATGGTAGGGCGGGTCGGGCAGGAGACATGGAGCAGACCGGAGCCCACTGAACGCGGAGGGAGCGGGCAGGTTGGTAGGGAGTCAGCAGGTCAGAGAGGTAGGAGGGGGCAAGGCCATGGATGGCCTTGAAAGTGAGGATGAGGATCTTGAACTCGATCGTCTGGGGGATGGGGAGCCAGTGGAGTCGGGCGAGGGTGGGAGTGATGGGGTCGCAGAGCCTGGTGCCCGAGAGTACATGAGCTGCAGAGTTTTGCATGATCTACTCACCTCTATAGTCAGTCACACAGTCTCACACTCATCTCCAGTCAGTCACTGTCTCACACACACTTATCTCTATAGTCGATCACTGAGTCTCACACCCACACTTGCCTCTGTATTCACTCACTCAGTCTCTCTCTCTCACACACACACACACTTATCTCTATAGTCCGTCACTGTCTCACACATGCTCACCTCTACAATCAGTCACTCAGTCTCTCACACACACTCGCCTCTCTAGCTGGGACTCACCTAATGATCCATTCATGTGATGCGCTTCAATTCCTCCCATTCCCCCCATCGGACCATCGGAGCCAGGTCCCAGCGGGAACTGGAGAGGGAAATAGGAGGGAGCAAGAAATCACAGGGTTAGCACGTGACAGGGACAGCAAAACCCCTTACTCAAGGCCAGCCCACACGTAAGATGTGAGGCGGAGAGATATCGCAGAGAGGCTGGTAACTGGCCCTCTCACCAGACCGGGAGATTGTCAGGGAATGGGATCAAGGAGCTGGAAAGACTCTGAAGATGTAAATAGGGGAGAAAAAACATTTCCTTCAGATAGCAAATGATGACTGGACACTTAACCTAGACTCAGGATTATTAGCAGGAAAATGGGGGCAAGAGTTGGAAGGAATTGCTGGGATCTCATTCCCACAGGTGAGGATGGATCAATAGAATCATTTGAGAGCAAACCTGAGCAGTAACATATTCAGGGAGAGCTGGAAGGTTCAGATTAATAGAGAAAATGAGCAACTTGGGAACATGGGAAAACAGGAACAGGAGGACATTCAGCCCATCAAGTCTGTTCCACCGGTGTATTAGCTCTTTGAATTCTAACGCAACGCCCTTTCACCACAGAGAATATAGGACAACGGGGAGCAGCTGCAGAGGCTGGCCTGCTGCGCCAGATGTTCAGGATTGTTAAAGCTGTGCTTCCATCTCTCAGTTTTGCAGCATCGACAAATGACTTTTATAAAGCACCTTTCATGTCGGGAGGATGCCCAAGGCACTGGACGCGGGGATTTGAACAAGTGAGGAATGGCGAGGGCAGTTCTGGGCCAGGGCCTCATCTGTACAGTCCAAGGAGTCAATGCCGCCTGGACACACAACTCACATTTGAGCGGCTGCCGCCAGGAGGCGCAGGGTTAATCATCGTGTACATGGTCTCGCTGGAGTTCGTTGAATCTGTTGTGTGTAAGAGAGGTAAGATTCAGCGTGAGGGACAGAGAGCTCGGACTACATGTGTGGCACATACCAGCGCACAACACGCCAGCTACACACCAAAAGCTCGCTGAGCCTCGTTCACTAGCGACAGATGCCACAACCAAAACCAGGATCTGGTCAGCGATACACTGGCTGCATCAGCAAACAGCAGTAACCAGAGTCGCCAGCAAACACAGGCTTAACCCAAACAAGTAACCAAGTCTCCCAGACAATGGTCGAGACGCAGCTTGTGCCCTGCACAGTTCACCGCGACCAGAAGACAGAATGAGTGAGAGTGTGCGCTGACTAAGAGACTTATTGACTAAACAGAGAAAAAGGACAGATTTTTATAGCTGATTAGTGAGCGGCTGGTTAGGATGTGTCAGTGCTGCGGTTGGGCTCAGGGCTGTTACTCTGTACCTGCTGGACTTGGCATGATGGGCGTTCCTGGGGGTCCTCCTCCACCTGCAGGGCCCTAAGGAGAGAACACACACCCTGAGCAATGCTGCCAAAGATGACTCCTCCACCACACACCGCTCACAACTCTGACCAGCTCCCAGGTGTAACACACACACCGACAACCAACTGCATTAATAGAGCACCTTCACTCAGGGTAGCGCCTCGGAGCGCTTAGTCACACAGTTACGTACCCCGTATGAACCAGGTGAAGACGACGAATATGGAATCTGTAAATCAAAACATTCCTCAGGTCAGAGATATGTGGAGGTTTCTAGGTAATTACTGGGCTCAGACCCTGGAACACAATACACCCAGTGAGAGTAATGGGTTAATCTCCTCACAAAGCCTGTTACCCCCTCATATGCATAGCCCCCAACTGTAACACATAGTCAACCATTTCACACATCAAACCAAACAGTTTGCCCTCACCCCTTCAAACAGACTCCCCCCTAGAACTAACATCCCAAGCTTGGCTGGGAATGACATGCACACACGCACTCTCACACACAGGGACGCAGTGATGGGCCGCTCACTGCTATGCTGAAGGAAGCAGGGAAGCACGCACACGCATAGACAGGTTGGAGTGAGTTGAGGATAGTCACTTACTGAGTTAGCGTTGGAATGGTTGGGCCATTGCCGGCCTGCTCCGGGGCCCCTGAAACAGACAGCAATAAACCATTTACATTCTCACAGACTCCCTTCAGTGATGCGGTGAAAGTTACAACAGGCTCCAGCCCTAGGGTCACACTGTGTTGCTAACAGGGGAGTAAATACAGGAGAAAAACACAGACACATGAGCAGAATGAGTGAATAATCAGGCAGAATACTGGTCAGGAGAATTCAAGTGTGGGGTGGTTGGGGGTTAGAGAGAGAGAGCGGCGTGGTGGGAGGGGCAGCAGTTTATTGCTGTTTGGCCGCAGTAACTTACATGCTCATCCCAGGCATGCCGGGGCCGATGGAGTTGGGCGGAGGCCTCATTGAACCAGTGTAGCTCTGCAACGATAACCAAGGGTCAGACTACCGTAACCAGAGAGAGAGAGAGAGAGAGAGAGAGAGGGGGGGGGGGGGGGGGGTTGGGGGGAAGAGAAAAGAGAAAAGGGTTAGTAAATTATTACACTGGCCGAGAGAGAGAGAGAGAGAGAGAGAGAGAGAGCGAGCGAGCGCTAAGCGGCTGCTATCACCTCCGGAGAGGAGACCAGCCTCTGGTCTCCTGCGTACGAAGGGAACCCGCTCCGGTCATTGCTCCAAACAATCTGTGGTTATATACAGCAGCCTTCACATGCAACACTGAGCGCATTGTCAAGACAGGAGCGGACGCCGAGAGGGGAGCTGACCACAGGCGCAGCTGAAGAGGTAGGTGTTAAGGCAGGACTTAAAAACACAGGAGCGGGAGATGGAGGGCTTGAGGGACTTCCTGAGGTTATGGGCCATAGATTGTGAAGGCTCGGCCACCAATGGTGCACAGGTCAAGGGGCCAAGCAGAGGAGTGGTGTCGGGAGTCACTCAGAGAGAAAGGTGGGTGTTGTGGTGTGAAGGGATTTATAGGAGAGGGCGAAGAGCTTCACAGTGACCCACTGGGAGGCAGGAGTCAGTGGTGTCCGTGGGGTGATGGATGGTGGAGTTTTGAATAAATTAAGAGCTTATGGGCAGTGATCAGCGAGGAGAGAGTTTGCAAAGTCCAGGCGGGAGATAACGCCGGTTTAGATAAGGGTTTGGTGCGAGACAGAACTGGAGGTGGATGATATATTGGAGGTGAATAAAAGCCTTGATCAGGAACTGGATGCAAGGGAGAAAGGAGCTGAGGATCGAACCTCTTTGCGCAGACTCATTAATCATCAGGTCAGCAGCCCACAGACACACAATGTCCTACCTGTGGTCCCATCGGCCCCATTCCCCGTGGGGGAGCACTCATTCGCTGCATTGGCCCCCCCATACCTGGGTGCCCTGTGGAGCAAGAGAAATCTAGTTACAACAACAACCTCCATTTTTATATTTATATAGCAACGTTCACAAAGACGGGGTCACAGTTGAGTGAGAGGGACAGAGGGGCAGGTGGCTGTAGGTGCATTTGAAGAGGTAGGTTATCAAGCAAAATTCAAGAGAAAGGTGATAGAACGAGTGTCCCCCAGGCTCACCTTGCTGTCGTGTGGGGTCCATCGCGTTGGTGAGTAGCTGCTGGGCTCCGGGAACAGCACCCGGAGGCTGGGGACAGACAGACAGAGGGAGAGAGAGTTAGCCAACAGTGGCAGGTCCACACTATGCCTGAGGTTCACTGTGCGATATCTGCAGGTGGGGAGAATCCAGCTCCATGGGGTGGCCAATCTCGCTTCCTCCCTCGTCTCCTTTAAGACCCGTCTCTAGACCTTCCTCTTTGACTGCACCTTCACGCCCCCTCCTCGCCTCCCTCTCGATTCCAACCCCCAGCTCTGGTGCAAACCCTTAACTCTCCAGCACATTGGGGCATCCTTCTGATGTTAAAGACATTGTGTAAACGTTAATTTTGTTATTGCCCTGAAAGAATCAAAAAGGTACGAATGTTGGTAAAGAAATGAGGCTCAGGAAAAGGCTGGGGTGAGGGCGTTGAACACTCAGGACGTGACTCACCTGGCTTCCCATCCTGATGGCTGGCCTTGGGCCTCCAGCGTATCGCGGTGACATGAAAGTCTGTAATCAAGACATTAAGTTTAATCACAATAACTAACCCTGCAGCACCAGGTCATGTATTAAACACAGGCTCTCTCTACCGGGGCAGCCTTAACCATTGGTAGCCAGACCTCCCCAACCACCCACCCCCAATACACATACGATTTGTACATTTACACAAATTGGCTGTCGTGATTTTCTCCAAGACAAACACACAGTCACTGCGCTTTATAGTATCCTCTGAAGCACTATGAGATGTTCTCCCGATGTAGGCGCTGTATGAAATGTACATATTATTATTATATTATTATAATCTCTAACAAGTTAAATCCTAAAATATACAGGAACAGCTTCCTCCCAACATTGCCCCAATAAACCCCAACTGTTTAATAATAACACAAGCCCCCACAGTATAGGTTGCAAAGGAAGGTGGGAAGGAAGAGAAGGAAGCGAAAAATGAAAGAAACGAGCAAGCAAGCGAGCAAAAGAATCAACAAGTGAGAAAGAAGAAATTAACAAACGAAAAAGAATGAAAGAGAGTGAACGAGAACAAGAAGGAAAGTGTGAACAAGAGGACGAACGAACGAGAAGTGGATAGAATTGATGGTCTGAACCCCAGGCTGGTCTTAACATAGCCAGTCGGGTGGGGGGGGTCAGGCTCAGCTGTGATACTCTCTGCAGTTCAGTGGTCCCTTGGGTGGGTGACGACAGGACAACCATAGATATGGAACTGGATCCCAGAGTAGGGAGGCTGGGAGCCAGGATAGAGATTTCACTGTATTGTGTTTAAAAACCCTGGCTTGACTTGGTGAGACTTAAGATATCATCAGCCTGTGGCACAGCAAGTACATGGTGTAATACAGCGCGCGTGGTTAACTCAGTGCAATGTTCTCAATACTAAACTATTGGCTGTCACTTGCCCCTCTCTGCTCTCCGGTGCCAGCCTCCGCCAAGGAAGTGAGGAGGCCACCATCTCCAGGTCAGTCACACCTGGCATAGCACACGTGGCAGAACTATAATCACTGCACATTCGCTAACACGGTGAGGAGGAGAAATGGCTGAACAGTGGGCACTCCGTCTTAGCTCAGCTACATCCACAATCTGGGGTGAGTGGGTAAGCTTCCTACAGGCAGGATGGGCTGCGGTGATGGTGTAATATGGTGGTGCTCTGAAATCCCCCCCCACGTGAGGCTAATCCAATTTACTGTAGGCTTCACTACACATTTGCCAACTTCCTTCAAACCCTCCCCAGATCTGGGAACATCCCAATAGGAAGGGTCACCAATTGGAAAAGGAAAGTCGCGCTTCCCAAGTTAGTCCCAGCCCACGTTCCGCGCTCCCCCTCCCCACCCCGTTACCTGACTGTGGGGTCCCATCATGTTGTTAGGGTTGTGAGGAGGCTGTGCGTGAGGCGAGGGCTGAGACCCTGGGGGACCCTGCGAGAGGTTAGAGAGCAAGTTACACCTTCAGAGCACACATGGGACACAGCCAGCTAGCCCAGCCAGCCTGCCCACCCGGCCAGGCAGCCCGCAAGAGACCTTACTTACAGCAGCAGGTTTATTAATTAAAGGATTAATTAACCATTTAGAGATTGTGCAAAGCAGCTGTCACCAAACCCGATCCCAGCAAAGAAAAATTACACAGCGCTGGAAATGAACAGCAACATGCAGAAGAGGAACAGAGCAAATGGAAAGACAGCTGGAGGGAGTAAGGACCTGGAAGTCTGCACTGAACAGGGACAGGTGTCGCCTTTCAATACAAGGTTTCAAATAATAAACTGTGCGCTGAAAACGATTTGTTTGAGAAGCAGTGAACGACTGTCTGCCATCATTGGTGGATGTGAATGCGAGCAGAATAGAAATATTTTTACAGCCCATCACAAGAGCGAATCGAGACTTCCTCCAACACCTCCAGAGTTTGATCCCAAAACTGAGCCCCACGATAACCATCCGCTGTGCGTGGGCCGTGTGTGGCCGGGCCGCTGGAGGGTGGTACGCACTGGCTCCACGTCGCTCAATTTGCTGCACTTCATCTCTAACAGCTGAAGGCAGCATCAGCACACAAAGCTCGGGCACCAATTCAACAGGGGCTGCTGATCCATTAGGTGAGGCTAGAACTGGGCGGGCGGGGCTTCAAGCAGGTGGGAAGAGCCGGGAGGGTGGGGGGGTTCTGTCTGAGCGTATGTGTCTGTGTGTGTATGGGGGCATATAGGCCTGAAACTCCCGTCACAGGAGAGCAGAGAGAGAGCATCGAGATCAAGCTTCCCCTAACCACAGGGACGCTGAGCGGTGCAGATAAATGAACAAAACCAACACTGCCAATGGCACGGGGCCGAGGCAATCCTCAGGAAGAGTCTGGGATCAGTACCTGGAAGAAGCCGGGGGGAATAGGACCTCCAGGGATCCCGTCGTTGGGGGGAATGTTCCCCAGCACCGGGCTGGGAGCGGCGGCTGCACTCTGCAAAACACCAACAAACATAGTAAATAACACTGCTTCCCTCATCACAGCCTTTCCCAGCATGTACTGTAGTGACTGTATTTTGTAAGCAAACACGGCAGCCAATCAGCGCACAGCCCTAGACATACGAGTGTGCACTAAATATAATAATAATCCTTGCATTTATATAGCGCACTATAACATCTTCGAGACATCTCAAATTGTTTTACAGGATATAATGTAAAGTGAATTGACTGTATATTTGTGGGTGAAACACAGCAGTCTATTGCGCACAGCAGTGTCCCACAAACAGTCGTAGATTGAAAATGACCAATTTATTATTGTTTTTGGTTTTGGAGAGATTATTATTAGGCTCTGTGTGGAGTAAGGAAACTTGCCCAAGGTTTCCCCTCTGCCTGGAATTGAACTCAGGTCTCTCACTGGCAAAGCGAGTGCTCTAACCACTGAGCTACAGGACTCCAGCAATGTGTTCATAGAATCATAGAACCTTACAGCATAGAAGGAGGCCATTCGGCCCATCGTGCCTGTGCTTTCTTTGAAAGAACTACCAACTAGTCCCACTCCCCCACTCTTATCCCATAGCCGTACACGTTGTTCTTGTGGCTATGGGAAAGGCACCAACCTTTCAGACAGTGCATTCCAACTGTTGTTGTGTATGGGTTACAGGTTGGCTGGGTGTGGCCAGTGACGTCAGCTCCTGCTCTGTATCCTGTATCCATGACATGAACTGCTTTCAGCAAAAATTTCCCTGAAAGATATGACTAATTTACTGTCTGATGGAATTCGAGTCTATCAAATGGCAAATTACTTTACGGTTTCCCATGTGTCGAAGTCTGAAGCCAGCTCTGAGAATCCACTCATTCTCTCACCCATTCACTTTCTTGCTCCAATGTCGTCCAATTTCTGTTCCACTTTCGTCCCTGTCCTCCAGGGCACTGCTGATGACAGAAACAGCAACAACAACAAAATTACATTATAGAGCGCCTTTCACGTCGGGAGGACGTCCCTAAGTGCTGCACACCCAGCCTGGCTCATCACCAGGACTTGGAAAGGCACACCAGTCACTGGGGGCAGTGAATCATCCCACTCAGCTCCTGTTAACCCTGTAAGCCAAAGCCCTAATGGGTAGGGTGGTCCATTGAACTGGTAGACTGGTTCCACTGGTGGTGGTGGTGGGGGAGGGAGGGAATAAGTAAACGGAGTGGAGGGTGTTGATGGAATCGGGAAAGAAGAGAAAGAGGGAAGCTGAGTATCTCTCAGAGCCGGAACCACAGGAGCCGGAACCATGGAACTGGCGACGGTCTCTCTCAGGTGATCTTGGGGCTCGGCTGCCAAAAGCTGAGCTGCTGGGATAAGATCAGCAGCTGAGAACAGGCTGCAGAGCAGGATGACCCTGAGAATATTCCAGCAGAGAGTGAGAAAGAGAATGCGAGAGCCAGACAGTGAGAGAGAGAAAGCGCAAGAGATAAGACACACAGTAAGAGACCAACAGTGAAAGAGAGAGCATGAGAGACAGTGAAAAAGAGAGAGAGGTATTGTATTTGGCCAGTAATCCTCTAAATTGCTTTAAATAATTTATGAACCCAGAATCCAGATCCCACATAACAGCAACTGGGAGCGTTGGACTGTGGCGAGGGTTGGACGTCAGACGAAAGAGAAGGATTATTAAGGGGGAGGTGATCACAGGCGTGGATGAAGAGGTAGATCTTCAGGTGGGATTTAAAGAAAGTGGGAGCGAGTGGGGCAGAGAGAGGGGTGGAGGTAGAGAGTTTCAGAGATTAGGGGCATAATGGCTGAAGGCACAGTCGCTTATTGTAGATAACACACCGAAACAAGATTTTTTTTTGAAAAAGTTTATTAAAATGAACAAACGTTTTATTAAAAATACTGTTTTAGAAACCAAAGCAACCCCGTTCATTTTGCAAGAATGAAATTGCATTTCGCTGCTTGGAATATTCACCAGATACAGCAATTATCCCCCACCCACCCTACCCTCTGGAACTCCATCCTGCAGTCCCTCCGCTTCACCCCCTCTCTTGCCTCCTTCAAGACCCATCTCAAGTCCCTCCTCTTTGACCGTGCTTTCCATCACCCTCCTTCCCTCCACAATCCTGACCCCCAGCTCGGGTTCGAAACACTGACTGTCCAGCGCTTTGGGACATCCTCCCGACATGAAAAACGCTATACAAATGTAATTTTGTTGTTGTTGTGGTTAAACGTCACCAAGTCTCTACCCTATTGGCATGTAACTGTGAAGGGCTCAAACAACAACAACAATTTTTTAAAGACAAAACAATCTCAGGGCTGAGACTGGAGCGAATTTGGGGGTCTCTGGTGCAGCACCCAGCACAATTCTCTTTCTCTACACTGCACCAGTCACAGAGAGAGAGAGAATGAGACTCACAGAGAGATGTAGAGAGACGCACACGGACAGAGAGGGAGAAAGAGAGAGGTGGAGAAAGAGAAACGGAGAAAGACAGAGGAGGGGGAGGAAAAGAGACAGGGGAAGAGATACAGAGAAATGGAGAGAGAAAGGGAGAGAAGGGGGAAGAAAAAGGGAGAAAGAGAGATGGGGAGAGACATAGAGAAAACAAGACAGAGGGGGGTGGGGGAGACCGGGAGTTGCGGACGGAGAGACACAGACACTTTAACCGTCGTTGTCGTCGTTGTTCCCACCCCGGGAAGGCTGAGCTGCCAGTGAAACCCGGCCCAGACTCTATCACAAAACAAAACAATTTACCACCAGACGCCGAGCGAGCTGAGCGCAACGCTGTTCAAGTGGATAATTAACATATCAAAGTTAATTAATTTAGGTAATTAGCACGTTGTTACAAGGTGTCATCCTTATTAGAAACAAGTAAATTGTCTCAGGGAATAAGTGATGAACAGGACTGAGGGTGGGCAAGCCCAGCCCAGCCCGCACTTAGCATACAGTCATTAATCTAATTGGACCATTTGTGCCATTTACCACCTCGCCTCAGCATCGCTTAACGCCAACTGAAATCTTCCCAAAGGACCTCATAGAAGCCAGAGTAAACCCTGCTTCCTGTGAGACACCCACTCTGCACTGAGGGACCATCAGGTGAGGGTGGCATCAGCGCTGAGAGGCAGAGAGATGTGTAGAGTCCAAACGAGAGAGCGAGACTGGAGCTCAATGTGGGGTGCAGCCTTCAAAGGGGGGGGGGTGCAGCCTTCAAAGGGGGGGGTGCAGCCTTCAAAGGGGGGGCAGCCTACAAGGTTCCAACGTGACAGCCACACCCACCCCACTCCGGCCCGAGGTCATCTGGGTCACCTCTGTCCACTGACCGGTGTCCGGGTCGAAACATTCAACACTGCTGAGGAAGTCCTGGCCATCATAGCCACCTGCCAAAAGGGTGAGGTGGTCAGTGCACATCATCCTTCATACACCTCGTGCCATTCCCACACCCCAGGGGCTCAAAGTGCTTGAAGGGCCCTTTAACCCAGACTTCTAAAAGATTCAGCTTCTAAACAAAGACAGCCCCAATTGCCCCACCCCCATTAATAATTATAATTCTTTGACACATTTGATATAGCGTCTCAAAGCGCTTCACAGAATACACTGTAAAGTGGATTAACCGTATTTTGTAGCTTTTTTACATTGCACAGCACATCGTCCCAACACAAACGCAAACATGCACACACACAGGGCAGTGTGATGGTGAGGGATAAGCAAGGTTTATGGTATTTACCGAGTACGTAGATCTTGCCCTGATACACGGTGACTCCCAACGCACTGCGCTTGTGCTTCATTGGTGCGATGCATGTCCACTGGCCGTTCTCGATCTCGTAGCGCTCCACACTGTTCAGCTGGTTCACTCCATCGTACCCGCCGATCGCATACACGCAGTTTCTCAGATTGCACACACCTGAGCACAACCACAGCTCAGCTCCAGGCCTGACACACATTCCCCTCCTCCAACTCTCTCCCCTCCTCTCTCCCCTTCCCCTCCTCTCCCTCTTTCTCCTCTCCCCACTCTTCCAGCACTACTCTCTCCTCCACCTCTCCTCTTCCAGCTCTCTCCCATCCTACTCTGGCTGCCACCGCCCACCTCCCTCACCCCAGCCCCCCACTGGCTCCCACCCTTCACAACCCTCATCGCCCAACAACCCCTCACCCCCCCACCGCCGACTCCCCTCCCCGGCTCCCCCTCCCGCCTACTTCCCTCACCGCAAGCCCCACCCCCCTCACCGGCTCCACTCCTGACGGTGTTCATGGGGCCAATGGTCTCCCACTTGTTGTCCTCGGGATAGTAACGCTCAGCAGAGTTGAGCCGGCTCGTGCCGTCGAAGCCACCGATGGCGTAGAGGAGCCGGTTGGCGATGGCCACACCCACCCCAATCCTGCTGGTGGACATGGCGGCTACAAACTCCCACTGGTCCTTCTCAGGGTCGTACCTGGGGCACAGAGCAAGAGCAACACAGTATAACACAGGGTGCAGAACAGGGTAATAACGCAGGGTGTAATCCAACACACACTCCCTTGCACCCAACACACATACAAAGAAGCTTGCTGGCAGTTCCACCACACATCCGCCATGCACATTCTCAAAGCTGTCAGATGCCAAAACTTATCAGATGTCAAACAAACAACTTGTGACTATCCCGGGAGGTGTGTCTGTGTGTGTGTGAGTGTGTGACACTATTAGATTGTATTTCAATCTAGTATTTCACACAGTTGCCGTGTTGTTTTACAGTCCCGCACCGAGCACGGAGACCAACCTTTCCACGGTGCTGTGGTGACTGCAGCCTTCAGAGCCGCCCACGGCATAGATCATGCCATCGATCACTCCTCCGCCCACACGGTTGCGAGGGAGGTGCAGTGGGGCGCAGGCTGACCACATGTTGTTCATGGGGTTGTAGCAGTCCAGGGCGTTGGAGTCCGTGTTGCCATCCGGCGAGTTATTCCTGCCGCCCACCACGTACAGCAGCCCGTTCACCGTGCATGTGGCCAGCCCGCTCCGTGGCACCGGCATGTCTGCCAGCCTCACCCACCTAGCATCCAGCGGGTTGTAGGCCTCCAAGTAGCTGAGTGACTGCCGGAAATAGCCCCCCGCCGAGTAGATGAGCTGCGAGACCTTGGGGGAGCGGCAGGGACAGCCCTGGGTGGGCTTGTGTAGCGTCAACTCCTTGAAGACCCCGACCAGGTAATCCTTACACTTGGAGTCCATGCGGAGGATTTCGCACTTCTGTAGCTGTGTCTGCAGGAAGTTGGGTGTGAGTGAGTGGCAGCGTACGGCGTTGAGCAGAGCGTGGATGTATGGCCGCCGGCTTTCACACTCGTACTTTACCCACTGGATACAGGCGTGATACACCTCAGACTCACACCGCACATTCAGCTCGTCACGGCTGATCAGGCTGACCAGCTGGCACTGCGTCAGGTTGAAGAACTCCTCTTGTTTTGCCACCTGCAGAGGGACAGACATAGGCGACTCCTGAACACTACAGAAACGCTCTACGGCAGTGACGGGGTCAGAGACGTTTTGACACAATAATAATAATAATCCTTGCATTTGAATCAGCGCTTTATCATGTCATTGAGACGTCTCAAATCGCTTCGCAAGATATACTGCAAACTGGATTAACTGTGGGACGTCCTCCTGACGTGAAAGGCGCTTTATAAATGGAATCTTGTTGTTGTTGTTGTTGTTGTTGTGTATTTTATGGGAGAAACGCGGCAGCTAATTGTGCACAGCAGTGTCCCACAAACAGTTGTGGATTGAGTGACCACATTTTTTTGGAGGGATTATTACACAGGGAAAGCCATCCGGCAATCAACCGAGTCCTACTTGCTCGGTAAACAGAGGCGTGTGGAGTAAGGAAACTTGCCTAAGGTTTCACCCTGTCCGCCCAGGAATCAAACCTGGGTCCTCTTACTTGTGAGGAGAGTGCTCTAGCCACTAAGCTACAGGACTCCATGATAAAGCCGCGTGACAATGAGAGCCATTTCTCCCAGTGCTCACCTCACTGAAGTGCAGGTAGATGTACTCCCTGGCTTTGAGGCTCAGCTCCTGGCATCCGATCTCCTCGGCAAAAGCGGCAAAGCCGATGGCATTGCTGGGGTCGAGCTGCTCCACCAGGAAGTCACAGCAAGCCTGCACCACACTGTCCATCTGGTACATGACAGCCCCGGTCATCACGTGCAGCACGCACTTCTCACCCACGGTGATGCTCGCGGTGTAGGCAAACTCAACCAGCCTCTGCATGACCTTGGGATGGATGCCCTCGATGGGGATGACCTCCATGCCGCGCTCCCTCAGTCCCGCGGTGAACATGGCCCTGAAGACGGGACTGCAGGAGGCCAGCACTATCTTGTGGGCCATAATCTCCTCCTCCAGGTCCTTGTACTTCACCTTCAGCGTCACATCACATAACTGCTGGCTCAGACGCATCTCGTTCATGATGGTGAAGGCAGCTGCCGTGTGGCTGTCCAGGGCATAGCTGAACACGCGGCTGGCATTTGCCGAGGGCATCACCTCGGCCGCGCAGCCTGCAGAGCCCGACATCTCACACGCTCGCTGGATCGATCTCCGGGCGCCAGGCAATACCACGCTCACTCACTGGCTGGTTGAACACGGAGAGAGGGCTAGAGTTTGGTCACCGTGACCTCACCGCTCCAGTCTGACCCATCATCGGCTCCACCACAACAATGCTCTTCCCACTCGATTAAGGTGTGACTGAGAGGAAAGCAGACATAATTACTGACCAAGAGGTTTGTTCAGAGAGAAGCAGCATGGTAACACCGGGTGCTTAGTGCCACACTCGCCGCCAGCACTGCCAGCAACTCCCGCTCACTGGGAGTTGGTCTCAATCAGCTCCTTAGAAACAGCCGTGTTATGAGCCACCGTTGGCACCAGGCTGTTGCTCAGCAGGATAACAGCGCTCCAGCCTCCGGCAACAATACATTGTCCTCAGCATCAGCCACGGTTTCTGCGCCTGATCCCATCATTAACTAGTGCAACAGGTGTATGGTCACATTGAGAGAGAAAGAAGGAAAAGATTGCTTGTGAGAGAGCTAGAGAGTGATATAGAGCGAGGGAGAGAGCAATAGCCAGAGGGTTAGAGGGAAGGAGAGAGCAATGGCAATGGATATGTATAGCTAAAGAGACATACACTGAAAAAGAGTAGCTAAGAATTGTTACTCGTGTTCACCAGGAACGATCGATACTCAAAGAGCTTCCTATTTACTCTGCCGATAATGTCACCTGTGAAGCATTCTGAATGTCGTCTCCAAATCAGACTGTGAACTTGTTGACAATGTGCTGTGGATGATTGGCGAATGACTCATCTGCTATGCATTTTGAAGTAAACATTGATGTACATTTTGCTTACTCATTCACAGCGGCTGCTGGCAAAGTACTGAAACTTCGTCCAAGGCTGGGAGAAGGCGGGCTGTCACACAGGCCCAGGCCAGAAACACTAAAACAGCCTTGAATAATCCCTACAGTCAGCCAAATACATACGTAATCCCTCAACAGGAAGTCAGGAGAGTAACACACAACACTCACTGGTCATCTTCCAATCACTACTACGTGCACTTCTAATAATAATAAATAATAATAATAATCCTCGCATTTGATATAGCGCTTTTCACGTCGAGAGGACGTCCCAAAGCGCTTCACAGGACACACTGTAAAGTGAATTGACTGTATATTTGTGGGCGAACGCGGCAGCCAATTGCGCACAGCAATGTCCCACAAACAGTCATGGATTGAAAATGACCAATTTATTATTGTTTTTTGTTTTGGAGGGATTATTATTAGGCTCTGTGTGGAGTAAGGAAACTTGCCCAAGGTTTCGCCCTGTGCCTACAAGTCTCTCCCCCCCAGACTTTTAAAGCCGCCTTACGACTGCTCTCCTCACCCCCGCTTTCAATCACTATTCCTCTCCTCGACACACGGCTCGGGATTCCAGTCAGCTGTGAAAAGCACTTTGGAACATCCTCCAGACGTACATAAATGATATTGTATTACACTGCACCTTCCCACATCGGAAGACGCGATGAGGCACAATATCAAATGCACGGATTATTATTATTAATTAATAATCCCTTCAAAAATAAATAGATAAATAATAATTTGGCCACTCAATCCACGACTGTTTGTGGGACATTGCTGTGCGCAATTGGCTTCCATGTTTCTCCCACGAAACACAGTCATAGAATCATAGAATTGTACAGCACAAAAAGAGGCCATTCGGCCCACCGAGTCTGTGCGGCTCTTTGAATAGAGCAATGTAATGTCAGTCCCACTCCCCAGCCCCTTCCCCATAACCCTGCAAACCCGTCCTCCCCAAATACCCGTCCACCATGTTTTTAAAAGTAGTTATCGAATCGGCCTCGACCGCCCTTTCAGGCAATGCGTTCCAGATTCGAACAACTCACTCCGTGAAAAAATTTCTTCTCACCTCCCCTCGACTTCTTTTAGATACTATTTTGAATCTGTGACTTCGAGTCACCGACACACCCACCAGTGGAAACAGTTTCTAACCTATCAAATCCCCTCATGATTTTGAAGACCTCTATTAGGTCTCCTCGTAACCTTCTCTGCTCCAATGAGAATAATCCCGGCCTCTCTGGCCTTTCCTCATAATCAAGGTCCCTCATTCCTGGTACCATCCTCATAAATCTCCTCTGCACCCTTTCCAATGCCTTAACATCCTTCCTATAGTGCGGTGCCCAGAACTGGGCGCAGTATTCTAACTGAGGCCTAACCAGTGTTTATATGGGTTAATCATAACCTCCTGACTCTTGTACTCTATGCCCCTATTTATAAAGCCTAGTATCCCATATGCCCTTTTTACAGCTTTATCTACCTGTCCTGCCACCTTCAAGGATTCATTTACCTGAACCCCCAGGTCTCTCTGTTCTTTTACCCCCCTTAAGATTGTATTACCAGCCTATATTGCTCCCCTCATTCTTTCTACCAAAATGCATTACCTCGCATTTCTCCACATTGAAACTCATCTGCCATGTGTCGCCCACTTTACGATTCTGTCTATATCTTCCTGCAGTCGGCTACTACTCACTGTTTACTACCCTACCTAACTTTGTGTAGTCCGCAAACTTGGAAATGGTACTTCCTATACCCAAGTCCAGATCATTAATGTACATTAAGAAGAGCAGTGGTCCTAATACCGATCCCTGGGGTACACTGTACACTTCCCTCCAGTCAGAAAAGCATCCGTTCACCACAACTCTCTGCTTTCTGTCTCCCAGACAGTTCTGGATCCATACTGCCACTGTCCCTTTTATACCATGGGCTTCTATCTTTCTTACAAGTCTTTCATGTGGCACTTTGTCAAATGCCTTTTGAAAGTCCATATAAACTACATCAACTGCACTACCTTTATCCACCCTCTCCATTACCTCATCGAAAAATTCTATTAGATTTGTTAGACAAGATTTGCCTTTAACAAATCCGTGCTGTCTGTCCCTAATTAACCCATATTCTTCTAAGTGAAGATTTATTCTGTCCCGGATTATAGTCTCCAGGAGTTTCCCCACTACTGATGTTAGGCTGACTGGCCTGGAGTTCCCAGGTTTGTCCTTCTGTCCCTTTTTGTACAGGGGAGTCACATTGGCCACTCTCCAGTCCTCTGGCACCACTCCTGTGTCCAACAAAGATTGACAAATTGTAGCCAAAGCCTCCGCTATTTGTACACGTGCCTCCCATAGTAACCTTGGAAGTTGACCCATATCTGTGGATGATGTCACCAAGAGGGAGCATATAGATATATATATAGATTGAAGAGGAGGGGACTGAGGACAGAGCCCCGAGATAGTGCGGGGGCTAGAGGAGAAAGGGGAGCGTGTGCGTTTGGGGAATAAATAACATATAAATAACAATATATAAGTAACTCGCATTTACATAGCACCCTTTCGCAGTGTAGCGTCTCGGAGCGGGCATGGAGGGGGGTGAGCAGAAGGTCAGAGATATACAAAACAACAAAATTACATTTGTATAGCGTCTTTCACGTCGGGAAGACGTCCCAAGGCACTGGACAATCAGTGTTTCAGACCTGAGCTGGGGGTCGGGATTGGGGAGGGTGGAGGGCAGGGGGAGGTAGCAGGGTGATCGAAAGCATGGTCGAAGAGGGTCTTGAGATGGGTCTTGAAGGAAGCAAAGGAGGGAGCGAGGTGGAGGGACTGCGGGATGGAGTTCCAGAGGGTAAGGGCAGAGTGTCAGAAGGCCCGCCCGCCAATGCTGGGGCAGGCAAGGCGTGGGACGTGAAGCAAGCCGGAGCCCGCTGAGCAGAGGGAGCGAGCAGGATGGTAGGGGTTAGGAGGTCGCAGAGGTCGGGGGGAGCAAGACCATGGAGAGCTTTGAAGGTGAGGACCAGGATCTTGAACTGTATCCTCTAAGTGATGGAAAGCCAATGGAGTCGGGCGAGGATGGGGGTGATAGGGTCATGGAGCCTGGTGCGGTAGAGGACACCGGCTGCAGAGTTCTGGATGATCTGCAGCCTGTGGAGGGAAGAGTTGGGGAGGCCCACAAGCAAGGAGTTTGCATAGTCGAGCCTCGATGCGATGAATGCACATATATAATGAATGCATGCAGCCTGCGGTGAGAGACAGCGGTGGAGCCGGGGGATGTTGCGGAGGTGGAGAAGGCAGAGTGGGTCATGGCACGGATGTGGGGTAGAAAGGATAGTTGAGGGTCAAACAGGACACCAGGGTTCTGGAGTGTGCATCCGTGGATGGTGATGCTATCAGCACCTGAGGCTGGAGGCACTGACGGGGGCTAATCAAGAGGGTCTTGGTTCTTGTTGACTTTCAACTGAAGAAAGTTATCTCTCATCCAGGACTTGATGTCTGACATGACATTCTGTCAGAACAGCAGTGGTCCTGGAGTCAAGAGTGGAGTCAGAGAGGTACAGTTGGGTGTCATCTGCATACATGTGGAAGTTGACCCATGTCTGTGGATGATGTCACCAAGAGGGAGCATATAGATATTGAAGAGGAGGGGACCGAGGACAGAGCCCCGAGATAGTGCAGGGGCTAGAGGAGAAACCGTTTGTGGAGATGAAGTGGAGGCGGTGTGAGAGGTACTATCTGAACCATGGATAGAGCCATGAAGGTTCAGGTGAGAGGAGAGATGGTGGATGAGGATAGCGTGGTTGATGTGTCGAAGGCAGCAGAGAGGTCAAGGAAGATGAGGAGGCAGAGGGAGCCCTGGTCACAGATGGACAGAATGTCATTTGTCACTTGACCAGGGCTGATTCTGTGCTGTGGGCGGCGAGGAAACCCGATTGGAGGCATTTGTGAAAGGAGTGGCGGGAGAGGAGCAAAGCTGGGAAGCAACAACTCATTCCAGGACCTGGGGGAGGAAAGTGAAGTTGGAGATGTGGCGGTAGTTTGAGAACAGGAATGGGTCCAGGTTTTTTTTAAGGGTAGGAATGATGACAGCTGTTTGTAAAGAGATGGGAATGGTACCAGTGGACAGGGAGTTTATGATCTCTGTGAGTAGAGGGGGAAGGGGGTGGAGCTGGAATGTAAGGAGCGGGCTGGGGATGGGGTCAAGGGAGCAGGTGATCGGTTTCATGTGGGTTATAGTGGTGATGAGAGAGGAGTGGGAGACAGGTTCGAAGGTGTGGAGGGAGGGATTGGTAGAGGCCGGGGTGAGAGGGGGAGATGGGGATTGGGTGGTAGACGGAAGTGCAGAGGCAGCTGAGCAGATCCCCTCGGCTTTGAATTCGAGGAAGTACAGCATTGATACACATTGGAGGTGAGGATGGGCGAAGCATGAGAGGGTGGGCGGAAGAGCCAGTTGGTGATGGAGAAGGAGTTTGGGATTGACCTTAGCCTCCAAGATTGCCTTGGAGTAGAACAACTGATTTGATGAGCGCGAACCCCTGTCTCGCTTCATAGAGATAAGAGGTACGAAGCGTAAGGCACAGGTTTTATGAATGATGAAAACACAAGAGAGGCTGTGAGGCCGAGACCAGCGGCAGAAGCCGCACAGACTGGAGGTGTGAGGTGAAGGTGGTCAAACCCCACACTACCAAGCGTTCTGCGGAAATCAAGGGAAATTCTGCTTGACGCAACAAAAGCCGGCAGGAAATTCAGTAGATTGACAGTAACCTTTTCCAGACTCATCTCGCAGTAAAAATAATTATTCTGGCCGAAACACAAAACACTGCAGATGCTGGAATTATTCTGGCATTCGATACAGCATCTTCCACACCAGGAGGACATCTCAGAGCGCCGCATAGGATGCAACTGCAAAGTGTAGTGACCGTATTTTGAAGGCAAATAACCATGTCCCCCGTAAACAGTGACTGAAGTGAAGTGATTGCCCGGTTTTATCTGGGAGATTGTTCGTGGGAATAGGAAGGGAGGCCATTCAGCCCCTCGAGCCTGTTCCGCCACTCTGCGAGATCGTGGCTGATCCGCACCTCAACACCAATTTACCCGCCTTTTGCCCCATATCCCTTGAATAATCGCTCCAAAACCAAAAACAATAATAAATCGGTCATTTTCAATCCGCGGCTGTTTGTGGGACATTGCTGTGCGCAATTGGCGGCCGCGTTCGCCCACAAATATGCAGTCAATTCACTTTACAGTATATTCTGTGAAGCGCTTTGGGACGTCCTCCCGACGTGAAAAGCGCTATATCAGATGCGAGGATTATTATTATTATTATTATTATTATTATTATTATTATATACCCGGACCTGACAAACGTCCACCTCAGCCAACACGCGTTAGGGCCCTGAGGTCTGAGGGGCTTCACTCGCGGTGGTTTGGCTATTCGGGAAATTTCCCCGAACGCCCCGGCGAACGGCTCCCGAGCGTCAGCCCGGACTGCGGGGCTCAGAGCCCCCACACCCCCCCACCCACCCCCACGCACACAGCTCCCCGCGGTGTCGAGTTGGGGGGTCGGGCCGAGGCCTACAGCTCAGAGGCGGCGCCGAGCGGCCTGGGCCCCGGGGAGGCAGCGGCGGCGCCCTGGAAACCGAGCGCGGCCGGTGACACTCCTCCCCGAGGCCGGGCCCGGAGCGGTACTGGAAGCCGAGGCCTGAGCCGGGCTCCAGGGCCTCCCACCTCTCGGCTGCTTACCTGATCCCTCGGCCCCGCACCTGCTCTGTGGCCGCCTCCGCTGACAGCCCCGCCAGCCAATCGCAGGCCCGGATCCTGCAGAGTGACAGCCCCCGCAAGAGTCCAGCCAATCCTAGCCCCGGATCCTGCAGAGTGACAGCCCCATCAGCCAATCACAGCCCGGGATCCTGCAGAGTGACAGCCCCGCCAGCCAATCACAGCTCGGGATCCTGCAGAGTGACAGCCCCGCCAGCCAATCGCAGCCCCGGATCCTGCAGAGTGACAGCCCCCGCAAGAGTCCAGCCAATCGCAGCCCCGGATCCTGCAGAGTGACAGCCCCGCCAGCCAATCGCAGCCCGGGATCCTGCAGAGTGACAGCCCCCGCAAGAGTCCAGCCAATCGCAGCCAAACAAAGGGCGGGGCGGGGCCAGCCGGGGTGAGCGCCCCCCTGTGGGCAATCCTGGCTCTGCACGGCTCAAGGGTCAGACTTGGGAGGGGAATTGATTGGAAGATACAGTTGGGCATCAGTCCCGTTGCTGATCGTCATCGGCGTCTGTCCCCATTGCTCCACCATCGGAGGTTCGCGTATTCAGCCACGACGTCCTGCACCGAGAGGGCGTTGTAAATTGTTGTCGTCATCGGTGCCTGTGGAGGAGTCCTGTAGCGTAGTGGGTTAGAGCGCTCGCCTGGCAAGCGAGAGGACCCGGGTTCGATTCCCGGCAGGTAAGACTGCACAGTCACTACACTTTACAGTGGATTCAGTAAGCGCTTTTGAGACGACTCGAAGACAACGATAAGTTGCGATATCAAACTTTAGGTGTGGAATCCGGTAGCTCAGCGGTTTGAGCACTCGCCTCGCAAGTGGAGACCTGTGTTGTGTTTCCGGCAGAGAGGAATGCGGGACACGTTTCCTCACTCCACACGCCTCTGTTTGCCTAATGTTAGAGTAGGAACCCTGTTGTTAGTCGATTGGTAGACCGCTTTCCGGGGGTAATAATTCGTTTTAAAAAAAAGTCACTCAATCCACTGTTATGCGCTGTTTGGCTGCAGCTTTTCGCCCACAAAATATGCAGTCAATTCACTTTACAGTGTATTCTGCAAAGTGTTTCGAGTCATCTCAAAGATATGGTAAGGATATCAAATGCACGGATTATTATATTATGATAATGTTCCACTTTGTACACTGGATTCCTGCACTGAGGAGTTTCCCTGTGGGGAATGTGGCGATGCCATCAGTACCACAACTCTGCAACAGAGGGAGCCATATAAATGGGTGTTGGGAGTGAATTTCTGGCTTACAAGCCAACAATTCCTGTTCAATTCCAGGTCAAAAAGTATAATAATATTGTCCACTTTGCCTTTGATCGGTAGTTGCTGTTTAAACTCCACACCTCAAACTGGTGGAACCATTGCTCAGTAGGAAGGTCCGTATGCCCGAGCTGCAGACAGGAAGATGGTGGCAATGCTCTCACACATTTCATGCTGAGCTGTGTTGCCCACCTTCGAAGGAAGTTCCAAGTACCAACAGTCTACCTAGTGAGGGCTCAAACCAACACTTCCCAGATGTCAAATAACCAACTAGTTACTCACCTCCTGGGGACGAGCACTGCTCTGTCCCAGAGGCACCGACACTGCCTGAAGGTATTCGAGTTGCTGTGTTGACCGCAGACTCACACACTCCGCGGACCGGGATTGAGGCATTGGCGATGCCCCCATTCCCGTCCGGAGGGCAGCTGGAACTGGGCTGGGCTGGGCTGAGCTGGGCTGGAGCTGGGCTGAGCTGGGCTGGAGCTGAGCTGGGCTGGGGTGGAGCTGGGCTGAGCCGGGCTGGGCTGGGCTGGGCTGAGCTGGGCTGGGCCGGGCTGAGCCGGGCTGGGCTGGAGTGGAGCTGGGCTGAGCTGGGGCTGGGCTGGGGTGGAGCTGGGCTGAGCTGGGCTGAGCTGGGCTGGGCCGGGCTGAGCCGGGCTGGAGCTGGGCTGGGCTGAGCTGGGCTGGCTGGGCTGGGCTGGGTGGAGCTGGGCTGAGCTGGGGCTGGGGGGTGGAGCTGGGCTGAGCTGGGCTGGGCTGAGCTGGGCCGGGCTGGGCCGGGCTGAGCCGGGCTGGAGCTGGGCTGGGCTGAGCTGGGCTGGGCCGGGCTGAGGGCTGAGCCGGGCTGGAGCTGGGCTGGGCTGAGCTGGGCTGGGCTGGGCTGAGCTGGACTGGGCCGGGCTGAGCCGGGCTGGAGCTGGGCTGGGCTGAGCTGGGCTGGGCTGGGCTGAGCTGGGGGTCAGGCGGACCCACGGGCCGCGCTTTGGAACCTCCTGATCGGCTGTTCCCAGGGAATCTCTCTACCTGGGACCCGGGGAGCGAGTGAGCAGTCAGCACACAGTGCCACCTCCACACTACACTGACAGCAAACAACCACTCCACACTACACTGCTCTGTGTGTGGGGGGGGGGGGGTCAGCCCTCCCTCGGGGGAAAGAGACACACACACACACACATAGGGAGAGAGTCACACACACACACACGGAGAGTCACACACACACACACACACAAGGAGAGAGTCACACACACAGGGAGAGAGTCACACACACACACACGGAGAGAATCACACACACACACACAGGGAGAGAATCACACACACACACGGAGAGAATCACACACACACACACACACGGAGAGAATCACACACACACACACACGGAGAGAAACACACACACACACACACACAGGGAGAGAATCGCACACACACAAGAGAATCACACACAGGAGAGAATCACACACACACACACTACGCCACTTGTGTCAACAACTCCTTGTGGTTGCATGATCAACATTCCCACTACTTTCTGTGTAAAGAAATTTCTTCTAACATTCGTATTTGATCTATTTGTGACGAGTTTACATTGATGGCCCCTGGTTTTGGTCTCCCCCACAAGTGGAAACATCTTCCCTGTGTCTACCATATCAAAATCTTTCATAATTTCAAAGACCTCTATCAGATCACCTCTTACAAGAGAAAAGGGTCCATGCATGTTCAGCCTTTCCTGTTAGGTATAACCCCTTGTCGTGGCTCGATGCGCTACCATAAACACAATTCAAAGACAGTTTCATCAATCAACAACCATTGTAAGCTTTATTGACCCACTGCAGTGAGGGAAGAGGTCCGTTCAGGTTACAATACCCGAGCAGGACAACTTCGAATTCTATGTGATTATACAGAGTATATGTATTTTTAGAATACATGATACACAAATCTTATCCAACCAAAATAGTTTGTTCACGTGAATACTTTTTTTCCAATTTTCCTAATTGGTAGTTTTTACTCTTGCATGGCTTTGTATTGTCTGTCAATTAAATTTGTCAAACATAGCGATACTCCTTACCAATTAATTTTAGTGAGGCAGGAAAGACCTTGGAGGAGATCTTTTGATTCTTTGCCAATAGATAGTACGCTTGCCAATTTTACTGATACAGGGACAGCACAAAGACAGTGCAATTAGAAGGTAAAGGGCTGTTTACACTGTAGTGCAAGATGTTTTTAACCCGTTATGTGATAGTTCAAATTACATTTCCACACCTTCTCCAGTGCCTCTACGTCCCAATATAATGTGGGGACCAGAACTGCACACAATATTCTAAGTGTGGTCTAACCAAGGTTCTATAGAAGTTTACAATAACTTCCCTGCTTTTCATTTCTATCCCTCTAGAAACAAACCCCAATGCCTGGTTTGCCTTTTTGTGGTCTTATTAACCTACTTTGATACTTTTAGTGAATTGTGTATGTGTACCCCTAGATCCCTTTGCTCCTCTACCCCATTGAGGTTTTTATTTTCCAGGATGTATGTGGCTTCCTCATTCCTTCTACCAAAACAGTCGTAGATTGAGTGACCAAATGCTTATTCTTTTTAAAGAAATTTAAAGGATTATTACTCCCGGAAAAGCGATCAGCTAATTGACTAACAACCAAGTTCCTACTTATTGCTGGGTAAACCGAGAGGCGTGAAATAAGGAAACTTGCCTAACATTTCACCCTGCCCAGAAATCAAATTCAGGTCCTCTTGCTTGCGCTACGGGACTCCACATACTACAGAAGTGGTCACTGCACAGCACTGGTGATCAGCCTCACAGCACATGAGGAAGTGTGGGCTGGAGATTTCCTCACCAAACGGTAGCAGTTTGAGGCAGGAAGTGTGTGAGTGGTCACAGTGTGTCCATGGCTGGCAAGTAACCAGCTCAGGGTGGGAGATCTGAGTGTGGCTATTAAACTGTGGTAAGCTTGCCACAGGTAGTTTGGCATCAGTCACTGGCCTCCAGCTAGTCACTGACATTGGTCACTGACGCTAGTCCCTCTTTGGCGCTAATTCATTTTGGTTTCACAACAACAACAAATGACATTGACACGGTGCTTTTCACAGGGAGCAGGTTAATCACCTCTGGACTTTGGCTGCTGACTGGATAATGTTGTGTTTCTCTAGGGTTTGCTCAGAGCCTGACGATGGCCGAGATGGGGAGCTTGCAGACGGGACGCCAAGAGAGCTATGAGGAGCAACGGATGGAGGAGGGGTATAGGAACCCGACCCAGGTGCAGATGAGCCAGCTGATCCTCCCGTGTCACACTCAACATGGTGAGGAGCTGAGTGTGGGGCAGCTCCTCAAGTGGATGGACATCACGGCCTGTCTGTCCGGTGAGTGAGTGACAACAGGCAAAACCCCAGCAGTTACCCCAACGCATTCCCCTCCCAAGCCTTGGCTTTCGCCAACCTGCATCTAAGACGCTTTGAGATCAGGCAAGTAGGAGGGGGAAGCTCCAGGGAGAGAGTGCGCATTCCATTCCGGACACAGGAATTAGCACGTGTAAGCGTCTCCGAGTTTCCAAAACCTAACTCTCCCACTATGTCTTTCCTCAACTTTCCATTTCTCCCCCCCTTTCCCCGCGCCCCACTCATCCTCTTGACACAGCGCCCTTCAAGTGGACGCCTCAAAGCGCTTCCCAGAATTTGCTGTAAAGTGTAGTGACTCGTGCGTTTGTAGACGAGGCCTGTGTTGTTGTTGTTGTTAATGATGATCTCTGCTCTCTCCCCGGTAGCGGAGAGACACGCTCTCTGCCCGTGTGTCACCGTCTCTGTGGACGACATTGACTTTGAACATTCGCTCAGGTAACGTTCCCCTCTCCCCATTGGCTGCTCTCAGCCCCCTATCCCCATTGGCTACTCTCAGCCCCCTATCCCCATTGGCTACTCTCAGCCCCCTATCCCCACTGGATGCTCTCAGTCCCCTCTCCCCATTGGCTACTCTCTGGCCCCTCTCCCCATTGGTTACTCTCAGGCCCCTCTCCACATTTGCTGTCCCTTTAGGAAAAAATATCACTAATATCATAGCCGGAGATCTCAGTCCACGACTGGTTGTGGGACACTGCTGTGTGCAATTGGCTGCCTCATTTCACCCACAAGATACACAGTTACTACACTTTGCAGTACATTCTGTGAAGCACTTTGAGACGTCTCAAAGATATGATAAGGCACTATATCAAATGCAAAGATTATTATTGTTATTATTGGTCCAAACGTTCTCAGTGGGGATGAGGGGATGCAGCGGTGGTGGTGGTGGGGGGGGGGGGGGAGTATGTGAGGGTGGGTGGGGGGGAGGGCAGGGTGAAGGTGGGGGGTGATGAGCGTGTGATGGGGGGGTGAGTGTGGGAGTGGGGAGTGTGGGTTGGGGAGTGTGTGGGAGGGGGTGAGTGTAGGGGACAGGCAGAGTGCGAGGAGGGGAGAGTTAGATCCGGGACTGGAGGACGTTTGTGGAAATGTCCTCCAGAAGAGAAGGAAGCAATAACTACTCACTGAGCCCAGGCTACGTGTTAAGACATTCACTGTTGCTCTAATCTGGCCTCTTACCTCAATGACATCCCCGGTTTCCTCTTGTTGCAGCGTTGGACAGATTGTTAACATCCGAGCGAAAGTGAACCGAGCTTTCAACACCAGCATGGAGGTCAGCATCTCAGGGGCTGCGACTGTCTCTCTCTGTGTGGCCATGTGTATATTAATCACTAACCCTTTTCAGACCAGGTGCTTTACAGTCATTGTGGTGTGCATGCCCACTTACATGCGTGTGTATGTATGTATGTATGTATGAGTGGTTGTGAGTGTGCGATTGCGTATGTGTATGTGTGTATACACTAGTCCTGGAGTCCTGTAGCTCAGTGGTTATAGCACTCGCTTTGCCAGCGAGAGACCTGAGTTCAATTCCAGGCAGAGGGCGAAACCTTGGGCAAGTTTCCTTACTCCACACAGAGCCTAATAATAATCCCTCCAAAACCAAAACAATAATAAATTGGTCATTTTCAATCCACGACTGTTTGTGGGACATTGCTGTGCGCAATTGGCTGCCGAGTTCGCCCACAAATTCACTTTGCGGTGTGTTCTGTGAAGCGCTTTGGGACGTCCTCCCGACGTGAAAAGCGCTATATCAAATGCAAGGATTATTATTATTATTATATTCGTGACTTCAATGGTTGTTTTACCAGGTGGGGATTGTGACTAGCTGTGAAGATGTGGCCAGTGGAAGGCAGTGGCGAGTGTGCAAAGCTTTTGCTACGTTCGTGGCAAAGAAAACGGGTTGTGAGAAGGTAGGAGCTGCGCAAAGTCTCTGCTGTTCCCTCACAGTGTGTCATGTCCTGTCCCAGCCGGCCCTGGAGGTGGGGGAAGGGAGGAGAGGGGAGTGGTGGGGAGAAGCGGGGAGTGGGGCAGGGGTTAGGGGGTGGGGCTGCGTGGTTTAGGGGGTGCAGAGAGGGTATTTTCGTTGTTCACCGTGTCTTACCGTGGGCCAGGTGCAGCTGAAGCCAGTGGTGCCGAGAACGTCGGAGGAGCAGGTGGAGTACAGCGTGGCCGCTGAGCGCCGCAGGATGAGGCTCGGACATATCGAGGCCATGAAAGACCTGTTGTCCACCATCTCCGAGCAGGACGGTAACACACCCACCCCGGCCCTGCCCACATCCCCAGCCCAGCTCACACCTGGGCATTCCCTGCTATCTCTCTCCCCATCGTGTCTGTGCTGGTGCTCACTCCCGCACTGGAGCTCTCTACTCCATTCCCTGCTCTTTCCTCATCGTGTCTTGTCTGATGCTTACTCCTCCACTGGAGTTCTCTAATCTCTGCCCAGTTGTGTTAATGATGAGATGGAGGACATTCTTTACACTGATGTGTGTCGCCGTGTGTGAGTTGGTTGTGGTTGGCTGCTGTTTGCTCACGCACATGTCATGTCTCTGTAGTGGCGCTGGACACCGATGAGTGTCAGGGGGCAGTGCCGGGCAGCAGCACACGGGCAGAGAGCACGGAGCTGGTTTTACCGCCTCACGCCAATCACCAAGGCTACACCTTCGGTGGCCAGATCATGGCGTGGATGGAGGGTGTAGCCGCCATCGCAGCCAGGTAAGCTCCTCTCCATCAATCACATCACTGTGCTGAGCGAGGGCGAGGCTGAATGTGATCGTGTTTGTTTGTGTGAAGGTCGGTCACTCGTGCCTTCGCCTCTGGCTCAGAAGTTTGTGCGGCTTCAAACCTTGAGCTGACCCTCCAGCACAGTGCTGGAGGCATCGGCTTTTGAGTCAGACTCAAGGCAAAGAAGAAGTGAAATTCTCCCATTGACCTTAATGAACCACAGACTTGGTTTAGGGTGACGTCTTTGACATTGCAAGCCCCCCTACCCTCACCCCATGCCCAGCACTGCGCTGGAGCGTCAGCCTACACTGTGAACGGGGCTGTGTACTGGGAGCTGCTCTGATTCTTCCTCAGGCGTTTCTGTAAGGCTCCAGCCACGCTCCGCACCATCGAGATGTTCTATTTCCGCGGCCCCTCCCAGGTGGGCGATCGGATCAGCCTGAAGGCCATCGTCAACAACGCCTTCAAGAACAGGTGAGCGAGGGCCACTCACACGCTCCGCACACACATTCCGCAGCACTGCACACGCACTCCACGGCCCAGGACTCAGGTCCCTTATCTGTAGGTTTGCGTGTCTCCACTTTGAAGAGCGAGTTGCGCTGAAACAAACATCAGCGTTAGAAGACTTTGTTCAAGGCCATCAGTTTATAGCCACCTTTTTATTACAGCAAATCTTTTTATTAGTGTCGAATAAAGCTGTGACTTTTACCCCATCAACACGGTCCCTCCTCAATCAGAGCTTCCCCCCTCACACATGGTAGAGACCCAGAACGCTTTATAACTGTCTGGTGATCACGTGTGCTCCTAGTGATCATGCGTGTAATGTTAGTAACTCTCTGGTGATCACATGTAATGTTGGTAACTGTGGCAACCACACCTGTGTTTGTTTGCAGTTTCGAGGTGGGGGTGTGTGCAGAGGCGGAGACGTACGTGGAGGGTTGGGAGGGGAAGCGACACATTAACAGCGCCTTCATGACCTTCATGGTGATGGAGCCGGACGGACAGCTCCGCAGCTTCCCACGGGTCCAGCCTGATCCCGGGGTGAGCTCCGAGCCCATCCCTCCACTCCCCCCATCCCTCTGGACAATGGGCAGGGTTCTGGGCAGTGGGCAGAGCTTGTAGCAGTGGGCAGACCTCTGGACAGTGGAGGGGGGCTCTGGACAGTGGAGGGGGGCTCTGGGCAGTGGAGGGGGGCTCTGGGCAGTGGGCAGAGCTTGTGACAGTGGGTAGGGCTCTGGCTCATACTATGTCTTTCGCTCTTATATCTGAGACATGGATTGTTTCAGCTTAACCTGATCCCGTCAATCCCACAGGATGGAGAAAGAAGGTTCCGGGAGGCCAGTGCCAGGAAGAAAATCCGACTGGACAGGTCAGTGTGTGGGAGAAGGACTCTGAGCTCACAATCTATGCCGATGCTCCAGCGAAGTGCTGGGGGGGTGAGGGTAGGGGGAGAACACTGTATTGTCAGAGACGCTGTCCTTCGGATGAGATATTGAACCTCACTCCCCGTCTGTGTTCTGTTTAGGCGGACGTTAAAGACCCTGTGGCACTATTAGAAAGGAGAAGGGAGTCTCTCTCTCTCTCTCTCGCTGTCCTGGCTGACAATCCCCCAGATACAATCACTCCCACTATCTGTGCGCAAATTAGCTGCATCGTTCATCCACAAAACACACAGTCACTACACTTTACAGTGAACCCTATAAAGGGCTTTGAGACGTCCTCCTGACAGGAAAGTAAATCAAATGTAAACCTTATTAAATTACTATTACTATTAAATGTTGATTTTTGACAAATCTGAAAATCTTCCAGGAAATACATCATCTCCTGTAAACAGACAGAGAGGCCTCTGTCCGTGCCCTTCCTCCCCAGCAACCAGGTAACCTACTGCCCCCCTCGCCCGCACTGCTCCCCCCACCCTGCTCCTCACTTCTCCTCCCACCCGCTCCCCAGTCTCCCCACCCACATATCCCCCCACCCCTCTCCACCCCACTGCTTCCCCTGCACAGCTCCCCCCGCTCCCCCCCAACGCTCTCCCCCACTCCTCGCCCACATCCCTTCCCCCTGACGCTGTGACTGTAACGCGGTGTCTCTCTGCAGGTGTATCTCAGCTACAATAACGTTTATGCTCTGAAGATGTTGGCGGCAAAACGACGCTGGGTGCTGAGCTCCACCCGCAACAAGGTGAGCATCAGCGACTGGCAGCTCCAAACACCCCGCTCTGCCCACCCAGTCCCGTGTGTGTCTCCGGAATGTGATTTGTCTCTCCGGGGTGTCCTTCTCCCATGTCTCTTGACGTGTTGCAGTGTCTCTGGGTGACATGTTGCGGTGATGTGTTGCGTGTGCAGGTGCGGCTCTTCACGCTGGAGGACCACGAGTTTCTCTCCTTTAAGATCGAGATGAGCGTCTCCGTCAGGGCCCGGCTCGCCTTCCGGCTGCTCACAGACCTGCGGCGGCGGCACGAGTGGGACAGTCACTACCGGTGAGGACAGCGCAGAGGGAGGGGTGCCAGGGTGGGGAGTGCGGAGGGAGGAACAGAGACATTGAGGGGAGCCTCTCAACACAAGCGGTGACACACACACACACACCGGTGTGTCGCACACTCACCACCATGTCGCACACTCACAGGCATTTCACACGCTCGCCAGCGTGACACACACACACTGATTGCCGTGTCGACACACTCACCCTGTGCTCTGCTCCTCAGGCATTGTGAGCTGATACAGAAGGTGGATGAGGAAGACTTCATTTACCACGTGATTTCCCCGTCCATCAGCAAAGGGAGCCGGATGCAGGACTTTGTGTTGTTGGCCTCCCAGCGGGAGCCCTGTGATACCGGGTTAGTGTCTGTCAGTACTTTGAGTGAGTGAGTGTGAGCAGGGCCACAGGACAGGGACCTGTGGAGGGTCAGAGAACGTCACTCACTCTGTTACCGTCACTCACTCTGTTACCGTGACTCACTCTGTTACCGTCACTCACTCTGTTACCGTCACTCACTCTGTTACCGCCACTCATTCTGTTACCGCCACTCACTCAGTTTGCGTCAATCACTCAGTTACCGTCACTTACTCAGTTACTTTGAGCCACTCACACTAAGACCGGCTGCTAACCTTACAGAGACCCCTATGTGGTGGCGTTTCGCTCGGTCTCGCTGGCTGCGGTGCCCCCGAGTGAGGAGTATGTGCGGGGGGAGGTGCTGTGTGCCGGCTTCGCTCTGTGGCCAGAAAGCGGGGACCGGACCCGGGTAAGTGACAGCTGGTCCCTGCCCCCGCCCCCTGCCCCCACTGTGCCCCATGCCCTGCCCCCACTGTGCCCCATACCCTGCCCCCACTGTGCCCCATGCCCTGCCCCCACTGTGCCCCATGCCCTGCCCCCACTGTGCCCCATGCCCTGCCCCCACTGTGCCCCATCCCCAAATCCACCGTGCTCCTCCCACTGCACCCCGCCCTTCCCCCAGTGCCCCTCCCCTCCATCACTGTGCCTGCCCCCACTGAACCCATCCCCCCAAGATTGTATTGTGACACCGGGAGTCTGAGTGTGGCAGGCGGGTGTCACTGACCCGTGTGTGATGGGTTGTGCTGTGGCTGATGCGGTGTGTGTTACAGATCACCTACTATAACCAGGCCACGCCTGGCGTGCTGCCCTACATCACCACTGACATCGCCGGCCTCTCCGCTCACTTCTGCTGCACCTTCGAGGCTTGCAATGCCTTCCTGGAGCAGAACAAAGAGAGCGTCAGCCCAACTCGAGAGCAGTGAGAAGACAACCCCCACACCCAGATACTGGTGTGTCAGGCTGTGTGTCTGTGGGTAACACACACAGTCAGTAGTGATGACGTTAGCTTTGTGTGTGAGGATGTGAAGCTCCTGGGAGTCAGGAAATAGAAATATTTTGCATTGGGGTATGGTGACTTTACAGTTGTTTCCCCCCGTGTCCGTCTCCATGCATTTCCCCACCTGTGTGTATGTCAAAATGTGTGTGTCTCCACGTCCCTGTGTGTGTGTGTGTGTGTCTCTGTCTATTTCCATAATAATAATAATAATCCTTGCATTTGATATAGTGCCTTTATCACATATTGGAGACGTCTTAAAAAGCTCACAGAATGTACTGTAAAGTGAATGTATATTTTGTGAGCGAAGCAACATCTCCATGTCTCTGTCTGTGTGTATAAACCAGGAGTGCGGAGTGTCTGGCTGTTACAGTGAGTGAGTGTTTCTCTGTGAGCGGAGTGTAAACTGCAGGTTGGGGTTGCGGAGGCTGAGGGTCTCAGTGAGCAACATGAGCCTCAGCCCTGCTTCCTGCTGTATGGGTTCCCAATAAACGCACAAAACCAGCCTGTACTTTCTTACAGTGAGAATAAAATCTTTAATCAAACTTTACAAAACCCGGAGACGAGCACTTACAGTGTATAACTTCAGTAAAATTGACTTTGGGAGGGGAGTGGGAGTGAGAGGTGCGGGAGATGGGGGTGGGAAGGGGGAGGGGTTCATGGTTGTAACCTTATTGCTGAGCCCGTCTCGTCTGATTGAAAAATCAGGATAAAAAGCTACAAAAAAGTACTCGCTGTATCACAAGCCTCTCACGCAGTATTTAAAGGGTTAATTATTGTCGAGTGTAAGCTGCCGTGACGGTGCGGAGCTGGTGTGGAGGTGGGTGAGCCGGTGGGCGGGCACGGGGGTCCTGCGGCGGGGAGTGGGGGGGCTGCTGTACGTCACCCCCAGAGCCCTCGCTGTCAGTGCTGCTCTGTACAGTCACCACCAAAATCTCCCCCCCCCCCCCCCCCACCATCACCCACTGCAGGCCCTGCCAGAGAGAGATAGAGAGGAAACCGTGTTAGTCTGTGCCTTAGTCTACACCCCACCCCGCGCGCACACACACGTATATATCCCCCGTCAATTATCAATACTACAATGCTTTCATCTGAGATAATGTTCCCGTGATGTGCCGTGTGCGTGTGTGGTGTGAGAGAGAGAGAGATGGGGGGTTGATGGGGAAGGGGAACGAAGTGGGTGCTGTTACCTCAGGGTTGGGCTCAGGTTTGTGTCTCCGCTCTTGACCTCAAACCACTTGGCTTTGAGCCGGTCCCTGTTCTGAGGCTGTCGCGGTTCCCGTGCACTGCAACGGGGGAAGAGATGCTCGTTACAGTGTATACTCCCCCTGCATCCCCCACACAATCCCGTCACACTTTCACCCCTCTTCCCGCCACCTTGCTCCCCACACTCTCCCCTCGAACACCCTGATCCGTAACCCTTTCAGCCACAATGAAAACTTCTCGGTAAGTACTCACGTGCAATGTTTTTGAATTCTGATAAAACCGGTTCGTAAATGTCGTAGTATATCTGTTGGGGGTCGCTGTGCTCTCGGATAAACAGCAAATCCTCCACTGTGATCGGGTCAGCCTCTCCCTGCCACAGGGTCAGACTGTACCTGCACATACAACACTGCTCATCACGTCCTCACTCATTCACACGCCTCGATTCCCCCGCTCCCCACATATACATATGTAACATGTATACAATACAAATATAGGGGATTAAAATACAAGCATTTAGGTAGCGCCCTTCAGGCAGAGTAGCGTCCCAGAGCCATTAATTAATATATGACTGATCTAAACCTCAATTGGAGTTTACACCCACAAAATATACAGTCAATTCAAAGTTTACAGTATGTCCTGTGAAGCACTTTTAACACGTCTCGAAGAGATATCAATATCAATATTATTGATATCAATATTATTGATATTTAGGTATAGATCAGCCATGATCTGATAAAATACCAGAACAGGTTTGAGTTGCTGAATGGCCTCATCCTCATGAGAGGTTAAATTGATGTCCCTTTGCTGTAAGGTGGATGTTAAAGATTCTAGGTTATTTGTAAAGAATTTCTCTCTCCAGGTTTCCGGGCTGACAATACCCACCAACAAAACATTCACTCACTTCACAACTGTTTGTGGGGCATTGCTGTGTCCAAACTGGCTGCCGCATTCACCCACAAAACACAGTCACTACACTTTAACACCCATTGTTACATGTGAAACACTTTGAGACGTCTCGACGATGTGATGAAGCGCTATCCTAAATGCAAGGATTATTATTATTATTTATTTTTAGTGACCGGTTAGTGCTGGAGCTAAATAGTTGGTTAAGCGGTAGTTACCTCGGTGACTGGCTGAGCAACCAACTGAAGTGCAGCCAGGAAGCTCGGAGCAGCACGGCCCTGACAGGGAAGGTTATTCTCTGCGGCAAATCTCGCACCAGAGCCGCCATCTCCTCCACCATGAGTTGCGTGTATGGCTTCACCGCCAACAGCGGCACGTACAGCGTCAGCCACCCCGGGGAAACCGTCACGGTAGGAAACTTCTCCTGAACCAGAGCCAGGAACCTGCCAGGCCAGAGACACGGACAGGGCACGGACAGACACAGAGATAGGCGGTCGTTAATCAACTGATACCGAGACCCAGTTAGTCACGATGAGACATGGTGAGAATGTCACTCGCACACATGCTTCCCACAGTGCAGACATTCTGCCTCCTGGCCATTATCGGGTGGGGGCATTGCTGGGGGGAGCAGGCCATTACCGGGATGGGGGTGGGGGGGGGGGTGCGTTACCAGATGGGGGCCGTTACGGGAGGCGGGGGGCTTTTGTCGGGGGGGGGGGGGGCTGGTCCTGGAGGGTGTTACCGAGAGGCGTTGACCGGCTGGACGAAGTTGGGTACGTTGGGGCCCCGCAGGATATCGGCGTTGAGCCAGACGGGCTGGTTGATCTGATTTTGGGAATCTGCAGCTGTGAGGATGTCAAGGGATGGACTCAGGGACTCGAGGCTTTTGAAATCCAGTTTGATTCCTGCAGAGAGATTTACACTTAATCCTCAGCCGCCGAAGCCTGCTCATCCCAGCCGGGAGTGGGCTGGCTTGCGGGGGCGTGTGGCTGCGAGTGGGCGGGCGGTTGCGGGCGGGGAGTGCAGGGGTGGATGGGCCGGGGAGTGCAGGTGTGGGCAGGCCGGGGCTGCGGGCATGGGTGGGCTGGGTGGTGCGGGGGCAGGGGGTGTGGGGAGCGTGGGTGGAGGAGCGGGCGTGGTTTGTGGATGTGGGTGTCTGGGCGGGGTGGGTACCTTTCTGTGACTGGGTGACAGTGTTCAGCCAGTGCTGGAGGGTGTTGTCGCTGTAGATGGCAGGGGGATGAGCCATGATGGGAACGTTGGTCTGGTTCTGTGTGTTCAGACCTTCAACAGTCACGTCAGCTTCCAGCACCATCGCAGGACCTGCAACACAGCCACTGCATGCTCAGCACAAGCTTCTGGAACAATCTGAGCTCAGTTAACATTAACTACAGCCCACGATTCTGCTCGGAGTGTGGGTATAACACAGGATCTTCCCTCTTGTCCCTGGGTCAAATAATTCTCGCGTCAAATACTCTCAGCTCCAGTGTGGTGCTGGGGAGGTAGCGCCACAGTGTCAGAGACGCCGTCCTTCAGATGAGCCGTTAAACCTCACTCCCCAGGGAGTCCGTACCCTATTCAGGAGGACAGTAAAGCTCCCTCACAGCCCCTACCCGGGGACCCTCCCCCTTGAGCCCCCTCCCCTCGCACTCCCTCCCCCAACGGCAACCCTCCCCACCCCCACAGCGCCTCACCTCTCAGAGCTTCCTCCATCTCTCGCAGGCTGTTGGCCCCGTGGGCCCAGGTAACGTGTATGGCATCTTTCTCTGGGATGAGGCCGAGCTGCAGACAGTAATCCAACAGGTTCCCCCCTGGGCTGAACCCCCCCACAGCGCCATCATCTACAGTGGGAGCCAGAGAGAGGGTTAGTCCCAGAGCTTTATTCCCTCTTTCCTGTTATCCTTCCCCAATATTCCTGAGCTCAGCCCGTGCTGTGTTGCTTGCATCCAGGTTCCTCTCACGTTATCAGTCAACCCCCCCCCCCCCGCACCAGGATGGCGTGTCTAGCCGGGGATGGGGGGCAGTGAAGTCCTTTGCAGTCAGTTCCCCCCCAGCACTCGCTCTCCACACACACGTAGGACCAGCCACCCATCGGTGAGTGGGGGGAAATCTGCAAAACTGGCGAGGGGGGGCTGTAAAGTGACTGAAAGTAGTGTTGAATAGATAAACGTTAAAACTCTGAAAATGCTTCCATGTCACCACACTGCTCAGCCAGAGGATAGCTCCCACAGCGCTGGGGGCCTGTGAGTCAGGAAAACCAGATGCCCTGGTGGCATTAAACGGGCAATATCAAGTCGAAATAGTGTGGTAATCCTGTTACTCCATGAATCACTGTTGCGACCACATTTGGAATACTGCGTGCAGTTCTGGTTACTGCAATACAAAAAGGATATTGCAGCAATTGAGAGAATACAGTGGAGGGCAACCAGAAAGGTGGAGAGGATGGAGGGACTGGACTACCTGGAGCACCGAGATAACTGGGCATGTTCACGCTGGAGACGGGACCGTTGAGGGGCGATATAACCAGAAGACACGACCTGCGACTGAAGGGGCTAAACTCAGAAGAAATCTCCGGAAACACAATTTCAGCGAGTGATCAGTAACCAGCATGTAACAGGCTCCGCAGGGAGATGGTGGAAGCAGAAAGTGTTGATTCTTTCAAAAGCAAGTAAGACAGATTTCTGTTAGGGGATGATATCTGGGGATGCAGCATATAGTTTGGGACACGACGCGTGCAAGCGACTGCCAGGATGGTGGAAGGCGAACTAGATTGACCTCGGTCTTCTTTCGTCGAGCAATTCTTATTTTGTTACGCTTTCCCTCTGTTTGTGTGTGTGTGTGTGTGTGTGTGTGAGTCAGAGCGTGTGTGTGTGTGTGTGTGTGTGTGCGAGTCAGAGCGTGTGTGTGCGTGTGTGTGTGTGTGAGTCAGAGCGTGTGTGTATGTGTGTGTGAGTCAGAGCGTGTGTGTGTGTGTGTGTGTGTGTGAGTCAGAGCGTGTGTGTGCGTGTGTGTGTGTGTGAGTCAGAGCGTGTGTGTGTGTGTGTGTGAGTCAGAGCGTGTGTGTGCGTGTGTGTGTGTGAGTCAGAGCGTGTGTGTGTGTGTGTGTGTGTGAGTCAGAGCGTGTGTGTGTGTGTGAGTCAGAGCGTGTGTGTGTGTGTGAGTCAGAGCGTGTGTGTGTGTGTGTGTGTGTGTGTGAGCGAGACAAGACTTTGGTTTAACATCTTATCTGAAGGACGGCATCTCCGACAGGGACTGTGAGCTCAAAGTCCTGGTGTGAATGCGGAGCTGGAACCAAAACCTCCCGCCTCGGCGGCGAGACTGACAGCCACTAAACGCGTTCCCTCTACTTTTAATCGTGTGGAGTCCTGTAGCTCAGCGGTTAGAGCACTCGCTTTGCAAACGAGAGGACCTGGGTATGATTCCCAGACAGAGCTAAACGTTGGGCAAGTCTCCTTATTCCACACCCCCCGGTGGTACCCAACAAGTAAGTAGGTTGTTATTCAATTGGCGGATCATTTTTTTCAGAAGTAATAAACCCTTCAAAAATATATATACGTATATACCTATGTATATATTTAAAAATGTGGTCACTCAATCCACGGCTGTTGGTGGGACATTGCTACGCGCCAGTGGCTGCCGCGTTTCGCCCACAAGATAATATACTGCGCGAAGGAAGCGCTTTGAGACGTCTCGAAGACGCTGTATCGAATGCAATGATTATTATTATTATTTTTTAACAATATTTTTTTAAGAATAATAATAAATATTATTGTTAAAAAAAATTGTTAAAATTTATTCGATATAATAAATATTATTATTATTATTATTCCATATTATTATTATATTTGTTACAACATCTTATCACAGAGTCCAGACGTCTCAAAGCACTTGATAGGATTTGACCCTCTCTCCCCCCACCCCACACCCCCGGGGATACCGCACAGACCGGGCCCCGGTGCAGGAGGGGTGGGGGAGGGGAGGGGAGGGGAGGGGAGGAGCCCCGGGGACACTGTTTACCGGCAGTCGGGAGTCTGGAAACCGGTCCCGGTTTCGGCGCCCAAACAAATTACAGTCGGTGCCGGTGCTCCTCACCTGACAGCAGGTTCACGTAAAGGCCGTAGTATCCCGTCAGCGCGAGGTAGGCGGCGCTGAGCAGCGCTAACACCGCCCCGAGGTACACGGACCGAGATCTGCACCGAGTCACCGACATCGCCGCCGCCGCCGCCACCGGCAACAACAACAACAACAACCACCTGCCGCGGCCCTTTAACAGCGGGGGCGGGGCCAGGGCCGAGAGGCGGGGCCAGGGGCGGGGCCAGGGCCGTGAGGCGGGGTCAGGGGCGGGGCCAGGGCCGGGAGGCGGGGTCAGGGCGGGGCCAGGGTCGAGAGGTGGGGCTAGGGCCGGGAGGCGGGGTCAGGGGCGGGACCAGGGCCGAGAGGCGGGGCTAGGGCCGGGAGGCGGGGTCGGGGGCGGGGTTAGGGGCGGGGCCATGGCTGGGGGCGGGGCCCCACAATCACCGGCTCCCTCACTGCAGTTGTGGCGCCGGGAAGAGATAGGTAGGTGTGTGGATAATAATAATAATAATAATAATAATAATCCTCGCATCGGATATAGCGCTTTTCACGTCGGGAGGACGTCCCGAAGCGCTTCACAGAACACACTGTCAAGTGAAGTGACTGTATATTTGTGGGCGAACGCGGCAGCCAATTGCGCACAGCAATGTCCCACAAACAGTCGTAGATTGAAAGTGACCAATTTATTATTGTTTTGTTTTTTGGAGGGATTATTATTAGGCTCTGTGTGGAGTAAGGAAACTTGCCCAAGGTTTCACCCTCTGCCTGGAATTGAACTCAGGTCTCTCACTGGCAAAGCGAGTGCTCTAACCACTGAGCTACAGGACTCCACGGATGGGCGTGTACGTGTGTGTGCGTGGGTGGGTTGGTTGGTTGGTGGTGGGGAGGGTGTGGGTAAGGTGGGTGGGTGTGTGTGTTGGTCGGTGGGTGGGTGTGTGGGTGGGGGTAGGGTGGGTGGGTGTGTGTGTTGGTCAGTGGATGGGTGTGTGGGTGGGGGTGGGTGGGGGTAGGGTGGTCCTAGCTGGACAAATAGCGTGAGTTTGCCAGACCACGCTCTCAATGGCGAGTGATGTGGGTTTAGCCACTTAGACCCCCAGCAATTACACCAACCGCACACTCTAGGGGTCCCCCAAGCCTGGGCTCTTGCCAACCTACGCCTAATACTTTCCGGAATTGAGTAAGCAGGATGCGTCCCTCCGGGGAGAGAGAGTGCGCGTTCCATTCCAGACGTGAATTTCCATTTTTAAGTAGGATGCACGGAACTCTCAATTTGGGTTAGATGCTTTTAAGCACAGTGATGGGTTTCTGTGTGGTTAGACACCCGGCTGATCAGACTGATGGGTTTCCGTGCGTGTTAGACACCCGGCTGATCAGACTGATGGGTTTCCGTGCGTGTTAGACACCCGGCTGATCACACTGATAGGGTTTCACGTGAGTCAGACACTTCTGCATTTTAATGGCATCAGAATATTGATTGATTTGTGCATTAGAGATTCAATAATGTTTCAATAAGAATCGCCACCTTGAAGCCCTGTGTGTTTATTACAGGATAATTAATGTCTTGTTACACCGTGCAACTTCAGCCAGAAAATCATCACATTCATTCGGGAAACATTGCTACACAGTGACATCATGTGCAATCTCATTTGTTTCTTATTTAAAAACATTTAAGGCTATTTTTTACTATTGCAACAAATATTCAATAATTTATTGACTTTGTTTGACTGTGTACAGATCCAATCGGTGACCCCCTCCCCCCCACCCACCCACCCACCCCGTGCAACGCGACAGACTGCGAGAATGTGACCCATGGCTTCATTTTACTAGTATTAATAAATTAATTGAACCGGTTAAGCCACATAGTTAACAAGTGGAGAGATTTTCTGACATTCAGAATAAACTGGCACCATTCTTACACCATTAATTTCAGGATTCTGATAATATTTCCTTAGATTAAACAACATTCAGCCACCCACACCATTCTGTCTCACATGGCCTGTTCATGCAGTCCTGCATCAATCCCGGTGTACAGTGAGTCTCTCTGTTAGTACACTGAGACCACAGCAGTCACTCTGTGTGTGCAGCGAGATTCACATGTTCCTCTCTGTCCATTCACGATGTGCTCGGCACGCGGAGTGACCCTGGGCCTCAAACCCACCATCGGCTACATTAATTTTTCATACACAAATGACATTTACAATAATAACATCTAAACATGTGTCCTGTGGCCAGGCATCGAGACTCAACCAAAGTCCAGGATCATTTGTTCTGACGATTAAAACTCTGCAGTCATATCCGGGGTCCATATCCGCGGATACCTTTCGGCCAGTGACCGGCTGGAGTCTGGCCTCTGGGAGTCAGTGTGGGCTGTGGCAATGGCTCTAGCCCAGGCCGTATCCCATGCGCTCCCTCAGGCCGAGGAGTTAATGTTGCCCGAGGACATGAGGGACTCGGGACCCTCCTCTCTGCGGGGACGTGGTGAGGTGTCGGATTTGCTGCGGCTGGATTCCCCGATCGGCGGCTCCAGCTTGCTGGTGGTGGCTGATCGGCAGCAGCAGCAGAGCAGCCGGAAGAAGGCTCGGCGCATCTCGCGGCTGGTCAGCGTGTAAATGACCGGGTTCATGGCCGAGTTGAGGACGGCCAAGGCCAGGAACCACTCGGAACGGTACAGAATGGGGCAGCCCCTCACCTCGCACGCCACATCCAGCAGCAGGAGGATGAAGAGCGGTGACCAGCAGGCGATGAAGGCGCTCAACACAATGATCACCGTCTTGAGCAGCGCCAGCGATTTCTCGCAGCTTTTGCTGGATCGCATGGAGTACTTGCGGAAGGTCAGACTCAGGCTGCGGGCCCTCACCAGCAGGTAGATCCGCGCGTACAGCAGCACAATGGCCATGAGGATGACGCTGAGGACACTGGTGCAGAAGAGGATGTAGTGCTTGTGGTAGAGAGGCAGCACGGTGGAACAGGATGGTAAGTCACTGATACAGTTCCAGCCCATGATAGGCAGCCCACCCAGAGCCAGCGAGAGCAGCCAGCAGCCACTGATCAGCAGGAAGACACGGTAAGTGCTGCCTGTGCTGTGCGGCTTCATCTTAAGCATGGTCAGGTACCTCTCGATGGCGATGGCGAAGAGACTGAGCACTGAGGCGGCCAGAGCCACAAACATGCTGCCCTCCCGAACGAACCACTGCGTTGGCGTCAGGCTGAAGGTGTTGGAGCCGGACAGCAAGATGTTGATGGTGTAGGCTGCTCCGGCCAGGAGGTCAGACAGCGCCAGGTTCCCGATGAAGTAGTACATGGCTCGATGGAACTTCTTAGTTTGCCAAATGGCGAGAAGGACCATCAGATTCTCGAGGATAATAAAGCAGCAGACCACAATGAAAAGGATGGAGGCGACTTTGAGTCCCGCCTCGGGTCTGCCTGGCTTCAGCTTCCCCGTGAAATTGTAATGATCCACAATGATGTGCGAGCTGGCGTTTCTGTACATGGCACCTTCCATGGCTCCACGTGCTCCCTCTCCCGCGCTGCTCTTACCGCGTTCGGCCAGCAGGAGGCGCTGCGAGCCAGCAGACGGTGGCGCTGCGAGCCCGGGAGCAGCTCAGCTCAGCTCAGGTCCGGGGACAGGAGAAGGGACATGATCCCGGGACAACATGGCCCCTCCACCTCCAAGAAAGACTGCAAGAGATCAGATCAGGACAGCCCCGGGTCAGCGCACTGCCAGCAAAACAAACAGCACAGCTCTGCCTCCAGGCTTTCCCTCCCCGTGGTGATCATCACCAATTGCAGATTAGTTTTTTTTTAAAAATTAAAAGAAATACATATATATATATATTATATTATTGGCTCTTTTATTGCATTTGTACAAACCCTGAACATTTACACTCAACCTGGAACCATCCATCCACTGCTCCCTGCCTATCTAAGCCGAGAGAGCTCCTCTTTATATTAATCTGGCTTTCCAGTCCTTCCCCTCCCCTCCCCTCCCATCCCCTCCCATCCCTTCCCAGTCTTAGTCATAAACTTCCCTCGATCACTTAACCATTTGCTAAAATGCAAAAGATTATTTTGAGGGCACAGCGTCCGACACAGTCAGTTCGCACCGTTATCATCACTAAACCCCAGCCCGCAATGACACCGATTTCAATGCAATCGTTTCACCCGCGGACCACACAGTCACTACACTTTGCAGTGTAGTCCGTGGAGCGCTTCGAGACGTGACATCAAACTGCAAGGATTATTATGAACTACCAACAACCGCAAAACCGAGATGGATTGAGCCCAGCCCCCAGTCACCTTGTATTATATTATTATTATTAATTATTAATTATTATTATTATTATTATATTACCTTGTGGAGAATCAGGAGGCAATGAGCAACGATTCCACACTGAGCTCAAGACACACACACACACACACACACACACATTGGGCGACTTCAACGCAACAAAGTGAGACGGTTCTTAGTTATCAGAGTAAAGTACAACACAGGAAAAGGTGTAACATTTCTCACTGCAACTGGACCGTTTGATCCACACACACACACACCACACACACACAGAGCGAGTAACGGACTTTGCTTGTTTTTTTCCCCCCACCCCACACCCCCAAAAAAAAAACGAAAAAAAAAAACGCAAACTTATTAAACACATAAAAATGCAATAGGAATTAACCATTTCCCAGTAATCAAAGCAACGTTTCACATCAGAGAGGGATTCGTTAAAATTCCTCACGTCCTCGACAAGTAAATCAGTCACTGTTTGCAATAATAATGCAGTTTCACATTGCAAGGGTTTTTTTTTAATAAAAAAAATGCAACGATAACTTTGCAAAGACGAGGTTTTAGATACAGTGGTAAAACATTTGCAACGTGTGTGCAGAGTCGGTACCTACCCCTCGGCAGCTCTGCTGTCACCCACTCTCTCTCTCCCCCAAGTAAGTTGGTCTGAAACGCATTGAAGGATCGATAGGGCTCTTTTTTTTTTTAACCCTCGTTTCCTCTCTGACTAAGACACTCAGCGCCTATTGCACAAACCCCCTATTGAGAATGGTTTCCTTCCCAAGTGCATTGTTCACAGCCACTGGAAACACAACGTCCTCAGTCAAGTAAGTGCCCTCTGTGTGTGTAGGGAGTGGAGGAGGGATCATCTCTCAGGGTTTAAACTTGTGTTCCCAAACTTTTACTGCACACACTGCGCAATGTTCTTGCTCACCAGGACCTGAAACCACCCCCTCCCTCACTCATTCCCTCCCTCCACTGCCCCCCCCCCCCTCCCACACCCCCCCCCACCCACACACAGTTCAGGCATTAATGTGGGACAAACCCACACAAGGCATAAACTGTTCCATTGATAAAAACTGCAGACCCCGGTTATACCCTCAGTGGAAACCCACAAAACGAGTGAGACGAGTTGCTGTGTTTGCCTCCACAACAAAATTTGTTATTCTTAATCAACGAACTATCCTCCTGGGAGCGCGGGGGGGAGATAAGGGAGGGGGGTCTCCTTGGCGCTGAACTGGCCCCAAGGCGATGGAATGTCTGAATCGAGCCAGACCCCTGCGACCGTCTCTAGTCCCGTTCCTGACCCAGGCAGGTCTGCAGGATTCCAGGGCACTGCAGATGACAGCGCAGTCCAGCCTGGCTTATCGGCAGGACCTGGAAGGGTAGACCAGTCACTGGGGTCTGGGAGTCATCCCATTCAGCTCCTGTTAACTCTGCAAGCCAAAGCCTTAACAGGTAGGGTGCTCCAATGGCATTACCTGAAAAGAGAAGAGAGTTTCTCTCCTGGTGTCCCGCCCAACAATCTCCCAGATAAAAATGATCATTCACTTCACAGCTATTTATTTATGGGACGTTGCTGTGCGCAAATTGACTGCCGCAATCGACTACAAAATATACTTTACAGTAGTTCCTGTGTCTCAGCGATATGATAAGGTGCTGCATCAAATGCCACACCCAAGATAAATTTACAAAGTGTGACTACTGAATGTAAATATATAGAATACAAGATGTGAAATATCGGCACAAAGCACTAGTTTCATGTGCAGCTCCCTCGTCCGAAACTGAATCCGTTTGTTATCTGTGAATTGAAACTCAAAATGCTGAAACTGAGTACACATCATTTTCTCATCTCCCCTCATTAGGTGTGAAACATACATACGTTGCACCTACTACCCTACAACACATCGGCAACTGGTGCTCAACATCCTGGTGAACAGCACCCCCACCCTGGCATCTGCCACCCACTGCTCTATCCACCCAACGGGGGCGTGATGGGAGAGGAGGGTGGTCTCCTTTGAGCTGAACTGGCTCCAAGTTGATGTGCTTGGCAACGGAATGTCAGAATCGAGCCAGTCCTCTGTGACGGTCTCTAATCCGATTCCTGAGACAGGGCGCTGCTGATGACAGCACAGCCCAGCCTAGCTCATTGGCAGGACTTGGAATGGCAGACTAGTGGCAATCCTCCCACTTAGCTCCTGTTAACCCTACAAGCCAACGCCCTGGTGGTAGGGTGGTCCCTAGGTTGGCCTTGCCTGACCTTGCATCCTGAGTCAGAAGCTGGAGATGAAACTGGAGCCCGAGCGAACTGAATGTGAATGAACTGGATCTGGAATCAAAACACAGTGGAGTGTTGGAGCAGAAACAGCATGTGTTCTGGGGTTTCGAATGGTTTATTTTGGGTTTTAGCAGTGGGTTACCAATTTGCTGGAATGGTGGCAGTGGAGTGTCGGAATCAAGTCACTCCTTTGGACTGTGATTCCAAGTCCTGTCATGGAGCCAAGTGACTTTTCTGAAACCTTCTGACTCAGAGGCGTGATTCTACCACTGAACCCAGCTGATATGGTTTTGTGATACTGTGGGCATTGAGGTTGAGGATGGTTTGCCTGGTTTCCAGTTCTTCAATGAGGCCTCGTCATAAAGAGATTTCAATACTCTGAGCATGTGCAGCACTTGGGAGCTCTCTACACATGCTCCTCAGCCGATTGGAGACACTGAAGCTAGTTATAGCCTTATATTCTGAAGATCAGAGACTCAGCAGACTGGAAATTGAACTTTGTAGCTTCCTGCTCTATAGAGCTCAGCAACTGACTGGAAAAACCTGCCACGTCATTGGAAAGCATGAGGTGCTTTGGTTCCAGTTAGGTGTGGATCTCACGGTGAGCGAGGGTGAGGCTGCACCTATCTGCAGACTCCAGCTGATGCAGATCTGAGCAGCAGAGCAGCCGTACTTCTCTGCGAGCTGGAGGATATGTGGGTGAGACGAGGCCTGGCACTTGGCCGGAGGACAGTAGCCCGCAAACACAATGCCAGCACTCTGGCAGTAATCCTCAAGCTCCTGAGACCCCTGGAAAGGATGATATTCCACCTGCTCAGAGGATAACAGGGCAAAGAATTATTGGTTGCAGTCAAGCGTGTGTTATTAGACTCGCTGTGTTGCCACTATTACAGCGCTTTCTTGTGTGCTAAATACAGACCTATTTCAATCAAGTTCAATAAAAGTAACTCATACGTTAGTGTAGTATCTGCACTGTTTGCACACTGTAGTGCTGTAGAGTATTAATGCTTCTTGATGGTGGTAAATGCACTGCCTCACAGACATGCTAATTCCCAATTAGTGCCTGCTCTGTGCTGAGTTACTTCTCTGAACCAGGACAGAACTTGGGGCTACAATTGGCTGACCCCTTGTCATAGTTCCTGCTCTCTGAATGGGGTATTTCCCCCTAATATAGGATGATGAGCTATTTAATCCACCATTAGAAAAGGTCCCATGGGAATATACCTTGTAATCATACAACCAGTGGGTCGTACTCAGAGATACAATGCCACAGGTTGGTGAGTATCACCACCTTGAATAACTCTGTTGGATGCATATCAATGTGACCCCAGCAGTCACAGGCAGACCCAAAGTTCACATCAATAATGTGTTTACTGAAGTGAAGGAAACGGTTGGAAACAGTTACAGTGGTGATTACTCATTCTGGTTTCCCTTTAGTTCTAAGGTAGCAGTTTCCTAGATGTGATTCAGCTCAGCAGTAAACACAAGTTGAGTAATGATAATGGATCTTAGAACAGGATCAATTTATCTTTAAATTGTACATGCACACATTGTAAACGCACAGCTTTAGACGCCAATATTTCTATGAGGATTTCTGAATAACACGGAGCCCCTTCAGAATCCTGGAGGTAAGTACAGTCAGAGTGGAGTTCCTGTGTGTCGGCGTGACTTACTGCTGGATCATTTTTTGACAGCTGTCCTGACTGACTATTACTCATTTACAGCATGGCTGTTTGTAAGATGTTGCTGTGCACAAATGGGCTGCTGTGCTCACCTGCAAAACACACCGTAAGTCTTGTGAGGCTCTTTGAGACATTGCAACAATGTGATAAAGCACTATATCAAATAAATATAATCCTAGAGTTTTGCAGCACAGAATGAGGAGCAAGTATTCTGCAAGAGCGACCAGTTTAGTCCATTCTCCCCCCTTTTCCCAGAACCTTTTTCCTTTTCAACTATTTGTCTAATTGCCTTTTAACAGCTATTGTAGATTCTGCTTCAACTAAAATTTTTGGTAGCGCATTCCAATATAACCCTCTGCCATTTTTTTTGGTAATAATCTTACAATTATGAACAACCCTCATAATTTTAAACACCGCTATCGGGTCTTTTCTTAACCTTCTCTGATCTAATAAAAACAGCCCCGGTTTCTCTAGCTAGCCTCATAAATAAAGCAAAGCTCTCTCCAGTAAACATAAGCCTTAGAGAATGGTTTGTTTGCTGGGATGCATCCTGCTTGACATCTATAGAAAACTCTGTCCACCCCACAGTAGCAAAGAACAATAGCCTAGCCGGTACTCAGCTTTCAGTTGTTAACTGTGGATCTGGAAGGGCGGACAGAAGTTACAAACAGCTTTACTGTGGAAAAAATTATTATTGTCAGGAAAACAGTTCAGAAAGCAGTCGCATCCCGCACTGTAACCTTCCTGGTGTGATGACAAGCCAGACCTTAGGGTGAAACTTGCAGAATTGCGAAGCAGTTTCTTGTCAGATGCACATTTGCATTTTACTCAATCTTCTGCTGGTTGGGTTAAACTTAACTTAATGATTCAGAACTTGCCATGGATCAACAACAACCACAAACTGCATTTATACGGTCACTTTCACATCAGGCAGATGTCCCAAGGCGCTGGACAGTCAAGGGTTTGCACCCAAGCTGGATTTGGGAGGGGTGGGGCCATTTGATGGTGTCAATATGAAGCAGCTAGGACTTGGCGCTGGCTCCTGTGTACACCATGGGTGGTGGGGGGATGGAGAGGGGAGTAGAAGAGAGATGGGGGAATGGGAGTTTACAGAATGCACACTGAAGGATGTGGAACCCCAGTGTGATGGGAAGAGTCTCACTGGCTTCCTGACTCGTCTCCATCAGAGAACCACCTGGCAGCTTCCTGACTGTTTGTTGTGCAAGTTCAGCAGTCACAGTTAAATAAACTTCTCTTTATCCACAGGCCGTACTCAATACCAACATGGATTACATGTATGTTAGCTCACAGCCTGGCTGGTAACACAGACTAATATCTCCGTAGCTGGTTATTCGAGCCAGTATTGATCCTGTGCAGCTACAGATCAGCATTATTGACTCGGTTCCACACAAACTGTTGCAGCCAGAGTTTGTTCAGCCTATTTACTTAAGACAACATCACCGAACTGCAAGGTAATCTGAGGATAACACAGCCTGAGATGCATAAATCCTTCATCAGAAAGAAACAGTTTGTTTGGTAAAATCTCCTCAGTCAGCTTCCAAACACACGGGGGACTGAGTGACACATTGCCTCTACACTTGATTCTCGAGTTAGATTCCAGCCCAGATGAGCATCATCCTCTCCCCAGCTGCAGCAGCCCTACAGGGCACAACTCCTTGCTGATTTACAGAACATGGAGCTGCACGGAATTCGCCACAAACCAGAATTAAATAGGCAGCCTCACTCAGCAAAGAGGTGAGGTTCTCAGGTGAATCACAATGGTACATGTCAGTGACTGGAGTTATAATGGCTTCTGGGTCACTTACATGGAGATGTGCTCCGCTATAAAAATGAGAAAATGAGTTAACATTTCAGGTTTATGACTTTCCGCAGAACTGATATTGATATTATCCTGAGACTGGCTGTCCTCAGCAGTAAACCTTTACGTGAGTACAATCTGATAACTAGTTCTGACCTTTAAAGCAAAGCTCTGCAAATACTTCAAACAAAATCATGTTCCTTGTTTTACCCGGGATAGACACTTCACTGATCACACCTAAACCTTTTCCTTATCTACCTCGGCTAAACGCCCATCCTTCATACATACATACATACATACATACATACATACATACATACATACATACATACATACATACATACATACATACATACATACATACATACATACATACATACATACATACATACATACATACATACATACATACATACATACATACATACATACATACACATACATACATACATACATACATACATACATACATACATACATACATACATACATACATACATACATACATACATACATACATACAAGCACGCACGCACGCACGCACGCACGCACGCACGCACGCACGCACATACATACATACATACATACAACATACATACATACATACATACATACATACATACATACATACATACATACATACATACATACATACATACATGCATGCATGCATGCATTAAATCCTTTGCCAATTCTCAACCAAATGCCGAAATGACTTGTATCTTCTCTGTATAATATTCCCAGCCCGCTGTAATCTCGCCAGCTGTCCCTCACTTCAGAGAGGATTGAAAGAACAGTAGAGAATGAGGAAGAGGTCAGTATAGATTATGAAGATTACATAACATACAGCAATAATCCTTTGATTTTGCCATGCGCAAACTAGCTGCTGCGTTGCTACAAAATACACAGTCACTACACTTTACAGTAAATCCTGTGAAGTGTTTTGAGACATTCTCACAAAGTGAAAGGCACTGTACCAAATGCAAGGATGATGATTATTCTTTTATTTCCTACAGTGTCAGTAGGATATCTCAAAGTGCTGTAACTATTTTGTAGGCAGTGTGGCAGCCGTTTTGAGCACAGAATAATTCCTTTGTGGTGTGGCCGTGTTGGGATGCATGTTCATAAAGGTTTAATGGTGGAGCTGTGAGGATGGGCTGTTAGCCTGGAATTCTGTATGATGAATAGATAGCGAGAGCCCTGGCGGTGTGATGTGCACATGGTGTGTGTGGAAGCAGTGATGCACCCAATTGATGTGTGAGATGACATTCCTGTCCTCCTTCAGCTTCTCCAGGTGAGAGGCAAGGAAATTGCTGACTCCAATGGAATGGCACACTCCTGGGGAAAGAAGTATGATTAAACAATGAACATTTTGGAAAAAATGTTGCCAGAGAGAGAGAGAGTCACACAGCAGAGGATATCCTGAGTATCCGGAGAGGAGAAGCTGCAACTCCATTAGCGAGTCCCAATTAGATCACATCTTAAATGCCTGTCTCATCCAAAACACATTAGGAAACAGCTTCTAATACAAATATAGTGCAGCTCCCTGGTGAATAGAGACTCATGTGAATTTCTGGGAAAATCTAATGAGGTAGAAGCAAAAAAACAATCAAACATGCGTCAGCATCAAGAGGAGGAAATAGTGTTTTGCGGGACTTGCCAAAGAGCGGGAAAGGTTAAGAGGCTTGGAGAGCAGTTACTAATATAATAACTCTTCCCTTTGATATAGCTCCTTATCACGTCTTCGAGACTTCTCAAAGTGCTTCACAGAATATACTGTAAAGTGAATTAACTGTGTATTTTGTGAGTGAAAAGTGTACTATAAAGTGTAGTGACTGTACATTTACCGGCAAATCAACAGCCAATTTGCGCATAGCAATTTCCCGCAAACATTAAGTGAATAAACAATTTTATCCGGAGGAGTTTTGGCCGGGACACAAAGAGAAACTGTCTCCTCTTATCCAATAGTGCCATGGGATCTTTGATAATACAGAACTCCCTCAACACTGCACTTTCATTCAAAGTTCCAACATGGGGCTTAAACCTACAACTTTCTGACTTAAAGAAAAGCGAGCAAAGCTTACACTGGCCAGCACTGAGTTCCAGTAACTATAAACCCACAACTGTGCGATCACATATTGTGGTAGGTGCCAAAGAAGGTGGTAAAGGCAGAGTGCGCTGTGAGTTTCGAGAGGGAAGTAGACAAGTGTACGATAGTTGGAGGTTTGAGGAGGTCTGGGAATAGGGCAGGACAGTGAGAGTGAAAGGAAAGCTTGCTCTGAGAGCTCAATGGGCTAAATGACCTCCTTCTGAACTGTAAATATCTATGATTCTATCTCAGCATCCACGATCCAATCTAAACACAGCCAAAGATGCACATTTTTATGTAGGAATAAAGCCTAGCAGTGAATTGCAGAGACTGGCAGAACAGGGAATTACAGGGTCAACAACAACAACAAAATTACATTTGTATAGCGCCTTTCACGTCAGGAGGACGTCCCAAGGCGCTGGACAGTCAGTGTTTCGGACCAGAGCTGGGGGTTGCGATCGGGGATGGTGAAGGGCAGGCAAGGTAGGAGGGTGACCAAAGAGGAGGATCTTGAGATGGGTCTTGAAGGAGGCAAGGGACAGGCAGAGCAGCGAGTTACAGCGACAGGCAGAGCACATTTAAACGTAATTCATCTTCAAGTGACAGGCGGCTCTTCTGTAACTTTCCAGCCACAACAGTTGAGGTCACAGGGATTGTTCAGTGCAGCTCTGAGAGCACTAACTCCCCAAGGAGAGCAGCATTTCCGTAACATGGTGATCAGGAAATAACCAGCCAGGCTGCCATTTACATCAAGGGGTTTGAATGACATCAGAAGTATAAATGAACAGTTCAAGTGATTAAAGCTGAAAATGTTAGATATCCACAGCAGATCCATCAGAATCTGAACACTGTGATTTTTCGGTCTCTGCCTGTTTAACTGAGCAATCTTTTGCCCCGAAAATGCACAGTGTATTCTGTGAAGCTTTTTGAGACGTCTCGAAGACGCGATAAGGAGCTACATCAAATGCAAAGATTATTATTATACTATTATCTTTCTCTGTCTCTTTCTGGATTTTCACTCTCTGTGTACCCTTTCTCTTTCCCTCTCTCTACGACATCTCCCTCTGTGCGCTCACTCTTTCTTGCACTCTCTGCACTCTGCCTCTCTCTTTCAGATGCTTTCAAAAACAATACTCACTGTGGAAAGCTACAGACAGAGAGCTGCTCACACACAACCCTGTCCCAATGTTACTAATTAACCTGCTTTAAACAGACAGCTCTGCACTCAGACTTTACACGCTCATTTAACTACCTGAGTAACAGCAATTGTTTCATATGCAAGTGAAAATCTCAGTAGCTACGAAGAGCACAGCTAAGATACATTCAAGAGGGAGCTAAACCTTCACATGAAGGAGAGGGGAATAGAAGGATGCGGGATGGAGTGAGGAATGGGTGGAGACTGAAGTGGAGTACAAACACCAGCAAGGACTAGTTGGGCCGAATGTCCTGTTTCCGTGCTGTACGTCTGTGTGAGTTTATCAGGAAAGTGAAAATTATACTTTCAACTTTGGTTAAATTTTTTAAGAACTGCCTGATGACACACTCACACAACTCTTTACAGTGCTGTCTTCAATCACACCTTTTGCACTGCTATCTCTAGTTACACATACGGTTATTAACCCTTTGCCTTGTCATCTCTCGTCATACCCAACAACAACAACTTACACTTTATATGTGCAGGGTAGCGTCTCAGCGCGCTTAAACGTGTCAGAGCCTGACTCCGAGCTGGATGGGGAGGGGTAAGCACGGTGAAAGAGTCCCCATCGTCATTAACCCTTTGCATTGCTGTTTCTGTTCACATAGAAAGCCATTTACTTCTGTCACAATGTTGCTTTTCTCTGTTAACCACTCAGAATTATTTTAAATTTTCAATAGTTATTGTCCTGAATCGATGTGACTCACATAAACTTACCAACGGTGAAATCTTATTGTTTNAAAAAAGAGGAAGAGATTGGACCAGAAACTGAGCTAAAGCTGGGCTCCCATGAGGCTCACATCCATGAGAACATGAGAAGTGAAGAACAAGCTCACACCAGTTAGCACATAATTACTTAACAAACCTCCAAATGCTGCCTCAGTATTTAAACCCTAAACCTCCATGTAATTCTTATTATGAGATGCGTGGAATTCTCAGTTTGGTTTGGATACTCTGAAGCGCGGTGATGGATTTCGGTACGTGTCAGACACTCGGCTGATAACGGTGATGGGTTTCCGTGCGTGTCAGACACCCGGCTGACAAAAAAAAAATAGAAGTGCTCTCATCTGAGCAAAGATTAGAGTCTTGTGGGAATTACCGTATCAAATTATATGCAACAATTATCATAATTTTGTAACATAGGTTATTTCTGCTAAATCTTTTGAGCCTTTGATGTATTTTTCTTTGCGGTGTTTCTTGGGAGGGCTTTGGCGAGATCTGTCTCAGCAGTGTTTACCTGACGGGCCAGTCTACAACAACAACAACAACAAGATTCCATTTATAGAGCGCCTTTAGCGTCGGGAGGACGTCTAGCATCACGTTGGCCAACCTGTGCTCTCCAGAAATAATCTTATTCTTGGATCCCAACACCTCAAAACCTTGTGGTGCAGCTTCAGCAATTAAACCTGTGGATGTGATTCATTTTCACCACATTATGATGTAAATCAATACGATCTGAGTCAATAGAATACTGATGACTCGGGTGCCCTTTGTTTCCCAGGTTCATTCCTACTCATTATTACTTCTCTCTGTTCTGTTTATTTAAGTAAATGACAAATTGCTGGACATTATTGCCATTGTGGGGCTGAGACAGGGTTTAGTCTTCATCCTGACCACTGAGCAATGCATTCTCTTAACACTCACTTTCAGAATCACTCCAGCACTTTCAGACATAAAATTATAGATATTAACACAAAAGCACATGCGGCCTGTGGGTACTGATGCCAGCTCTCCCACTACAGGGGTCTAATCTAATCTCAATTCCTTGTTATTTCCGTTTTCCATTTGCTCTTAAATAGTTATCCAAATCCCTTTTAAATGTGGTGATGCTCTAAGCATCACTCATGCTGCCTGACCTTTGCAGGGCTCAGGACCTCTACAGCTGGAGTGAAGCATTCTCCTGGTTTGTCAAAGGGTTGACCATGTTGCCAGTGTTGGTGGTCAGAAATATCGGTGTTGCAGATTTGTCAAACACACACTGTGGTAAACCGACTCATCAACAACGAGAAAATGTGGAAATAAAAACATCGGCCCATCTCACAGTTGTTTCTTAGACTGTACAGATTGAACGCTGTGATTGTCGCTTAATCATATCCTATTTTAAATACAAGTTTATTGTTTATATCCAGATCATCATCTCTTTTTAATTGAGTCATTCATTTAACGTATTCTAGGGGATGTTAAGTGACCCCTCCCTCCCACCCACCCTTCCTGCTATTATTTCAAAGAACTTGGATTTTTGTCCTGGTGATCCTGACTTTTGTTCTCGTCTCACCCCTAAATACTAAAGGTTTGACTTCTCTTTTCAGAATAATAATACATCCTTGCGTTTGATATCGTGTCTTATCACATCATTGAGACCTCTCAAAGTGGCTTCACAGAATATACTGCAAAGTGATTGACTGTATATTTTGTGGAACGAAACGCGGCAGCCAATTCCACACAGTAGTGTCTCACAAAGCCGTGAATTATTTCTAGTATAAGTATATATATGTATAAATTTTTTTTTGAATGGATTATTATCCCCGGAAAGCGATTTGCCAATCGACTAACAATCGTGTTTCTATGTACTGCTAGGTAAACAGAGGCGGGTGGAATAAAGAAACTTGCCTGAGGCGAGTGCTTTAACCAGTGCGCTGCAGGACTTGATAAAAGGACGTTCCTGGCACAAATTAGCTGTCACATTTGTTTATTTGAAAGGTGATGTATAAATGTAACTTATTGACATTATGACCAATTTAATGAATCTTACTTTGAGACATACATCCTGCTTCGTTCACATCATCAAATGTCTCTGGTTCTCCAGCTATGAGTGACTCAGTACTCAGGTTTATATCTAACATTACCCAATAAAACATAAAGAGTTTCCTGGTCAGTTATGTGTAAACTTCACACAAAAAAAGCAGAGCTGTGGTGTGGTTTCAATCCACTGTAGGTTGTAAAAATCACTGCTCAGAGACATAAAACATATGCCCTGAATTTACAGTTCTATCCAGTATTTCTAATCCTTCCCTTTCTAATTCTATTCATGGGACATCCGTGCCATTAACTCGAGTAAAAATACCGCTTGGAGTCTCGGTGTCTCAGTATTGTAAAGCACTTTGAGACATTATCCAACATGTGTGATACCATATAAGTGTAAATTGTATCGTATTGTCTTGGTGCTAACATCAGCAACTTGCATTTATATAGCGCTCTTCACACTGGACGGCGTCTTCTAGCGTTTCTAAGGTTAAAGTTCACAGTTTGGAGTTAGGCTTAGAGTTTCTTAACACAAGTGTGTACGAGATAGACATGTATGCGGCAGAAACAATTTCACACCCAATAAATCATCAAGGCATCCTGCGAGATGGTAGTAACATGGAACTGCATTGACACTAGCTCAGGCAACATTACCATGTTTCCATTCTCTTTGATCAACTTTCTCATGAATAGCAGTGGAATGAGGCTACTGCAGCTGGGAACAGCCACGCTGAAGAAAGGAGAGCTGAGGGTAGAACCGGATGTCAAGGTTGAGCACTGGTTCAGTGAGTTGGAGAGGTCAGGAAGTCAGAGGCAGAAGCACCAAGGCATTGGCGGGAGGATGGCTTCAATCGTATCCATGTTTATCTAGAGAAAGTTTAGACTCTTTCAGGACTTGGTTGTCTGACAGGGAGGTAGTCAGGACCGTGGACTTAGAATCAAGGGTAGGAGTAGAAAAGTAGAACTGGGTGTCATCAAGTGGAAACAAACTCCATGTTTGCGGATGATGTCACCAAGGAAGCACGTAGATGAGGAAAGGAGGGAACCGAGGATAGAGATCTGATGTACATGGCAGGTGTCCGTACGAGAGTGAGAGGAGAAGTCGTTGGAGGCCACAAAGTGAAGTTCAAGTACGAGAAAAACCAGCAGTTCCACGGATATGTATGAGAGACGAGAGGCGATTCAAGGAGAGTAGAGTGGTCAATAGCGTCAAAGGTAGTAGGTAGGTTGAGGAAGATGAAGAGACACCGGGATAGAGGACGGAGAGAGTTTGAGGAGGACGGAGGCTGAAAAAGGTGATTATGATCTAAGAGATTGGTAGTGTTAGAGTGGCATTGAGATCAGGATTAGGTTTGGGGTTGTGGGTTGGGGTTATGAATGACAGCATATCAGTGCCACACCAGTGACAATGGGTCACAGAGCAATGATTTCAGTTGCTGCTGATTGAGTAGCACATTAGACAGGAGGTTAGAGGAACTCACTGATTGAGATTATCACAAGATAGATTGTATATAATTCCTTCACAAAACCAAAATAAATACATGAGAGATATCTGTTGGCCAATCTATGCCTCTGAACCCACCTTCATCGACCAGTTCTTTCATTTCTTGCCACAATGATGTTTTCTTCCAGCGAGACACACAAAGGCCATCATCTAATGCTCAAAGTACAGGAAACTTGATAAATTGTGCATTTCCTGTTACAGACAAACAGAAATGTTTGTGCTAGGTTTGGCCAATAACTTAAAAATTCTACTGAAAAACCAAACCAAATTGCTGTACCACAGCCAGCATCTAACCCTCTATCTACACAGCACGATAGCACTATGTGGCAGCTCACCCTGTTCTGCTATTTATTCATAAACTTTCCTGGTTACACAAAGGTTGATTGTTTTTCATTGTAGAGTCTGGAAGTACAGTGAAAACCACAGAGCAGAGGAACTTGCATATTTGTGGTGCCTGTGACATTAAAACGTCTCAGAGAGCTTTACAGTAATTGCTATGAAGAGTTGTCACTGGTTTTGTACACCAACACAGCAGCTATTTTGCATGAAACAGAATCTCATAGACACCCATGAAGTGAAAGAACAATCAGTTAAATCGGACGATTCTTGGTCAGAAATCAGAAAAGAACTTTGAAGTCCACCTGAACAGACAGACAGGACCTTAGTTTGTTTAATGTCTCTTGCAAAGGATAAATCTTCTGACAATGCAGTGCTCCCTCACTACTGTGCTGGAGTGTTAGCCTAGACTGCTAACAAAAGCTACACACTAAGCAGGATAGTACTGAGCAGTAGTGAAGGCAACATCAACAGAACAGGCTCCTTGGTGTGGACACTGACACCAGATGAGGAATGGAGGATGCTGTGACAGAAATGCATAGGGAATTGGAGATGCTATTTATTTTCTCATATCCAATATGTTTAGATCTCTTGGGTTTAGAGAAAGTAAATGTTGGGATAGTCAGCCACAACATGAAATATCTATCTATAGTTTCTACAAACATCTGTGTACTAGTGTGATTGCCAATGTGCTGCTCAGGTTCTGAATGATTCTGTCCCGCCTCCTAAACACCCCGGCATTGACAGATCCTGACTCACAATCTAGGTCTGTTGTCTCCGAATCTGTCTCATTCATCTTTTCTAAGACCAGCAGTATATAAAGAGCACAAATTGAGATATGTCTGTTTGGCCTATCAGATCTATTCCTTCCACAGCCACATAAACCCATAACTTTCACCTGCTCCATCCATCTCCTGGGGACAGTTCAATGTTGATAGCCCCTAATCCCCAAACATAGCTGAACTACTAAACGGCTAAAAGTAAGAATAATTTGTCCAAATTTTCAACCTTTCCACAGTCCAGGCTGTCATTCTAGGGCAGTGTTGGGGAAGCACTGCATTGTCAGAGTGCCGTCACCTCGGATGAGGCTGTAAACTGAGGTCCCTCCTGTGCTTGTTATGATAGATGGTAAAGATTCTATGACAAGGTTTGAAAAGAGAAAGGAGTTTCTCCCAATGACCTGATTAGCAATTCTCCGATGAATTGTTCTTTCACTTCATGGATGTTTGTGGTATCTCGTGTGTAAATTAGTTGCCGCATTTGCTTACAAAATACACGATCACTACACTTGACCACAATGTTGCATCAAAGACAAAGATTCTTCTTTGTAAATGTAATGGATTTTCAACACTAAGAGGGAGCTGTTGTGTGAATGTTATTTTTAGTTTAGTTAGCAAGAAAAACTGAAACTGAGAATATCAGGGTAGAAGTGAAACTGAGGTGGGGTAATCAAGAGAAAACACATATATCCAAGTTGTATGGGCACAGAAGGGACCAACACAGACTTATCTGTGTGCCTCACATGTCCTGTCAAACATACAGCAAGGGAAAGATGGGATTGGTCTCTGGTCAGAACTCGATCTACTTCATGAAAAATGTACAGACTGAAAACACCAATATTTTATTTTCTTCTTTCGTATTGAGATTTTCCCGGGCGTGCAGTCAAGCTCTGCACTCAGTGAGTGTATTGTAAGGTATTGTAATTATGATTTAGATATTGTAATTTAGCCCCAATCCCAATCCCCTCATGTAGCCATACATACACACTCCACCTGGACAATGATTGGGTGCTAACGCAACTTGATATCTCCACTTCTGTGCTCAGAGGTAAGTTACCAACAGATCGATAACATACAATGCAAGAATTTCTCAAACAGAGGGGCAGAGGCAGAAATTCGGATCACCGACAGTACAAATAGGTCCTGTCATGGGAGAGTTAAAGAGGCTGACTCATAACCTTCTCTCATGTGGATGCGATTTCACCCTCTTGTGTGCCGAGGTAGAAGTATAATCCCCGGCACGAGAGTGCACACTGAACATCACAGCGAGTTACTGCATTCACACTGCAATATCAGGAGTTGAAGAGTTTAAGCCCTTGTTGAAAAACACAAATTAGGCATCGAAATCTGAAGTTCCTTCTAATATTGAAACTCCTGCATGCGGGAGGTGATTTGGATATTAATACAGAACCACAACAGGGCACTGGGCAATGATCACACACACTGGGTGTTGAGGGGGATGGAAAGAAAGAACAACTCATTTATCTCGGACTCACAGCTGCTTGGCCATTTCCCTGCTCCTGTTCCAATTTACCCCAATCTGTCAGATTTATGTTGAACAATAAAATATTGTTTTTGGAAGTCAAATGAGAGATTATTATGGAAAGTAATGCAGTGCTCTGGCCTCATTGTGTAAACACTGGCTATATTTTGAAACAACTCCTATCAGCACTATCAGTACATTTCTGCTGCCAGCTTTCTCCCTGTAAGTCTCTCAGACTTTCTAAACAATGCCTTGTCCTTCACATAGCAAATGGTTTGCAAATGACGGAAGTGGTCAGTGCGTACACACAGACAGCGCTAATGGAGCATTTGAAAAACGTGTTCTTTTAAAGATTGCAAGCGCATTCCTCCAGGATTGTTTGTTCAGCTGCTGGGTGTACATTGCCCGAATTCTGGCCTTCCCAACGTCACATCCTGTGTTCCCGCAGCAGTGAACAAGGAGTGTCGCTGGCAACCATACCCTGGGGTATTTAAGAACCAGCAACAAATGCCGCAAATAGAGCTGAGTTCTGCTGTTACATCAACAATGACTCGCAGAAGGTTTGACTTCTTTGCTATCTGTTACCAAATTAGTCTAGGAACACATGTCTGAGATGACCAGATTAAGAGCTGTTAAACAAGGATTAGGTATTATAATTAAGAAGAGAGACGCGAGAAATTGGGCCTGTTTTCATCAGAACAAAGAAGATTGAGAGGAGATTTCATCGACCTGAAGCATTAACTCATTTTCCTCTCTCCATAGAGGCTGCCTGAGCTGATGTGTGTTCCCAGTGACTTTGCTTTTATTTCAGAATGAGAGATCTGATAGAGGTGTTCAAAATGACGAGTGGATTTGATAAAGTAAGTTGATAGAAACTATTTCCACTGGCCCCGAGCTGGTTACTATGGGGCATTAATTTAAGATGATTACCAAAAAAACACATGAGTTGGGTGAATATGTTGTAAGAAATGGGATCAAGGAATTGTTAGATGGGTAGTCTCTGAAATATGTCACCTTGCCTGATGCAACCATGGACCCTTTATGTCCTGGGAGGATGCTGAGAACAGTCAAAATTCATGGATATTCTTGAGTCTGGGTTGGTTCAACAGGGAAAAATGTTCCACACGTCTGCTCGGGATTCAAGGGTCTGTGGGGGAGAGGACAGCTGACCGTGTTTAGGAGTCAAGCACTTTGAAGCGTGCATCCTAAATCAAAGGCACTGCATAAGTCAAGTTGTGGTTACATCAATTTCACAGCTGAAAAATCTATGCCAGCAGCCAAAGGAATCCAAATGCACTAAACCCAGATGCAGTCACTTTTACACATATCTTTTGAAGTCAACAGGTACAAGGGATATTTTAAAGGAATCATTGTTCTCACCAACATATTCCACTCCAAGTCTTCAGCAAGACTCCAGGCAGGCTTCACTGGTGCTTTCATAGCCGTAGTCTCCAGGCCACAGCTTGGTGGTCAGCCTCAGGCTCTCCCGCTCCACCCCACTCTCTGTCAGCGAACTCCGTAGCTGTGGCTCACAGCCATACTTCTTTGCTGTGTCAGTGTGACGAATGCTACACTCATTTAGTGCATACACAACTGTGGAATGACAGTACCCCCCATTGTGAGACATACAGAGGACAGAAATGAACAGAACATCAGTGGATAAATCTCACTGAAAAACATTTGAAGTTCCTAGATTTTCCCCACAGTGGTTTACTGAACACATTCGAGGACCACAATCCCACCTAGTCTTTGGCCGTGAGATGATTTTAACTTAAAATTAAGATCAAGTAGCATTTTGGAAAATTCTTAAATTTAGTCTTAATTTGGAAGATGGCTGTTTTTGATGACTGCGATAATCTGTTTTCCAAATTAAGATATGATTTAAGACTTTCCAAAATCCTTACATATTAAGACAAAATAGTCTTACAGGCTGATTAGGTAATGTCAGGGCTCAGGCAGTGTGGTTTAAGTCTGTGCTTCTCACAGAATGTCTTGTGTACAGGAGATGATTTATCTGCCATAATTCTTTACACTCACTTCATCTGACTATGTTCTGACCAATTCCCTTCAGACACCAAGCCCTGCATGAGTTCTAACTTTCTGTAGCTGACAAGACTAAGGCTCTCTTCATTGGCTCCCATCAATATCTTCTCACCTCAGACATTGACTGCATTGACCTGCATGATCCTATTTCACAAAACCCTGGATTGCAATGGAATAATGTTGCTAAAAAGCACCAATGCCTGCTATCCTGCAATGAACTAGTTGTAAAGTTAGTAGCAATGCAACAGGTGTAACCAGCTCATAACAATACATGCTATCATACAGTGTAACAGGCGTAAGCCTTATTGCACAATGGGGATTGCAAAACTCTGCAGACAACACAGAGATGTGTTTGTTGGAGCCAGACAATGAATGCGCCTCCACTGCGCTTTCTAAGCAGGGCTGTGGGACACACACATGAGAAAGCTCTCGCGAATCTGCTGCCAGCTCACGATTCATTTCTTTTCAGCTGATTCTTTCCCACCGTCGCCGAGAACATTTCCCAGTACCAAACAAATGGTTTTCAGATGCTGTGCTCCTCACAGCTTCCTTAGAAACCAGATTTTATAAGAACTTGTGGCTTTTCTCAATAGAAATCTCCAGCTGTGCAAAGCCTGTGTTTCTAGCATATATTAGCCCCATTGATAGGGTTCAACAAACCCTTTCTCTTTGGAATAATGTCCAATGACTGGATCCTCACGGTTATGGGAAACACATTATTGTGGTGTGAAATATTTTTTGCAACATTCCTGCAGATTTTATTTTTCTACCAACACCAAATGTAGCTGAATATGAGTGTGGGCAACATTATTATAATAATAATAATCCTTGCATTTGATATAGCGCTTTTCACGTCTTCTAGACGTCTCAAAGCGCTTCACAGAATGAACTGTAAAGTGAATTGACTCTATATTTGTGGACGAAATGCGACAGCCAATTGCGCACAGCAGTGTCCCACAAACAGTCGTGGATTGAAGTGACCAATTTATTATTGTTTTATTTTCTTGAGGGATTATTATCAGACGTGTGGAGCAAGGAAACTTGCCCAAGGTTTCACCCTGCCGGGAATCAAACCCAGGTCTCTCACTTGCAAAGTGAGTACTTTAACCACTGAGCTACAGGACTCCACTTATCGTGCCAGGTTAGGACTTGTCACTCTGTGTCACTCAAGAGTAAAGAAAAAAAATTTGCATTATTATAGCACCACATATTATGTTGAAACGACAGTGTTTCACCAGTAATTATTGTAGAGAATTGTGACAGTTTTTGAAGGCAAACACAGCCATGAACTGATTTACCAATTAATCTGGAGGATTGTTGGCCAGGGCACCGACTGGGAGATCTTTTTGAAGTTTGAGATTGAGCGTTAGTGGCTGCGCTGGGGTCTTTCGGCAACATCCACATCACTGGTCAGCATTTTACATCTCTGGAAGAGGCACACTACAGGCAGACCAAACAAAAAAAAACTTCTCCAACAGTGACAGAAAGCAGAGGTCAGCGTGCCTGTGATCAAATCAGAATGGAAGGGAAAGAATGTGAAGCTTTTGAAACTGTCCCACAATATTCACTTGCTCAACAAAAGGGCTTTCATGCTGGCCTGTAGCCGAGCTCAACTGCTGTACTCCCATCCTCCCTCCCCCCGCTAAACGTAGCTCTAAAACCAGCAGGGTCGGACAGCTCCTGGCAAGCTCCATTGAATTATACTCCCAAACACTAGTAGCAAAGCAACAACACTCTGTGGGAGAAATTGGCGGCTATAGAAACTCTGCCTGGGAGGCAGACGGTTTCTGAAGAAATGGGACTTGCACTGACCTCACAGACGAGTAACCTCCGAAAGGCAGTCTGAAACAAAATATAAAAGTATCCAGTATAAAAGGCATAATTCAGCCTCCAATTCTAATCATTAATGGACGTGTTTAACCCTCAAATGTGAAGCAGAATTGTCACAGCTCGGAAAACACAGGTTTCCGATTGGGGAGTTTCTTCCCCCGGGAGGAAGAATGGGTGGGGGAGTGGGTTGGGTGGAGGGTTTTCTGGGGGTGGGTGGGGGTGGGGGTAGGGGGTTCTGGGGGGGTAGGGGGGAGAAGTTTCTTGGAGGGGGAAGGTTTTTTTGGAGGGGGAGGGCTTTCTGGGGCTGGGTCTTGTGGGGGTGTGGAGAATTTTCTTGAGGGGGACAGGAAGATGGGTGCAGTGTCTGGGTGTGTTTGGTTAAGCTGTGCTCCAGGAAACAGCTGTTTATGTCCAAGACACAAACTCTACTTCATTGATGCAAATAAGTGAAATACTGAAATGTTTGCTATGTGAACATTTGTCAAAGGAGTCAAACAGTCACCTCCAAAGACTTGAAGGGATAATGGGGATAGGGCAGGGCAGTGGATTGAATGGACAGCTTGCTCTGAGAGTTTGTGCAGTCTCAATGGACTAATGGCATCTTTCTGCTCTGTCTGAATTATGGAAATTTTGTCCTACCCAGACATACCAAGATACGAATAGCAATTGTAGCATATACTGCCACCCTGACAGAATTCCCGACGCATGAGATGGCTTTCAACGGCACAGGTCCCCTTCGATATATTAGGATTTCAGAATACCCTTGTATAGTAGAAACCAGCGGGTGGATTCGCTAAGCTTTCTGACTGCACATGTACCAACACTAAAATGAGTTGAATGGCCTCCTATTGTGTAGCAGATTTCAATTTGTTAGATTTAAATGGGCTGAGCTCATCTATAGAAATTCTGTTTGCTACGATTTGCTTTTCCTCCCCTCTTCTCCAGTTTTAATAATAATAATCCTTGCATTTGATGTAGCACCTTATCACATCTTTGAGACCGTCTCAAAGTGTTTCACAGAATATACTGTAAAGTAAATCGCCTATATTTGTGGGCGAAACACGGCAGCCAATTGCATACAGTGTAAATAGTTGGAATTATAGTATAAGAATCATTAGTATTGACCATGTAGTGAATAGATGAATTAAGTAGAATGAATTAAAGAAATAAAAACTGCCATGTGGCATGCAGCGCATACACACACACACACACAGTCCTCATAAAGAAACACTGAGCTAGGCAGGAGTACTTTGAAATGTGACCCATGGTCGGGAAAGATAAGGATAGCTGGATCTGGAGGATGGATGGTAGGCCATCTGCGCTTACAAGGGCTTGTGACCTACGGGCAGGAGAGATAGGAACTTGGGATAATTGGACCAGGAGAATGGATGGGAGGCCAACTGTGTGGGCAGGTATACAAAATTAGCAATTAAAACTGAGGAAAAGCTTGATATCAGCAGGTCATACGGACAGAGTCAGAAAGGAGCACAATGAATTCCTGAAACTTCAAGGACATGGAGTCAGGCGGTCTTTTGCAGAAGGTACCACTAGTTGGTACAAGGAAAAACAACTTGAAGATAGGAAAATAATGTCAGGGAAAAAAACAGGTTCGAGCCTCTGAGGAGAGGAAGGGGATGAACCTCTATGGAGAGAAAGAAGAGGGCCTTTGAGGGAAGGAGGACAAGTCCAGCTCTCACCGGAGTGGACCGCAAAGAGGACAAGTTCAGCCCTTGCCGGAGTGGACCACCAAGAGATGTTTGCAGCTAAAAGCAAGCCAGAGACATTTTGCAGCTAGAAGCAAGCCAGAAACATTTGCAGCCAGCAGCACACCAGAGACAGTGTTTAACTTTTGTGCCAGCCTTAGAACTTCTTTCACGACTTCCTGCCTGCTTGGTAGTATCTCCCCTACTTACTAAAGTACGCACCCAACATACATACAAAAGTTAGATTATTTAGGCACATTTCATATATCACATAATTTTTGTTATATGTTTAGAATTTTAGTATTGAGTGTATTTTGTTAAGATAGCGCTTCAGTAATGTATCTTGTTAAGATAGTGCTTTAGTAGTCATTTAAGCGTAATGAGAAATGGTAATGAGTCGGGTGTAATGTGACGCTTATGCTTGTGTAATTTTATAATTGCTAATAAAACGTTTAAATAATATCCTTGGTGTGGTTTCTGACAAACGCTTAAACCCAATTTCACAACAGCAGCATCCCACAAACAGTCGTGGATTGAAAGACCAAATTATTAGTATTTTTATTCATTTTTGAAGGGATTATTACCCCTAGAAAAGCAATCACAACAATCAACTAACAGCCGGGTTCCTACTTACTGCTAGGTAAACAGAAACATGTGGAGTGAGGAAACTTGCCTAAGGTTTTGTCCTGCCTGGGAATTGAACCCAGCTTGTGAGAAGTTATGTAATCACCTGGTCTCATATAACTTTTCTCCATGTATACAAATAGGGGAACCAGGCCAGGCAAGTATGCTAGTGAACAGAAAAGTGTAGTTGTGGCCAACCCATGGCCTGCGGGACGGAAGTAGCCTGCGTGACCATCAGGAAATGACCCACCGAACATCCACACTCGTCGAGGTGAGTGTGCTTTAAATCAATGTTTTGTTTCCAGTAGCTATTGAGTGGCGATGTTTATGATGTGGCCATAAATTATGAAATATTTGATCAAGAAAATTTATTTTGGTTGACCGACCAAAAAGGTTGGCCACAACTGGTGTATAGTATGGTGATAATGATCACTGAAATCAATCACCTAATTACCTAGCAGAAAGTTTGCCATATTTGCATGGCACAAGTATAGGAGCAACAGATATATATCCAGAGTCTGGGCTAGATCTTGAAAAACGCTGGTTTGATTTCACTTTTGATAAAATTCCCAAAAGGAAAAATAAATTGGCTAATTTTTGTGCTTTCTGTGGCATAAACAGATTTAATTACCAAGTCTTTGACCAGATGGCCTTGTTTCAAGTATTGCTGAAGACTGCTACAAGAGTATAACAGAGGCAGAACCATTTCCTTTCTAGTAGTGAAAACTCTAAAATTAAGATAGTTCCAGCACAGATTTACAGAACTACAGCAAATGTTTTATGAATCAGTCATTCAAATCAAATGTTCAATCGGTTTGGCCAGGAACATCTCCAATTCATTCATCATATTAAGATCTTTAATTACTCTGCTTTAGAAAATCTGTACAGGTGCAGGCTGAGATAGCTTCCCGGGAGCCCAAATCAACCCACAACACTGAGAAAAACAGCTATAAATAACCCCAAAAAGGATTCCCGAACCAATCATATCATATCTTGTCACTCATTTCAAAGGGAACTGCATAAGCTCCTGAGCAGTAAAGGCATTAAAGCATATGGGGAAACAACTGAAAAGTGGAATTGCTAAAACAAAGGATGCCTTAGAAAAACAGGTAGTTATTATTATTGAACATTTGCAGCAGTTGTCATCCCAAGCTTCAGTTTCCTCGTCAGCTATTTGATGGACTTCTGTCTTTGGCCCAAACAGGGTGCTTTGTGAAAAGACAGCCATCTTGATGTTCTGGATGTCCGAGTTCAATGATGAGTACCAAAAATGTGAAATAACTGAATTGGAAAAAAAACTAAAAAGACTTTATTACAGCTATTCAGTATTTATGAATTAATCTTGACAAATTAGGTTAAACATATTATAAAGCACAATAACAAGTTCCTTATTATTTGTTACGTGGTTACATATTATTTGCTTACTCGATTGTTACTCTTAAGAATCTGCATTCACTTTTCTGCTGTAAAGTGAAGTGACTGTGTATCTTATCAGCAAACAGCAGCTAATTTGCGCACAGAAATAGAAAACAAGTTAACAGTGAGTCTCCTCCTAACTTGTGTTCTTCTCTGAAGTCCCTCCAACCTTTCGATTCGCTTTTGGAAGGTAGGGCGACCAAAACTGTACACCATTGCAATCGGCCTCACCGTTGATCTTTTTGTCTTGAAAACATGTATGTAGTTGAAAATATATTTGGTACAACAATAAACTAAAATAACCCCCCCCCCGGCCCCCCACAAAGTACAACATCTTCCGTTACAATTCCTTTTCCTGACAGCCCGCTGCGAAGCATTTCCATTAACAATTTGATCGCTCAGTCCCGGACCGTTTGCGGGACTCCGCTCCGCGCGGTTGGGCTGCCGCGTCTCGCGAGCAAAGCACACAGTCACTACGCTTCTTTACAGCGCATCGTGGAGTCCTGTAGCTCAGTGGTTAGAGCACTCGCTTTGCAAGCGAGAGACCTGAGTTCAATTCCAGGCGAAACCTTGGGCAAGTTTCCTTACTCCACACAGAGCCTAATAATAATCCCTCCAAAACAAAACAATAATAAATTGGTCATTTTCAATCTACGACTGTTTGTGGGACATTGCTGTGCGCTATTGGCTGCCGCGTTCGCCCACAAATATACAGTCACTTCACTTTGCAGTGTGTTCTGTGAAGCGCTTTGGGACGTCCTCCCGACGTGAAAAGCGCTACATCAAATGCAAGGATTATTATTATTATTATTATTATTATCCCCGCGAAGCGCCTTTGAGACGTCTGGACTTTGCGATAAGGCGCTATGTCAAATGCGAGGCTTATTGTTTCCTTCTTTCACGGTACATTCCTGGCGAAGGCCGCACACCCGCGGGGGGCGATCCACCTGTCGGAGCTGACATTAATTTGCGGCTTCTGACTGAGATCAAACGCCCCCCATTCCCCCCCCCATCCCGAGGCTCAGCCTCTGCCTCAGACGGCGCGCTCCCGCGCGTCTCCCGGGCAACGCCGCTGTAAAGTGCCGTAAAGTGCCGTCAAGCGCGCCCCTTAGCAGCTGCCGTATTCTGGCGCGAAAGAGCGGCGCCCGCGCCGACCGCCCGCCCGCCCCGACCGCCCGCCACGCACCGCCCGACCCACCGCCCGCGCCCAATATTACTCTAAATCCGCATCGGCGTTTGTCAGTAATAACTCAGTAATAAGTCACTCGTCGATTACCGCTCAGTAATCCTCGCGGCCCCGCGGCGCCGCTCCTCGCGGGCCCCGGCGCCATGCTCTACCTGGTGGGCCTCGGGCTGGGCGACGCGCAGGACATCTCGGTGAAGGGGCTGCAGGCCGTCCGCCGGTGCAGCCGCGTCTACCTGGAGGCCTACACCTCGATGCTCACCGTGGGCAAGGAAGCGCTGGTAGGTCCCCTCACCCGGCGGCCCGTGGCGCCTCCCGCCGGCTCAGACACAAGCCGTGCGGTTGGACGGCGGTGCTTTTAACTTCCAAAGGATTCCCAGCGTTTCACAGGTTTTTGCTGCCAAATGTCGTGACTGTATTTGTTATCAAAAGCAGCAATTAATCTGTATACAGCAGATGCCCCTCAAAACGACCATGTTATCTGGGAGTGGGGGGTTGTTGGACAAGGCATCAGGAGAAACTCCCTTCGCTTTCCCAGTAGCACAGTGGGATCTTTAATGTCAATTTGAATAGCAGATGGGACTTAATTTTAACTCTGCATCTGAAGGCTAACATTACTGTGTTCCACTATTACTGCACTGCATCATCAATGACAGACCATTGAGCGTGGCTCATCAGCAGGATTTGGAGGGGGCAGTGCAGTCATTGGGAGCAGGATTTCTTCCCACTTGGCTCTGTTTAACACAGCAAACCGAAGCCCTAATGAGTAGGGTGGTCTTAGCTGGATACGTAGCAGAAAGCTTGCCAGACAGTGAATGCAATGACAAGTGTTTTTTTGCTGGTTAAACTCGAGCCGTTACCCCAACGCGCACTCTGGAGTCCCCAAGCCTTGGCACCTGTCAACCTGTACTACAAACTCTGGGATTAGATGAGGAGGGTGTGTGGTTCTGGGGAGAAAGAGTGCACATTCCATTCCAGATATGGGAATTTCCATCTGTAGGTGGCATGCGCGGAACTCTTGGATACACTTATTGGATTACATTTATAGTGATAGTTTTCCACATATGTCAGATACCCGGCTGACCAAGTAAATATTGTTACAATGAGGAAAAATGTTCAGAGAAGCTTTAGAAACAAGAGTATTGGTCAGATGTATGGCTCACTGCCATTGTTTCTATTTCAACCACAGGAAGAATTTTATGGCTGTGAAGTCATCATTGCAGAAAGAGAGATTGTTGAACAAGAGACTGATGATATTTTACGGGAAGCTGCCGTTGCTGATGTTGCCTTTCTTGTGGTGGGAGATCCATTTGGGTAAGTGCAATTGTCAATTGTGGTTGGTTTGCATTCTGAGACGTCCAGGGCTAATGCAGAAAGAGCAGATAATGCTAAAATATTTCTGGTCATTCTGCCTACCACATATTGTAATACCGGACAATGAATACCTGGCAACATTGATTTCTGGGCTGAAGCTTACGGTTTGCACGCACCTGCCAGGATTTGAGCTACTCTGCTTAACTGAAGTGAAAGTACAGGCTGGTATATTTTCACTTATTGTAAGTGCAGATGCATACTGTTAAAATCATGTTTAAATTTATAAATGTTTTAAAATATATAATTTAAAAACATCGTGGGAAGTGTAGCTAACAGAGAAGACTCTGAGGCACCTCAGGAGGACATAGCCAGATACTAGAGGGTGAAATGAAATGCAGAAAACTGCAGTTATACATTTTATAATAATAATAATAATTGCATTGATATAGCGTCTTATCAGGTCTTTGAGATGTCTTGAGACAGAATTTGACGGAGTGACTGTATCTTTTGTTGGAGAAATGCAGCAGCCAATTGCACACAGCTGTGTTCCACAAACAGTCGTAGATTGAATAACCCAATTCTTTTAAAAAGGGATTATTACCCCCGGAAAAGCGATCTACCAATTGACTTACAGCTGGGTGTCCTACTTACTGCTAGGTAAGCAAAGGCGTGTGGAGTAAGGAAAGTTGCCCAATGTTTCGCCCCACCCTGGAATTGAAAACGAGCGCTCTACCTAAGACACTACAGGACTCCACAATTAACTTTGATGTTGTTGCTGTTGATATTGCTGCTGTTTCTCACATTGGAGGAATAAAATGATATGAAATACAAATAAGGTGACACAACGATTGTTTTTTCCTTGAGTGAAAAAGAATGAGGGAGAGACTGCATATAGGGCCAATGTCCTACTTCTGTTCTGTAAATTTCTATTTTTTTAAGAATAGAGGACCAGAGGGGCTGAAGGATTAACATAGATAAATAAATTTGTAAAGGTGGGAAGGCAGTGTGTCAGCCTGGCTCAGACAGTCGCACTCTTGCCTTCTGACTCTTGCAAATCTTTCTGGCTCCCATTGACAATTCCGTGGTTCCACAAACACCATCTTGAAGCCCTGATAATGCTCAGATTGCACCTACTCTCCCTAAAGTTAGTTACAAATAATTTGATGCCATCCGGAGCATGAAAGGCCCAGGGTTGAATCAAGGTTTCACTTAAAATATATAGTCATTTCACTTTACAGTATATTCTGTGAAGCGCTTTGTGATGCCTCGGAAGACGTGATAAGGCGCAATATCAAATGCAAGTATTATTATAAGGTTATGCCCTACTGTGATGGGCAACTGCTTTAGCAGGTATGGTGTAGGCTTTTATAGCTATTCTGGAGTTCTTGATTTAAGAGGGGGAGGTAGGGAGTTTTTGTTCTTCAGCAATTAGACTGCTTAGACCATGATAGCGTAATATTGTACAAGGGCACTTAAAAGGCCAGGCATGAATCACCAGTAAGTCACAGAATAAAGATGTTAGATCTCCCCCCACCACACTTACTCAGCTTTTTTTTGTTGTAACTTTTTTTCCCTTGTTTACTCAAAATGCTTTCTCAACATATATTACTGACTTGAGCGGTGTTAGATCTAATGTGACACAGCCTTCACTATGAGAACATTGTGCACCAGTTATGCAGAGTATTATCAGTCGCCAACTTTCGATGCTTTCTGACAGGGCGACAACTCACTCTGATCTGGTTCTACGAGCAGTGAAGGCAGGAATCCAGTACCACATCATTCACAACGCCTCCATTCTGAATGCAGTTGGATGCTGCGGCCTTCAGGTAAAGCCTTTGCTAGGTTAACTGGTACTTTTCCAATCTATTTCACATCACATGGCAAAGTCACTTGTAGATAGGAAATCTGTTCAGCTGATTTTCATTTACATTAAAAATTAACGCTTTTGGTCATCTTTTCCCCTCTCCATCCCACCTCTCTCGGCTCTCATCCTAACCCTAACCCAGCCGACAGTGTTGAGTGCTTTGAGTCCTTCCAATGTGAAAAGGGTGCTATGTAAATGTTGGTATGTTTCTGGAAGGGTAACACAAAAAATATTTCTTATGTGGCCCATAGACCTTTCTCAAATAGGGAATCCGGCCTGTGGTAGCCAAAGGGATGGACCCTCTCTGGTCTAGATCTCCATCTCAGAATAATCTGAAAGATATTCTGTGTCATCCAGCATTCATATCGAAAATTATCAAATTACAGGTCTGAGATTTTCTGGGGTGTTGAGTGTTACAGTAAAGGTAAATTGGGGGAGAGTGGGCGATTTATCTTGGTGAAGGGAGTGGGAATGTGCAAGCAATCCAGAACCTTGAGTAGTTAGTAAATGTTGTTGGAACACTTGGTAATCTGGGGAATGCGAGTAGCAATATTGTAAGTGGTGAATTTGTATAAGTAAAGAACAATCCTAGAACGTAGAATTACTTTGTGAAGTTGGTGTTAGTTCTCTAACTAGGTGCTGACATCTGAGCACACATGTGAGTAACTACTTGCCCAGAGCTATTCTGTGGTTAATATCACAGGCTGTCCTGGCGGTTCACACTTCTGTTTTTTAATTTTGTTTATCTTTCTTGTCTTTGTGAAATACATCTGCTTTCCCCCACTGTGGCCTTTGTGGTGATGGGTATTATTAGTATTGTAGTGTAGGGAACCATGTGCAATACGTCAAGCCCTTCACGGGTCAGTCAACGTTATGCTGTAGCTTCCCTTTGGCTGATTCCTTCAGTGCCCTGCACCTTGTGAAGATAATCGCTTTGAAACGCCTCGAAGACATGATATGCTGCTATATCAAATGCAAAGATTATTATTATACTTTTGCATGTTTCAATCTCCGGGTGTGTGTTTTAAAGGTGTAATTCCAGTAGCAAAGGCATTACATTTCTCAAAACCTGTGCGGTTAGATTATACATGGATTATTTGGTCATTCGTCTCGTGGCTGTGCACGCTATTTTGTAAGCAGCGATTAAATGCTGCATTTACTTGCATAACAGTCACTACACTTTCAGAGCTCCAAGGCCCTTCTCACGCTATATAAAGGCGCTATATAAATACAAGTTGTTTTACACTTCAAAGTCATTTCTGGTGTGCACTTTTGTGGAGTTTTTACCCACTCTCCCAGGTGGCCTCTCGGCCACTGACAGAGATGATAAAGCTGCAGAGACTTGTTTCCGTTTGGCGGGTTGTCAGGTCGCAATGCCCGTAGCTTGCTCTCAAATAATGATGACAGCAAATTCCTTCCCTGACCTCCATTGTTTTAAGTAAATAACACTGATCCAAGTGAAAAGCCACACGTGCGTAGAGACAGCACACAAAATGTTCCCAGCAATAAAAAGTTTAGAGTGGTTAAATATCACCAAACAGGAAGCACCTTTGGTGTCTGTGAAAGCTGGGAATGTGGCATTGGGGCTCTCACCAGAGGTAAGCCCTGGATCATCCCTGCCTGGGCTTAAATAATAATAATCCTTGCATTTGCTATAGCGTTTTTCACATCTTCTCGTGTGTCAAAGAGCTTCACAGAATATACAGTAAAGTGAATTGACCTTATATTTTGTGGGCAAAGGTGGAAGTTTAATCTGGAAAATAATAGTCTCTTATTTTGGTAGTTTTGGTTTGTAACATCTGTTCAGAAAGCATTGCACAGCTGTGCGTCCCTTTAGCTTTCCACTTCCATATTTACTGCACCGCTGATTGCTCAAGATTTAAGTATCGAGGTAATATTTTCATACTTCCAAACAAACATAAAATTAGATTATTCACAAAATAGTTAGTAGAATGCAGCCGAGCCAATGACTGTGGTGTCAGCACTAACAACAAACAACAACAAAATTACATTTGTATAGTGCATTTCACTTCAGGAGGACTAAGCGTTTCAGTTGGATGGTTTACAGTTTGTATTTGGGTTTATTATTGTGTCAGATGTCTGAAGAGCGAGAGTCTGTTCTCGTGGTGCCACGTGAGTCACATGGAAACTGGCAGCAGATGTTGAAAGTTGGTGCCATTGCTTCACTTTTTATACATTGGAATCACTTCCTTTACTTGTCCCCAAGGATGTGTTTTGGCATCGGTTTGATCATAGAAAGAGAGGCCATTCGACTGGGGTTCGATTCCTGGCAGGGGCGAAACCTTACTCCACACACTGCTGTTTACCCAGTAGTAAGTAGAAAACCGGTTGTTAATCGATTGGTAGATCGCTTTCCAGGGACATAATCCCTTCCAAAAAAAAATAATAATTTTGTCACTCAATTCACGACTGTTTGTGGGCCACTGCTGTGCGCAATTGGCTGCTGTGTTTCGCCCACAAAGTATAGTCCATTCACTTTACAGTATATTCTGTGAAGCGCATTGAGATGTCTCAATGAATTGATAAGGCGCTATATCAAATGAAAGTTTATTATTATTATAATTGTATCTGTGCTGGTGCCATGCTTCCTATTTACATGTACTTCACTGCTGTTATTGGTGTCAGTTCGTTGTGTTGAACACGGATAATCCTAACACTGTCACCTATTTTTCCCAATATCAGTTTGAATTGCTGTGAGTGTACGTTGTCAACTTTGGTTGTTCTTGGCACTGCTTCTCCCAGTTTCCAGATACTAATGGTTTCAGGGTGAGCTGCTGCAGAGATGTCTGTTCCCATTTCCTGCATAGAGCATAGTTTCCCACAGTAACTGTCCAGGAAAGAAGCTTACAGCGAGCACAGCCAAGAGGAAGTTTAGGAAAGAAGAGGGGATGTCCTGAAACAAAGCTGTGGAGCAGTAGAGAACCAACATCAGCAAAATTGAGGCTAGCTCCACTGATTGGTGAGAATTATCAGATGTCAGTCTGGCTTAGTTGGTAACACTCTCATCTCTAAGACAGAAGGTTGTGGGTTCAAGACTTTGAACTCAAAAGTCTAGGGTGACACTCCAATGCAGTGCTGGGGGAGTTGCTTTGAATGAGATGTTAAAACCGAGATCCCATCTGTGCCTGTTCAAGTGGATGATAAGGATCCCAGGGCACTACTTGAAAAGAGAATGGAGTTTCCCTTAGTGTCCTGGCCAACAGTCTTCCAGATAAAAATTGTTCATTCACTTTATGGCTGCTTGTGCGAGATTACTACAAAATTCACAGTCACTACAATTTAAAGAGAAACCTGTAGATTGATGAGAGTCTGTAATTAGGTGTTCATCAAACCTTCGAGGCCACTGGCAGCATTTCTACCAGATTTTATAAGTTGACTGTGATGTTGTACAAATAGGTTGAAATTCTCTCATTATCTGTTCACAACATGCTGTCAGCATTTTGCTTTCTGATTGGATTGGAAAGACTGGTTAGCGCCCGCATACACTGTTGCTAACAGTATTGTCCAAATTCCAACCTTACCCAGGAATGCTAAGAAACCATTTGCAAACTGAAGGAAGTATTCCTTTAATGGTGAAGCAAAGTGGTTAGTTGGTTGTGGTTGTTCTTCGTTCTGAATTAAAGATCTTCCTATTCTCCCCCAAAATAATCTGCTGCAGATGTGTAAATTGTAAGATTGAAGTTGGATCTGAGAAAAGTTACACAAGTATGCCCTGGGAAGATTTGTGGTNAAAAAAAAAGTTGTCTGGTGTTGACTGCAGTCTGGCATCATTGTGTTTTGCATAAGGAGGGTACAGTGGTATTTGCTCTGCTCTCTTGGGCTGCTCTAAGTGCACCTGGTCTATCGCTTGACGTTGATGTTTAGTACTGAATTCTCGGCACGTGTATTATTACAGGTTCAGTAACTCAATCTGCATCCTGTTCCAATAGTTACTATGATAAATATTCTAGTCCTTAGACTTGCGAGGTGCGGCAATAATCATAGTAATAAATTCAGACTAATGTAGTAAAGAAACATTCCTGCTGGTAAATGGAGTCAGTCTTGTGGGATTTCAGAAATATTTGTATTGCATGATTGTCTCTAATAGGTATTATGTTTCTTAATTAAGAAATCCAGATGGGGATTTGCTCCAGTAATTGGGTGGGTGTCATGTTTCATCGAGGAAACAGCTCTGATAGTGTTGGAATGGCATTCTCAGAGATCAATTTTATTTCTTAATTGAGTATATCACAAAATTCCCTGGTATTTTCATGTTCAGATGCAAAGCTAAAGAAGTTTCTATAGGCTGTTTCCATGTGCAGTGAGAAACCAGGTCCACTAGTCTGAGTGTTATTCCTAGGCTTTTAATGTGTTACTCACATGGGTACAGTACCATCTTTTCCTCAGTGCACCAGATCTCACAGCCCTCAGATAATAGGGGTTCCCACAGTGCCAGGTTCTGTGAGCTTGAAAACCAAGGAGACTGCCATTCTTTCCAGTGAATAATCGTATCTGTAGGTCTAGTTATATGCAGAATGTAGCCTTCCTGTTGCCCTCAAAGCCTTTTTAACAGGGTTTCATTTTCCTTAGCTCTACAATTATGGAGAAACTGTGTCAATCGTGTTCTGGACAGAGACCTGGAAACCAGAGAGCTTCTACGACAAGATTGAAAGGAACCGGCGGACAGGAGTTCACACTCTGTGCTTACTTGGTATGTATTTCTATACTTAATGTAGCACTCGTCTCCCTCACTAGTACACACTGGTTTCCCTGCCCACTGCCAGTATGTACACATGCAGGAAAAGTAAAAATCAAAGATCCATGTCATGGGCATGTGTAACTCCCCAAGCCACCATGCTTCGCCTTTCTTCTTAGGAGGAACAGCACATCCAATTGTGTCTGTGCTGGTGCTCGCTCCCTCACTGGAGCTCTGTCCTCTAATCCCGTTCCCAACTCTCTCCCCATCGTGTCTGTGCTGGTGCTTGCTCTTCCCCGGAACTTTCTCATCCCATTTCCACTGCTTTTTTTTCCCATCATGTCGCTTAATTTTACTTCTGTTGCACGACTGATAGCTTTGTTTTGGCAAATTGTCTTGTTGGATTGGGCAGAGTCCTGAGAAGTTTTACAAGAATCCAACTAATGGAAAGCAGACAATGTAAAGAGTTTGCTTCACTGGCTGCAACAGAGAACTACCCATTAAAGGGACACCACCTTCGTGAAATAATATTTGGTAGAATGAGAAATTTATAACACTCAAGGCCATTCCCACTGGATCAATCCACTTTAATCCCGATTCCTGTGTCTGTTAGTGCTCCCCCTCCTTCCCCCACCCCAAGCTTTCTATTCCGATTCCATTTCCCTCCTCCTTTCCCACGCTAGTGTTTTACTGTAACTGCTGCCTTTACTTTGTAAATGCTCCCTTAACAAATACATCTAATCAGAGCACTGCCCCTTTAAGCATTGGCTGGATCTATAAGAATTGAAAAAAAAACAAATTATGGCATGAATTATTTTGAAATTCCAATACTTTGGGCTGAAATACCACAACTGTAACCTCGTGACACGGAGATTTTTTTCTGAGAGCTGAAGATGTCAGACTCACTGATTTATTTTTATAGAAAGGCAGGTTGGCATTTTGCCAGCAGATCGCCTCTCCCAATAAGGTGTTGCAGGAAATGCTCTGGGAATGAAAGAATCCCATTACCCACCGAGTCTGAGGCTGAACATGATATTTCCCCGACTTAATTATAATGTTAGCCCTTGTCCTGCAGGCTCTCCAAGGATGCAGTTCGTAGAGGCATAGTTGGTGCTGAACTAACTAGCAGTGTTTGTTGAATTAATGGATTGAATAAATGCTCCTGCATGAGGAGCACTATATAAATTCAAGTTGTTGTTCTTGAAACAAGCCATACTTACCGTAAACCCATTAACGGTGCTGTACAGAAGCACATCATTATAGGGCTATCTTAAATCACCATTTCGATGACCACATTTGCTATCTTCAGCTGAAATTCTCTAATGTTTAAATGTTTCTCAAATATGTGCAGTGGGCCTCTACTGAGTATTAATAGGCTCCACAAATTAGGTACAGAGAGGATTCTGGAGATTTACAACTTGATATTTTACTGTTGGGAATGTTCTGAGACCCAGTGACTCACAGCTCCCTGTGGGAATGGTCTGAAACCAACCGTGCATGTGGCCTGCTGGATGTTTTTCAATGTAAAATAATCCTTCTTTATATTTTCTGTGTAGACCTCAAAGTGAAGGAGCAGTCGCTAGAAAATCTAATGAGGTAAATGTCTCCTCTGTAACACCGTGATTGTGATACTCCTCTGTAGCACCATGGACTCCTATAGTTTAGTTGTTAGTACACTCACCTCGCACGTGAGAGACCTGGGTTTGATTCCCGGGCAGGGCGAAACGTTGGACAAGTTTCCTTACTTCACATGCCTCTATTTACCTAACAGTAAGTAAGAACTTGGTTATTAGTTGATTTGCATACTGCTTTGCCAGGGTAATAATTCCCTTCAAATAAAATGAAAATAATAATAATTTGGTCACTGAATGCATGACTGTTTGTGGGACACTGCTGCGTGCAATTGGCTGCCATGTTTCACCCACAAAATATACAGTCTATTCACTTGACAGTATATTCTGTGAAGCGCTTTGAGGCATCTTGAAAACATAAGGATAACATAATAATGCTTGCTGTATCAAATGCAAGCATTATTATTATATCCTTGTATTGATTCACTAGATGCCTCTTGCTAAGAGCTCATTTTCTTTCTTGCGCTCTCGCTCCCTTTCGGCGCAATGCAGGGCCCGCCTCACTTGTCGAGCAAACAATCACTTCATGTTAGTATAGACTCCAGAGCAAATCAATCCTCTTCATTAACTCTGTGGAGATGATTACCGATTTTAGTGAAAGAGAGATTTTCAGCACGGAAGGGGTTATTGGCCAATCATATCTGTATTACCGCTACCAGCTCTGTAGCTATTGTAGAACAATTTGTCAAAGTTGTCTTAAAACAGTGTCGATTGTAGGCATTTAAAAAGAATTGGAACAAGCGCATTCAGAGGAATTGGATAGAGGGTACTAGGGAAGAGCAGGTAATTGGGATTTGGATAGAGGGTACCAGGAGAGAGCAGGGAATTGGGATTCGGCTTGAAGGAGCAAACTCTGACACACAAAAAAAAAAGGCTGATTGGCATCCAACTGTGTGGTGAGTTTCTATGGTTCTGGGGATAAGAAATGTTTAACTGCGGTTTGACCTTTCCTTTCCAGGGGCAGGAAGATCTACGAGCCTCCGAGGTATATGTCTGTCATGCAGGCTGCAGAGCAGCTGCTGCACATCATTGACAATCGGAGAAAACGGGAGGAAGAGCTGGGTGAGTAACCTCCAGGGCCCAGTGTTTCAGGTCAGCTCAGTTTCCAACATCACCTGAAAGAAATGGGCCAGGCAGGCATGTAACAAGGCCTGAAATGTCTGCACGTCATAAAAGCATAGAAATCTATGGCACATAAAAAGGCCATTCAGCCCATTGTGTCTGTGATGCTCCCTCAAAAGCAATTTTTTCAGTCCCATTTACTTGCCTTTCCCATTCCCCCTGTGTCTGATATGAAAGATGTAGTCAAATGCAGAGATTAATAATATCCCTATTATAGGAGAAATACAGTCTGCCCCTCCTTTCTGAACCCCTGGCCCAGCTCAACAGTCCTTAGTGACGTTTGATCAAAGTGACGCATTGTGAAAGTCTGTACAAATGTAATTTGTTGTTGTTTATAATTGCACCATTCCCTCCGAGCAGTGCAGCTTGTTTATAATACAGTGTGTAAACTCTTGGCGAGCTATACAAATTGTATTTAATACCAAGCTTGGAAGAGAATCCTAGACTGCTCACGATGTAATGGTTTATTTTACTGATGATCTTTGTGATCTGCTGGTGATGAGGAGGCTCCCGCAGCATTAAACAACGATGAGCCAACCATAGCTGTTAGCGTACGAAACCATAACCTACTGACTCAGAGGTGAGAGTGGCAAAGTTGATACTATCTGAGCCAGGCCACATGAAGATGTGGGCAATTTTGCTTATTTCTGACTCACATTTGGAGTCCCATAGCGTAGTGGTTATCACGCTCGCCTTGCAAGAGAGAAGACCTAGGTTTGTTTACTGGTCAGGGTGAAACTTACTCCACATTCCTCTATTTATCTCGCAGAATAGGAACTCAATTGTTAGTCGATTAGCAGATTTCTTTCCAGGGCTAATAGTGCCTCCAGATTTAAAAAAAAACTAAACATTACAGTAGATTCTGTGAAGCGCTTTGTGTCTTCTCAACGATGTGATAAGGCGTTATATCAAGTGCAAGGATTATTATTAAAATGACTCGCTCCCTGCTTCTTCTCGGATTGCATGTCCTCTTATCAGCTGAGGTTTGTTGGATAACAGAAGAAAGAAAATGCAACAGAGCAACTTGCTTTCCAGATCTTACCCAATTTTTACCAGCTTTTGCAATTGTAATTCTCCTACAGGGAGGTGGGGGGGTGGTTAGCCTTATCCAACAACAACAAAATTACATTTATATAGCGCCTTTCACTTCGGAGGACATCCCAAGGCGCTGGACAGGCAGTTATCTATAACCTAAAATAATAATAATAATAATAATAAATTTGTATTCTTCCAGAATCATGCAGCTAACATTGTTAGTCTCCAGCATTGTTTGTCTTTGGCCAAAGTTTAATACATATTTAATTTATATTTAAATCTATATATATGTAAATTATTTATTTAAATAAAGCCTAAATGTTGTTGCTGTAAAGCTCTGTGATTCTAGTCCAACTCACAATTAAACAACAATAGCAACAACAACAAACAGCAAATTGCATCTATATAGTTAAAGTGCAACCCAAACAGAAATCAGATCCTGGACTGGAAACTCCTAACAGAGGGTCGTGGGAATGTGGCGTGCACTGCCCTGTGCTGCTGCAGATGCAGAATCCTTTGGGCTGCGTAAAAGGGAGAGACATTCACACATACATGCATACGTGGGAAGTCATGGAAATGAGAGATGCAGGGAAATAGGAATAAAAGATCTGCTTTACCCAATAAACTGAGCAACATGCTGAACTGGCTGAACTCCTGTTCTTACTACAAACACCACCTGTGTGAAATGCATCCTTAAAAATATCTATATTCAAATGTATGTTTTGTTCCCTAATTGACATACTTAATAATAATCCTTGCATTTTAAATAGCCCCCTTATCATGTCTTCCAGACATCTCAAAGCGCTTCACAGAATATACTGTGAAGTGAATCGACTGTATATTTTGTGGGGGAAACACAGCAGCCAGTTTGGCACAGCAGTGTCGCACAAACAGTCATGGATTGAGGACCAAATTATTTTTATTTTATAATATGTAGTTTTAACAACAAATTATATTTGTATAGCGCATTTCAGGAGGACATCTGGGTAGAAACTGCTAGGTAAACGTGTGTGGGGGGAGGAAGCTTGCCTAATGTTTTGCCCTGCCTGGAGATTGAACCAAGGACCTCTTGCTTGCGAGGCGAGTGCTGTAACTACGGAGCTTCAGGACTCCACAGAGAATGCCTGTGAGGTATCGCTCTAACTGCCATTGGTTTCTTCCAACATAATGCAGCCATGACCGAAGACACCATCTGCGTGGGGCTGGCCAGAGTGGGGGCGAAGGACCAGAAGATTGCAGCAGGAACCCTGAGGCAGCTGGCTGGCCAGGATTTGGGAGATCCGCTCCATTCACTGATCATTACAGGGCGTATGCACCCCGTGGAGATAGACATGCTCAAACTGTTTGCAGTGGACGATTCCAGTTTTGATAAACTAATAATAGTGGACGGCTCGAGCTACTTCTCCTAGCAGCCAAAATAAAGTACACCTAAACTGCAGGATTGCCATGTTTGCTTCAGCAGCGGTGGGGGGGGGGGCAGCTGCATTCAAATTATCACGCGACAGACACCCACATGACCACAGGATAACGGTGGCTGTGTGTTCGGCTAACAGACGCTCAGGGCAGATTACTGATGACAGACGGGGTTGATAAGATAATTTTTTGCAGGTTTTTTTTTCCTGTTTGTGAATCCTGAGCCTGTTTCAACAGCAGCATGAACCAGGCCACCCTCAGAATGGCTGGGAATGCAGCTCGTGCTGGCCTCACTGCCCCTGGGCTAGGGTGGCAATACTCGGCCTGCTTTGCTGCTGGGCAGTGATCAGCGCGCTGTGATTTCCACCTCCCGCTCTGCCTGGACCCCACATGAAGAGATTGGTGGCTTCAGTCAGTGTCCGCACCTCTGTGAGCCAGCCTGTTTTTAAGAGGGAAGAAAGCTTAATACATACCAATAATCAGTATATTTAATACAGCACCTTTCCCAGCAGGAGGCCATTTCCTAGCACTTCATGGGACTTAAAGTGTAGTGACTTTTGTGGGAAGCCAATAACTTTGAATTTTTGTATATTTATACTGTATAGAGGTAATAGATCAGGAGATAAAATAAATTTCAGTGCTCCAGGATATGCTATCCAGGGTGAAGACTAACACTTACATTTATATAGCATCCATGGCAAATGGATCTTTCATGGAAAAATAACATTTACATTTAACAAGACATTTAGATTGAACAAAATGTTGCCAAAATATTTATTAAGTATATTTCCTAAATTACACAAGTCTTTTGATAAAAACAGTTCAATGTAGAGTCATCATAGTTGTACAGGTTTCAAATTGCTTTGGTGATAAAGTCTCAAACATTTCTTAAGATATTAAAAATAGTCATGAATTTGTGGAATGATTTATAAATCTAGTGTAACAACTGATGCAGCTCAACCCTCAAATTGCATTTCAGACTTTAGCTGCTTTAAACTATTGCAATCTGACAACCATATTTTAACAAAACACATCACTTCTCTCCTGAAATGCCCAATTAAATCTTATGTAGAAGCAAAGGCTTGGTACAGTACAAAGAACTCCTTTAATTTAATGTTAACTTGTTCCCAGAAGCAGTGTATAATGCAGCCAACATAACATCTATCCCATTCAAAGTACATCCTAGTATTCCCCAGCAACAACACAAATAGGTTTGTTTTGATACATACATTTAATGAAGTTTTATCGGACAGTCTGTATGGCCAACCTGGACTGTGTACACAAGGTAATTACACATTAGCATGTGTCTACCATATAACGGTTGGTCACTTACAGTGTTTGTGTGGAACTGTGCTGGGTACATACCTAGAAAGACTCTTAAGTCATTTATGAAAAGCCAGACAAGTTACAAAGTGCCATTATTTCATGGTCCGAGATGGACAGAGTCTGATAACTGTTGTGTGTAAACATTTCAATTCTACAAAGTCTACCTGTAAACATTCAGTTTGGACAATGCATTTTGGCAATATTGTAAAATACTTCATTATTCCCAACTCAATCCCACAGCATCTGAATTAGGTTCATCTGTGGAGAAATACCAATCATTCAACCTCTTCATTATGAAACAAACCGTTTTCTAGTTGCTAAAACACAGCCAAATAGCCTTTGGTTTCCTCTGCCATTCCAGTCAATTCAGAAAAGCAACGGGTGGAATCGTGCTTCACATCCAAGAGTGATGCACATTTAAATCTGCAGACAATTGTTCTCAACCCATCCCTACAGCGATCGTTTAATCTACCCATTATCCAATAGCCCAACCAGTTGGTTTCAAAGCTTAGTCTTCCAACAAAATGAAGGTTTCAGCAGCCTCATTAATGCCAATGTCTGCAAGTAAAGATTTCTTGGGTTATTTTTATTAAGTTAACTGTTCTGTCCACAATACCTACATACAATGCAGTCTGCCTTTTAACAAGACCACACTAAACCATTCTCACAAAAGGCTCACTCACTCTTGCCATCAATCTAATGTAGCAATTATTGCTGGCTAAGCAAATTAAAAAAAACATTTGTACTCAAAATCAAACTTAAATCTTCACTGAATGTCAACATACAGAGATACTACACAATCAAACAGCCAGTGGCAAAGTGATAACCTGAACTAGCGCTAGAAAATAAATTGCTGTAAACATGTAGAATGAAGAATATTTGTTTTCTGATGAGATCCACACAGTTCTCCTGGCTCAGACATAAAGTGTTCTCATTCCTTAAAGCAGAGACCATGTAAATAATCCCTCCATTTGGTTTATTTATAATCCCAGCAAGAGACCGGGCACAAACCCTGAAGCTAAATGTTCACTCACAATGTTTATGTTACTGGATCTCATCATTGCTCTGTTAGAAATCGTTCCTGTTGGCAAATTCAGAAAGGTTGTTGTGCAAATTTGCAATAATACTCCTGCTAACCCAGCAATGGGTAACATGGTACAGGTCTGACCTCTATCTTTCCACCTCCCTAGCTGAGCTCTTTTCTCCGTAAAAAGCTGCTAAAATCTATCAGACCCACGCTGACCACTGCTAGCCAATGTAATTGAAGGTTAATGATTATAAAATCTTGTCCCAAAGTCAAGTATCAGCTTCCTCTCTCAATATTATTTCTGGTCCACAGCAAAAGGCACTTTGGAAACTGAATATGGTTTATTTCATTCAACCTGCATTGAGTAAAGCTAACATATTAGACAGATAATTACAAAATAAAATGGTAAAAACAGGCCAATATTTTGGATTTCAGGAATGTGTAATTTAAGTACCTTTGTTAAAGACAAAGATTAGAACACCACTATATACAAGTCACATCATGGATGTCATTATAACTACTTTATAAAAAGACAAAACTCAAACAAAGATGTTCTAGGTCCAGACATAAAGGGGCTTCCAGATCCTTCAATCACTGGCAGAGGACCTCTTGGTGGGACCTTGTAGATACACCTGGGCTTGCTGTATAGTGGTGGTGTTTAAATCCAATGGCCAACGACAGGTACAATTATACCCTGATTCCAGCACCAGGGAAATTGGATCACAAGGTCAGGTGTGTCTACATAGCTGCAAAGTCAATCTGGACATAAAGCTGCCTGACTCCTGCCTGCAAATAGGTAACAAAGATAACTTGTTAACCATTCCATTCTGCAGCACCTCAAATAAACAGTTTTCATAAAAGGCCGTGTATTTGGCCTGATCAGAAAAATAAACTATTAGAAAACTATCACACTATCACCCCAATCTTCAATCTTACATACAAGAGGACTGTCCCAGTGGAACATAGTCCTGAGAGGAATAGAGAACCGACCCAGTGGAACATGGGCGTGCGAGGAATTACCTGAGTGAAAACGTTGTGCGTCTGGCTCAAAATCCACCGTGCATCTGCATCAGGAGCTACTAAAAGCTTTATTGTGCCAATATATACATCACTGCATAAGGTCCAAAAGTGGGTATCATTCACACTGTACACTCCTTGCAAATGCTGAACCTGCAGAAACGAAGATATATATAGGTTTCAGTACAGCACCTCTCCTATCAGAGCAGTTGATAACAATGAATCGATGTACCTACCCGCTGGTAGCACTGGGGCAGAATAGAGTCCAGGGAGGGTGGCGTGCGTTGCATTAGAATCCCAATGGATTGCTTTAAGAGTGGGATAACGCTGTTAGAGAAAAAGGTCACAATCTCAAGTCACTTGTACAATAGTGCTAAATTCTACCAAACAGTTTGTGTTTCCATGCCTAATGATTTATGCACATAGTAAGGTATTGATAGCACAACACACCTGAGGGTGAAGGTAATACAGTATAATCAAAAGGCCAAGTCGATCAATAGACAGCTTTTGGATTTAAGCAGCATAAAAGACTACAAGCCAGGACCTGAGCCCATTTGGTGCCCAATTTCTAGCCCTCATTGACTGGAGATGATTGGGTATTGTCCAGGAGCACACAGTTTGTGATTCGGTAGAAATTCAGGTGTGAAGAGCAGAGCACAACTGTATGTTCCTCTTCCAATTCATGTGGCTTGAATCCATGTTGGGAGTTTGTACACTGGTTCCCACAGGTACCAACTCAACAGACTTAAATTACACAGTGAAAACTGGAAATTTACATAATCCTAGGAGACATTAGCTGATTGGTGGCATTGTGTAGTTCAGGTGAACTCGATTAGGATCTCATCATTCAAATAATACTAATAATAATTCACATACCACATTTTTATTTTAAGATTTATGCAGGTATGTGAGATTTTAAGATTAAAGCCCCTTTTCTCCCTAAACATTCTCGTTTCCTAAACCACTCAGCAATACACTGTGCAAAACAAGATAAACCTTAGTCAATTGGAACACAGGAAAACAGCAGCAGGAGGAGGCCATTCAGTCCATTGTGCATTGTGCCTGTTGTACCAGTTTATTAGACCTTGACAGATATTTTAAAAATCTAATGCCAGCACTTCCCATCATGCAGAGTTTTGTCCAGATTAACCAGATTTTTTGTCCAAATTAACTGGTATATTTAAAATAGACAAGAATACAAATAAATCAGGGCCGGTCATTTTGTCTGATTTACCCGGGGTCCAGGGTTTCCCTGTGTCCAGCTTAAGTGGCTTCCACTATATTTGATACGTACATTTAGTAAAGGCTGAGTCACTGTCATATGAGGCTTATGTATGAACATTATTTGCTTGTGATTCCTAACAGCCAACTAAAGAGCACAATGAAACATGACAATATATTGTGTTAACAGCAGAACACTGAAAACAAGTCACCGTCAGGAGTTAAGTGGCTGCTTCCTTAGGAAGTGGCATAGTCCACAACAAAACCACACATGCAGGCAGCATGTTGATCTGGAGTCTGGCTGACATGAGGTTAGCATCACTACTGAGTGATTTAAGTGTCTTTATGATGAGCATTATTCCCCATTTATTGTATCTATATCAATGTTCCATAAACCACCTACAAGCAGCTAAACCAATAGGTTACGCCATTGGCGTCCCTCGACACACGACAATCCTGTAGTCATTGATTATGAGCTGCTGATAAAAAGGTCTGAAACTAGGTTGATAGGTAATAACTACAGGGACAGATTAAAACGTTTTTGTTCTCTGGAGAACAATTTACAGGATCTAATAGAAGTCTTTAAATTATGAATTACTTTCCTAAGTGAATATGGAAGGTTCAGATCTGCTCCACTAATGCCAGGATTCAGCTCTTCAGGCTATAAAACGCTCAGTCAGCATACTTTACAGTATATCATGTGAATCCACAAGAGGAACTGTACAAGATCTGACTGCCTTGAGAACAGCATATCAGTCATATAAAGCTCATCATTAACTTATACTTTAACTGCTAATTGCTTAAATTACAATAACTTGCATTCATATAGAGCCTCTCACATAGAGCAACATCACAAAGCCCCTTTCAGAGATGGAGTGGGAAGTTGAGTCAGACACACACATGCACGGTAGAGCAAGAAGATTTTTTTTTAAGAAGGGTTTTCAAAGTATTTGGGGAGGAAGTTCTGAGAGTAGGCACACACTGGCTAAATGCTTAGCTGCCAATGGTAGGGTGGGCACATCTAACAGACCAGAATTTGCAGAGCTGAGGGAATGGGCAGGAGAGTGGTTCTGGAGGAGATTGCCGAGGTTTGCAAGGGCATTAGTGAGTCAGATTGAGCATTTTGAAGTTAGCTAATGGAGTCAAGCAAGGATGGGAGTGATGGACTTGTAGAGTTTACTGCAGGAGAGGATATGGGGTGCAGAGTTCTGGATAACCTGGAATGTGCAGAGAATTAAGATAGGAAATCCAGTGAAGGGCGCATTGAGAAATCAAGTCCGTCAGTGATAAAGGCATAAATGAGTGTTGTGGTTGAAGTAGGGAGGTGACAGCTGATATTCTAGAGATGGAAATCAGTGGTCAAAGACTGGAAATAGGGTTTTAATAAGAGCAAACATCTTGGAAATTAGCTGCAACTGAATGTACACTAATGGGAATACTGCTCCAACATAATGAGAAAGTGATGTTCCCATGGGTTGGTGTGATGTACATTCAGTTCCAGGTACCTGAGTTGCCAATAGGAGCCCCATGTCTACATTAAACCTCAGTGTCTGTAAAACCAGAGCTTGACCTGTGAACATTTATTTGTTAAGTATAACTGCTGCAGTGGCCCTCCCTGGGTTATTGGGGCAAGTACAGTGATGTGAGAGTGTTAGCAATTTGGGTTCTTTGATTTCTTTCTCCCTTCATTACGTTGGGCATTCCATTCCCGTTCGCAGTGCAGACTTGGGAGGCCTCTGCTACTGTAAGCAACCAAACATTGTACCTAAAACCAAATTAGAATTCTCACTCATTCCCTTCCAGCAATAATAAGAATCCTTGCATTTGATACAGTGCCTATCACGTCTTTGAGGCACCTCAAAGCCCTTCACAGAATTTATTGTTTCACAGGTGAATTGGCCAGTCATCTCATTTCCCCGTTTCTGCTTCTGTGAAATACAACTGAGGAAGGCAAGATCAGATCTGAGGCATCTGAAACATTTATACAAAGAGCAACAGATGGAAGCAAACAGTGTCTTCAGAGGAGAGAAGACAATATTAGCAATAATTGATCCTGCTGGCTCCTGGCTTTCAGTGTGGGACTAGCAATACTAACATCCTAAGTGCAAACTCAATGTGACAGCAGTGAGCCAGAGGATCGAAAGAAATTCATAACTTGATACCAAAGTGTGCAGTTATACAGATCATTGAGTATCAGATACCACACCAGCAGCAATTTTGTAACAGATTGTGAATTACAGTGGGTAAAAGACAGACAGGATAACAGACACTAAAACCAACATGCAACTAGGCGTTGCCCCGCCAGTGGACCACAAAGGAAGTAACTGTAAATCTCTAACAGTAAATAGTCTGACACTGTTTATCCAACATAATCTACAAAGTTAGATTAGAAAAATAAATTGGCTTGTAGAATTAGTTAAACTACTTTGGGATTTCTGCTATCTCCAGAGGCTAGAGGCGTGTTTCCCATTACAAACCTGCCTCTAGATGATACAATCAGACTGGCAACAATGGACATTGTAATGTGAGAAACTATTTGCTTCCTGCAGAAGTAATACACAATACCACAGACCCTCCCTCTTACAGTCAGGGGTTTTTGGTCTGATTGTCTAACATGAGCAGTAATCTACCTCAATGCTTAGGAGTATTCAAATCAGACAAGAGTTCCAAGCGTCCCACCTATACACTGAAATTCTTGTGTCTGAAAATTGGAAATGCATTTTCTCCCCAGAGGGACGTACCCTGCTTGCCTAATTCCGGAGAGTATTAGATGCAGGTTGACAATAGCCAAAGGCTTGGGGACTGCAGTTGTTGGATAACTCCAGTTGCTGACCAGCAAAAACCACATCGCTTGCCATTGAAAGAACCGCCTGTAAAGTTTCCTGCTGTTTTTTAGCTTGGACCACAAGTCCTGCCAATAAGCCAGAATGGCTGGTCGGTCATTGGCAGTGTCTGGGGATTACTGCAGACCCATCTGACCCAGAACCACACTAGAGACTGTCACACAGAGAATTCCAACACTACTGTCAGACAGAGGGAACTTCACTTTTCTGAACTTCAGTCTGTTTTAGAATTTGCTAATGTGTTGAACACATAATTATAATTGTTGCATTTGACATGTTGCATTTTCGCTCACGTGGAGTAAAACATCACTTGATCGGCTGAATGGCCTCTTTCAGTACCATACTAAATTTCATCTAATAAAAATCCAGCTTGACAAATTGGTTTATAAAATACTATCAGTGCTTGATAATGTGTGCGTTCAGCGCCTCCTAGAGGCACTTTGAGAACACAAGGAAATTTGCCTGTAAATACTCAACAATTAGCTGTGAAACACTTTAAGATGATGACTGAGGGTAATAAACATATCAAATGCAAGATTTCTTTTAGTTTAAAATTAGGGTGAGAACAGGCCATTCTGTACACACCCGACTCACTCCAAATCCCCCACAATTTATCTTCAACAGCTGTTGCATTCTGGAGTGGAGGGCGCTATACAAGTGCAAGATGCACAGGCATAAGGACTGTCGGATGTTACACAGGAAGAAACTCCCAACACATTTACTCACCTTATTCCTATAAGGAAAGAAATCAACATGGAGCAGATAGGGTCTGCTATCATGAGACCATAGTTTTGCATCAGAAGGGCAGATATTATTACACCAACACTTCCCAGCGTGTCGGCAAGAATGTGCAGGAAAACTCCTGTAGTTAAAAGAAAAACATTGGTTTATGAGCTGCACACTATTATATACAATCAATGCTAAAGTGTTCCTGTATTCAGAAAATAGACAATGAATAGCAAGCAATTCCTTCCATCGGAAGTTTCAGCTGGATTTACACCTGCTCCCTCTCCTGGTGATAATTTTAATTCCATTAATTGTACCTTCTAAAATCTGTTTGTTTGATCCTTTTGCTGGAAGTATGTCATATTGATGATCATCTGTAATACAAAGAGGCATCATCTATCAGAGGGATTATTAAGCCATCAAACTGAAAATAGTGCTAGCTCATTTACTGGAGCTCTTGATCCTTGCCCTTTCTTAATACCCTAAAAAGGGTTTTCTACTCTGGTTACTGACTTGCTGATCAGTGGAAATAATCTATTATTATTTGCTTAGTTAGCTTTCATAATCTTAAAAGACCTCCATTAAATCACTCTCAACTTTCTCAACTCTAGTGAAAAAAGGCCCCAAATACTCAAGTCTAATGTCTAAAAAACCTTGCATTTGATTTAGTTTCTTATTACACAGTAGAAATGTGTCAAAGATTTCCCAAGATTTTACTGTAAAGTGGAGTGACTGTAAAGCTGTGTTGGCAAACTCATCAGCCAAGTTGACACATCAATATCTCACAAACAGCCATGAAGTGAAGGTCCAATTTCATTTGGAGGATTATTGGTCAGACTACTGAGAGAAAGAGCCTTCTTATTTTGAATAGTATGGCAGAATCTTTAGCATCCACCTGAACAAGGATATCGGATCTCGGTTTAATGTCTTCTCAAAAGATGGCACCTTTGACAATGCAGCACTAACCTAGTACTGCATTCAAATGACATCCTGATCCCACAACCCTTCTGACTCAATCGTGAAGGTGCTTCCAACTGAGCCAGGCTGACAAATCTACACAGCAAGTCTTCTATAAATTCATCAATCATCACTTTGAACCATTCGTCATCTAGGAGATTACACAGCGCCCATAATCTATATATTTAGATAAATACTCTCTGCTTGAACTGGCACCACATGACTTACCGTGGGAGTGCCGCTTAGCATGAGAGTGTTCCTGCCCGCTATTGTGGGAGTGCCCGTGGCCATGCCCAGAACTACACTCCTGCCCATGATCTCCATGACTGTGTCCATGGCTCAGGCCAGGATGTCCTCCATTGAACAGCGAGTGACTATGGCCATGACCTAATTCAGGATAAAACACCCCACAAACAGAATTATTTAGAGCTGTACATACAATAAGAACATTTTAAGTTACCTGGAACATCCATTGATCAATCATTAACCCTTCAAACCATTCTAGTTATTATTGTTTGGTGGGGGGGGGGGGGGGGGAGGTGGGAATACAGGAGAGGGTGAAGGACAAGCAGGACCAGAGCTGGTCACTGCGAGTAGAACTGCTACTCACACATGCACTGTACACAGTGAAGCACCTGCACACATTTCCTTTTGAAATACGAGAAATGCTTTGTTGCAGGGAGCAGAGGCAAAGGGAGCAGCAGAATCTGCTTCAATATAAATACCAACTTAAACATTCAATTACAAGTTTCTTTTAATTCCTAGCTAGAGAGGTTTCTATCATCTGTGACTATCATGCCAGGCCCAATGTGACCCTCCCACTGACGGGTATCCTCTAGTCATCATTGCGGCTCTTTGTTCAAAGTGAGCTGGGAGAGGGCAAGTCTGAGATCCAGCTCCCTGTAGAGTGAGTGACATTGATGAGATGAAAAAGTAAACAATAATTTAGGATCCACCAAGTCAGTAGAACACAAGGATATAGATTTAGATTTGTCCAGGACATTAGACTTGTTTAGCTTGATAACATGATGGGAAGACAGGAGGATGTGCGTTCTGGAAAGATAATAATAATAATAATTCTTGCATTTGATATAGCGCCTTATGTCTTCGAGACGTCTCAAAGCGCTTCACAGAATACACTGTAAAGAATAGTGATTTTATTTTGTGGGCGAAACGCGGCAGCCAATTGCATACAGTAACGTCCCACAAACAGTCGTGCATTGAAGTGACCAACTTTTTTTTAAAAAAAAGGATTATTGAATTTAAAATAATTTAAATAATTATTTTAAAAGATGAGATCAAATGGGCCAAAAAGGCATCTTCATCCAAATTGATTTTAAAAGATGAGCCAAGCACCAGCTCAGCCCAAGCCAGAATCAGCATTGGACATGGCAGCTTCCCAACTCCAAGGACTTTCCGAACTGCTTAGGGGTTACATAAAGATCCAAGTGCAAAGTGAACAGTAATGGAAGTCTCCTTACCACCGTCATGAGAGTGTCCATGGCCACCATGCTTAAACACAAATATTCCAACCAAATTAACAAGGAAACCAAGTATAGAGACCGAGAGCAGACGCTCATGATGCACTTCGGGAGGTTCCAGCGCTCGCTGAAAGGGAACAGTCCCAGTGTCATTAAAACTTAATGTACAATGTTAACAGCAGGGGGAGTTCACCCCATTGCACTACCACACTCCTCGTTTCCATTACCAGTTCTGAGGTCAATATATCACCTCGTCACAGCTTCGTAAAAACATTCTGCTTTAAAATTTAAGATGTGCTAAATTTTCAAATTCAGTCTCAATTTGGAAGCCCATTTCTACAGATTTATAAAAACAAAGTGGCTAAAGTCAGATCGAATTAAGCATTTTCCACAATTCTGCACAATTTTAAAACTAAAAGACTAAATGGATTTTTGGACCCCTTTCACGTGGGAGCACAAGGTTTCCTCTCCCCGGTTACTACCTTCATTGTTTAGGCAAAGAAAGACAGGACTGAATGTCATCTCATACTCTGGCCCGCTGGAATTGTACACATCACTTCATATTCCCAGACTCAGCAAAGATCTCTTTGCCAAGTGACTGAGTGCAGATTCCAGAGTCGTATTGTAGGTCAGACATGCATACTGGGCTACAAACTAGTCAAAGTCAAAGAAATTCAATGCAATTAGCTCTAGAGATTTAAAACAGAAGATAACCGTTCACTAACCAACCTCAATTCCTTCTGAGAAAATGAAAAATGCTGTGAAGATCAGGAACAGTCCGTTGACAAAGCCAGCCAATACTTCAGCCCGCACATAGCTGCCAAGTGACAAACAAAGTACAAGTGAAAGACAAGTCATCTAACCAAGGTAATCATTTTCAAATGGTTAAATGATTGACCTATGGTTTTACAATGGTTACACATAAGCAGAGTGAGGAGGAGGCATTTCTCACTCAGTTCACAAGCTGGGACAGACTATATATATATATAACAAAAATATACATTATATATATATAAATATAAAAAAAGTTACCAACTTAACGTGGTGAATTGTTTGCACAAGGCCCCCTCACACAGACACAAACTGTGAGTTTATCGTGTAAACATGATGAATCCCAGGGTAGACCGGGAGCTGGTCATATTGCAAACCCTACCTGCATACCGCAAAACTCTCAAGGCAGAGTTAGCGTAAAAGAGTCAACCCAAGGAAACGCCTGTGCGAAGCAAATCTACATCAAACAGGGAAAGGTTTACGTACATCTCTGTGTAACATTTGCATGTCTAGCTCTTACCCGTAGGAGAAAGTATCATTCGACCGCCACCTGGAGATGACCGATGCTGCAAGTCCAGCTAGAAGCGCTGTGCAGTCAAAGAACATGTGGAATGAATCCGAAATGAGACCTAAACTAAAAAACAGAACCGGGTCAGTCTCAACTCAGAGTAAGACCAAATTATAATACAAATAATAGTAATCCTTACATTTGATACAGTGCCTTATCACATCTTCGAGACGTCTCAAAGTGTTTCACAGAATAATAATAATAATAATCCTTGCATTTGATATAGCGCTTTTCACGTCGGGAGGACATCCCAAAGCGCTTCACAGAATACACTGTAAAGTGAATTGATTATATTTTGTGGGCGGAACGCGGCAACCAATTGCGCACAGCAGTGTCCCACAAACGGTCGTGGATTGAGTGACCAATTTATTAATTTTTTTGAAGGAATTTTTACCCCCGGAAAAGCGATCCAGCAATCGACTAACAACCGGGAGTCCTATAGCTCAGTGGTTAGAGCACTCGCTTTGCAAGTGAGAGACCTGAGTTCAATTCCAGGCAGAGGGCGAAACCTTGGGCAAGTTTCCTTACTCCACACAGAGCCTAATAATAATCCTCCAAAACCAAAAACAATAATAAATTGGTCATTTTCAATCTACGACTGTTTGTGGGACATTGCTGTGCGCAATTGGCTGCCGCGTTCGCCCACAAATATGCAGTCAATTCACTTTACAGTATATTCTGTGAAGCGCTTTGGGACATCCTCCCGACGTGAAAAGCGCCAAATCAAATGCAAGGATTATTATTATTATTATTATTACTACTTACTGCTAGGTAAACAGAGGCGTGTGAGTAAGGAAACTTGCCCAACGTTTTTCCCTGCCAGGAATCAAACCCGGGTCTCTCTCTTGCGAGGCGAGTAATCTAACCGCTGAGCTTCAGGACTCCAAATTACAGACTTTGCCCCCATTCAAACACGTATCAAAACCTTTTCCAACACATCACTCACTCACTAGCTCATACAGTGCAGCGAGTGATCAGTTACATGAGAGCAGCTATGATTCTAACATATGGACCATTCACACAGACATCCACTTAAATTGCATTCATGGCTTCTGCATGTTATGAAATTTCATTTTCCCTCTACTGAAAGCACCAAGTTCTATTGGGGCACAATTTGATAATAACAATAATCATCCTTGAATTTGATACAGCACCTTTCATGTCGAGAGGACGTCTCTAAGCTCTTGCCAGGATATACTGTAAAGTGCAGAGCCTGGGTATTTTGTGGGAAAATTGAATAATAATGCTGGAAGCCCTTTGGCACCTTGTCCACAAGGCAAGTCTGAGATCACAACCTCTGCACAGACCAGGGAAGCTTGGGATTTACTACCTGTGCATCAGGGTTAGACCCTAGATTTAGAATGGACATTCAGTCCCTCTACACCTCCATCCCCCACAAGGATGGTCTGCAGGTTCTCCGCTTCCACCTCGAACAGCGGCCTAACCAATCTCCATCCACCACCACTCTCCTTCCACACCAGAACAGCTGAAATGTCTTCCTTTTTCCTTGACCGAGGATTCCCATCCACTGTGGGAGGCAGGGCCCTTCGTATGCGCCCTATTTCCTGCATCTCTGCCCTCACTCCTTCCCAGAACAATGATAAGGTCTCCCTAGTCCTCACCTTTCACCACACCAGCCTCAATGTCCAACAAATAATTCTCCGCCATTTCTGGCACCTCCAGCGTGATCCAACCACTAAATATATTTTTCTCTCCCCTCCCAGCATTCTGAAGGGACCGTTCCCTCCGTAACTCCCTGGTTCATTCCTCCATCACCGTCAACAATTGCTCCCCTCCCCCCGGCAACATCCCATGCCATTGCAGGGGATACAATACCTGCCCTTTCACCTCCTCCCTGACACTGTCCAGGGCCCAAACACAGTTTTCAAGTGAGACAGCGTTTTACGTGTACTACCACCAATGTAGAATAATGCACTCACCACTCATGATGTGGTCTCCTCTACACTGGGGAGACAAAATGCAGATTGGTGACCGATTTGCCGAACATCTCAGTTCTGTCCGCAAGCACAACCCTGAGCTTCCATTTTTTGGCCACTTCAACTCTCCCTCCCATTCGCACCACACTGTTCTAGTGAGCCACAGCACAAGCTCGAGGAACAGCACCTCATTTATCTGCTCGGAACCTTACAGCCTTCTGGCCTCAATATTGATTTCAACAATTTCCAACCACAACAGCTCACCTTCCATCTCCCCCTCTTCTTTGACCATTACCACATCAACTGGGTCCCAGACCCTTTCTGGTCTGACTATTTTGTTGCAATTCTCCCCCCTTTGTTTTGCATTATTAACACCGCTATTCCCTTGTTGTGTTGCAATCCCCCCCCAATCCCCCCTTGTCCTCGACCCCATTTTCTCCCTTGTCTTCCTTGCCCTGCCTCCCCAATCTCTGTTAACCCTTAAAAGCCTCTCCCTCCCAACACGTCCCAGTTCTGACGAAGGGTCGTGGACCCAAAATGTTGACCCACTTTCCTTTCTCCATAGATGCTGCCTGACCTGCTGAGTGTTCCCAGCGACTCCTGTTTTTGTTCCCGATTTCCAGCACCTGCAGTATTTCGCGTTTTGTTTCCCAGATTTAGAATGACTGGTTTGTAGAGAGAGCAGATATTCAGGTGCAGTGTAGCCTCTGCATACATGCTTCGCCTGTCAGTGCAGTGAGGGGTCAGTTACATGAGAGAACAGCTACGATTCTATCAGTTCTAGCTTCCTGACCAAATGAACCAAAGTGTACAACGTGCTGACCGACGACCAGTAATATGCCGGTTACAGAATGGTGCAATCGCTGCAGTGTAATCTCCGACAGTCACAGCTCCTGGAGTACTTCTCTGTGTAGCCGGGTTGCCCAATCACTTCTCCATCTCATATCATTCAGAACATTCATCCGCAAAACACATGGGTCAGTGCACTTCACAATGCATATCCTGTGGAGTACTTTGGGACGTCCTCCTGAAAGCCACAGACACTCACCAGAGTTTAGTATGTTAAACCCCGGCAGTTACCCCCACACACACACACCCGCAAACTTTGGCTCGTGCCAAAACCTGCACCTAATACTGTAACGCATCAGGTAAATAGGGCGAGTCCCTCCCTCCAGAGAGAGAGAGAGAGAGAGTACTGCACTTGTGTACACACGTATATGTATATGTGTCACTCTGTGTGGTTTGGAGACTCTGTGTGTACCAGACACCCGGTGAGCAACTCCCCGCGCGAGCGGAGGATGGTCGACAGAGACGGCGGGGAGGTGCGGGCCCGCAATCCCGGCTCACCTGTTGCTCCAGATGCCGTACAGCAGCTCCACGAAGGCGAAGGAGAGGTTCAGCAGCAGGAAGAGGAAGAGGTTCCGGGACGTGGCGTCCGACAGGATGGACCTGGCGAGAGAGAGAGACATACAAACGGGCTGAGAGGCGGTCAGCGTTGGCATCCCCGACCCCACACCCAGGAACGCTCGGGTCAGAGTCCGAATCAAATCCAGCTCCCGGCCTAGGCCCAAGCCTCGGGAGGCAGTTACCCCCGCTGCCGGGCCTCGGACCGGGCCTCTCCCCGCTCCGCTTACCTGAACCAGCCGGAGACCTTGCGCAGCAGATTAAGCCGCGGCGGCTTATACTCATCGTCCTTAATGGACAGAGGTAACATACTGACTGCAGCGCCTCCCGGCAACCAGCCCTGACTGACACCTCCGCTTCCGGCCGCCAGCACTGCCCGCAGAACGTAATGCGCGTGCGCCACAAGCATAGCGGGCCACAATGCGCATGTGCCGTCCCGTACAGGATGCACCGCGCAGGCGCGGCACGGGACAGGGCCGCAGCGCGCTTGTGCTGCGTCGTTCAGGACGTCACGCCCGTGCGTCGTGCCGTACAGGCGGCAATGAGCAGGCGCGGTGCCGTACAGCATGCAATGATCATGTGCAGTGCCGTACAGTCCAGGCCTTTCCCGCTGCTGCTCTTGACCGAACTGTGGACGTTAACGCTAACGCGAGTCCGGAAGAACCTCGAGTGCCGGCCCCGGCATGAGGTGAGAGCAGGGCACGGCGTGTGGGCCTGGGGCTGAGCCTCGAGCTCTCTCGCGCTCACTCCCCGCGGCGGGGAGGTGGGGACTGTGTGTGAGCTCACTGTCAGGGTGGGGGGGGGTGTGTGAGCTCACTGTCAGGGCGGGGGGGGGGGTGGGGGCTGTGTGTGAGCTCACTGTCAGGGTGGGGGGGGGGTGTGTGAGCTCACTGTCAGGGCGGGGGGGGGCTGTGTGTGAGCTCACTGTCAGGGGGGTGGGGGGGCTGTGTGTGAGCTCACTGTCAGGGGGGTGGGGGGGGCTGTGTGTGAGCTCACTGTCAGGGCGGGGGGGGTGGGGGCTGTGTGTGAGCTCACTGTCAGGGCGGGTGGGGGCTGTGTGTGAGCTCACTGTCAGGGGGGTGGGGGGGCTGTGTGTGAGCTCACTGTCAGGGCGGGGGGGGGGGGGCTGTGTGTGAGCTCACTGTCAGGGGGGGGGCTGTGTGTGAGCTCACTGTCAGGGGGGTGGGGGGGCTGTGTGTGAGCTCACTGTCAGGGCGGGGGGGGTGGGGGCTGTGTGTGAGCTCACTGTCGGGGGGGGGGGGCTGTGTGTGAGCTCACTGTCAGGGGGTGGGGGGGGCTGTGTGTGAGCTCACTGTCAGGGCGGGGGGGGGGGGGGGCTGTGTGTGAGCTCACTGTCGGGGGGGGGGCGTGGTGTGTGTGAGCTCACTGTCAGGGCGGGGGGGGGGGGGCTGTGTGTGAGCTCACTGTCAGGGCGGGGGGGGGGGGCTCAGTAGGGGGGTGAGGCGGGGTCTGTGTGTGAGCTCACTGTCGGGGGGGGGGGCTGGTGTGTGTGTGAGCTCACTGTCAGGGCGGGGGGGGGGGCTGTGTGTGAGCTCACTGTCAGGGCGGGGGGGGGGGTGGTATGACCTCACTGTCAGGGCGGGGGGGGGGCTGTGTGTGAGCTCACTGTCGGGGCGGGGGGGGGGGTGGGGTGAGGTGGGGGCTGTGTGTGAGCTCACTGTCAGGGCGGGGGGGCTGTGTGTGTGTGTGAGCTCGCTGTCAGGGGGGGGGGGGGGGTGAGGGGGGGCTGTGTGTGTGTGTGAGCTCACTGTCGGGGCGGGGGCTCCGGTGTGTTACTGGGGGAAAAGCGTCGCAGTGTCAGAGACGCCGTCCGTCAGATGAGCCGTTGACCCTCACTCCCCGGGGAATCCGCCTGTTCGGGCGGATGGTAGAGCTCCTGCAGGCGGCGCCATCAGCGAGGAAAAGAGCAGCCAGTCTCTCTCTCTCTCGGGTCCTGGCCAACAATCCCCACACACAGTCAGTCCCTCGCTTGCTTCATGATGGTTTGCAGGGACGTCGTTGCGAGCAACCGCCTGCCACGTCACTACACTTTACAGTGAATCCTGGGAAACGCTTTGGGACGTCCTCCTGACGTGAAAGGCCCCTGTGTTTCAAGAGTATGGATTATTATTATTAGGCTCTGACGTGTGTGAGGCGTAAGGTGGGGCAGGAACATCAAGCCCACCACTTCAGCCACAGTTGATGCCGGGGTGGTGGAATACGTGCTGTGGGTGGGGACGCGTGTGCGTGCTGTGGGTGGGGGGTGGGTTGACGTGGGTGGGGGTGGTGGGGGGGCGTGATGTGGTTGGGGGATGCATGCAGTGGTCGGTGCGTGCCATATTATACATGTTGACAGTGTGGACTCTTTAGGTTTCCCAGGAGGCTGCTCGGGGGGGTGATACGACCCTATTCCTAGTGCTGGCTGTGCTGCTCCTCTTCTTCGTGGGAGCCGCTCTGACCATGCTCCTGCCTAAAGTGGCGGACAATGGGGTGTCTGTGCTGCGGAGAGAGGGTGTCACACAGCCTGACGCGCACAACTCCTTCACCATCATCATGCAGTCCTATAATCGCACTGACCTGTTGCTGAAGCTGCTCAATCACTACCAAGCTGTCCCGCACCTGCACAAGATCATAATCGTCTGGAACAGCGTGGGATCCAAAGTGCCCAGAGAGCTGTGGGACTCGCTGGGTCCACACCCAGTCCCTGTCATCTTCAAGGAACAGACAGTCAATAGGATGAGGAACCGATTACAGCCTTTTGCTGAGATTGAGACCCAGGGTAAGCAGCTGAGAGGGTGAACATTCAGAATGATGTTGTATCTAGGACTCATCATGTTAGAACAATTAGTGTCAAATGTAATGTCAGTTATTGTGTCCCTAACACCTGAAACTCTCTACCTTTATCACTCCACCTCACTTCCTCTATCTGTCTTTAAATTCCACCTTAAAACCTACCTCTTTGATCGTGGCTGTGGTAATTTCTTCCTCTCGGGGTTGTCAGGTTCTCCTGAAAGGCTCTTGAGATGATTTGCTGCTTGAAGGTCGCTAAGAGGTGCCCTTGAGATGTTTCCTAGTGTGAATGCCGCTGTATAAATGCACGTTGTTGTAATTACTACATGTAAATGAGGTGACTATTTGCACACAGCCATGAGAATAAACAATTTTTCTGGAGAATTGTTGTCCAGAACCTGAGTGGATGAGTTGTTAAACAGAGGGGATACTGCACTGCAGTGACCAGAGCTCAGATCTGATACCACATTTTGATCATTTGATCATTCAAAGTTTTGACCTAACGACAGTGTTACTCTGGCCTCCTGCTGCTGGGTTGTGTGGTGTTTGATCCCCAGGAGGCTGATGTTAAAGTCCTGGCCGATGTGATGGCGACTCCCAGCAGAATCTGAATCAACTTTAACCTAAAATGTCAATCTTTCTTAGCTGTGTTGATGCTCGATGATGACACATTAATCAGCGCCTTTGACCTGGAGTTTGCATTCTCTGTGTGGCAGGTAAGCTCTGACTTGTCTCTCTGCATAATATAGGGCGGGCCTGTTATACTTGTACCCCTGTTAAAATCATGACCTGGGTAGTGTTGAGAAGAGCTTTAGTCGAGAGAGTTGGTGCGGCGGTGGAGAGGGAGGGGGGGAGGAGGGATTGCTGACTGATTCCTGTGTGAGGAGGTTGGGTGATGTTTGCTGAGGAAGCTCTGGTTTCTCTTAGCAATTCCAGGACCGAATTGTGGGCTTTGTGCCTCGGAAGCACGTGGTGACAGCTTCGGGGACGTTGAGTTATGGCAGCTTCGAGCTGCAGAGCGCCATCGGGGGAAGCGGAGACCATTACTCCATGGTGCTGATCGGAGCCGCCTTCTTCCACACCTCATATCTGCAACGCTTTGCAGCACAGCCCCCAGCGGTCACCAGCCTCATTGACGAGACTCAGAACTGCGATGACATCGCCATGAACTTTATGGTGGCCCAGCACACAGGCGCGGCGGCCGGGGTCTTTGTCCGCCCGGTGGACATGAGGAACCTGGAGAAGGATGGCACCAGCGGCTTCAGTGGCATGTGGCACCGACCAGAGCACCTGCTGCAGCGGTCATGGTGTCTGAACCGCCTGGCATCCATCTACGGCAACGTGCCCCTGAAGTACTCCAACATCATGGTCTCGCAGTTTGGCTTCCCCAACTACGCCAATCACAAAGCCAAAAGCTGAGCACAGTCAGTGCAGCTGTAGCCATGCAGAGAACGTGAGGGTGTGCATTGTACAAGCTGCATGTAACTTGCTGTGCTGACACCCACATGCCTAGCTGGCACAGGTTACACTAAGTGCTGCACTGGGGCCAGGATCCCTGTGTGTGGAGTACAGTCTCTTGCTCGCTCAGTCAGACCTGTTGTGATTATACTGATACTCCTGGAGGATTCTGTAGTGCATCCATTGCCTAGGTTCTGTGCCAAGTCATTTCCTAAGTGGGACCAGAGCTCTATTCTGGTCAAGAGTCAGTGTCGCCAGGAAGCAGTCTGGCTCCTGCAATCTTGATGCCTCGAGTTATTGATGTGTTTGATACGTGTTCCAGAAGCGGAATGTAATTTTAAGGAGCAGGTGGTGCCTTTGGTGACTGTGACTGATGCCACTGACCTCTGCTAACTTTGCCTGTATGTTATCTGTGTATCCAGTAGTTGTAAGTGTTTATTGAAGAGCAATAAAGATCTCAGATGTGGCCTGATGTTCATTGCACAACCAGACCAGCTCTGGTTCAGGGACTGGGAGGTGGAGGGGAGGGGGGGGTAAGTCTTTAATTTTCTGTTCACTCCCCCAGCTCTTCCCCCCCACCCCCAACAAAGTTTCAGCCTCAGGGGCAGGATTGTGACAGTGCTGTGAGGGGGAGAAAGATGAGTCATAGATAGGCTAGTGTGGTGGACAGATAATAATGCTTCAGATTCAGATACAGTTCCATGGATGAAGCAATGCACTTAGATGAGAAGAATAGTGAGAAGTACACCAGAATTGGTGTTTTTTTACACCGCATAGAGGTGTGCACACATGGTGTGCAGGTACACAGGTCATTACCACTGGCGCAGACAAAAGGCAAACGGAGTTATTCTGTCTATGTACTGAGCAGCGGCTAAAGATAGCCTATGATGTGAGGAATGGCTTAATCACTGAGTGTTCCCAAGGGAGCGGGTGTGAGACGGGAATTTGCAAAGTCTCCAGGGTACTTTCTGATGAGCTGTTGTTGTCAGTTGTAAATGTCACACCTCTGTGTTAGATACATGGTGGGGAAGTCCTGGGAGTTCTCACTCAGCCCAGCTCTGCATTGACTGAAAACTTCCTGTGTGCTGAGGTACTTTGTGTAAGTGTGTGTGTCACACTGGGTGCATTCTGATGCCTCTTCCCTCACTGACACGAGAGAGAGTAAAATATTTCATTCTGCACTTAGCGCTTCACTCTGAGGCCTACACTGTTTTACATTCTCTATATTTCTCATGTTCAGCACAAAAAACATTACAATTGTGAGCTGTGCTGATACCCTTCTGAGTAGCAGTGCTGAGATCAGTGTCTGTTACACTATACCCTGGGGACAGCTGTACTGAGGAACCCTTTGGAGTTGAGGTACAGATCAGCCACGATCTCACAGAATGGTGGAACAGGCTCGAGGGGCTGAATGGACTACACCTGTTCCTACAAAGTAAAATTCTTAAATTCAGCTTTAATATAGAAGCTGATTTTCCACAATTCTTAACCAGAATCGGTACTAACCTGGTATTTTGGGTCTGTTTGGATGTTGTTTGGATCTGGAATGCACTACCTGACAAGCTGGTGGAAGGAGATTCGATAACAACTTTCAAGACAGAGTGGATATTTGGGGAGGACAAATTTGCAGCGCTATGGGGAGAGAGGTGGGATTGGGATTAATTTGAATAGCTCTTTCAAAGAACCAGCATAGCCATTCATGGCCATTCAGACCATCTCTTTCAAAGATGGTCTGAGTGACCTCCTTCTGTGCTGTATAACTCTATGATTCCAGCTCATTAGCACATGGGATACTATAGCATCGGTAATAATATATGTAACTATATATGTATAGTTATGTGCCAATAACTCAAGGAACCAGTAGCCTGAGCTGGGAGAGGAATCCTCGGTTACTCTGTAATAATAATAATCCTTGCATTTGATATAGCGCTTTTCACGTCGGGAGGACGTCCCAAAGCGCTTCACAGAACACACTGTAAAGTGAATTGACTGTATATTTGTGGGCGAACGCAGCAGCCAATTGCGCACAGCAATGTCCCACAAACAGTCACGGATTGAAAGTGACCAATTTATTATTGTTTTTGGTTTTGGAGGGATTATTATTAGGTTCTGTGTGGAGTAAGGAAACTTGCCCAAGGTTTCACCCTCTGCCTGGAATTGAACTTGGGTCTCGCTTGCAAAGCGAGTGCTCTAATCACTGAGCTACAGGACTCTGGGGGACTATTCTGTTAGATTTCTCCATTGTTCTTTCTCCCCTCTGATGAGAGGGAAAGCCCCAGGAGGAACTGAACTTTCAACTTGTGGCTCTGTATGTAAAGCCCCTCTGCACACAGGGAAACAGACTCACCTCAAACGTTTACACACATGAAACAGTATCAGCCATATGCACGCTCCAGATACCAGCTATCAGACTCAGCACTTTCTGCTGCTGTAATTCACTGTTGTTCCCCTCCCCAAGCTTCTTGCCCGAAGCTTTCCATTCCAGCCAAGGGTAATTTCCATGTGTAAGTCACTTACATATGTGGAACTCGGGTTTGGATTATCTTTAGTACGGTCATGGGTTTCCACGTGTGGCTGAGTGGTCAGTCTAGAGAATCTTTGGGTGGGAACAGAGTTTCAGTAAGTGGGGGGTTTCTAGGTACCTTCAGTCCATGCAATGTAGACACTGAGTTGGGATGTAAAGACAGACTGAGCTGGGGGGGTGCAGACAGGCAGACTGAGCTGGGTATGTGGTACTGATCTGCCAGACCAAGTGTTGGGTGGGAATCGTGGAGGAAGAAAGTCAAGTACTTAAATCAGATCAAATATGTGAGTGACACAAATACAGGTAGAATAATGAACATTCGTTTATTAAAATCATCTCCAGGTGCAGACAAATGCTGCTCTGATTTTAAATATCACTTTTCAATCCTCAGAAAGTGCAGGACAAGCTGAAATATTTACAGGTAAATAATAATAATCCTTACATTTGATTTAGTCATATCATCCCATTGCAAAGACTTCACAGAATATATCATAAAGTGCAATGACTATTTGTTGGCCGATTACTCTGTGGAAAAGTTTTAAACCACAAGCAGAATTTCCAGTAAATCCTCCGCTGTAAGTCAGTCCCTTTGCCGTGTGATCAAAGCTTAGCTCTGTGCACGGCCTGTTGTCCAGACACAAACAACATTCTCAATTAAATTAAACAGCCCCCCCCAACAACATTGCAAGCCCAGAATTAAGCCTGAGTGTCAGTGAGCGGGGCAATGCCTACCAATAGGGCTGATCAGTAATGTGCAGCCCTGACCCTGAGCTAAGCTCAGTACCTCTTGCCCACAGGCTTAGCTCTTGCTCAGTACAGTATGGGTCAACGACAGCATTACTCTCACATGCCTGGTGCCCAACTCGACAGAAGCTATCACTGCCAGGAAAGTCTGTCAGGACAGCGTGACTCACGGGATCTGTCCGGACACAGGGCTGAACGAATCTGCCAGCATCTTCTTGCGGAACCACCAGAGGCCGGTGACGAGACCACCTCCCGCCAGCGCCATGCCCCCCACCATCAGGTAGGTCCCCAGAGACCCCAGCTCCGGACCCTCGTCTGTCCTCTCTCCTGGGGGAAAACCAAGATTGTGTTAAAAGACCATCACAAGGCAGAGTGAATCCAACTTCCCACCGAACCCAGAGCGAGAAGACAGACAGACAGAGCGAGTGAGAGGCCAGACACACCTTTGATTATGATCTCCACGGTCCCAGTCATGCTCCCCAGCTCATTTCTGACCTCCACCTGGTAAACACCTGCGTGGTAAGCCCTGGCGTTCCAGAGGGTGAAGCTGTTGCTCAAGGAGAGCATGGACTCATTGCCCAGTTTCGTCCAGGTGTAGTGAGTGGGGGAGCTGCTGTCTGCCGTACAGTTGAAGGTCAGGTTGTATCCCTCACGGAAGGTACTGGAAGGAGAGACTACGACCAGCAGGTTCTGAGGAGGAACTATAAAAAAATGCAAACACTGTCAATAGACTTCCAGCCAGTCCTTGTGGAAACTTATATGTGTATCTGATATAAGTACATGGAACCTCCAGTCTGATTAGGATACTCTTAAGCAGTGATGGATTTCTGCATGCGTCAGAAACCCAGCTGACTAACAACATATTGCCTGAAAGACGAGTCCGAGGCTGTGGTGACCATTAGCTTGGTTCTGTGGGTCACGCCACCCTCTCTGGGTTAGAAGGTTGAGGCTTCCAACCATTGGAAGTGCCTGGTTTCTCCCAATGTTCCCAACAATCCTCCAGAGTAATTGGTCATTCACGTCCTGGCTGCTTGTAGGACATTCCTGTGAGCCAACTGGCTGCTGAGGTCACCTACAGATACTGTGTCTGTATTTCGCAGTAACCACTATTGACTCACTGCAAGACATTTTGAGGTTCTAGGCGCTGTATCGAATGTACGGATTATTATTTTATTGCAGTACATACCTTGCACACTCAGCTTCTCGCTTGCTGTATCTTTCCCCAGTGAGTTTGTGGCCTCACACTCGTACTGGCCAGCATTTGCAGACTGCACTGAGGTGATTGTGAATGTCCCATCGGATGAAGGCAGCTTGGGGAGGCTGCTCCCTGATTGTCTCAAGACAAATTGAGCCAAGGGGTAACTACTGGTGGTGCAGGCGATGGTCACATTCTCTCCTTGCTTCGCAACGGACGGGGTGATGGACAGCCTGGTGCCACTGGGTGCTCCTGAAAGGGAAGAGATTGGCAGAGGATGGTGTTAGCTCCCAGCGATTGACAGGTCAGTGAGTTAAAAGTGTCTTCATGCGTAAAGGGACCAAACTGTAAAAGCTTAGAGAAGTCACTGACCTTCAATCTGGATTTGCAGCTCCTTGGTTTCTTTCCTCGGACCATTGCTGGCTTCACATCGATAGGTGCCGGAATCAGAGAAGCCGACATCATATAGCTTCAGCGTTGCCTCTTGAGCTGAAACTGGTAACCAGCCCTCAGGCCAGAGCTTGCTCCAGCTGATGTTAGCGGGAGGATTACTTTGGGTGGAGCACGTCACTGTTATATCCTGACCTTTAGTTGCCGTAGAAATTGCTGCTCGGTTGAGCGTAATATTCAGGGGACCATCTGTGATTTAGGAAAATATTGAATAAATAACAGACAAATTTGCTAAACAGAACAATGTCAGAATATTATTACCTACATAACATTGCTAGTGTTGTCATCCTCATAATAAAATAGTAATCCTTGCATTTCATATGATGCCTGACAACAATAGGCATTTATGTAGCACACCTCACGCAGGGTAGCATGCCAGAGGTACCATCTCAGGGCAAAGTTCCCCAAACACTGCACTGGAGCCTCGCCAGAGACTGAGCTCATTGTCTGGCTGTGGCTGTGGCTCAGAGACCTTGTGATGGGGTGGGTGGAGGGATACAGAGAGACCTTCGCTATTCTGCTTAACACCCCCCCCCCCCTTAACCTCAATGTCCCCATTTCATTGGCTTCTCAGCTCATTGTGCCCACACACATTCGCTGCTTCTTTTGCCTACACAACAATCACTTAATTCCCAATCATTTACGGCAAAGCTATTGAGACCCTGAATGTTAATGGGAAACTGCTGTACAGGAACAGCTTGGTCTGGTTGTTAGGTGAGAAGGGATTAGCTGGGGAGTCGGGTACTTACAGTGAACGCCCAGAATGAAGCTGCCCTGTGCACTCTCAACCTCCTTGCCAATTTTCAGATAGGCTACACAACTCAGGTTTTTCCCATGATCTTCCATCGCAGGAGTCAGCTGGTGGTTGATTGACTGTGAAGATTCGGGAAGTGACAAACGATCTGAAGAGATTGTCTCTAACAGCTCCGTCCCTTTAAAATACTCCACCTTGAGGTCCTCAATGGGATAGACCATGTCCACGTGGCAGATCAAACTGACCTGTTCACCAGCCCACACCGGGCCAGACGGCTCCAGACGGAGAGTTCTGGGTAAATCTGTGGGACACAATATGCACCGAGAGCCGTCAGTCACAGCCTCCAGCCCTTGGTCAATCACCCTCGGGACGGGTCAGTCCGGTTTTCGTCCCCCAGTGTTACTCCCAGTAAACGCGCAGACGGACCGTGTTACTCCCAGTAAACGCGCAGACGGACCGTGTTACTCCCAGTAAACGCGCAGACGGACCGTGTTACTCCCAGTAAACGCGCAGACGGACCGTGTTACTCCCAGTAAACGCGCAGACGGACCGTGTTACTCCCAGTAAACTCGCAGACGGACCGTGTTACTCCCAGTAACGCGCAGACGGACCGTGTTACTCCCAGTAAACTCGCGGACGGACCGTGTTACTCACAGTAAATGTAGAGAGAGATACGTCTCTCCTCGTAAACATCGCCACAGGCGGCTTTGCAGTAATAGCCGTTTTGGTTTTTCAAGGTCACGGCGTCAAAGGTCAGATGGTAGTTGGACTCGTCACTTGTCTGTTTTCCCCCTACAACGGAGTCTCCACTTTTCGACCAGAACAGTCTGGGGCTGGGCTCGAGGCAACCCGAGATCCGGCAGCTCAGGGTGACCTGCTGCCCCTCCCGCGCCCACACCTCCCGGCCCGGGCGCACCTCCAACTCAAAGGTGGCGCCTGTATAAGAGAAATAAATACAGGTGAGCAGGAATATAGCCTCATAACTACCTTAACCACACAGTACACTGCACTCCTCTCTGCCCCCACCCTCTGGGACTCCATCCCACAGTCACTTCACCTCACCCCATCTTCTTGTCTCCCCCCCCCCCCCACACAACCCCAACCCCCTGAGCTCTGGTCCAGCGCTCTGGGACGTCCTGGCGACCCGAAGGTGCGGTTTGCTGCGGGAGGGCCGCCCCGCACTCCCCCCACCACCCCCCGCCCCGCCCCGCCCCGGGGGGCAAGTTGTTGTCGTGATGTCTTGCGGTGGATGTCGTTACCTCACAATACCGGTTCCTCACTAACCCGCGGGCGGTCGGTCGGTCGGTCAGTCACCGTCACCGACCGGCGGGGACCCGGAACCCCATGCACTGAGGGGCGGGTGGTGGGGTGGGGTTGGGGGGGGGTCCCGGTGGGTAACGCGTTACGAGTTAATTACCGGTGGACCCGAACCGGGACCCCCTCCTCACCTGCTGTGCAGAGGCTCAGCAACAGGCTGACCGCCAGCCCGCACCCGGTGCTCGGCATCACGGACACAGCGACACGAGGCTTCACCCCCGGGGGACTGACCGCGGAGCTGATGGAGGTGAGACTGGGGCTGAACCCGGAGCGGAGACCGCGAGGGCGGTTTGGTGGCTGTGAGGCGACGCGGGAGCTGATCCCGGAGCTGCTGCAGCTGCTGTGACTGCGGTGCGGAGCGGTGCTGAGCCGCTGCGGTACCCGGGAACCGCTTTATATTCCCTCCGAAAAAGCGGAATTTCCAGAGAAACTGGGAAATCCCGTCCAGTCCCACCCGGTCCCCGCCCCGCCCGCCCCCCGGCGCCCCGCCCCGGCTCGGCCCCGCCCCCCGGCTCGGCCCCGCCCCGCCCCCGGCTCGGCCCCGCCCCCCCGCCCCGCCCCCGGCTCGGCCCCGCCCCCCGGCTCGGCCCCGCCCCCGCCCCGCCCCCGGCTCGGCCCCGCCCCCGCCCCCGCCCGCCCCCCGGCTCGGCCCGCCCCCCGCCCCGCCCCCGGCTCGGCCCCGCCCCCCCCGCCGGCTCGGCCCCGCCCCGCCCCCCCGGCTCGGCCCCGCCCCCTGCTCGGCTCGGCTCGGCCCCGCCCCGCCCCCCGGCTCGGCCCCGCCCCCCGCCCGGCTCGGCCCCGCCCCCCGGCTCGGCCCCGCCCCGCCCCCGGCTCGGCCCCGCCCCCCCCCCCCCGGCTCGGCCCCGCCCCCCGGCCCCGCCCCCCGGCACTCATTCACGTTTACACATTCATTCATACACCCACTCACACTGACACTCATTCACATTTATAATAATAATAATAATAATAATAATCCTTGCATTTGATATAGCGCTTTTCACGTCGGAGGACGTCCCGAAGCGCTTCACAGAACACACTGTAAAGTGAATTGACTGTATATTTGTGGGCGAACGCGGCAGCCAATTGCGCACAACAATGTCCCACAAACAGTCGTGGATTGAAAATGACCAATTTATTATTGTTTTGTTTTGGAGGGATTATTATTAGGCTCTGTGTGGAGTAAGGAAACTTGCCCAAGGTTTCACCCTCTGCCGGGAATTGAACTCAGGTCTCTCACTTGCAAAGCGAGTGCTCTAACCACTGAGCTACAGGACTCCATTTGGACACTCATTCATACACACACTCACTGACACTCATTCACAGTTACACACTCATTCATACACACACACACTGACACTCATTCACATTTACACACTCATTCACACACACTCACTGACACTCATTCACATTTGCACACTCATTCATACACACTCACTGACACTCACATTTACACACTCATACACACACATACTGACACTCAGGCACATTTACACACTCATTCATACACACTCACTGACACTCATTCACATTTACACACATTCATACACACACAGATATGCATTCACATTTACACACGCATACACACACAGGTGCTCATTCACATTTACACACTCACTCGTACACACACAGGTACTCATTCACATTTCATAGAATCATTGAATCGGACAGCACAGAAAAAGAGGCCATTTGGCCCACCGAGTCTGTGTGGCTCTTTGAATAGAGCAATGTAATGTCAGTCCCACTCCCCAGCCCTTTCCCCATAACCCTGCAAACCCGTCCTCCCCAAATACCCGTCCACCATGTTTTTAAAAGTAGTTATCTAATCGGCTTTGACCGCCCTTTCAGGCAATGCGTTCCAGATTCGAACAACACACTCCGTGAAAACATGTCTTCTCACCTCCCCTCGGCTTCTTTTAGATACTATTTTGAATCTGTGACCTCGAGTCACCGACACACCCACCAGTCAAATCCCCTCATGATTTTGAAGACCTCTATTAGGTCTCCTCGTACCTTCTCTGCTCCAATGAGAATAATCCCGGCCTCTCTGGCCTTTCCTCATAATCAAGGTCCCTCATTCCTGATACCATCCTCGTAAATCTCCTCTGCACCCTTTCCAATGCCTTAACATCCTTCTTATAGTGCAGTGCCCAACTGGGCGCAGTATTCTAACTGAGGCCTAACCAGTGTTTATATGGGTTAATCATAACCTCCTGACTCTTGTACTCTATGCCCCTATTTATAAAGCCTAGTATCCCATATGCCCTTTTTACAGCTTTATCTACCTGTCCTGCCACCTTCAAGGATTCATTTACCTGAACCCCCAGGTCTCTCTGATCTTTTACCCCCCTTAAGATTGTATTACCAGCCTATATTGCCTCCCCTCATTCTTTCTACCAAAATGCATTACCTCGCATTTCTCCACATTGAAACTCATCTGCCATGTGTCGCCCATTTTACCATTCTTCCCGCAGTCGGCTACTATCCTTCTCACTGTTTACCACCCTACCTAACTTTGTGTAGTCCGCAAACTCATTCATATACACACACAGATACGCATTCACATTTACACACTCATTCGTATGCACACACACTCACATACTCATGCATGCTGATTCACGTACACAATCACACTCAAGCAAAGATATTCAGACTCACGCTCTATGATGGCTCGATTGGGATTGGATTCCTTGAAAGCAAAGGCGGTTAAAGTGTGATTTCATATAGGTTTAAAATACAGGTTAGATAGTGGATGACTCTTAGAAGGATAATAATAATAATGATAATCCTTGCATTTGATGTAGTGACTTATCAGGTCTTCGAGATGTCTCAAAGAGCTTCACAGAATATACTGTAGAGTCCTGTAGCTTAGTGGTTAGAGCATTCGCCTCACAAGCGAGAGGAGCTGGGTTTTATTCAAGATAGGGTGAAATGTTGGGTATGTTTCCTTACTCCACACTCCTCTGTTTACTTAGCAGTAAATAAGGACCCAGTTGTTAGTCAATTGGTGGATCACTTTTACGGAGGTAATAATTCCTTCACGATAATTAAAAAAATAATATGGTCAGTCAGTCCACAACTGTTTGTGGGACACTGCTGTGTGCAATTGGCTGCCTCATTTCACCCACAAAATGTACAGTCAATTCACTTTACAGTATATTCTGTGAAGCGCTTTGAGATGTCTTGAAGACATGATAAGGTGTTATATCAAATGCAAGGAATATTATTATATTATTACTGTAAAGATAATTGACTGTGTATTTTATGGATCATTACAAGAGAACAAATACAATTGTATAAATTCTTAAAATTAGAACCAAATGGTTAGAACTGAGTGCAGCACAATAAAGCTTTCTCACACTGAGGCTTGTGGTTGTGGAACGAGCGACACAGACTTGCAGAGGAAAGAGAAGTAATCAGGAGGATTGCAAAAGGGTAAAAAATGCTAAAATGTAATGCACTAGTAGAACAGACTTGGTTGTTAAATGTCCTCCACCCATTCTTGTTTCTGCTGTTAATAGAAGAATTCATACAGACACTGAAACAATTAATGATTTAAGTTAAGCAGAAGGAACAAATGTCTGGTTCCGGAGAAAACAACAAAGGAAGAATTATGATTTCATTATTTATAACATTACTTAGAAATGGCTTCTCTTCTGGAATGCAGCCATGTGGTGTTGTCAGGGCTCTATATTTGGCCTCTCGCTCTGTCCTTGGCCATATCAGTGTTCTGTCTACAGCCAGGCACAGCTTTACACTCTTATTGCCACACACCACCTCATCTCAGACATAATAATAATAATAATCCTTGCATTTGATATAGCGCTTTTCACGCCGGGAGGACGTCCCAAAGCACTTCACAGAACACACTGTAAAGTGAATTGACTGTATGTTTGTGGGCGAACGCGGCAGCCAATTGCGCACAGCAATGTCCCACAAACAGCCGTAGATTGAAAATGACCAATTTATTATTGTTTGGGGTTTTGGAGGGATTATTATTAGGCTCTGTGTGGAGTAAGGAAACTTGCCCAAGGTTTCGCCCTCTGCCGGGAATTGAACTCAGGTCTCTCGCTGGCAAAGCGAGTGCTCTAACCACTCAGCTACAGGACTCCACATGTCTGGTTGGTCTCATTCTGATGTCCTATTTTCCATTTAATTAGTTTAAATTAATTGTGAAAGAGCTGGATAGCTAACGTAAATGTAAATTATTAAATTTATTGTGAAAGGCAGTAGCTATATACATGTAAATTGTATTGTAAGCTTGTTGCCGACATGAAAGGCGTTATGCAAATGTAATTTTGTTGCTGTCGTTGTGTGACAATGTGACCGGTTTCTAATTCAGGCGTGAAATAACTGACAGGTCCAGTGGTGGACACCAGGAGCAACACATTCTCTGGGATTTCCATGTGTAAATGGGATGCCTGGCAATCTCAGTTTGGTTTGGACACTCTTATAAACATGGTGATGGGTTTCCGCATACGTCGGACACCCGGCTGACCCCTAAAAATACAAGTGTGGGATGGAAACGGGACAGGCACATTCCGAGGCAGAGGAACACATTGAGATTTGGTGAAGAGGTTAATTAGATCTCGCTCCTTTAGGTTTAGCCCACCAGCTTGTCACTTTATTAAACCTGGATGTGAATTGGTGACCTCGAGTAGAAACAGGTATTTGGCAAATACAGGATTTACACAGTTGTAGATGTAAAGTTGTTGATTCCTTCAGGTGCAGCTACTGTCACCCCCGAAGCTGCACTTACTTCATGCACCAAACTGTACGACAGGCTGCAGGAGGAGACCCACAATCAACATGTAGGGCCTTGGCTGGCCCTAACCTCAGCTCGCCTCTGTCTCACGTGGTGCGAAGCTCACCGTTACTGGGGGTACAGCGTCTCAGAACCAATCGTTGTCACCGACTTGGCTCCCTCCGCCTCTCTCCAGGCCTAACTTTCATCAGTGACTGGGTGGATGTTCACTTTGTTGATGACACTATTCCCCGTCAAGATGGTTAACGCCCCATCTGAAAGACAAGGAGTAACCAGTCACTTGAGCAGAAGATCTGTGAGGCAGAGAAACCAATAACTCGGGCAAGAAAAGTGATGGTTTCAATCACTTCTACTCCAGAATGATGACAACCTCCTGTGTTTCTAACATTAAATCCTGGGAATTCTTTTCCATATTGACATTTGGGGAATTCTCCAGATGTTGTTCCCATCAACGGTTTGTCCAAAGTCTGGATTTGGCCAGTGATGCAGACTGGCTATACAGTACCTTATGTCATCAGAGAATTCATAAATCCATATTGGTGGAAATTAACTTGAACCAATATTTCTCAATCCACTCATTGTAATAGAGACAAGGTGAGACATGTTTATTGCTGGGTTTCATCTTAAATTCAATCGAGACGGAGCAGGAAAGTCTCCTGTGTGCTGCAAAAAGTTTAAATAAAACATTTTTAAGTTGATTTTATGAGGTGAAAGAAAATAATCCACAATTCAGAAGAGATTGTCAAGTGCTGTGGGACACTACCCTGTGCGAGGTATGCTATATAAATGCAAGTTGTTGTTGTGTACCTCACGCCCCATTACTACCTGGTGATTAGACATGAGAGCAGGCACCCGCTGAAACAGCAAACACACACTCAGGACACGTTTCCTTAACATTTGACATGAAGCTTTAATTATTTAAATACAATCAAGGCCTAGAGATAGCAAGTCTGAGCACAAACATTTGTAAAAACTTGCCTTGTACACAGCATCAAAAATAGATGTGCTTTTTTTTAATGTCTCTAAGTATCTTATTGAGGAGGTAGTCGTGGCTACACTTGCTGACTGCTCAGTGCGACCTTCTCCCTACAGTAAAACAGGGAGTAAATCTCCCTACACAATGTCACACTAAAAACTCTTGAACAATAATTCAATAGTTAAAGCAATTGTATTAAAAGTTTCTCACAGAAATAGAGAGAACACTACAAACAATATTTCTGAGTTCATTAACAGATTATCCATTAAACTTTTGAATATATATATATACACACACACACATATACAGATAGACACATATATATATAAATAAAAATCAAAGCTTACAACATCTGGGTTTAAATGCCAGATTACTTCAGGTATGTTCATTTTACATTTTGTTCTTGGTTTTTTAATTAATGCTATATAATTTCTGAATACAGACATAAGTCATGTTATTTAAGCATTCGATTATTGAAAAATATTTTTTTAAAAACATATATAAAGTATTGTTATCATATTACACACTTAAATTGCTGGTAAAATTCAGATGAGAGGGAAAGCCTGGCAATGACATGTGGAGACAGCTCCTGAATGTCTCAACACCATCATCACCCGGGGAACAAGAGGGGTGCTTTTACACAGTGCGATATATCACAGTGTGACGACAATAAACACATCAATCTATTCATGTGAAAAATAACTTTTACAAATCTGGTCTTTAAACATAAAAGGATTTCTGTCTAGACTTTACACACTGAAGTCAAATTGTGTGAATCACAATAAATGTGCAGCACAAATGTTACAATCTGAGATGCAAAACTTTTTTTTAAATGAAAATTGGTCCCAAACAACTACTGTGGTAAAACCCCTGTTTAACATTAGGATTTACCATAACTCATCAGTTTTGTTTTCTGTGATTTTTGTAAAGTAACAAATTTGAGGAAGCCATAGGGAGCATTTCTCCTAACTTATTGCTTATGGCTCCAAATTCAGTTTAATTCCAAATAATAACCTCCTTCCTCTCTCTCTAGCGCCAGCACTAATACCTTTTCCTCTCTCTCCAGAACCATTGTGGGTTCCTACATAGCGCGGGAGGTTCCTGAGCAGTTACCATAATTTTTACCATGGCTGGGGTACTCAGTGCTGCTCCCATTCGCAGGAGCTGGTGACATTCCTCACTTAAACAAGGACGGGCTGGGAGATTGCAATGGCATTGCTCCAGTTGGGGGAACAAGTCACTACGGCCTCACCTGTGCCCCCACCCTCTGCCCCAACGCCCTGCCCTCTCAGTCAGTAGTGCAAAAAGCTCCCCAATGTAGAATTCCAGAGGGTTAAATATTCTCAAAGTCTCTTACCGTTTATTGTGAAGGTCACATAATTTATGTATAATATATATTCATATCTAAAACTATACGCTACTTCCTGATTTGTAGCTATTCCAGTGTGTCTGGCGTATTGCTTAGTAAAATGCTGGTTCCATTCTCACAACAGGGCAAATAACATAGCTAGAATCAAGAACCAATTATGCCGTGAATCTTCTGGAATAGTGATACTTTTGATTTAAAAAGGTCCCGATACAGGATACAAATACTGTCAATCAAATGGGTGACTTAATAACCCTTCACAATCCTGGGGAAACTGGTCATCAAGGGTCGGAGAGTTTCTAGAACAAGTAGAACATTCTTCACTTCACTTCCCTCTGTGTCTTCGGCCAGAACAGTTCCCATGCGTGAAAGGCGCTATACAATGTAATTTGTTGTTGTTGTTGTTTCCCGCTCAGCGAAGGTTAGTACTGAACATGCTCAGACTGCAGTGACTGCAAGAGAAAAATGACCTCAACTGAGAACAAGGAACAAATTTAAATAAAATGTTCGGAGGGAAACCCAGAGAGTGTTTCTGCCAAATCCCCAATACAGATAATTGCAGAGGCTCTTAGATAGGAAACATGGTCAAGAATGTTAGTGTATGTATTAGTTTTGATGTGGCTCCATACATCTATAGTCCAGATCTGATAGGCAACAAAGCCCCTCTCCATTTCACATTCCTCTTCCAATGGTCCCTCGCTCACTCTCTGGAGTATTACTGCCGGAGAGGAACCAGCACATGGTTTCTCTCAAGCACGAGCTATAGCATTGGGTTACTCACCTTCCAGACATGTCTACCAACACATCAATAGATTTCCCACATGGTCAAACTCCCCAGATGCAGTCTCCCTCATAGTAACCAGGTATGTGCTACTTGCCCCTGCGAGTCAGGCTAATTCTACATTCAAACTATGTGGCTGGACTGATGCACTGGGACACCAGCAGAAGAGACCACATTGATATTATTAGTCACAGATGATGATAACAGTCCAAACACCTCATAATAGAGGAAGGCAAAGGGGCTGTCTAACTCGAGCTAGAATGTAAGTAATTCCCTGACAGGTGTCAGCAAATGGCCAGTGCAGGGAGTTCTGTACAACACACCTATGTAATGAACGGATATACAGAATAATTTCCACACAAATGTTACCCTATTAGTGACGTTATTGATCCTTTGAGCAGTGTAAAGTAATAGACTATTGGAAGACGCAAAGACTGTGCTTGTGATCATCCAGTGATTCAGTATTCTGACGTGTATTACAATCACAGCAGCAGACTTGACGCTGTAAAAGGACAATTTATTACAAATTGCTATTCCTTTTTTATCTGGCATTAAGTGGCCTCTGGAAGGTAATGTGCCCATTTATGTCATGCTCGGTCTTCAATCTACATCAAAGAAAACTGTCCAGACAGCTCCGGGAGATAGAACGTAGGCACCGTCCATCTTAATAAAATCAAACCAGAAACAATTCAGAGATTACAGTGATATAAACATGCTTTACCTATTTAACACCACAGAACGAAACTCATTGCTTTCCTTTCATTAAACACTTGGATGTGAAACTGTGAAATAAACCTACACACATCTTGTGGGGATATCAGAAATCGATACAAACTAAATAATTTTACTTCAGGAGGAAATGGAGTGAATAATCTATGTCCTGCTAAACACAGTGGCTGAGTGGGATCCTCGCTGATCGGATGGGATGGGTTTGTGACTGGGAGAGGACAGAGATCAGTTGGAGATGTCCCATTGACATTCTGCACATCTTTTTAATATTGTATACTTACAGCCCAAACCTTCAGAGATAATGTGATTCTTATTTGGGACTACAGGGGAAAGTGACAAACCTGAAGTGTTAGCTAGAGCTATGTAATATTACCGACATTATAGGTCAGACCCGAGACAATATGATAGAGCACGATGGCAAGGTGGAAGCCCAATGTTCAGGCTCCTGTACGGACTCAAATCGAGGACTAATCTCATTGAGCAGTTTTTGCAGGTCATTCAGGAACCTTTATTTAGCAATAAAATGGCATTTGTGGGACAACATGACGGAAATGTCCTCATCTAAGTGTATCTTTCCCATATCAGACTCCCACTGTCCATCCACACTCCCAGGTCAGGTTGGAGACACAGCAAATCTCCTTCTGCACTGTCCTATGCACAGAACACCTACTTTGCATGAGTGAGATACTTTCCACTCCAGGCATCCTGTGATTTCTTGCTAATTCAGCAGTTTTGTGCTGTGAGCTGACTCTGTCCTGATGTCACTGTCTGCATCAGTGTCATCCGAACATTTCTGCTACCTGGTGCTGGAGTCAAACCCAGGGCTTGCACTCGACCCGGCTCCAGAATATCTTTACCAAAACCAAATGAGCTTTGAAATACAGATACTTTCAGCGCAGGAGGCCATCATGTCAGTGCTGAACGAGAAAATTTGCTTCAATCAATAGGAAACGATGAAAACATCCTGCGTGAGAGCTCTAAACATACCAGAGCAGGTATAAGGTAAACTTACGGGGTTTGAGCGGCTCAGGTAGCGCATGGTGGCGGGGCTGAGGCCGCTGTAGGTGGATCGATAGCTGTGTTCATCCTTTGGGCTGGTGTGTGAGCCCACGTGGGCTCTGGAGCCCCCACTGTGCTTGCTGTGATAGTTGTTGTTCAGCTCCTGGTAATACCTGGCCGAGGCGTTGTTCATTGTAAAACCTGTCCTGGGAACTGAGGTGCCCGAGATCTCGGCTTCCTCAGGGGCAGCATAGATATTGCCGAGGGAATTGCCTAGTCTGGTGTTGATGGTGAAGCTGAGAGACACGAGGAGCAACACACAACGTACATCATCATCATCATCATAATAAAGGGGAATCAGGCGATTGTGAGAAAACAAGCTTGAAACATGGAAAATTCTTTCAAATATCCTCATTATTAAAGGTGTTCAGTTCATACAGCGCATAAATGTTTAAGCATTTATTATTGATCATTGAGGTCAAGTGGAAGTCAATGCCATAGCCAATCTGTAGCTATCGAATTCACTGTTTTCCCAGGATAATAGCTACGAGGAAAGCAGTTTCTAAGAAACTGAAGCAATTTGTGTGCCAATTCTGCTCAATTTCCTGTCTGGAATTTACATATTCAACACGTCAGAAAAGCACGATTGTTTCAGGCATCCACACACGCTGCCCCCTCGCTCACACAGCGACCTGGAAACTGACCCTCCTCGCACACCAGCACGCACACTACCCCCTCCCTCGCACAACCCCTGCAGACCGCCTCCCCTCACACACCGCCACCCCAACCCCCCCACACTCCCTGCACACTGCCCCCCCCCACCGCACCTCCCTTGCACACTGCCTCCCTCTCCCTTGTACTCCCCTTGCTCACCGACCCCCACCTCGCACACCGTCCCCACCCACGGACACCGCCCCCCTCGCACACCAGGAGACAGTAAGAGACCGGATTGAGATAATCATCATACGATGGGCTTCCTGAGCCGCTGATTAGCAGCAATTTGTTCTAAAGACGACCTCTGAACATGGTCTCACCTCTTCAGATTGCCGTTCACGGCTGTGGCATTCCGGCCGATCCGCTTTGGGCTGGCAAAGGTCATCGCTGTGACCTTGGAGGATTTCAGTGGGGACATGGATCCCTGGAGACTTGAGGAATTGATTCTAAAGAAACAAACCAGAAAGTCTTGTGAAGCCGCATTGTTGGCAGACACCGACTAATTAATAACCAACACTAGAGACAGTGAGGAAAGATGATTGTAACATAGTACAGAGCAACAACTCCGTTCCCTAGGATTTGCAATTAGACTTTGTTAAATTAATTAAAATAATATTAAGAAACTCGTTATTGGCAGTAGCTTTGGGACGTCCTCCTGACGGGAAAGGTGCTGTACAAATGTAATTTGTTGTTGTTGTTGTAGTGTAGCTCACTCAGTTGGAACTCAACCAATGAACATAATTTGTTTGGAGCAACTGTGGGATAAACTGTGTAGTGTTTAGCTACATGTAAATACATTCCAGCAAACACTGCAGCGCACTGCACTGCTGCCTTGCTCACTACAGCACACGTCACTGCTGTTCTGCCTCCTGCAGCACAACACACCCCAATATCACTGCAAACACACTTGCGTACCTGAATGGCTGAGTTGGAGATCTTGTGTGAATTTTCATATCATCCAGCCTGTAAAATAAACAGCACATCTGATGAACCATTGTTAAAGTAACTGATTGAATCTTAATTTCAAATCCTTCATCTAATCAACATCCAACAACATGATAACTGGGAGGTCAGGCCCTCAACAAGTGCAGTTACTGCTCGTGGTATTTCACACAAACATTTAATGTTGTTACAGGTGAATGTTACACAGGTGAATGTTACACAGGTGAATGTATTAAGGGCTGGATTATTATAGGGAGCGTGCAGCAAATGGTGGGACAGTGGGGACAAGGAACAAGCAATAGAGGGGGTGTGAAGGAGCGGAGGTGGCTACAGTGGAGCTGGCGAGATTAGTCAAAGTTTCTGCAGCAGGTTTGAAGCTATTTGAACGTTCTCCATTTATTGCTATAACACAGTCATGCAACAATAATCCTTGCTGTGCTATAGTCATGTCTCAAGGCGCTTCAAGGATTGACTGACTGTGAAGTGTAGTGACTTTGTATTTTTGCAGGTGAACACAGTAGCCAATTTCAGATCGGTGCGTCCTGCAAATAGCCATGAAATGAACGACCAGTTGTATCAGGGTACCGGGAGACAGAAACTTCCTTCAATATCCTCCTTCAAAGAGCAGCTACAGCATAGTAACAATAAGAGATGTCTGAGTGACACTGTACACTAGAGACAGCAGTAATGGGACACAGCCTTGAATTGTGCTTTTCATGTCTAGGATGCCCAGAATTCTATCAGCGAGCAAGAGAGGAATTGGATCCATCCCATAGGGCAAGATGGGTGGAATGCCAGAGTCTATACCAGAGTTGAAAAGGACAGGTTGCATAAACATGGTCTGTATTCCCTGGAGTTCAGAAGGTTGAGGACTGATCTAATCGAGATGATTAAAATGATAAAGGGATTCAATAGAGTAGCTACAGATGAACTATTTCCTCTGGTGGGGGAATCCAGAAGAAGATGAGTCTTAAAATTAGAGCAAGGCGATTTAGGAGTGAAAACAAGGGGCATCTGGAAAGTGGAAATCTGGAACTCTCTCCCCCAAAAGGCTGTGGACGTTGACTCCATTCACATTTTCAAGACTGATGTGGATAGATCCGGGTATCAAGGGACAGAGGCGGTAATTGGACTTGAGGTACAGATCAACCATGAGCTAACAGAATGGCGGAACAGGCTTGAGGGGCTGAATGGCCTCCTCCTGTTCCTCTGTTTCCCTGCCTGCATTGATGCCAACGGCAGGAGGAGGAGGCAGCGAGTCATTCCCAAAGCTGCTCTCAGCTCTCGTGTACCTGATGAAGCACCATAGCTCAGCCTCCGTCTCAGGCAGTGGCTCAGCACTGAGCGTGACGATGGTTCACAGGTTGCAAACGCGCAGTCTTTATCCTACACGTGCCAACTCCTGCATGTAGGGGAGGCTGTGCGAGAGGTGAGATCCACACAGTCTCAGAGAGAGATTGGAACGAGCAGACAATAATACTTTGGTAAAAGGATGAAAGGCTTGTGGAGCTGAATGGAGGCACAGGTGATAGAATAAGTTCCGTTACTCAGACACTGTTTGGAGCACGGATTGAGTTACAATTTGGTGTGCGCACAATTCCCTGCTGGTGGCCATTCATGCTAAAATGGCTGATTTCCAGCAAGTATAACAAGGTGTCAGGGTTCAAAGATTTCAGAAAGGAACCATACAAATTGGTGGAAATGAGAATGATTGATGGCTATTGGACAATTAGACAGTTGGGGAAGGAGCGAGATGGACCGATGCTGAATTTCTTCCTGAAACAGATGCTGGTCTGTCTCTGCAATCTCAGCACGGAAATGTATGACGGAACGACAGTGGAGCTCCGTTACACATACACTCGCAAGATAATGCAATGATGCAACAGGCAGTGAGTTGTACCTGATTTACTAACTCTCTGGCATCTTTGCAATCACAGCCGTGTGCTGTAGGGTCCACATCCCAATAGAGGAGAAACACAGATATTTGGGCACAAAGTTTACATATTTCCTTCTAAAATCCCTGAAATTGCTGTTTGCAATTACTCCCACCACCCCCGCCTCACACCCCCACCGCCTCAACCCCCACCACCTCACACACATTAGCCCCCGCCTCTTAGCCCTCGCCTCACACACATTCCCCCCGCCTCACCCACACTCCCCACCACCTCACACACACTCCCCACCCACCCCCACCCCACTCCCCCTGCCTCACACACATTCTCCCCCCACCGTCGCACACACATTCTCCCCCCACCGCCGCGCACACATTACCCCCCCCCCCCCCCCCCCCGGGTCACACACATTAAGCCCCCCCATGCCTCACACAAATAAACCCCCCTCCCCTCAGCACACATGCATTACATCACCTGAGAGCCCCTGTTGTTGCTGAGCGTGGCTGTCTCCTGCTCTTTAAGGCACGCAACTTATCTCCCTGTGTCATGTAGGTTTTTATTACCGTGCCTCCATCTTCTTCGTAATCATTCTGTAAAGGTAAAGCAAATAAACAGGTCACGCTCCTGCTTCTCAAGCCCAATTACAGGTGACGCTACCCCCACGTGAAGGTGCTGTGTAAATGCAAGTTGTTGTTGATGTAAAATTACACCGTCTCAACAGGAGCAGCTCTAACTGCGGGAAAGGAGCTCTCAGTGTCTGACTGAGGATGGATTCCCAGCAGCCGGCACTACCTCCAACATGAAAACAACAACAACAAGATTCCATTTATTGAGCGCCTTTCACGTCGGGAGGACGTCCCAAGGCGCTGAAAAGACAACCTTATCTCTGGAGCTTATGGCTCATTGGTCAGACCTTGGGGTGAACTTAAAAGTCAGAACCCATCGCCAGGTTGTATTGAGTTCACCCCACGGACACCCCCCAAACTTCGCGCACACACACCCCACACACACAACTGGCAGTCAGACACACAGAGGATAATCGCCGACGTAAGGTCATGTGTACGTACCTCTCCTGTTTTATAAAGGTTACCACCGAGAGAGAGAGCATCGATACTGGAGATGATGCGAGACAATCCCATGCAATCTTTATCTGTACATTTGTGTTTTTTCAGGGATCGGTAGATATCGCCTTCCAGCCACATGCAGCCTTGTTTCCTGCACATAAAGCGAAGGTGTCAAACAGAGCACAGCAACAGCTGTCCAGGAGACCGCACACCAGGTATCCAACCAGCATCAGATGTACACAGGTTTTCCCAGTGCCCCAGAGACCCTGCTCCCCCGCCCCCCCCCACAGATAGCTTTCCTGCCACCCCAGACCCCTCTCCTCCCCCAGACTCCTTTCCCTCAGACACCCTCTTCTACTCCAAGACCCCTCTCCTCCTACCCAGACCCCTCTCCTTCCATCCAAAATCCTTTCCTCCCCCAACAGACACTCTCCTCCCACCCAGACACCTCACTTTCCATCCAAAACCCTTTCCTCCCGTCACAGACTCCTCTCCTACACCCCCAGACCCCTCTCCGTTCACCCCAGATCCTTCTCCCACCTCCCCAGACCCCTCCCCTCCCCCCCAAACCCTTCTCCTCCCCCCAGACTGCTCTCTTCCCTTACAGATCCCTCTCTTCCACCCCAGACCCCTCTCCTCACCCCAGAAACTTCTCAGAAACCTCTCTCCAGATCTCCCCCCAGACCTCCTTCCCTCCCGCGCAGACCCCTCTCCTTCTCCCCTGCAGAACCCTCTCCTCCACCCAAGACCCCTCCACCCCAGACGCCTCTCCCGACCCCTCGCACCCACACGATCCCTCTCCCCTGCAATCCCCTCTCCTCCCCCCGACCCCTCTCCACCGCAGTCTCCTCCCACCCAGACCCCTCCACCCCCCCAGATCCCTCTCCACTGCAGTCTCCTCCCTCCCAGATCCCTCTCCATCCCCCAGACCCCTATCTCACCCCAGACCTCTCTCACCCGCAGACCCTTCTCCCCCACCGAGCCCTCTCCTCCCCTCCATCCCACTTTCCTCCCCCCCACCCCGAGCCCTTTCCCCAGACCCCTCTTCTTCACCCCTCTCCTCCCCCCCGCCCCGAGCCCTTTATTCACCCCGAGCCCTTTCCCCAGATCCCTCTTCCTCACCCCTCTTCTCCCCCCCAGACTCCTCTCCTCCTCCCCAGACCCCCTTCTCCCCCCAGATCCCCCGACCCCTCTCCTCCCACCCGACCCCTCTCATCCAGACCCGTCCTCCACCGCCAGACCCCTCTCCTACCACCCGACCCCTCTCCTCCCCCTCCAGACCCCCTGTCCTCCCACCCGTCTCCTCTCCTCCCCCTCCAGACCCCTGTCCTCCCACCCGACCCCTCTCCTCCCCCTCCAGACCCCTCTCCTCGCCCCCCAGAAGCCTTTCCTCCATCTCCAGACCCCTCTCCTCCCCCCCAGAAGCCTTTCCTCCACCTCCAGACCCCTCTCCCCCCCAGATGCCTCTGTTCCCCTACCAGACCCCTCTCCTCCCACCAGACCCCTCTCCTCCTCCCCCAGACCCCTCTCTTCCGCCTGCCCCGACCACTCTACTCCCACAAGACCCATCTCCCCCTCCCCCCAGACCCCTCCCCCCCCCGACCCCTTCCCTCCCCCCCAGACCCCTTCCCTCCCCCCAAGCACTTTCCACCCCCCCGAAACTTTTCCCTTCTCCCCCAAAACCCCTCTCTTCCCCCCCGACCCCTCCCACCCAGACCGCTCACATACAGACGCCTCTCCTCACCAGACCCCTTTCCCCCCCGATCGCTCTCCTCCCCGCCCAGAAGCCTTTCTCCACCTCCAGACCCCTCTCCTCCCCCAGACCCCTTTCTTCCCCAACCGCTCTCCTCCCACCACAGAAGCCTTTTCTCCACCTCCAGACCCCTTTCCTCCCCCCAGATACCTCTCCTCCCCCAGACCCCTCTCCTCCTCCCCCAGACGAATCTCCTTCTCCTCCCAGACCCCTCTCCTCCCCAGATGCATCTCCTCCTCCTCCCAGACCCCTCTCCTCCCCAAACCCCTCTCCTCCTCCCCACCAGACCCCTCTCCTCCCCCCAGACGCATCTCCTCCCAGACCCCTCTCCCCAGACGCATCTCCTCTTCCGCCCAGACCCCTCGCCTCCCCCCAGACCCTCGCCCCCCCCAGACCCCTTTCCTCCTCCCCAGACCCCTCGCCTCCCCCAGACCCCTTTCCTCCTCCCCAGACCCCTCGCCTCCCCCAGACCCCTCGCCTCCCCAGACCCCTCGCCTCCCCCAGACCCCTCGCCTCCCCCAGACCCCTCGCCTCCCCCAGACCCCTCCTCCCCAGATCCCTCTCCTCCTCCCCTCCCCCCAGACCCCTCTCTTCATCCACTCGCCTCCCCCAGACCCCTCTCCTCCTCTTCCCCAGACACCCCCCCTCTCCACCTCCCCAGACCCCTCTCCACCTCCCCAGACCCCTCTCCTCCTACCCAGACCCCTCTCCTCCTCTTCCCCAGACACCCCCTCCTCTCCCCAGACCCCCACTCCTCCCCCCCAGACCCCTCTCCTCCTCTTCCCCAGACCCCCCTCCCCTCCCCAGACCCCCTCCCCTTCACAGACCCCTCTCCTCCCCAGACCCCCCTCCTCCTCTTCCCCAGACCCGCCTCCTCCTCTCTAGACCCCTCTCCTTCCCTTCTCTCCCCCAGACCCCTCTCCTCCTCTTCCCCAGACCCCTCTCCTCCCCCCAGACCCCTCTCCTCCGCCCCGACCCCTCCCCTCCCCCCCAGAAGCCTTTCCTCCCCCTTCATACCTCTCCTCCCCCTTCATACCCCTCTCCTCCCCCTTCAAACCCCTCTCCCAATCGCCAGAAGTCTTTCCTCCCCTTCAGACCCCTCTCCTCCCCCACAACCCGCTCTCCCCCAGAACCCTCTCCTGTCCCCAAGACCCCTTCCCCTCAAGATCCCTCTCCTCATTCCCAGATCCCTCTCCTCCCCCCACAGAACCCTCTCCTGCCAAGACCCCTTCTCCTCCCCCACCAGACCACTTTCCTCCACCCCAGAGCTCTTTCCTGCCCCCCAGAGCCCTTTTCTCCTCACCCCAAACCCCTCTTCGCACCCCAGACACTTCTCCGCCCTCCACACTGCTCTCCTGCCCCCAAACCCCTTTCCTCCCCTCTCCACCCCCCCGCAGACCCCTCTCCGCCCTCGCAGACCCCTCGCAGACCTCTCTCTCCCCCGACCCCTCTCCTCCCCCCCGACCCCACTCCTCCCCCAGACCCCTCTCCTCCCCCCATACCCCTCTCCTCCCCTCCCCCCGACCCCTCCTCCTCCCCAGACCCCTCTCCTCCTCCTCTCTTTGAGACGTATCAAAGCGCTTCACAGAATACACTGTGTAGTGACGGTATATTTTGTGGGCAAAACGCGGCTGCCAATTGCACACAACAATGTCCCACAAACAGTCGCGGATTGAGTGACCCCATTGTTGTTAAACAATTATTATAAACACAAAACTGCAGAATGCAATTTCTTAATATATCCCGCTGAAAACCCAAAGTCTGGTGTTGTTTCCTGAGTAGAATGGAAATTTTTCGGATTAAGTCATAACGTGAAAAAACAATCTTTTGATCATTGAGATGGTTGGCCAGGACACTGGGAGAGAGAGAAACAGAAACTCCCTTTTCCTTTCTATTAGTGCCACAGGATCTTTAATGCCCACCCGAACAAGCACAGATGGAACCTCGGTTTTAACGTCTCACCCGAATGATGGTGTCTCTGTGCCCCCCCCACCACCCCAAGTGCTGCCCTGGAGCATCAGAAGTGTCAATTGTAGCCTTAGCCCCAGCCTAGTAAACGCTGGAATCTGCTGCTCAGGGGGCACTAAATGCCTGAGTTGTCCCTGCAGAGATGCATTGAGTAAATCTTGGAAGGAATTCAGACACTGAAAATTAACCGTCATCAGAAATACTTGCCTGTACTTTTCCCTACGGAGTATTTTACCAAGATAAACAAAATCGTATCTTACTTTCCCGGGAGGCTTTCCAGCAAAACCCACCCTCACGGCAGGATACTAACAAGATTGAAAGGAAAACACTGAACTGCTAATATGCTTACAATTTCCTAGAATTTTCCAGATAAAAACAAGATCTGCTTGGTTTTTTTTGATAAGAATGGAAAATTTCTGGACTTTCCCGCATTATACATTACCTCACGTTGATCTCAAATTTAAAGCTTTTAGCTTAGCTTTGGAAATAGCAATAGATGACTTCAGAACTTCCCATTTCACCAAAACTATGAACCCGCAGGAAGAACCCATTTCCCCTTTCTGGTTTTTGCTACTCCTAAGAAAAGCCGCCCAAGCTTAGTTGCAATTCCCTGCTCATTTCCTTTTTACCCCCTTTCTCCGCACATGGTTAATTCTGTTTATCGTGCACCCTGAGCAGCTAAGCATCATTCTACCCACTGACAAACCTTTGGAAGAAGTCTTATGTGGCACTGAAGCATTCTCGATATTAGCCAGACTGTTATATTTGGAGAGATGACAATAATCCAATTTCATTTCTTCCTAGCCTGACTGTAGAATGTGAAAGAACTACATTGTCCTAATTCTATATGTTGAGGTTATTGCTGGTCAGCTGAGTGTCTGACACATGTCGAAACCCATTTCTCATGTTTAAGCGAATCGCAACCAGATTGAGAGTTCCACATGGTACACACGGATATGTATCTGCAATGCAATGTACACTCTTTCTGGAGGAACACATCCTGCTCACCTAAGTTAAAACGTAGATTGGCAAGAGCCAAGGCTTGGGGACCCCAGAGAGTGCGTAAGGGGTAACTGGTGGAGTCTAACCAGCTAAACCTACTTGCCATTGAAAGCACTGACAGGAAAGCTTTCATGCTGCTTGTCCAGCTGGGACCCCAATCTACTCATTATGGCTTTGACTTGCAGGGTTATCAGGAGCTGAGTGGGAAGATTCCCTACGGCCAGGTATATGTTAGAGTGAAGCATCTGCCACACGCCTCGTGTCGTCCTGTTAACCCTCATTGTGTGTGTGTGGTGGGGGGTTGTGTGTGCATGCGTGGAGGGGGGCTGTGCGCGTTGCCCCGGGGCGGGGGCTGTGCTCGACACGCAGGGCGGGGGATCTGCGTGTGCTGGTGGGGGGGGGGAAGCCGCGCATGCAGGGGGGAACTGTGCGTGCGGGGTGGCTGAGCGCATTCACGCAGGGGTTGGGGGCTGCGCGTGCGTATACCTGGAGGGGCGCGTGGGGGGAAGAGGGGTTTGTATGTGTGTGTGGGGGGATTATGTGTGTGTCGATTGTGTGTGTGGGGGAGGGTTCCATATGTGGAGGTGGGGGGGGGGGGGGCTGGTTCACATCAGACACAACCGTTGCTCCTTAATTCACAGAATTTTCAGGGGTAGGATTTGCATCTCACTGTCTGCCATAAATACGTCCCTGTTTTAGTCACTTTCACACAGTTTGATATTTCCTGTGATTTAGGGCTGCTTTAAACAATAAACAATCCGAGCTTCTAACACAGAGCCTGCAGTGCTGAGTTTCACATTGTTCAGTAAATTGCTGTCAAATGTAGTGACTGTATTTGTAGGTTACACACATACACACACACACACAGCACTCAAGACAGCAGCACACACAGACAGCAGTACGCATAGTATCACTGCGTGCTTCACCCCAGCCCCCTCCACCGGCCGCCCCTCACACCCCCACCCCTCACCACCCACCCCGTCAGCACACACTTTGGGATTGGGAGCCCAGATCAAATTCGGTTTAATTCTTTTGGTTTAGTCTCAGTTCCTCCTCAAAGTTGTCAGCATTAGCCAATTTCCTTTCCAAAAACATTGTGTTTATGCAGATTGTTCTTCTTATGTTTAGCTGTTTCGATTTTATATTCATCAGGGAAATGGTTGGAGAGTTAATAGCTCTTGCTAATGCAGCACGTACAGTAGATTCCAGCCAATGTAAACACAGGCTTGGTGGGACCCCTCCATGACCTCCCTACTGGAGTCCTGTAGCTCAGTGGTTAGAGCACTCGCTTTGCAAGCGAGAGACCTGAGTTCAATTCCCGGCAGAGGGTGAAACCTTGGGCAAATTTCCTTACTCCACACAGAGCCTAATAATAATCCTCCAAAACCAAAAACAATAATAAATTGGTCATTTTCAATCTACGACTGTTTGTGGGACATTGCTGTGCGCAATTGGCTGCCGCGTTGACAAATATACAGTCAATTCACTTTACAGTGTGTTCTGTGAAGCGCTTTGGGACGTCTTCCCGACGTGAAAAGCGCTATATCAAATGCAAGGATTATTATTATTATTAAATTGTCAACAGAATTTCAAAGTGAGCCTGGGGCATTCCCATAGTCATTCCATACAAACAGCCCACAACCTCCCCCACCCCACCTCCTCTCCACCACAAACACACCCCAATTAAATTTGTATGGTGCCTTTCATGTCAGGAGGACGTCCAAAGGCACTGGACAGTCACACATACACAGGCACAGACAAACACACACACACACGGAGACAGACACACAGACACACACACATGGAGACAGACACACAGACACACACAGACACACAGACAGACACAGGCACAGACATACACATACAGCAGATCAGCGACAAATCCTACAAATGAAAATTCTGCGCTCAAGTCAGAGGGAGCTGAGCTTTACTACACAATCTGGTGATGAGGCAAAATACAGACATATTTGCAATTTGGGTTGCAAGGGGGTTGGTGTCAGGGCAGGATTCGCATGAAGGCAAGCACCAGGAAGCGCAGAGTGGACCTGATGGCGGAGCCCAAGCTGCCAGTCTGTGCTCTGAACGGTGCCATGCGGAGGACACGAGCCAAACGCCCCGGCTCGCAGCTCTCAACGAACCTGAAAACCAAATAGAGCAGCGGCAGCATTAGTGACAGCCTGAGCAGCAACCCAACGCCAGGGACCGAGCACGAGGGACACTGTATTACTGAGCACCAATGTGGGGAGTGACTGAGCGCGAGAGGCACTGTATCACTGAGTAGGCGCCAGCCCTGTGGCGGGGCTGTTGCTAGTACTCTCATCTCCCAGTCAGAAGATTGTGGATTGATTGGGATGTCCTCCTGACCTGAAAGCTGCTACACAAATGTAANTTTTTTGTCGTCATCCAACTCACTTAATCCAGGCTGATGCTCCAGTGCAGTGCTGGCGGTGTGCTACACTGTCAGGGTGCTATGGGACACTACCTTTTGTGAGGGCCGCTATATAAATGCAAGTTGTTGTTGTTCTCATCAGGGGCTGTGAAACCAAGTTCCTATCTGGCTGTTCAAGTGGATGTTAAAGATCCCGTGGGGCTATTTGAAACGAGAAGGAAGTTTCTCTCTCCTGGTGTTCTGGCTGCCAAAACAAATTCTTTATATTCTTTATTCTCTACAGATTCACTGTAAAGTTTAGTCATTGTGCATTTTGTAGCCAAATGTGGCCAATGTCCAGATTGAAACATCCCATAAATAGCCATGGAGTGAGTGACTAATGTTGTATGGGGGATCGTCGGCCAGGACACTGGTTCAAGTAAATGCTGCTCTCCCAGCACTGCGATAGCTCTGTTACAAACACTGACACTAACCCATCAGGGGCCTCAGGGACTGACAAGTATGACAGTCAGCTCCTATCTCCTGCCTTCCTTTTCACCACTGACTGACCACCTGCTCAAGATGTTAGATCACATTCGTTCAGCTACGGTTTGCTGCAGCAAATGGATGAAACATTGTTTTGTTGTGTTGTTTGTGTAGGAGTTTCCAAGGTGCAGGGACTGACGTGTTACTCTCCCTATGTGTTTGTGTGACTTAGTTTCCAGTGTGGGTATCAATGGTTATTCTCTACTTTTATGGTGATCAATTTCAGAACGTTCTTCACCAATTCAAGGGAGCAGAGTGCCGAGGCCCCTGGCTGCATTTGTGCTGGCTGGAGGGAGGGGTGGGCAGGTTATGGGGTTTATGCAGGGCTGGTTAGGGAGGTGAGCTATGTTGTTCCCTAATTGTCTTGTGAGGTGCACAGGCACAGACACCACTCTTTGCACTTGCCAAAACCATCTCTCTACCTTCACTTCACCCCCAAACATTGACCTGAGCCTGTGAGCTGGTCTGGAACAGAGTTTATCACACACTGACTACCAACAGCTGAACTGGCTCCAAGGTGACATGCATGGCAATGGCGTGTCAGAATCGAGCCAGCACTCTGTGTGATGGTCTCTCGTCCGGTTCCTTAGCCAGGCAGGTCTGCAGTATTTCAGAGCACTGCTGATGACAGCACAGCCCATCGGCAGGACCTGGAAGGGCAGACCAGTCACTGGGGGCAGGGAGTCATCCCACTCAGCTCCTGTTAATGCAAGTCAAAGCCCTAGTGGGTAGGGTGGTCTCAGCTGGACAAGCAGCAGGAAAGCTGGACAGCAATATCAATGTGGTGTTAACTGGTTAGACTCAGCAGCATTCCAACAATCTATTTCTGGGATTTCCATGTTTGGGGGTGGGTGGAATTCTCAGCTTGGTTTGGAGATTCTTAAGCATAGTGATGGGTTTCTGTGTCAGACACCCGGCTGACCAGGTTTGCCATGAAAATAATCATCACCAACAACTTTAGCACTGGATGAAACCACACACCAGTGTCACAATGGCCCCGCCCCATCACCAGGCCCTTCCCCTCGCCGGCAACTCCCCCCTCTCCCCCGCCACCCTGGCAGTCACTTACTCCTCCAGGAAGTGCTGCTGTGGGCCTATGATGGATCCCGGGCGGCAGATCCTGATCCAGGCGATGGCTTCAGCCGCGGTGAATCTGTAATGTTTCATTATGTAACAGGCCACCAGCGTGCCCGTCCTCCCTAAACCAGCTACAGGAAAGGCAGATGTTACACGTTACAGCGGAAACTGCGGAGAATCTGAGCGCCATCGACCGGAGGTCAAACACGGAAACTGCCGGCTACAGTGGGAGGGAACAAAGTTTCAATGTTTTTGCAATCAGAAAACCTGAACCCTTATAATCAGACCATTGTCAGAGTTCATCATAAACCATTCCCTGAAAACAAGGTGTAAGTGATCTCCTGGTCTCCGAGTGTAACCAGCAGTGAACTTTGCCTTCCTACAGTAATCGTTTAATCATCCCGTGTCTGTCTGTGTGTCAATCTACATTCCATATTGGACCCTTTGGTTGCAAGCGAAGCTGCAATGGGTACAGCTAGTATAATAATCGCCTATTAATAATAATCCTTGCATTTGATACAGCGCCTTATCACGTCATTGAGACGTTTCAAATTGCTTTGCAGAGTACAACAACAAGATTACATTTGTATGGCGTCTTTCATGTTGGGAGGACGTCCCAAGGCGCTGGACAATGTACAGCATTTCAGACCCGAGCTGGGGTCGGGTTGGGGGGCGGGGGGGAAGAGAAGGGAGGGGAGGGGGAGTGGCCGATGGCATGGTCGAAGAGGAGGGTCTTGAGGCGGGACTTGAAGGAGGCTAAGGAGGGGGCGAGGCGGAGTGATTGGGGGATGGAATTCCAGAGGTTGGGGGCAGAGTGGTTGATGGCTTTCCCGCCAATGGTGGGGCTGGGGACATGGAGCAGGCCAGAGCCGGCTGAGCAGAGGGAACGGGCGGGTTTGTAGGGGGTTAGGAGGTCGCAGGGGTAGGGTGGGGCGAGGCCATGGAGGGCTTTGTAGGTGAGGCCAGGATGTTGAACTGGATCCTCTGAAGGATAGGGAGCCAATGGAGTTGGGCGAGAATGGGGGAGATGGGGTCACGGAGTTTGGTGCGGGAGAGGACACGGGCTGCAGAGTTCTGGATTATCTGCAGCCTGTGGAGGGAGGAGTTGGGAATGCCGACAATCAGGATATTTGCATAGTCGAGCCTGGAGGTGATGAAGGCATGAACAAGAGTTTCAGCGGCCTGAGGGGTGAGGTAGTGCCGGAGTCGGGCGATGTTACGGAGGTGAGGGAAGGCAGAGCGGGTCATGGCTTGGATGTGGGGAAGAAATGACAGTTGAGGGTCAAACAAGACACCTTGGTTCCTGACTGGCTTGGAGGTTGATGCTGCCAGAGCCTGAGGTGCAGAGGCGCTGGTGCGAGCCAATCAGGAGGGCCTCAGTCTTGTTCACATGCAACTGTAGGAAATTTCCCCTCATCCAGGGGAAACTTCCATATGTATGTCTTCCACATACATATGGAAGTTGACCCCATGTCTGCGGATAATATCATCAAGGGGGAGCATGTAGATATTAAAGAGAGGGTCAAGGACAGAGCCCTGGGGGACACCAGACGTGACAGTGCGGGGGCTGGAGGAGAAACCGTTAGAGGCAACAACGTAGAGACTGTGAGAGATAGGAATCGAACCAGGCAAGGGCAGGTCCGCGAAGGTTAAGTAAAGAGGAGAGGCAGTGTATGAGGATGGAGTGGTTGACAAGTGTCGAAGGCGGCAGAGAGGTCGAGGAGGACGAGGCAGAGGGATGTTCACAGATGTTCAGAACGTCATTAGCGACTTTGACCAAGGCTGTTTCCGTGCTATGGGCAGCGCAGAAGCCGGATTGGAGGAGTTCAAAGAGGGAATGGCAAGAAAGAAAGGAGCGGAGCTGGGATGCGACGACTCGTTCCAGGACCTTGGAGAGGAATGGGAAGTTAGAGATGGGACGATAGCTGGAGAGGAGGGATGGGTCCAGGGAAGGTTTTTTCAAGATGGGGGTGATGACGGATATTTTTAGGGGGATGTGGAAACTGAACCGATGGAAAAGGAGAGGTTGATAACGTTGGACCGATGAGGGGCCAGAAAGTGGAGCTGGGAGACAAGGAGAGAGGTGGGGATGGGATCGAGGGTGCAGGTGGTGGGTTTGAGTTTGCGGACAGTTGTGGTGAGGGAGCAGGGAGAGAGAGGGTCGAAGGAGTATAGGGGGGGATGGGTGGGTCATGAGGGAGAGGCAATGTGGGGGTGGCAGTGGTCAGGACTGAGGTGGCTGAACGTATCCCCTCGACTTTGGGTTCGAGGAAGTCCAGCATCTCCTCACAGTTAGAGATTGAGGAGAGGATGGGCGAGGTATGGGAAGGTGGACGGAGGAGACGGTTTGTGGTGGAAAAGAGAAGCTGGGGGTTGTCCTTTGCCTCCAAGATAACCTTGGAGTAGAAGGAGGATTTGGCAGAGGCAAGAGTGCAGCAGTAGCTCTTGGTGTGGTGAAGCCAAATCTGCTGATGGACCATTAGTTTGGATTTGGTCCAGGCGCGTTCAGCAGCTCGCACTTGTGCCTTGAGGGAACGGGGATGGCTGGTGTACGAGGGGGATTTACGGGAGAATACACTGTAAAGTGAATTGACTGTGTATTTTGTGGGTGAAATGCGCTAGCCCAACACCATCACTTCACAGGACACTAGTGTTAGCAATAGTGATTGTATTTGCAGATAACTGAGGCAGCTGAATTGCACACAACAACATCCCATTAGCCCTGAAGTGAGTGACCAATTGTATCTATGAGATTGTCAGACAAGACAGCGATAGAGAAACTGCTTTCTCTTTTCGAATAGTGTTGTGGTACCCAGAATGGCTCGGTTTAACATTCACCCAAATGACGGCACCTACAGTAATGCAACAACCCGCAGCACTGCACTATCGTCAACATGTACTGTGAGCTCAAAGCCCCCCCACCCCCCCCCGTCCGTCCCACAACTTCCGACTCAGCGGCAAGAGCAGTACCAACCGTGCCGGGCTGGTGAACAAGCGAACGGCTTTATGGAAACACAGGTTGACGGTGACGATGTCTGTCTATCATGGAGTTGGAACACATTGTGTGCAGAGTAGGGAGAGTGTGTGCTGTTTGCTTGAGAGAGTTCACGTACCTTTGCAATGCACAGCGATAGCCCCGTCTGTATTCTCACATATGCTCAAAAACCTTTTCACTATAGAGTCACTCGGTGTGCTTCCATCAATAAAAAATAGGTCATAGTGTTCGAACCCTGCGTCTAAGAAGCGTTTAGCATCGTAAATCTTCTTGTTTAGCCGGATGATCGTGGTGACACCGTGCTTCCTGAAATAGGGAAAATAGGCCTCGGGCGCGTGGAGAGGGTAACCTGTGGGGTGTAATGCTGAAAATCAATCACATGTATACCGTGGGCTCCTCTGCGCCCCCCCGCACGCCAAGCACGCGCCGCCCCCACACACGCCAAGCACGCGCCGCCCCTCCGCACGCCAAGCACGCGCCGCCCCCACATACGCCAAGCAAGCGCCGCCCCCACATACGCCAAGCAAGCGCCGCCCCCCCACACGCCAAGCTCGCGCCACCCCCCACACGCCAAGCACGCGCCGTCCCCACACACGCCAAGCAAGCGCCGCCCCCACACACGCCAAGCAAGCGCCGCCCCCACACACGCCAAGCAAGCGCCGCCCCCACACACGCCAAGCAAGCGCCGCCCCCACACACGCCAAGCACGCGCCGCCCCCCACACGCCAAGCTCGCGCCAGCTCCCACACACCATGCTCGCGCCACCCCCCACACACCAAGCACGCGCCGCCCCCACACACGCGCCGCCCCCCACATGCCAAGCACGCGCCGCCCCCAGACATGCCAAGCACGCTCCGCCCCCCACACGCCAAGCTGTTTCAACGACAAAGTGAAAATATTTAAATAAAAAAGATCAAAAGGATTTGTATTGCAATAATTAACAGATATCTACTATGTATATACGTATATATATATCAAAAAATAAATTCTGTGTGCAATTGGCTGCCATGTTTCTCCCGCAAATATACAGTCAAATCACTTTACAGTCTGTTCTGTGATGCGCTTTGAGACGTCTCAAAGACGTGGTAAGTGCTATATCAAATGCAAAGATTATTATTATTATAACACTGACACACACTGCCCCCTTGTAGCTAACAACAGGAACTGCAGTAGTACATCTGCCTCTGACATAAAGCTGTACAGTAAAACTCACTTAAGTCATTATCCATCGGAACTGTAACATATCTTACGCAAAATCTGAATTGCAGACAAACTGTACAAATCGTATAAAATCCGATTTAATCAATAAACTCCACTGCGCATGCGTGATTCAATGCAGATTTACGCGATTATACGATTGATAAAGATAAGAATTTTATGAGTTTTACTGTATATAATAATTCTTTCATTTGAAATAAACGTTATCGCGTTGTTGAGATGCCTCAAAGAGCTTCACAGAATATACTGTAATGTGGATTAAATTGTGTGTGGTCGAAACTCGGCAGCCAGTTGCGCACAAACAGCCAAGGAGTGAATGATCAATTTTATCTGGGGTATTGCTGGCCAGGGCATCGGGAGCGAGAGAGAAATTTCCTTCTCTTTTCGAATAGCGCCGCGGGATCTTTAACGTCCATCTGATTCGGCAGATGGGGAGTTTGGTTTAACGTCTCATCCGACAATGCTACCACTGAGCCACACTGACACACCTTAAACTCTATACTGCATATATTCTACATACACTAAACTACACATTACATGTAATATATATATATATTCTTAACTATTTATTATACACACACAATTATTAAATATTACACAACATATATACATAATATTTATGTATACAATGTACGTGACATTGAGCTGGATAATATATAGATTACAGCAGGAATCTTACAAAGTGCTTCAAATTCTCACCATTGTCAATTTTGCTTTTGGGATGTGGCCCACTGAATGCCAGGAACTTCTTTGGGATGATCCAGTTAAAATCTCCATTCTCCACCCGCTGCAGAAACCAATCATAATAATACCAATCCTTACACCCGACACCTGTAAAGTGCTGTAACTGTGTGTTTTAGGCAAACTCATTCACTGGCTGCCCCATCCATTTGTTCGCTGTCCACCCCATAGGAGAGTGACCAAGGCAGCGGCGGAGAGTAATAATAATAATAATTCTTGCATTTGATACAGCTCCTCATCGCGTCTTCGAGACATCTCAAAGCGCTTCACGGAATATATTGTAAAGTGAATTGACTGTACATTTTGTGGGTGAAACATGGCAGACAATTGCGCACAGCAGTGTCCCACAAACAGTCGTGGATTGAGTGACCAATATTTTTCCGAAGGGATTATTACCTAAGGAAAGTGATTTGCCAATCGACTAACAACTGGGTTCCTACTTACTGCTGGGTAAACAGAGGTGTGTGGAGTAAGGCAATTTAAATGCGTAAGATTTCGCCCTGCCTGAGAATCGAGCCTAAGTCCTCTCGCTTGCGAGGCGAGAGCTCTAACCACTGCATTACAGCACTGAGTCCGTGGCGGAGAGGGACCAGGAAAGCTGCTGAGAGGGAGGGAGGGAAGAATCCTGACATTTTAAGAAATTTATTTCACAAGAAATATTGCCTAATTTTCATGGCGCTATCCATATTAGTCTAGATTATGATTGACATCAATAATGTGAATGAACCAACAACAACTTGCATATATATATTATATATATCTATATCTATGTGTGTGTAGTGCCCTTCACGAGGGGCACTATCTGAGTGCTTGAGTGCAGGGCGAACTTGCCTCATAATGCTCGTATTCGTCCACGTCAAAAGATTCATAATCCAGAAAGCTGTGCTGCAGAGCCTGAGATAACACACACATTAAATAGCAGGCAGCCTCCAGCCTCAGAGACAATCACATCAAGTATCAAGCAAGCATAAGGGCGACAGAGCAGCGCTGGCGTTGGCCTGTACAATACCACCCCCCCAACCCCTCCTCGCCCCCACTGCACACAGACAGGAAGATACTCACTGCCACTTTGTCACAGAGACAAAGGATTAGCTACTCACATATAAACAAGGCCACATTGTTATGTGACTGGTACATGTGTGTGAGGGTTGGGTGGGGGGGTGGGGTGCGTGAGGGGGCAGGGGGAAGAGAGCCTGGGGAGGGGGTGGAAGAGTCGCCAGGGTTGGGGGGCGACGGTGCTGGAGGCCCCTCACCTTGTTGATGCCATGTAAACAGTCGAGGATGGTCAGGTTGTAGGTACAGTTTCCGAAGGAGGCGTCCCTGCCAAACAAAAAAATGAGATGACGACATTCTGCCAAGCTCGTCCCTCACACTCTCACCCGAGAGGCTGTGGGTTCCAGCCTCAAATCAGGCCTCTGAGCTCACAGTCCAGGCTGTCGCTCCAGAGCAGTGCTGTGGGAGCGCTACATTGTCGTAGATGCCGGCCTTCGGATGATACGTTAAACTGAGTCCCGCCCGCCTCTTCAGGCGGATGTTAGAGATCCCGCGGCACTACTTGAAAAGAGAAGGGAGTTTCTCTTTCCCAGTGTCAATAGCCAACAATCCCCCAAATAAAATTGGTCGCTCACGCCATAGCTGTTTGTGGGACGTTGCTGTGCGCAAATTGCCTGCCATGTTCACCTATAAAATCCATAGTAATTCCACAGTCTATCCTATGAAGTGATTTCAGATGTTCCGAGGATGTGACAAAAAACAAGCATTTTTAAAATCTCATTATTTCACCGTATTGTAACCAGAATCAATCTTGCCACGAGTGGGAAGGTCTATGACTGCGAGGAAAGCCAGATTGCTGTGTGGGAGTGTTTGCATGTATGTGTGTGTGTGTGTGTGGGGGGGGGGGGGGGGGCGTGTACATGTGCGTGTTTGTCGGTGTGTGGAGGGGTACTTCTCACATTGGTGAGAGGGAACGGGTTGGGATCTAACTCTCTCTCTCCACTTTTCATATACAGTCTATATGACTAATATAGACTGTATATGAAACTTCATATACAGTCTTGTCGTTGGCCTAATAGTTGCCCTTCAACCCACAACCTTAATTTTTTCCTTAATCGACTTAATTTCCCCATCAACCAATTGGGAATATTTCTGTTTAATTGTCTCCAGCCTCAGTCACAGCTTTCAAACCTCCAGAGCACTTGCCGAGATGTGAACATTCACCAGGAGATATTTCTGTATGTTATGTCTGTAGAAGCATGTTTGTGAAATGCACAGAAATGTGCAACAGCGATTGTACGCATGATAGTGCAGTCCCCCCGACATGCACGCACGGCCCCCTGACACGCACACGCGCAAACACAGGCCCCCGACTCGCACACAGGCCCCCGACCCGCCGACACACAAACACACCCCCCTACACACACACAGCCCCGTCCAGACACATACACACAGATCCCTCCTACGCACACAGCACCTCCCAGACACAGGCACGTAGCACCCCCCCTTCCCACCCCCACACACGCACACACACACAGCAGGAGCTGAGTGACCCCGTGTGCGAGACAGCATAGAATTGGTTTGGACAGGCCAAACTGGTGTCCCCAATTAACAGACGGGCCAGCTGTCAGCGACAATTACGCTGCCCTCGTCACAAACACCACTTCTTTATGAGCACAACTTTGTGAGCAGCAAAAACCATAAAGGAAAATAACATAATTATTTCCTGACCTGAATATTTCCCACTGAATATTGGTTCCCACTGTGTGAGGTGACAAAAACCAGGACTGTCCAGGCTGTCCAGCTCTGCTCCTCCCTAACACCAGCTGCAGACTATCCAAAACTCTGCACCAGGCTCCACGATCCTATTGTCGTCACCCCTCAAGCCACTGACCTCACCTCTCATGCCACTGACTTCACCCCTCATGCCACTGACCTCACCCCGCTGCAGGTCCTCACAGTCAGCTCAAGTCACAACTTTCTGACACAGGTGGACGTCACATCCAGAGACGGCGCTCATCACGAGTCTCGCCACGTCTCTGCTCACTGGCGAGTTCCAATTAGTCTCTGAAAATCTCTCACTTGATTTAACCTTCATAGATATTATTAGCCTGAACTCCCTGGACTCACTCAGTTACAATCCAAGCTTCCTTTCCACCTGTGTCTTGTTCAACATCTCCCGAAATATGTACCTATAATATACTGTGTCCCAATGTCTCCTCCTGACGTGGAAAGTGCGTGTGAGGTGAAACGTGCACAAGCCTTGAGATCCAAGATACCCAGGTAAAAGACATCTGTATTAGCCTATAAAATACACAGTCACTACATTGCACAGTGAATCCTGTGAAGCATCAGGACATTCTACCAATGTGAGTCCAAGTGGGTGAACACGTTCTTATATCCAGCACCTGGAATCCACCTTTCCAGGTGTGTGAGAGGTAAGCAGGTTCTGCTCAAGCTCTTGCACCTCCAACTGGTGGAACCATCGCTCCATGGGAAGGAACGTGTGTCTGGGCTGTGGGTAGGAGATGGTGGCAACACTGAGCTGTTCTGCTCTCACACTGTCTCACACTCAGCCTCAAGCTTCTTGTAACACATGGTGCTGACATGGCCTGGAGCAAGGTGCGAGGTACCTGAACGGCAGATATGGGGGATTCTTGCCAGCGACCAGCGAACGGTACGCTTCCTCTGGGGATTTCTTCAGGAAAATAACCTTTTGGGGAAAAGAGAGAAATCAGTTTAATTTACAATTAGCGAGTCCAGCAACGCTGTGACAGAAGCCGAGCCAGCAAAGATACAGGCATCAGCTGGCCCCTAAACCCCACCCCTATCCGCCTGGGCACTCAGATCCTGACATAACGGTCAATACATTTTGCAGATGAGGGACCAGGGAGGGGGTAATGTGGGGGTAAAGGGCGAGGGGGCAATGTGGGGGTAAAGGGCGAGGGGGCAATGTGGGGGTAATTGGCGAGTGTGTAATGTGGGGGTGGGGGTGCAATGCGGGGGTGGGGGTGTAATGCTGGGGTAAAAGACCAGGGGGCAATGTGTGGTGGGTGGGGGGGGGGGGGGGGCAGTATGACAATAACAGGAAGATGGAGGGAAACTCCTCCCTGAATGATTTCGGGAATAAAGTTTTGGATTTGTGGTATTTTGAGATGTGGGTAACACACCAGGTTCACAAATACTAAACAGTGCAAAACACTCGGCCTGGGGGCAGAGTAAATAGTTACAGCCACGAACGATAGATAGCCGTCTGACATCGCGCGAACTGCTTATCTACAGATTAAATATTTTCACAGATGGAAAATAAATATAAAAATAGACGAACAATATATCATCCGGCTCCGGCTTCATGTTTCACATCCAACTAATGAAATATTTACAGCAGCAATGGTGTGCTTTCCTGGCTGGGTCACATCACTAATGGTTGGGGGGGGGGCGAGTGTGGAGAGAAGAGTGTTGGTGGGCAAGGGAGGCTGGGGGGAGGGCGCTCGCTCTGTGCTGGTGCTCACTCCCGCACTGGAGCTCTCTACTCTAACCCCATTCCCTGCTCTTTATTCAAACCCTGTAAGAGTTTCATTCTCCAAGCATTTATTGAGTTTTTAAATGTTGGATTGATTCAGCTCTGACACCTCTGTGCAACGACACTATTTTGCTCCTAGTATTTTATCAGCACAAAAAATGTTTAAAGAGTTTGAGGCAATAAAGTAAGTTGACCCAACTCCAAGGCCGATTGTTCCTATAACAACAATGTCCAACAGTACTGGGCAAATTATGGAAGTGAATTAATCGGAATCTGATTCTCAGCTCTCCCTTCCTCCACCATCCCCATCCCTCACTCTGGCACCAAATATACCACTCATTGCCCGGAATTGACAGTGAGCAAAAAATGCTGTTCCCAGCGTATAAAGTGTGTGGCTGGAAACAAGAGTCAGACCTACAGGCAAAGCTGCAAAACTTTACAATAGACAGTAAAAAGGTAAAAGACTGAAATCGGAGACAAGTGAAAGTGGAGCCGAGACAAGGAGCTGGGAAAGTCTTTCGTGGCCTGTGCTCCAACTCATCTCTAGTCAGACTCGAGATTGTATCAGCTTCTGGTGGGCAGAGCTGAAAGGCTTTTGTGTGGAAGGTTTATGAGCAGTGAAAGGAAAGCTTTGTGTATGAAGCAATACACAATATAACAAGACGCCACTAAAACTTTTTGAATGACTGGGGAAAAGAATGGCTAAGTGGAACACTGAGCCACACAGACCAGGACAGGCTCACACTCCTTCCCCACAGCTAGTCGTACCGGGCTACAGTGACCACACTGTCTCCTCAGTTACCTAGAAAGCAGGACAAGGCTGACATGTTCACACGACCTCAAGAGAAACCCTCAGGTAGAGAGGACTGGGCAAAGCTGTGACAAAACCCAAATCACCAATTACTACAGCTGAGGAAGTGTTGGGTTATCAAATGCAAAGATTAATACTGTTAATGATTTCTCTCTAAAAACATCAAACGTAGTTCCTCAAAATACCCATCTGTTATGAAGCACCGATCACTTACAGCGTAGGCACCGATCAGGAAGGCCGCGTTGGCTCGCTTCTTCTGGTCAAAGCTGGTGTAGTGCACAATCTTCTTTCTTGATAAAGTAAATGACTAGGAAATAAAAACAAATTACAAGTCAACCACAACAACTGATTGAGACTAGCGGAGGGAGGAGGGTGAAGTAGAAGGGGGAGCATTTTCAGGGCGAGGTGCTCGGGCCGGGGCACACCCACAGAGCCCACCCCGCACCCACAGAGCCCCCCCCCGCACCCACAGAGCCCCACCTGCACCCACAGAGCCCCCCACTACACCCACAGAGCCCCCCTCACACCCACAGAGCACCCGCCACCCCCACAGAGCACCCGCCACACCCACAGAGCACCTGCCACACCCACAGAGCACCTGCCACACCCACAGAGCACCCCCGCACACCCACAGACCATTATTATTATTAGTTCCCTCCCACACAGGGAGTGATTTTATTGACCTAATCCCCACTGTAATGGGCATGTTCGCAGTTACAATAAAAGGTTTAAAGAACTGGAGTTGTTTTTATCGGAATTGAGAGCGGATCACATAATCAGGGGTAAATCGGCAACCAGAGGGCATGAACTCAGTCAGTGCTTCAAGCATAAAGTGGGAGATTACAGACATTCTTTTTTAGGGTTAATGCTGATGGAATGTGTTACCAAAAGTAGGTTATTGAATGAAAGTATGACATTTAAATTGGATACTAGAAGAATGATATGCTGGTGAGAGAGCAGGGAATCGGATTAAAGTAGAGAGCTCCAGTGGGGGAGTGAGCACCAGCACAGACACGATGGGGAGAGAGCAGGGAATGGGGTTAGAGTAGAGAGCTCCAGTGGGGAGTGAGCACCAGCACAGACACGATGGGGAGAGAGCAGGGAATGGGATTAGAGTAGAGAGCTCCAGTGGGGGAGCGAGCACCAGCACAGACACGATGGGGAGAGAGCACCAGCAGGGATGAAATAGCCTCCATCTGTGATTGAATAGAAAATGTTTTTAATCTGCTGAGAGATTATTGTGTGTGGATTAGTGGAGAGAGAGGATGAGGCAGGAAGAGATTTTATACCGCTTCTTGTCACTACATTCTGCACTGACTGCATTTATGAAGGTCAGACGTATTAAACCTGTAACCCATTATTCTACATTAAATACAATCTAAAAATAAGATAATTCACCATAAATCAGGCATTGTCTGTGGAGAACAGTCAGTCTCCAAAGCCAGGCGCCAGGATGGCCACACACTCACACACAGACTCACCCACGGCCACACACACACACACACACACCCCCGGCCACACACACACACTCACCCCCAGCCACACACACACACACAGACTCACCCCCGGCCACACACACACACACACACACACACACACACACTCAACCCCGGCCACACAATACACACACACACACACACCCCTGGCCACACACACACACACACACCCCTGGCCACACACACCCCTGGCCACACACACACACACACACACACACACACACGAGACTCATCCTCGGCCACACATACACACTCACCCTCGGCCACACATATACACACACACACACCCCCAGCCACACCTGCGCGCCCACAAGCGCCTGCGGCCACGCCCGCGCACCACACCCATGCACCCGCGGCCACACACGCACGCCCACGGCCACGCGCGCACGCCCGTGGCCGCACATGCGCGCCCTCCTCTCACCCACATTAACAGATGACACTGAATTCCTGCCCCCGTCACAATATCCTTCTCTCCCGAGTGATTCTCACTTTAAGGAAAGAAATGTAGAGGACGAAACTGGCATCAAATCCAACAGGGATACAATCACAACCTGCCTCGCCGCTCATTCTCCATGTCCACTAATTCACACAACACATTCAGTGCTTTCAGCAGATTAAATCATGTTATAGTAAATCTAACAGAAATTAGCTCAGAGTGTAAAGGGTTCACTTGTGCATCACTGATCAATGTTTAGGACAATGTGATACGACAAACTTCCAAAAGCCATTTGACAAAGAAACAGAAGAGACATCTTTACAAACCGATGTTGAGGCAGAGACCTGATCAGCCAAAGGCAAGAATGGAGTTTGGTGTCACATTGCTGTTCCTCTTTTACACGAGGGAACTTTTATTTTTTTCCTCAGTCGGCTGTTTGGTTTGGAGACTAAGCACGACAATGGGTTTTCATGTGTGTCAGACACACGGCGGAGACATTCCCCGTGTCTGGAATCGCGTGTCCCGGAGGGATATTCAGGCTCAGGCTGGGAAGAGCCGAGACTTGGAGACCCCAGAGGATACATTGGGGTGATTTGTTAAAAAAATCCTTGCATTTGGTATAAGCACCTTTTACATCAGGAGAAACTCTCAAAGCACTTCAAGTGATTCACTGTAAAGTGTAGTTAGTGACTATTTAAAGGCAAAATTGGTATCAATTTTGGAGTTTCACTTCATTGACGTTTGCAGGTCACTGATGTGTGCTGATTCACCCACAAATTATCGTCACTCCATTTACAGACCGTGAAGCACATTGAGACAGTCCCCTGACGTTATATCAAATGCAAGGATTACTATTTGGACATAGCAATGTCCCTAAGCCATGAAATGAATTGTATCCAGGCAATTGTTGGCCAGGACACCAGGACAAATTCCCTTTACCTAGCTCAAAACAAGCAACTTCCAATTGCAAATATTGCCTGGCAAGCTTTCCCACTGCTTGTCCAGCCAGAACCATGCTATCCGCTGGGACTTTGGCTCGCAGGGTTAACTGGTGCCGAGTAGGAAACATTTCAGCCCTGGTGACTGGTGTGTTCTTCTAACTCTTGCTAACCAGCCACGGGGGTCCATCACTGCGCTTGGGGTAATAATAATTTTAAAAATGTAATTTGTTGTTGTTGAGGTACTGCACATCTTCTTGGATCAGGAACTGGGTTCATTGAACATTCATGACCTGGATCTGTACCTGGACCTGGTAGCTAAACTTTCTGGTGACTGGATAGGAAAAACAGCGCTGACATGCTGCAGCCAGTGTTGTGTTTGGAATAACTGCTGTGGCCAAACCTCCAGTGATGAGACAAACAAACTGGCCAATTGCTCACGGCCTTCACTGCACAACCTGAGAGATTGTAACGTGTACAGTGAACCGCGTAAGTGCACCACAATAAATCACACCCACAATAGGTCAAAGCTTCACAGGTTAATTATTAGCAACAACGTTCCCTTCTTCAAAGTAAGTAAAATAATCCATAATAGTGGCAGCATCTCCACAGTAACACTTAATCCAAACACAGACACACCCGCTCCCCCAGCGAGACATTGTGTATAGACACACACTCGCAGATAGATACCCACACACACACACACACACACAGAAACACATACACACACAGACAGAAACACACACATACACAGAAACACACACAGATGCACACAAAGACAGAAAGCCATTCACACACAAGCCCAGGGATGCCTTGCCGGCAGTAACTGGATTGCAAGTAAAGACGTCACGACTTGTTCAGATTAATCCAAAAAGAATCCGCTATAAACCCAAAGCAGCCGGCAGGACAGTGGCCGGGGTTCGAGTTAGGGCTGGGGTCGAGCACAGAGCAGCCTCTCCCAGTGTGGAGGGAATTGCCAACAATAATAATCCTTGCATTTGATAAAGTGCCTTATCATGTCTGTCTCAAAGCGTTTCACAGAATATACTGTAAAGTGAATTGTCTGTATATTTTGGGGGTGAAACATGGCAGCCAATTATGCACAGCAGTGCGCACAGTCGTGGATTGAGTGACCAATATAATTGTTTTTAATAAAGGGATTATTATTCCCAGAAAAGCGACCCTCCAATCGATTAACAACTGGATTCCCACCTACTGCTAGATAAACAAGGTGTGTAAAGTAAGGATACTTGTCCAAGGTTTCTCCCATCCATGAATCACCTCAGGTGCTGGCAGCATCAGCCTCCACGGCTGCACACTCAACCTCACTAAGCCAGTCAGGAACCTGGGTATCTTGTTCGACCCTGAACTGTCCTTTCTCCCACACATCCGCACCATGACCGGCACTGCCTACCACCACCTCCGCAACATTGCCAGACTCTGCCACTTCCTCACCCCTCAGGCTACCGAAATCCTCACCCACGCATTCGTCACATCAAGGCTCGAATACGGGAACTCTCTCCTCATCGGCCTTCCCAACCCTTCCCTTCACAAGCTGCAGATCATCCAAAACTCTGCAGCTCGTGTACTCTCACGCACCAGGCTCCGCGACCCCATCACTCCCACCCTCGCCCGACTCCACTGGCTCCCCATCCCCAGAGGATCGAATTCAAGATCCTCGTCCTCACTTTCAAGGCCATCCATGGCCTTGCCCCCTCCTACCTCTCTGACCTACCAACCTGCCCGCTCCCTCCGTTCAGCGGGCTCCGAGTCCGCTCCATGACTCCCGCCCGACCCGCCCTACATTCGGTGGCCGGGCTTTCAGCCTTTCTGCCCCCACAATCTGGAACTCCATCTCATGGTCCCTTCACCTCGCTTTCTCCCTTGCCTCCTTCAAGGCCGGTCTCAAGACCCTTCTCTTCGATTGTGCCTTCGGTCGCCCTCCCACCTCTCTGCCTTCCCTCACCCCTATACCATCCCTCCCCCATGCTCGGGCCCCGACACCTGACTGTTCAGCGCTTTGGGACGTCCTCCCAACGTAAAAGGCGCTCTACAAAGGTAATTTTGTTGTTGTTGTTGAATCAAACCCAGGTCCTTTTGCTTGCGTGATGGGCATGCTAACCACTACGCAACATTTCCATCTCAGTCTCCTACTCTAGCAGCTGAGTTTTTATTACTTCTGAAAATCTTGTTTCAATCATGCAACCCCAAAACTCAGACATTTTAATAACACAACCTCACCCAGCGGCAGTTTCATTAAAAGTCAAAATAAAGAATTAAAAAAATCTGAGTGCCTATTGTGAGCAGCACCCAGGAGTCAGCCTGTTTCGCTGTGTCCCACAGCCTCAGCCACTCAGCAACATAATACCATGTAACGGCTTTTGCCACAGATTACAGTCCTCCGATGAGAACATCCCCATAAGGAGGTCAGTGTCTGACTGAGGTAATTGGTTATCAGCTCAGGGTCAGTGATGAGGGAACGAAAACATATATAGCCCAGAGTGTAGCAAATAGTCCAGAGCGTGGGCAGAACGGGGAGAGCATGGAATCTGGGCAAGTTGTGTGCAAGTCACAAGAGACAATTGTAAATGTGTAATTGACTTAGGGGTGACTACCTCTGGAGTATGTGTGCCATTCTCTCCTATTTCACGAAGATATTTAGTTATTGCCCCTGACAGTGAATGACTGAGTTCATTGCAGATTTCGGCAGCAGTACAATGAGGAAAGATTCCCTCCCGGAAAGAGACGATCCAGAGGGTCAATAATAATCTTTCCTTTTGATTCAACATATTATTATGTCTTCAAAGCATCTCAAAGAGCTTCACTGGATTTTTACTGTAAAGTCCAGGGACGGTTTGTGTAGGGGAACGAGGCAGCCAATTTGGCACACAACAACATCCCACAGACCCATAAAGGGAATGACCAATTTTGTCTGGATGATTGTTGGCCAGGAAACAGGGAGATGCTCCCTTAATAGAAGTGTTTAAAATGATGAAAGGGAGACAGTACTACAACAACAACAACAAATTACATTTACACAGAGCCTTTCACATCAAGAGGATGTCCCAAGGTGCTGGACAATCAGGGATTTGGACCCAAGGGTTTGGCTCAAGAGGAGTTGAGGGCAGGGAGGGTAAAAACGTATAAGTTTGTTTTGCTGCCTTCAAAGATTTAAAACCCAAAACAAGAAAAGCAAATAGGAATCGCAGGAATAGGTTAGTAAAAGGCAGTGAGCAGGAAAGTCTCAAAATTTCCCAGACAAGTTCCTAATTGCGTCATTGGCTGATGAGAGTTGTTGGAGAGAATTTTTAGGGCGGCTGAAGGGAGGCACTCACTGCTCTGTATAATAATCCTTGCATTTGTTATAGTGTCTTATTGTGTCTTCAAGACATCTCAAAGCGCTTCACAGAATATACTGTAAAGTGCACTGATTGTATATTTTATGAGCAAAACAGGGCAGCCAATTGCACACAGCAACGTCCTACAAACAGTCATGGATTGAGTGAACAAATTATTATTTATTTTTTTATTTATTTTGAAGGGATTATTACCCCCAGAAAGCGATCTTCCAATCGACTAACAACCAGCTTCCAACTCACTGCTAGGTAGTAGGAGTGTGAAGTAAGGAAACATGCCCAACGTTTCACCCTGCCCAGGAATCAAACCCAAATCCTCTTGTTTGTGAGACGAGTGCTCTAACCACGACACTACAGTTCTCCACATAGTGTTACATTTACAGTATTTTCTCTAGTGAACTTACTTTTAATTTCTTGTTGAGTTTGCAGCCGTACCGATAGAGCATTGCCAAGTTGAGTGGTCCAAAATCTGCATAGAAACTGCAGACAAGTTAATGTTAGCGTTTATTTAATATACATGTAATATCCATCAGTCAATAATAATTATTAATATCCATCAATCAGAGAAACACAGAAAACCCGCTCCAACACACTTACTTTTCATAAACAAACTCATCGTCGGTGCAGAAGTAGTGTGTGTTCACCGTGCTTTTGGGCTTGTTTCTCAGAGTTGCGAAATATAATCGATCTGCAGATAAAACATCAATGAATCAATCAATCAATGACAGTGATTATTGACGGGAGTGTTGGGGGGGGGAAGTGGTCACTGACCTGTGATAAACTCCGAAGCGCTGATCAGCTCCTGGTCTCCGGCCATTTTAAAGAAGGAGCGAAACGGAGACGGTAACAGAGACATGAGCCAGGCTAAGAGACCCCAAAGCCCGTCTGGCCACAGCTCCCTCCCCTCTACCTGCACTCCTCTCTCTTCCTCTCTGTCTGTCTGTGTGTCTCTCTCACTGACTATCTACCGCTCTCTGTCACTGTATGTGTGTGTCTCTCTGTCACCCTGTCATCCTGTTTCTCTCCCTCACACACTCTTTCTTTGAGTGTCCTACTGTGTCTCTCACACACTCCCTCTCTCATACACTTCCTCTATCTGTCTCTCTCACTCACACACACACACACACCCTCTCAGTCTCTCACACACTCTCTATGTCTCACACATAGAATGTCTCACACTCTTTGTGTGTCTCACACACTCACTCTCACACACTCCTTCTGTCTCTCACACATTCTCTCTGTCTCTCACACACTCCCTCTCTTTCTGTCTCTCACCCGGTCTCTGTGTCTCTCACACACTCTCTCTCTCTGTGTCTCTCTCACACTCCCTCTCTCTGTGTCTCACACACTCCCTCTCTCTGTGCCTCTCTCACACACTCCCTCTCTCTGTCTCTCTCACACTCCCTCTCTGTGTCTCACACACTCCCTCTCTGTGTCTCAAACACTCCCTCTCTCTGTGCCTCTCTCACACACTCCCTCTCTCTGTGCCTCTCGCACACTCTCTCTGTGCCTCTCTCACTCTCCTTCTGTGTCTCTCTCACACACTCCCTCTCTCTCACACATTCCCTCTCTCTGTCTCTCTCTCACACACTCCCTCTCTCTGTGTCTCTCTCACACACTCCCTCTCTGTGTGTCTCTCTCACACACTCCCTCTCTGTGTCTCTCTCACACACTCCCTCTCTCTCTGTGTCTCTCTCACACACTCCCTCTCTCTGTGTCTCTCTCACACACTCCCTCTGAGTCTCTCACACACACTCCCTCTCTCTGTGTCTCTCACACACACTCCCTCTCTCTGTGTCTCTCTCACACACTCCCACTCTCTGAGTCTCTCTCACACACTCCCTCTCTCCCTCTCACACATTCCCTCTCTCTGTCTCTCACACACACTCCCTCTCTCTGAGTCTCTCACACACTCCACTCCGTCTCTCTATGTCTCTCTCACACACTCCTCTCTCTCTGTGTCTCTCTCACACACTCCACTCCCTCTCTCTGTGACCGTCTCAGTTTCTGTCTGAGTGGGACCCGCGTCACATGGCGGCCACACACCAATCAGATCAGGGCTGCCATTACCCTGGCAACCCCCCGACTCTCACCGGGGGCCAGGAACACAGTCACCAACACCGCCAGGGCCCCCCCACACAGTCACCAACACCGCCAGGGCCCCCGAACACAGTCACCAACACCGCCAGGGCCCCCCACACAGTCACCAACACCGCCAGGGCCCCCGAACACAGTCACCAACACCGCCAGGGCCCCCGAACACAGTCACCAACACCGCCAGGGCCCCGAACACAGTCACCAACACCGCCAGGGCCCCCGAACACAGTCACCAACACCGCCAGGGCCCCGACACACAGTCACCAACACCGCCAGGGCCCCCGAACACAGTCACCAACACCGCCAGGGCCCCCGAACACAGTCACCAACACCGCCAGGGCCCCCAACACAGTCACCAACACCGCCAGGGCCCCCCAACACAGTCACCAACACCGCCAGGGCCCCCCAACACAGTCACCAACACCGCCAGGGCCCCCCCACACAGTCACCAACACCGCCAGGGCACACAGTCACCAACACCGCCAGGGCCCCCCCACACAGTCACCAACACCGCCAGGGCCCCCCAACACAGTCACCAACACCGCCAGGGCCCCCGACACACAGTCACCAACACCGCCAGGGCCCCCCACACAGTCACCAACACCGCCAGGGCCCCCCACACAGTCACCAACACCGCCAGGGCCCCCGAACACAGTCACCAACACCGCCAGGGCCCCCGAACACAGTCACCAACACCGCCCCCCGACACAGTCACCAACACCGCCAGGGCCCCCGACACAGTCACCAACACCGCCAGGGCCCCCGACACACAGTCACCAACACCGCCAGGGCCCCCAAACACAGTCACCAACACCGCCAGGGCCCCCCAACACAGTCACCAACACCGCCAGGGCCCCCAACACAGTCACCAACACCGCCAGGGCCCCCCCACACAGTCACCAACACCGCCAGGGCCCCCGAACACAGTCACCAACACCGCCAGGGCCCCCCAACACAGTCACCAACACCGCCAGGGCCCCCGAACACAGTCACCAACACCGCCAGGGCCCCCGAACACAGTCACCAACACCGCCAGGGCCCCCAACACAGTCACCAACACCGCCAGGGCCCCCGAACACAGTCACCAACACCGCCAGGGCCCCCGAACACAGTCACCAACACCGCCAGGCCCCCGAACACAGTCACCAACACCGCCAGGGCCCCCGAACACAGTCACCAACACCGCCAGGGCCCCCGAACACAGTCACCAACACCGCCAGGGCCCCCCAACACAGTCACCAACACCGCCAGGGCCCCCGAACACAGTCACCAACACCGCCAGGGCCCCGAACACAGTCACCAACACCGCCAGGGCCCCCGAACACAGTCACCAACACCGCCAGGGGCCCCCGAACACAGTCACCAACACCGCCAGGGCCCCCGAACACAGTCACCAACACCGCCAGGGCCCCCGAACACAGTCACCAACACCGCCAGGGCCCCCCCACACAGTCACCAACACCGCCAGGGCCCCCGAACACAGTCACCAACACCGCCAGGCCCCCGAACACAGTCACCAACACCGCCAGGGCCCCCGAACACAGTCACCAACACCGCCAGGGCCCCCAAACACAGTCACCAACACCGCCAGGGCCCCGAACACAGTCACCAACACCGCCAGGGCCCCCCAACACAGTCACCAACACCGCCAGGGCCCCCCAACACAGTCACCAACACCGCCAGGGCCCCCCAACACAGTCACCAACACCGCCAGGGCCCCCGAACACAGTCACCAACACCGCCAGGGCCCCCGAACACAGTCACCAACACCGCCAGGGCCCCCAAACACAGTCACCAACACCGCCAGGGCCCCCGAACACAGTCACCAACACCGCCAGGGCCCCCGAACACAGTCACCAACACCGCCAGGGCCCCCGAACACAGTCACCAACACCGCCAGGGCCCCCAAACACAGTCACCAACACCGCCAGGGCCCCCGAACACAGTCACCAACACCGCCAGGGCCCCCGAACACAGTCACCAACACCGCCAGGGCCCCCAAACACAGTCACCAACACCGCCAGGGCCCCCGACACACAGTCACCAACACCGCCAGGGCCCCCGAACACAGTCACCAACACCGCCAGGGCCCCCGAACACAGTCACCAACACCGCCAGGGCCCCCCAACACAGTCACCAACACCGCCAGGGCCCCTGAACACAGTCACCAACACCGCCAGGGCCCCGAACACAGTCACCAACACCGCCAGGGCCCCCGAACACAGTCACCAACACCGCCAGGGCCCCCGAACACAGTCACCAACACCGCCAGGGCCCCCGAACACAGTCACCAACACCGCCAGGGCCCCCGAACACAGTCACCAACACCGCCAGGGCCCCCCCACACAGTCACCAACACCGCCAGGGCCCCCGAACACAGTCACCAACACCGCCAGGGCCCCCGAACACAGTCACCAACACCGCCAGGGCCCCCGAACACAGTCACCAACACCGCCAGGGCCCCCGAACACAGTCACCAACACCGCCAGGGCCCCCGAACACAGTCACCAACACCGCCAGTGGCTCAGGCTCATCCCTGTACTATTTCTTAATAATAATAATAATAATCTTCGCATTTGATACAGCGCTTTTCACGTCGGGAGGACGTCCCGAAGCGCTTCACAGAACACACTGTAAAGTGAATTGACTGTATATTTGTGGGCGAACGCGGCAGCCAATTGCGCACAGCAATGTCCCACAAACAGTCGTAGATTGAAAATGACCAATTTATTATTGTTTTTGGTTTTGGAGGATTATTATTAGGCTCTGTGTGGAGTAAGGAAACTTGCCCAAGGTTTCGCCTGGAATTGAACTCAGGTCTCTCACTTGCAAAGCGAGTGCTCTAACCACTGAGCTACTTAAATAAGAAAAAAAAATCACTAATTTGATGTTCTCCAGTACCCCCCACCCGCGTATATATATATTATATATATAACACAGACACCTACCCTCTCCCATATCTCACTGTACCCAGGAAGGCAACCGCAGGGTCCCACTGCGGCCATCAGTTTCAGGATTGTAACTCGTACCTGTACCCCAGGTACGCGAGTCAATGATGGGATGGGATGGGATGTGATGGGATGGCCTCTCCGGCAGGGGAAGCCTGGCCTGAGCCTCGCGACCGTGTCCTCAAGTGGTTCCAGTATCCCCGCTTCCTCTGTGTGAGGGCAGATGTGAGGGAGGATTGTGGAGACTCGTAGCTCTGAGGTTAAAGCACTGGCACCTCAAGCGAGAGACTTGGGTTTGATTCCCGGGCAGGGTGAAACGTTGAATTGGTTTCCTTACTCCACGCGCCTCTGTTTACTTGGCAGTGAGTAGGAACCTGGTTGTTAGTCAATTGGCGGATCGCTTTTCCAGGGGTAATAAGTCCTTTAAAAAAACGGTCACTTAATCCACGACTGTTTGTGGGACACTGCTGTGCGCAATTGGCTGCCGCGTTCCACCCATAAAATATAGTCAATGCACGTCATAGTATATTCTGTGAAGCACTGTGAGACATCTCAAAGACGTAATAAGGCGCTATATCAAATGCAAGAATTATTATTATTATAGATCACACTCCTCAGGTGGGAAGTGCTGCAACACTGACCCCAACCAACAGGGGACTGACAGCACAACTGTAGCCAAGAGCTCAATCCTTCCCATATCCGGTTATGGGTGAGATTCTGTCATGGTAACCAACGACACCTCTCACCTGTACACACCTCTCACCTGTGCTCAGGTGCACACCTCTCACCTGTACACACCTCTCACCTGTACACACCTCTCACCTGTGCTCAGGTGCACACCTCTCACCTGTACACACCTCTCACCTGTACACACCTCTCACCTGTGCTCAGGTACACACCTCTCACCTGTACACACCTCTCACCTGTACACACCTCTCACCTGTGCTCAGGTACACACCTCTCACCTGTGCTCAGGTACACACCTCTCACCTGTACACACCTCTCACCTGTGCTCAGGTGCACACCTCTCACCTGTACACACCTCTCACCTGTACACACCTCTCACCTGTACACACCTCTCACCTGTACACACCTCTCACCTGTGCTCAGGTACACACCTCTCACCTGTGCTCAGGTACACACCTCTCACCTGTACACACCTCTCACCTGTGCTCAGGTGCACACCTCTCACCTGTACACACCTCTCACCTGTGCTCAGGTACACACCTCTCACCTGTACACACCTCTCACCTGTACACACCTCTCACCTGTGCTCAGGTACACACCTCTCACCTGTACACACCTCTCACCTGTACACACCTCTCACCTGTGCTCAGGTACACAGCTCTCACTTGTGAGGTCGGCTTCAAAATGACCCACACCCCCGGGGCCCAGGCACTCGCCCGCCCGCCCGCCCCGGGGGTGGAGGGAGGGAGGGAGGGAGGGAGGACCTACCTCCGATGTCAGCAAACCACACGCGCTCGGGCGAGGCTGAGGCCTGCTGCTCGGCGCCGCACACGCCGGGTTGGAGCCTCTCATATTTCCACAGGGTGGGGTTTGCCATCAGGCCTGGGGGCGGCGGGCGGTCAGGGCATTGCCTGGGCGCGGGGCGGGTCTGAGGCCTACCCGCCGCGGGCCCCCCGCCTCAGGGGCCGCTCTGTGACGTTCCTCCCCCGGTAACACTGCGAGGGCCTGACCCGCGGCCCGAGCCGCAGTGCGGCCGGTGTCACAATCGGACCGGCTCAGAGCCCTGACACCGGGACACCGGGACACCGGGCACCCACCCACCCACCCACTCAGCCACGGCCGGGCCCGGAGCCGCCGACACTCTCATTGCTGACTCCCTCCCGCCTGAGGCCTCGGGTGATGGCCGCCCCTCGTGAAGCGGCCTGAGGGAGGGGAGCAGTTACAGAGGTCCAGGTAACTGACCACCAACCAACCAACGCTCCAGGGTCCTGAACCTGAATAATAATAATAATAATAATAATATAATAATAATATAATAATAACAATCCTCGCATTTGATATAGCGCTTTTCACGTCAGGAGGACGTCCCGAAGCGCTTCACAGAACACACTGTAAAGTGAATTGACTGTATATTTGTGGGCGAACGCGGCAGCCAATTGCGCACAGCAATGTCCCACAGACAGTCGTAGATTGAAAATGACCAATTTATTATTGTTTTTGGTTTTGGAGGATTATTATTAGGCTCTGTGTGGAGTAAGGAAACTTGCCCAAGGTTTCGCCCTCTGCCTGGGATTGAACTCAGGTCTCTCACTGGCAAAGCGAGTGCTCTAACCACTGAGCTACAGGACTCCAAGATACTGGAACATCAAGATCAGTTCAGATGAGGAAGGTCCATCTGTCCCTCTAATCTCGTTCTTCCAGAACTGCCCATCCCACCGACCTCCCCTCGCAGCATCCAACTGTTTCATTAACTTGAGCCTCAGTGTCCTGTCCTGGACCAGCCTGTTCCACTCATTGATCACCTTCTGGGTAAAGAAATATTTCCTGGTTGTCTGACCTGAAATTGCCCTTCACAATTCTAAACCCATTTCCTCTTGTTCTGCAGCACATCCTAAAGTATTGATTTGGGTTTACTTTTTCAATCCCATGAACATTTTATATGGTCCACTTTGAGAAGTCTTATCTCGAGACTGAAGAGCCCAAGCTTTGTCTAATTGTTGCTCACAATCTCATTCCTCTTACACAAGTCATCAGGCTTATTGCTCTCCTCTGCACAGCCTCGAGGGTCCAGAGTGGTGGCCAGAGCTGGGTTTGGCCTGACCAGAGCACTGTGGAGCTTCAGTGTGATGGCTGGAAATCTGGAGACACTGATGGCTTCAGCAGCATTGATGATGTGACAAGCTGAAGGGCCTTCTTCATCTGGGTTTGGATTTCAGCTGTTGAACAGGCTCCCTAGGGAGACGGTTGAAGCAAGAAGTGTCAATTCTTTCAAACACAGATTAAATAGTTTTTTTAGGAAATAACATTATGGGATATAGTACATAGTAGTTTGGAACATATGAACATGCGACCGCCAGGAAGCTGGAAGGCGAACTAGATGGACCTTGATTTTTTTTCATCTAGCTTTTCGTATGTTCTTATGATAAAGGGAGGACAGTTTGGAGTGAACACTGAAGCCAATTTCATGATTGTACCTAGGCTACACATGTATGTGACCCTGGCACCATACCCCAGGGTACAGCACACTCCCAGGCTTACTGTAAATCCAGGCTTTTCTGAACTCAGGAGCAACCTGTAAGTAGACTTCACAATTATCAGTTAGTGCGGGCTCTATTCAGGAAGTGAGGTGTGGATTCAGTGTTATAATTAACTGTAAAATACAATGATCCACAATATGATGTTTATTGTGTTTTGGTGGATGTCTGGCAGGCCCAGAGGACACCTACAAGCCAGGAGAAAATAAACATTGAATTCCTCAGTATCAGTAGCCATGCCATTGTACACCCATCTCCACACAATCCTTTAAACGCTGTATTCTTGTGTAGTTTATAACCTCAATATTTTCACAATCATCTTCTGGATTTGAATGATCATCAAATTGGATAAATAATCTTTCCATTCCTGAGCTCTTCCCCGGCTTCCTCTTCACATTGTCCACGGTGTCCGTCCCGGTTTGGCACAAGCTTCAGGCAATGAGCCTCAGTGTCAGAAATTGGGGTTCGTCATTCCAATCCCTTCACATTCTATGGTGAAACTCTCTTGTCCAGGTTCTTGCTCACTGGATTTATTCACTGTAAACTTAGCCTGAAAGAGATTGAGCATGTTTATGTATCCATTTTACAGTCACATTACACAAAATATTATTGCATTCAGTCTATGAAATGTAATTCAGTTACTAGTTCCCTGAAGCACAGCAACAACTCAGGAACTTTCGTCCAAGTTTATCTCTGATTAACATTCCTGAAGTAAATTAAATTCTGAATAAAATTCTGGGTATAGATTACATGCAAACAATATTCAAAGCGCTTTACAAAGACAATGTAGATCACTGAGGTGGGGCGGGGGAAGAAGAGGTCCTCTCATGTGTAGTTAGAGTTTTACTCTGTCTCTAAACCTGACTTGGGAGTGTGGACAGACAGTGTAGAGGGAGCTTTACTTTGTGTCTAAACTGTGCTGCACCGATAACCAGGCAACAAAACCTAATGATCCAAATTCTGACCTCATACACCTCAATGACAATAAAATGCACAGTAAATATACAGTTTTAAATATAACAAATATAGTATTACTCAGAAAAATCAGAAACTACCTTGGTTAGCATCTCTGCGAAGTGTATAGCGGTCTGGGTGTGCAGGGTCACCGGCCCACTCCTCACTCTAGAGTGGCCATTAGCCAGAGCCATGAATATGATGATCTGAGAAGAGAGAATGTTTTGCTGACATTGAGCTGTCTGCTCCCCTATCTCTATCTGTCGGAGTCTCCCACACCCCTCCCCCCTTCTCTCAGATGCTGAGCTTTTCCAAGCTCTGCATTATGAGCAGATATAAGATTTCAGTCAAACACGACATTTGCGAATGATGAGATGATGTTGGGCATTGCTGATGGATACATGAGAGTTACATTAGGAAAGCGTCAGGATTTCAGGCTGTCAGACTGTGCAGCTAATCCGATTCTGACCAGGTATGTAAGAGTAGTTAAGGCAGCTTCCCCAATAGGCTGGGTAGCACTGAGTGGCTAGGAGAGGGTCAGTCCCAGGTGCCATATCGCTCTCTGCAGTTATTGATCTCTGTTGGGGCCAGTTCTGCTCGCCTGCTATGTTCCAGCCTCTGATGGACACTGTTGGAACTGGTTCCCACACCCACTCCAGATCAGAGCAACGACAGAAATGTTTAATAATGAGTATAAACTCTGACGTCACTCAATCCCCACCTGATCCTGAAGGTGCTCGTCCACACAGCCCCCATGTTGCAGGCTTTTTAGCAGCAACTCTGCGGCTTCTGTTCCCACTTTATCTGCAGGAACACCTGGGGATGTGGGAGGGCAGACATGAAGTCAATCAGGATCCGCCCATGTCTTCACACACGTAAACACTAAACTGCGTGGCTAGAACATTTGTTAAGCCCTTTAGCTGCAGGACCTTTGATACCACAGTTACACACAGAGACAGCACTCTGTCACACCTTCACCATTGCAGTTTAGTTTCTATCTTTTGCCCACAAAATTTAGAGTCAATTCACTTTAGAGTAAATTCTGTGAAGCGCTTTGAGACGTCTCGTAGCATGATAATAATAATCCTTGCATTTGATATAGCACTTTTCACATCTAGACATCTCAAAGCGCTTCACAGAATATACTGTAAAGTGAATTGACTGCATATTTTGTGGCGAAACGTGGCAGCCAATTGCGCACAGCAGTGTCCCACAAACAGTCATGGGTTGAAGTGACCAATTTATTATTGTTTTTTGAGGGATTATTATCACGTGTGTGGAGTAAGGAAACTTGCCCAAGTTTCACCCTGCTGGGAATCGAACCCAGATCTCTCGCCCTAAGCACTGAGCTACAGGACTCCACGGCGCTATATCAAATGCAATGTTTATTATTATCTTTATATAATTACAATGTTGGGAAATCGCACGCACCTCTTTTCCCCAACGCAGACCCAGCCAGGACACACCCTGTAGATGTTTCAGCAAAAATACTGGGAGAAGGACAATGAAAATCCACTTTAAACACAATAATAACTGAATAAAGAAAAGAAACAACACTTTCAGAAAACATCAGTTTTGCCACAGTCACTGAGCAGCTGAGATGTGTAGGCAGTCACTGAGCCCAGTGTCCCAGACTGAGGGAGTCCCTGAGCCCAGTGACCCCACGCACTCAACGTGGAATGTGGAGCTCGCACACCCGGATGCCATTGAAATGATTCCGCAATTAATCAACAACCATCTTGTGTTTCTTACATAATTCCATTTCCATTTCCAAAAGCCTTGTCCTGGGGCTCCTTCACCACTTGTATGTCCACAGCCATGTTTCCCATCTCTCGCTGGAGGCACCGTGTAGCTGCAGACGCCATGTCCTTCGCAAGCTGGTGAGAGGAAGTTACCCAGGTACACAGAAAACACAGCAACTCGAGTTGGTGAGTCAGTGACGAATTTAACATAGTTAAATCTTAATTAATTACTAACTATTAAATTTAACTATTATTCACTAATAGCCTACACATTTATTTACAGAGAAGTTGAGAATGTGGAATGCCCTGCTGTGTGTGGCGGTCAAGGCAGGATCCATGTTAGCTTTCCAGAGGGAACTATATACATACATTAAAAAGTTACATTCATTAGCGACTTTTACGTTAGGAGGATGTCCCTAGGGGGTTAGATGTCTAAGGAGGAATAATCCGCGGGGATTTGAGGGTGGACAAAGCAGGTAATTGGGAGTGCATGGGTTGTTCTTTCAGAGCAGCCATACACGATGGATCCAGTTTCTAACTTCGAGCTAAAGACAAACTCCTCGACTGGAGCAATTAATAGTCTGGACAATTGCCCGACCTGTATCTGGACCCTCAGTGACTCACAATCTCACCCCCAAATACATTCCCTCACTCTCTCATCACTCCCACCCCAAGCAGTAAAGCTAAGGATATTCCTGTGAGTAAAACTGGCAGCGATTAGTCAGCTTGAATCTGATTCTACTAAAAAAAATGTTTTAAAACAAAATGGGAGATTTGAGATGGAGCAAAACCAAAGCAAATTTCAGATATTTAAACTTTGCTACTTACGTGATAGGGCAGAACTCCTGCCACGAAAGCTCTCCCGTAAAGCTTGGTAACATTCCCTCTCTGCATCAGATCAATCGGCAGCAGCTGTTTGATCGGAGTTACTTTAAGCAGCACTTCTCCCCCACCCTTCGGGTAGTAACCTCTGTAACACACAAGGTGGAAGTCACTGTCTCTCTCCCAGACTCCTGGCTTCAGTGGAAGGAAAAGCAGTAAAAGTGACACAGTTTGGAATTTTATTCCTGTGTTTCTGAGATGTCAATTCAAATGTGATCAGATGGAGCGGGATCTCATACTTGTCCTTGCCCCCCCACACAGTGTCAGGGTGGCAGAGCGCCAGCTCAGAGGAAGCAAATGGAACCAAGGAATGCTTTATAACATTGTGGCCAGGGATTCTGGTTTATGTCCTAACAACCTTCTCTGTAAAAAAAAATATGACTGACCTCTCTCTTTGTTTTTCTGCTAATGATTATAAATTGATCCCTATTAGTTACCGACTCACCGGCCAGTGGAAATAGTTTCTTGCTGTTTGTCTTATGAGCTCCCTCAAGGAATGCTCAATAATTGTTCAATGTTGCCGGAGCTGCGAAGGTGCACTTCACATGTGCCCCGCACCCACACCTCCCCACCTCCGCGTCAGTCTGTTCCCCCAATCAAGAAGCCACATTTGCCGTTATTGACTGGAATTGCTTGACACTCACCTCCTCTTTACATTGCAGTCAAACTGAAATCCAAACTTTTCAGCAATTGGCTTAAACACCTGAAATGAAAATAAAACTCATCAACGTCAAGCTAAAGCTCACTTTATTACATCAGCAAAATTAAACCTGATGCAAAATATAAATGACGTTAACCCTTAGCATCCTGACAGCTGAACATGTTGTACTGAACATCTCACTGTTTGGTGAGAAGCAATGGACTGCCGAGTTTCGCCCACAGTATATCTTGTGCATTGCTTTGAGATCAAATGCAAGGATTATATTATTATTATAAAAATCAGGAGAAATTGCTCTGAAACTAATTGCCACAGCTACATTCCAAACCCACCTGTCAAGACTTCTGACCACTAAAAAGCTCCTCCCTCTCCTCATCAATTAAAATATACAAACCATCAGCTATGACTTGTTTATACAGAGTTGATTGAATACACTGTTTGTGGGAGAGCCATGAAAAGACAGCCCAGACCATTTCCTTCTCCACTCTGTGCATGTCTCATGTAGCCTCTTACCTGTAACGTGTAGTCAATCTGTGGAGCCATTTCAGCATTGGTGCCGCCCTTCAACAGCAGCTCTGAGGGAGAGGCGGCGAAAAGCACACATGGTATTGAGACTTGCATCAAGAGGCAGACACTCCTGCAAATACAGAGCTGCAGGCTCAGAGCCGCACCAGCTACACAATTCACACAGGCGCAACAGGTCAGAGGAGCATGTGGGTGTCCTGTGCCTCTTACCAAATACCGGTGAGTAAACACTGTCAGCAATTCTATAGTGATTGAAGTAAAATCCAATAAAGTACTTACCCAGCGGTTTTGGTGTCTGCAAGATGTTTTCCTCCTTGGATTCTACTTGGTTGGAACACGATTTCTGTGGAACCCACTTTGGCTCCTTCCAGACAACCATCACACAAATCAGATAGCATCTGCAACCCTGACAAGTGCTGCGGCCTGAAGATACAAAGCATGTGTCAGCGACTCTACTCTGTGCACATCAAGCTCTTCTTAATCCAATCTGTGATAAATCTTTCACAGTCAAGAACAACCAAAAATGCAAGGATTATTATTATAATGGGCTCAATGTTCTCTTTCTGGTTGTACATTGTTGGAATTTCTCATTGAAGTCATTTTTACTTTAATATAAAATAAAAATAAGAGTCTGAATACCAAAGCCAGAGCTACCCACTTTCACCTCCTTCCAAATTGACTCATTTATGGCTACCCTACACTGACAGATCGCTTCAACAATTGGCAGTTACATAGCGTCCTCCTGTGGGATAATATGTAAGTACCATATATCATCCTGAGTGAAGGGCCTTATATAAATGCCTATTGTTATGGTACGGTGGAGAGGCTGGACTCTGAGGAAGGAAAAAGGGGGAGGGGAAAATGACCCTAAACACAGTTGGAGATAGGTTTTCAGGTGGGATTTCAAATCAGTCACATTCTTATTGTTTTACCAACTCCGCTACAGTACAAACACTGAGCATCACAGCTAAGGCAGCACCTCCTGCCTCTTCGCAATGTACACCAGTGCTATGTTGTTGGGGCATCACCTCAAAAGTAGAAGATGGCATTTGCTGACAAAAACAGTCACTACACTTAGCAGCAACTCTCTGCGAAACACATTTCAATATTACAGGTGCTACACCATTTTTTTGGTCAGCTGTGTGTTTGACACATGTGGAAAACCATCACATTGCTTAAGTATATCAAAAGCAAACTACACATCCCACCTATACATGGTAATTCTACATATTTATTGGAATGTGCACTCTCTCCCTGGAGGGACGCATCCTGCTTACCTAATTCTAGGGAGTGTTTAGGGACAGGTTGGCAAGAGCCGAGGCTTGGGGACCCCAGGTACTGCATTGGGGTAATTGCTGGAGACTAAGCAGTAAAATCGCATAGCTTGCCATTGATATTGTTGTCTGGCAAGTTTCCCACTGCTTGTCCAGCTTGGACACCCTACCCATTAGGGCTTTGGTTTACAGATTAACAGGAGCTGAGTGGGAAGACTCCCTGCCCCAGACTGGTCTGCCCTGTCCTGCCGATGAGCCAGGCTGTGCTGGCATCAGCAGTGCCCTAGGAGACTGCGGACCCCGCTGGCTCAGGTATTGGACTACCGAGACCGCCACATTTGATTCTGGTTTGATTCTGACATTCCATTGCCAAACATGTCACCTTGGAGCCAGTTCAGCTCTGAGAAGACTCTGCTTACCTCCCCCAAGAAGTATAGATGTTACAGTAAATGCAAGGATTATTAAATACGCGGCAATCTCTCAATCCTTTATTATAGATAATTTTATCTATTTTAGATATTTTTATGGCTCACTTGATTGCAGTCTGGCCTCTGAATCATAAAGTTGTGGGTTCAAGCCCCACATCTGGATTTAGATTAAGCTGACATTCTAATTTAGTGCTGAGAGAGCACTGTAGATGAGATACTAAACCAAAGTCATGTCTGTGCCTGTCAAGGGGCACGTTAAAGATCCCCTGGCATTACTCAATAAGAGAAGGGAGTTTTTCTCTCTCCCCCCAGTGTCCTGGCTGAGAAACCTCAAATAAAATTGGTCATTCGCTTCACGTAATCTGCCTAGGTTTAACTAGCAGAAGATAGGAACCCGATTGTTAGTCGATTAGCAGATCCCTTTTCCAGGGATAATAATCCCTTTAAAAAAAAATAATAATTTGGTCACTCAATCCATGGCTGTTTGTGGAACACTGCTGTGCCCAATTGGCTGCCATGTTTCGCCCACAAAATTCAAAGTCACTACACTTTACAGTATATTCTGTGAAGGGCTTTGAGACGTCTCAAAGACGTGATAAGGGGCTATATCAAATGCAAGGATTATTATTATTATAATTCTATTGTCGAGAGCTATAATCACAGCACAGTATTGTACAGTATAGTATAGATTCTTGTTGTGAAGTTGACCTACCGGAGACCTGGCGAGCTCCTCCCGGCCCTGATGTTGCTGATCTTCAGGCCGGTGCCCAGGAGGCAGCTCAGGGCTGTGCTCACTCTCAGGATCTGTCCTCCCTGGGGCACAATGACAACAAATTATATTTACACAGGGTCGTCAGAGGATGTCGCAAGGCGCTGGACAGTCAGTGATCCGCACCTGAGCTGGTGGTTGAGATCAGGAGGGGAGGAGGGTGGGGAGGGTAGGGATAGGAGGTTGACTAAAAGCGCAGTCGAAGAGAAGGGTCTTGAAACGGGTCTTAAAGAAGGCGGGGGGGGGGGGGCAGGTGAGACGGAGGGACTGTGGGATGGAGTTCCAGAGGCTGAAGGCCCACCCCCGAATGGTGGGGTGAGCAAGACGGGGGATGTGAAGCAGGCCGGAGCCCGCTGAGTGGAGTAGACAGGTTGGTAGGGAGCCAGGAGGTCACAGTGGTAGGAAGGAGCAAGGTCATGAAGGACTTTGAAGGTGAGGACCAGGATCTTGAACTGTATCCTCTGAGTGGAGCCGGGCGAGGATGGGGGTGATAAGGTTGCAGTTTGCTCTCATCCAGGATTTGATGTCCAACGGGCAGTCTATGAGGACAGATTTGGTCCTGGAGTTGAGGTTGGAGGTGGAGAGGGAGAGTTGGGTGTCATCTGCATATTGTGGAAGTTGACCCCATTTCTACAGATGATGTTGCCAAGGGGGAGCATGTAAATGTTGAAAAGGAGGGCCAAGGTCAGAGCCCTGAGGAATGGCACACATAACGGTGCGGGGGCTGGAGGAGAAGCCGTTAGTGGACAGAAAGTGGAGATGGTGGGAGAGGTAGGATTTGAACCAGGCAAGGGCAGGTCCGTGAAGGTTGAGCTGAGGGTGGTGGAGGAATCAATGACAGTGTTGAAGGCAACAGAAAGGTCGAGGAGAACAAGGAGGCAGAGAGAGCGCTGGTCCCAGCTGAACACAATGTCATTAAGTGTCTTTGACCAGGGCTGTTTCCCTGCTGTGTGCAGCATGGAAATCCGATTGTAGGGGTTCATAGAGGGAATGGTGGGAGAGGAAAGAGCAAAGCCTTGGAGAGAAAAGGGAGGTTGGAGCTGAGTCGGTAGTAAGAGAGTGGTGATGGGTCCAGGAAGGTTTTTTTGAGGAAGAGGGTGATGACAGCTGTTTTTAGAAGGGTGGGAACAGTGCCAGTGGATAATGGGAGGTTGACGATGTCAATTAAAACAGGGGCCCGGAGGTGGAGCTGAAAGGTAAGGAGAAGGGTGGAGATGAGATTGAGGGAGCAGGTGGTGGGCTTTATTCTTGAGATGATGGAGGTGAGGGAAGAGGTGGTCAAAGGTGTGAGGGGGGGGAGGTAGGCGGGGGTAGTGGTAGACGGGGAAATCCCCTCAATTTTGGACTCGACTAAGCCCAACATCTCCTCGCAGTTGGAATTGGAGTAGAGGATGGGCGAAGAGCAGGAAGGTGGACAGAGGAGGCGGTTAGTCGTCCTCGGCCGCCACGAATATCTTGGGGAGTATCTTGGCGGAGGCGAGGGCAGAGCGGAAGGCCTTGGTAGGGTCCATTTACATGCCTCGCTCGGCTGCACGCAATTGTGCCTTGAGGGATCGGAGGTGGATGGCGTACCGGGGGGGGGGGTTTAAGGGATAAGGAGGCAGTTCGGGAAGTCGGGTGGGGTGCGGGGGGAGGGGGGGGGATGGGCAAGAGAGCCAAGGAGGAGAGGGAGGTGTGGGGAACAGAGAAGGAGGAGGACCAGAGGGGCAGGAGTTTGGTATGACTCCAGGGCAGAGGAAAGGGGAAGGGTGGGAGGAGATAGAGGTCGGTTGAGTGGAGGGGGAGGGAGTGGGGGAGGGGGGGGGCGATGGAGGAGTTAAGTGAAGATGAAGCAGTGATCCAAAATGGCTTTGTCAGTGACGGTGGTGATGTCCGAGACGCTGAGGCCCCGAGTCATCGTGAGATGAAGGGGGTGACTGACGGTGGACGGCAGAGTTGATGTGGAAGGAGAGGCTGTGGGAGGAGAAGTCGGTGGAGGGTGGAGCAGGAGGAGGCGAAGTGGAGGGAGGAGGAGGAGGAGGAGGAGGAGAGGCGTTCGGAGCAGAGGGAGAGGACGGTTAGGAGGGGGGAGATGTCCGAGAGGAAGGTGGGGGGAGGGTTTGAGGGGGCAATGGCCGCCCAGCGGTCCTCACCCCCCCCCCCCCCCCCCGGGCCGCGGCCGTCTCCCCGCTCTCGCTCTCACAGCGCTGCCGGTTTCTCGCAGCTCCGGCGCCGCGGCCCCGACCCCAACCCGCGGCCTCATCCAGACCCCGGGCCCCGCACTCACCCCCTCCATGATGCCGCCGTCTATCTCCACCTTCGCCGCCATCGCTCGAGCGCCTGGTCACTGGGGGTCTGTGGGGATGCGGTGCCGCCGCCGGTGGATGGGGGGAGTGGCGCTGTGGGTGCGGTGCCGCCAGGGGGCGCTGTGGGTTGCGGTGGGGGGGAGTAGCGCTGTGGGTGCGGCGCGGGACTGGCGCCGCCAGGGGGCGCTGTGGGTTGCGGTGGGGGGAGTGGCGCTGTGGGTGCGGCGCGGGGCTGGCGCCGCCAGGGGGCGCTGTGGGTTGCGGTGGGGGGAGTAGCGCTGTGGGTGCGGCGCGGGGCTGGCGCCGCCAGGGGGCGCTGTGGGTTGCGGTGGTGGGTGGGGGGGGGGGAGTGGCGCTGTGGGTGCGGCGCGGGGCTGGCGCCGCCAGGGGGCGCTGTGAGCAGCTGAACTCCCGGGGAAGATGGCGGCGGCGGCGCGGGCGGTTGGCGGCGGCGCGCGGCGGTGTCAGAGTTTCGGCTTCTGCTTCGGGAAGACGTCGTGGCTGCGGCAGGTAGTGGTCTCGGCCATGTCAGCACCCGGGCCTCGGCCTCTGCTTCTCCGCGGCCGGGGATACGTGGCGCCGGCCTCGGTGTGTGAGGGAGGCCTCGGGCTGAGAGCCTGGAGCCAACTCCCGAGGCACTGCCTGACCTGCAGCTCAGCTGTGTGTGTGTGTGTGTGTGTGCGGGGGGTGTGTGGGGGTGTGTGTGTGTGGGTGGGGTGTGAGGGGTGTGGGGGGTGTGAGGGGTGTGTGTGGTGTGTGTGCGGGGGGTGTGAGGGGTGTAGGTGGGGGGTGTGAGGGGTGTGGGGGGGGATGTGAGGGGTGTGGGGTGTGAGGGGTGTGGGTGGGGGTGAGGGGTGTGGGGGGGGGGTGAGGGGTGTGGGGGGGGGGTGAGGGGTGTGGGGGGGGGTGTGAGGGGTGGGGGGTGTGAGTGGGGGGTGTGGGTGGGGGGTGTGAGGGGTGTGGGGGGGGATGTGAGGGGTGTGGGGTGTGAGGGGTGTGGGTGGGGGTGAGGGGTGTGGGGGGGGGTGAGGGGTGTGGGGGGGGGTGTGAGGGGTGGGGGGTGTGGGGGGTGTGGGTGGGGGGCGCGGGGTCTGTGCTCACAGCCTTAGTTGCACACACATCCACGCCTATAAACCCCACCCACAGCCGTGCCTTGACCTGTTCAGCTTTCCACCACCACAACCCCCTCCGCCACTGCCCAGACCCTGATCCTGTCCCGGGGCTTGACCCCCATCTCTCTGCTCGCTGGACCTCCCAACTCTTTCCTCCACGAGCTGCAGACCTGTCAGAACTCCGCAGCAGCCCGTGTCCCCTCTCCCGCATAAGGTCCTCGAGTCTTCCACCCCCATTCTCTCCCGGCTCCGCATCCCCCATAGGATCGAGTTCGGATCGAGCTCAAGATCCTCATCCTCACTCTCTTAAATCCCTCCATGGGGCGGACCCCGCTTTACCTCGGCGACCGTCTAAAACCCCACCAACCCACCCACTCCCTCCACTTGGCATCTTCTGCTGCGCCTGCCTCACCATCTGCTTTCCAGCCTTCAGGCTTTCTACTCCCATTCTCCAAAACTTCATCCTGGAGACCCTTCCCCTCGCCTCCTTCCAGTTCCGTCTCAAGACCCTTCTTGTTGACCGAGCCTTTGGTCATCTTCCCACTTCCCTCCTCCCCCCAGCATTCACACCTCTTGAATCTTACCTCCAGCTCGTGGGCAAACACTAGACTTTCCAGTACCTTGGGACAGCCTGATGTGAAAGCTCAGGTATATAATGCAATTTGTTGATGTTTTCTAGAACTTGGCACTAAATCAGGAATACTAGGAACGTTTGGGGAAATTAAGAAAAAACATGGGTACAGCAACACAGGGAGAGTTTTAATTTGTATCTAACTCATGTTGGAGCTGACTAGTGTTTGAATCTTTATAGCGTATATTCCTCATCTTGGTCACAACAAAATGTCATTTTGACCTCTCCCTTGCTTGGCTCCCCTGGTAACTGTCAATCTTTCTGCAAGGTCCATGTGCACCATTACAGGTGCTGTGGGAGTCTGCCATTTGTGAAACCCCAATTGCCTGTCTTTCTCAAGTTCTCTCTCGCAGACAACACACAGATCAGATTCTTCAGATCCACTGCTGGTAAATAAAGTTTAATCGAATTGCTCTTTGTTCATTTTGCACATTGGGAGTTAGTTAGATCGGGTGCTGACTGCTCTTCTTACTTTGCAGTTGCCAATGGACAGGTCGTTCAGTTCAAACTTTCTGATATTGGAGAAGGAATTGTAGAGGTTAATGTGAAAGAATGGTTAGTATTGGCTTTGTTCTGTCAGATGGTTAGCCAGGAGACAGGGAGAAACTCCCTTCTCTTTTCCATGCTTGCTGTCGTGTCGCCGCATTCACATTTACTGGCAAGTGTTGCAATCGCATTGATTCCTTGTGCTCAATGATGTGACACATTGGTTTCCTGAGCACAAATCCCATTCTCCCGTGACTCCACAGCTCCTCATTGCCACTGTGTGTGAGAGACAGTCAATAGGTTCCCAAACCAAAACCTTCAAACCTCCAACTGTTCTACATTTCAGGCTTGTGGATTAATGGTCCCAGGTGCCGACATCTCACAAACATTATTCACAGATTGGAAAAATGAAAGTAACAGTGTGCCACTAGTTGTCGCTGTCAGCAATGACAGTGGAAGCCACAGGACACACTGTAATGTGACTGTTCACAAAGCTGTTTAATGGCATTTAAGATGAGTGGGTGATGAGGTTAAGATTTTTTATTTTTTTTCCGCAGGTATGTGAAGGAAGGAGACACAGTTTCACAGTTTGATAGTATCTGTGAAGTTCAGAGTGATAAAGCATCTGTTACAATCACAAGCCGCTACGATGGAGTGATTCGCAAACTTTACTACAATGTAGATGACACAGCTTTTGTGGGGAAGCCACTGGTGGATATAGAGACAGAGGCTGTGAAAGGTAGGATAGGCTGACTTTGTTATAAGGTTGTGTAAATAGATAAAGGTAAATACTGAGTCAGGCAGAAGAAGACTTCAGTGGCATCTATTCCAAAAGCCAGGGAGATTCTTCTGTTGTCTGGATCAGCAATACTTGTTTTTAACCTGCTGTTAATTGGTTAACAGGAGACATTGCTGTGTGCAAAATGGGTGCAAAGTGTGCCTACAAACTCTTTCCTTGCCCTGAAATGGGAGCTAATGGAAGCTTTACTCTTTACAGATGTGGCCTCCGAGCAGGATGTTGTAGAAGCTCCAGCCGTGTTGAATGAGGAACATACACACCAGGAAATAAAGGGCCAAAGAACTCTAGCAACTCCAGCCGTGCGCAGGCTGGCCGTGGAGAACAATGTGAGTATGTCACACAATCTAAGTTGACACTCCAGTGCGGTGCTGGGGGTTTGTTGCATTGTTGGAGGTGCCGTCCTTCAAATGAGGCATTAAACCAAACATCTGCTTGTTCAGGTGGACATTAAAAAAAAGAAGGGGGTTTCTCTCTCCCGGTTTCCTGGCCAACAAATAAAAATAAAATTTGTCACTCACTCCCATGTAACACTGCTGTGCGCAAACTGGCTGCCATGTTTTGCCCACAAAACACACAATCACTACACTTTATGGTAAATCTTGTGAAGCTCCTCACCAGCTGCTCCCTCCTAGCTCCCACTACTCCCTTCCCACAGGGCATGGGCACACAGTGACAGGTGGGGGCAACTGAAAACAGCCGTTGGAGACACTTGACCTTAAGGCTTAGGAACATTTTAAGCAAATTAAACTTGCCTCCTCCGTGTTGGCCACTGTGTGTTGGGACATCACCTGTCTGCCAGTCACTATTGGTGTAAATATCTAAAGCAATGTGTTCTTTAACTAGATAAAACTAAGTGAAGTGGTGGGGACTGGAAAAGATGCACGAATTCTTAAAGAGGATATACTGAACTACTTGGCCAAACAAACCGGAGCCATTTTACCCCCATCACCCGAGATTCGTCCACCATCACCATCTCCGGCCAGACCAGCAGTGCCATGTATCCCTACACCAACATTCACTGGGAAAGATAGAACTGAACCAGTGAAAGGTAAACATTCCTGTGCATTAAATATGGTTCTACCCCAGAGTACAACTCCTGGCTCAGGAGCAGCCATGGGTGGGGGGTGGTGAGAGCTGGCACTTCATGATGGAAGAGCTGATTGTGTTTTAGTGCTTTCCCCAGAGAGGGGGGTCCCCACACACCAGTGCCATGTCCTTCCCTCACCCTCCGCACTCCCCACCCGGCACTGGGTTCGTTTCCCTCACATTGTGTCTCTGGGAGCCAGTTATGGGGCTAATGAGCTGCTCTCTGGCAGTGTTGATTGCAGATCTGGGAAAGGCCTGAAAGGTAGCTTCAGACCTAATGTTAATAACGTTTATTCCTGTATAAGTCCATCCCAACCCTGCACACCTGTAGCTCCACATACCAGATGCTCTGTAGACTGTTTAAGGAAACCTGTGTTATTTCCCTGTTGTTTGGCGGCAGGATTCCAGAAGGCGATGCTGAAGACCATGTCTGCGGCCCTGAAAATCCCTCACTTTGGCTATTGTGACGAGGTGGATGTGACTGAGTTGGTGAGAACAAAGGAAGAACTGAAGAAAGTGGCTCTGGCTCGGGGAATCAGACTCTCTTTCATGCCGTTCTTTTTAAAGGTGAGAAATCTAAAATCCATAGCAAGCTCTGTTCTGACCCCTGTGACATTTGGTTTGAGTTCTGCCTGAGTGCATCTGAACAAATGTCTCTCCAATAATAAGCTGCACAACAGCTGTGATATGGCAATGATTAACAACAACAACAAAATTCCATTTATTGAGCGCCTTTCACGTCGGGAGGACGTCCCAAGGCGCTGTACAGTTAGGTCAGGACCCGAGCAGGGGGGAAATGGTCAGGGGGAGGGAAGGGAGGGAGCGAGGAGGGGGTAGAGAGTCGAGAGGGGAGCTGAAGGCACGGTCAAAGAGAAAGGTCTTGAGACCGGCCTTGAAGGAGGAAAGGGAGGAAGCGGCGAAGGCACTGGGGATAGAGTTCCAGAGCCTCGGGGCTGAGAGGGTGGAGGCCCGGCCACCGATGGTAGGGCGGTTGGGGCGGGGGACGTGGAGCAGACCGGAGCCGGAGGAACGGAGGGTACGGGCAAGTAGGTAGGGGGATAGTAGGTTGGAGAGGTAGGAGGGAGCAAGGCCGTGAATGGCCTTGTAGGTGAGGATGAGGATCTTGAAATCAATCCTCTGGGGGATGGGGAGCCAGTGGAGGGGAGCGAGGGTGGGAGTGATGTGGTCGCGGTGTCTGGTGCGGGACAGTACACGAGCTGCAGAGTCCTGAATGACCTGCAGTGTGGAGGGAGGTGCCGGGAAGGCCGGCGAGGAGAGAGTTCCCATAGTCCAGCCTTGAGGTGATAAAGGCGTGGACCAGGGTTTCAGCAGCGTGAGGGGTGAGGTAATGCCGTAGTCTGGCGATGTTCCGGAGGTGATGGAAGGCGGTGCCAGTTGTGGTGCGGATATGGGGGAGAAAGGACAGCTCAGGGTTGAACAAAACACCGAGGTTCCTGATGGCTTTGAGAGGTGGAGAGTGCAGCCTTGGATGCTGATGCTGTCAGCGCCTGAGGTGCGGAGGCGCTGACGTGAGCCAATCAGGAGGGCCTCAGTTTTGCGCACGTTGAGCTGGAGAAAGTTATCTCTCGTCCAGGACTCGATGTCGGACAGGCAGGCTAACTACTGCCTCTCTGCACCTCTTCATCTGTGTCTGGCCTTCTGCCTCAGGTCCTATATGTTTCGGTGCTGCACTATGTCTCAAGATCTGTCCAGATCTCTGTCTCCGTTGCAGACCTTGTGTCCAGCTGTTGAGACCTTGTGTACAGAGACAGAACACTATAAATTGTCCACATTGTAAATAAACACTAGGAATGGGCAGTTGGTCAGTGGGTTAAAGTCTGACAAGTGACCATTGAGTTGCAGAAGCATCTTCATTGGTTGCAGCTTGATGGTGAGGGGTCTCAACTGATGGTTTCCAGGGTTTTACAACATTAAACTATTAACATACTTTGTTCCATGTACTTTGTTCCAGTCAGTATCGCTGGGTTTGCTGCACTTTCCCAGCCTGAACGTGACATTGGATGAAAACCAGAATATCACTTATAAGGTAATCGAGCATATGGGGGTGTAACTGCAGGGTATGGGGCGCTGTCAGTGGGTGTGGGGCAGCTCGGAGTTGCTTATTAATTGTTGTCTTTTGTTCAGGCTTCACATAACATTGGAATAGCAATGGATACAGAGCAAGGGCTGCTCGTTCCTGTTATTAAGGATGTTCAGGTTCTGAGTATCTTTGAGATTGCAGCAGAACTGAACCGATTACAGACTCTGGGCACCTCAGGGCAGCTGGGGACCAACGATCTGACCGGAGGGACGTTCACTCTCTCAAACATCGGTTCAGTGAGTAACACAACAGCAACAACAAATGACATTTACACAGCGTCTTTTTACGTCGGGAGAATGTCCCAAGGCCCTGGACTGGCAATAATTTGGACCTGAGCTGGGGTTGAGATCAAGAGGACGAAGGGGCAGGGAGGGTAAGGATAGGAGGGTGACCAAAGGCCGTGGAGGTCTTTGAAGTCGAGCCTAGATACGTGGGACCCCAGAGCGAGTCACTGAGAGCGAAACTTATCTGTTTACTGTGTAAATCTGGTCTGATATTGCTTAAGGAATATCCTCTCTGCTCGAGGTAGAGTTCCTGAAATACTCCGAGGCAGCTCTACTTAAATCCATTTAAATAATCATTTCACAATGAATCTAATAACGAGTGAGATTATGATGACGTTCGAATGCTTTATGTTTTTTACTCTGCTGCTGTGTCTGTCGGTAGATTGGTGGCACTTATGCAAAGCCAGTGATTCTCCCCCCGGAGGCAGTGATCGGAGCAGTGGGAAGGATACAGGTGTGTACGTACAGCGGTGTAGCTTCCCATGTTTGATGTATTTACTCTCCATCTTGCTTTTTCATGGTCACTGACTGAGCTCTTCCCTCCTCAGGTCCTGCCCCGATTTAATAGCAAAGGTGAAGTGATCAGAGCTCACATCATGAATGTCAGCTGGTCGGCCGATCACCGGATTATTGACGGGGCCAGTGTGGCTCGCTTCTCAAACCTGTGGAAATCTTACTTGGAAAATCCAGGGTCCATGTTACTTGATTTAAAGTGAGGAAGGGCGGAGGCAACGAGCAGAGCTATAAGGGATTGGGTGCAGTTATTTTATTTTGGCCTTGCTGTGATTATAAGTGCTGCCTCTACTTGTTTGTATTCTATACAGCGGTTTGTCTAGATTCATCCCTGTTCTTTACAAGTTAGGTTCCTGCCTCTGTGTCACTGCAATCAGAAATTGAAGTAGGGGTGATTTATACTAAGGCTGTGTCAGCCTCTTCTCCCCCCAATAAACCGGTGCTTAGTATAACTGACTAATGTAGTGAGAACATTGCTCTCATCTCTGCACTCTTCATGACCCTGACACTTTCAGCCTGAGAGACGTCACATCCTTTTGTTACACAATAACGGCTGCAGAATGACCTCTGTAAATGTCCGAGTTTTTAAACCTGTACAAAACTCGAGAACCTTGATACGGATTATGTTTAGAATAAGCTAATTGTCTTTTTAGCACAGAAAATACTACTCTGTTCAAAAAGTGTTAATGTAAACCATCCAATGGCATTAATATGGAACTTTCTGGACCTGATTTTTTAAAAATAGTCCAAAGATTACGCACAGATAAATAAATTGTTCCGATCTTTACAGGATTGGTTCCAATAAATATTATTGAAAACAATAACCATGAGACTGCTTCCTGCGTTGTTACTGTGTGTGGGTTACTGGGCCCTGGATACTGTGGACTGGATATTTCCACTAGTTACTGGGTTGCTGTGGACTGGTTACTGGTTACCCTTGGCCTGGCTCCCCGGGCGGGGGCTGCACTAACCCTCTGATCCCTGCAGCAGCGACACTGGACAAAGCTCTTCGTGCCGGTGGTTGTGAGGACGTCCTCCCGACGTGAAAGTGCTTTACACGCGTAATGTTGTGTCTGACGGCAGCTGTGCCCAATCGTGGTTCGCTCCGTTCGGGCAGATTTACAGAATTACTAATGTGTTGGGCTTTTATTCTTAAAAAAAAATTTTGATTCAAAAGACCATCTTTGCTACAAGTGGAATCGACGTAGTTGCCGGCTGTTTGCGGGACGTCGCTGCGCGCAACGTAGCTGCCACGTTCACCTTCACACGTTACAGTCACTACACGACGGTACTTCTGCTCAGCGTTCACTCAT